AAAAAAAAAACAAACACCTTCTTCCATTGATTGATCTATTCAGTCTCATTACCCTCCGTTATCAACAACAACACAGAGTCATTGCCAATATCAACATGATGAGACTCCAACACCACATCTTGATATTTCAATCAATACTTGCCACAATAGCAGTCCTATTTCTCTCCACTAAACTTCTCTCATGGAGCTTGGCACAATCCTGCACCTCCAATTTTATCAAAACCATGACCTATCAAGACACTGTCAATCCAAAGGGTTCTCTCCTCGTGTGTCCAGTAGGTTTTGTCAATGGATTTGACACGAATAGTGGTAATCGAACATGTCTTTCCACCTCTCGAGTATTGAACAATTTGGGTAAAATTTGTACAGGAACTGCTACTGCATCAACCTGTGGACCCACTTGGTTGACTTGTCCTTTTTTCAACCATGAGATGCACTCATCGAAGAACTCGAATGTTGGGCGAATACTGCTCAGTAAGAGACAATTGTGTGGGTAGTTATGGGACCATCACTGATGGTATGAATTGTGTGGCCCATCGATGTGTCAGCATGACTGTTGTGGCCAACATCAAGCAAGAAGGAAAACCATGTCGTGGAAAAGCCCTTGATATCGATCAGAATATCATGTACGATTGTGCCGGCCCAGACTATGAATGTGTCACTGAGGTTTGCCTCAAGATTGTTCAAAACAGAGAGGGAGGTGCTTGTAACCAAGTCGACGACAACAATGTGAAACAAATATGTGCCGTTGGGTTTGGCTGTTACGATGGCGTTTGTAAGGCTCAAACGATACTCAATAATGGTCAAAATTGTACCGCAGTACCAGAAACAACCATCTGTGCCAATGGTTTGGTGTGTAAGAAAGAGTCTCCCACATCCACCTACAAATCATGTCAAATTCCTTCCTTGTATGGAGAGTATTGTGAGTCATCCTCAGAGTGCTACAAATTACCAGTACTTCAAATGAGATGCAGCAAGAACAAGTGCATTCGAAGATATTCTCAATTCGATGGAGCAGACTGTGAGAGTCATCAAGATTGCTACTCGGGTTATTGTCAACCCTCCATTCGAAAATGTTCAAGTCCAACGACCTTGACTTGTACGACCACTACTCCATGTCCATCAGGAACTGATTTCAAATGTGGTTGTGGTGGATTTTCGAGTGCTTCTCCATTCAATGGAACTTGTGTGGCACCATGCAATGGATATCAACAAGACTTTTTATCATGTGCCTATAACAATGGTTTAGATGAATTGGGATCTAGTTATGCCGTATCGCATCATTTTCATCCCATTGACACCAATTCGACCATTTTCACCAAATTATGTCATCGTGAATATAGAAATTTATTGAAATGCTATATGAAGGCTTGGAAAGATGCCAATGTCTATGATGGAGAGAATAGTCTTCCAGGTTTTGACTTGAGTGGACCTTTGGAACAACCAACCTCTGTAGTGTTACCTGTGGTGGGAAGAAACATTTCCTCTCCATCACCACAGACAAGTGCTCAGATTAGTCATGCAACCTCCATGACCAAAGGAGGAGTTCTTTTTTTGGTTAATTTATTGGTGGCTGTAAATGTTTTGGTCATTTCACTGTGGTTTTTGTTGTAATTTTTGAGTGTTTATTGTGACGATAAATTAACTTCTTTTGGATCAAATTTGACTGCTCACATTTCAATGGAAGGGAAGAATTACTTCTTCCAGTAAATAGTTCATGACGGTGGTACATATTTTGGGGAAGAGTCACTTTTCACAGCACTCTAGTTAGGCAAACACTTGTCGTCGAGCATAAAGCTCTGTATAATGGAGTTCTCCACTTTTCTTATGTTCTCGATCATAACCTGTGTATTTAAATCGAATCACTCTTTGACCTTCACACACTCTAAAATCATCAACATTTGGAACAGTAGAGATAAACTCCACTCCCTCATATACTTGACAAAAACCCAATACTTGAATTTGTGCACATTCTGCTTTGGCAAGATTATGAGGAGCTTCATCTGGGTCATTTAAATATCGATTCAATGCTTTGCCCATCAAAATTGGACCTGTGACTGCCAAAGTCGCTCGAAAAGTATTTTCCTCTTCCTCACCTGGAACGAGTGGCAAATATTTGTTTTTCACATTATAAATGACCATATCCATGGCTATTCGCAACAAAGGATGTCGTGGCACACTGGCCATAAATGCAATATTAAAACCAAAAAAGGGAGGACCTAACTCCACTGGAATTGCAAAGGTTACATTTTGTAATATCCATGATTCAAAGGGTTCCCTTAATACCATATCTGCATCGGCATAATAACCTCCATAAATCCACAACACTGCATATCTCCAAAAATCACTTTTATAGGCACCTGGAATTAAATGTTGAAACGTATAGACTTCATCCGAGTCTTTTCCGAAATGAAGGATGAGCATTTGCAATGCCTCTTGATCTCCATAATATCGATACTCAAAGTTACAATTTAAATTTCGGAATGAAGCCATTGCGACTCTCATTCCTTTAGGAAGTTTCTCCTCTTCAGAAGGTTTGTAAGTTTGATGAATAATTTTAGGAATTTGTGTGTTGGGAGGAGGAGGAGAAGATATTTGCGAAGAGGATGATGATTGTAATTCTGCTAGATGTTTACAATCCATCGGAACCAGTGCATGGGGAAATAGAGTGCTTAGGTCATGTTTGGAGTGAGGGTTCCGAAACATCATCCATGTCAGGAATAAAAGAAGGAAAAAGAAGGACAATCCAGTGAGCACGATTAAGGCTATCCCTTTCTGCGTTTTCAGCCTCTTCGGGACATACAGTCGTTCCATCCCTTCCAAGGTTAATAAGACAGACCTTCCTATCGTTCGTAGCAGCATTTGGTGGTTGTGTGTTTTTTTTTGAGAGAGCTGAAACACTTGAGTGTGTGGGAAAATCCTCTCCCAACGGATACTTGGATCTCGTAACAGGAGCTCTTTAGGATTGTATTTTATTATTCTGAGAGTATGTGTATTCTCACTTGTGTTGTTGGTGAGGGGAAGAGCACTACAAGGACAACTGCTGAACACAAATGCTTATTTTAAAGGCAGGAGTTGGTGAGGAGAAGAGCAACAAGGAGGAGGATGAAGGTGAGAGAAAAGTGTTGGATGGAAGATGATGTACTACTACTACTCGACACCACCACAGTGTATTCCAAAAATTCTAATTCAATCTCCTCCTGACTGCTCACGACAAGACTGAAATTCTGAGATCCAACATTTTGTGAAGAAGCCTCAATCGTAAAAGTGAGCAAGGAACGACTCAAATCTATTGGAGGAATGTTTGAGAATCTTTCCAAATCAATTCTTTCGATATTGTTGAATGAATCGTAAGCGAGATCACCATTGGAATCCAAAGTATTCACACACTTTCCATTTCCAACACATCGAAGAGTAACATTTCCAGAGGTGTTTTCAATCACTTCTAACGATAAATTTAAATCATTAATCAATTGTTTGAGAATGGGTTGTGAGGAGGACGTTTGTGTCCCTTTTCGATCATACCATGTAAGAGTTGCCTTAATTCCAGTGTTCAAGAGCATTGATTGTGTCAACAATGATTTGATTCTAAATTTAAATAAAACTTTCTGAGAGGCATCCAATTCAAATCGATTCACAAGAAAGAAGGAATTGCCAGCATCTCCAAATCTCAACAAATTTCCTAAATCCACTCTTCCATACCCGACATACTTGTTTGGATATGACTCTTGAGAGAGATTCACGTAATTTCTATCCTGAGTGAAATCTCCGTCCAATTTGACACTTCCTTTCATGGTGGAGGCAGAATGAATTAAAATGGCTTTCACCAATGTGCCACTCAGAGTCTGAGAAGAAGACTTATTGATCAACTCGTATTGAAGAAGACGCTTCTTATTGTTTTGAAGCAAGTAATCTCGAATTAATGCAGCGGAACCAGCAATGGAAGGGGCGGCCATGGAAGTTCCAGTTTTCTTTAATTGGTATTACATGCATCACAATCGGCCTCTAAAAAAAGAATTTAGAAGGAGAGAGACTTACCTGAATTAAGGCAGAGGCATCGCAGAAGGGATTATTCACTCTTGCACTCCATATGGCGACACCAGGTGAGACAATTTCTGGTTTAATTCTATTATCAAAGGTTGGACCTGTAATTGATGTCGTTAATGGATGTTTTTGAAACAATGAACAAAAAGATGATCACCAAAGAAACAAACCTCTGGATGAAAAATATCCTAAATTTTCATGATTGAAAAGGGTAGCATTCACATTGGGATCCTTTCTTGAATATTCTCGAAGTGTGGAATAACTGGCTCCAACGGCCAACGAATTTTTGGCTGCCGCAGGTGCTGAACACAGATTCAGTTCTTGATACTTTAGGAAATTTCCTATTACTTACATAACACAGAGCCGTCTCTTCCATAATGTCCATTGTTTCCTGCTGCAAAGATGATTATCATTTCGTCATTCTTGAACAGAAAGTCATCCACTCGTTCTGCATTCACATCATATTCATTTCCAACTTGACAACACAATTTACCGTATTGCTTCAAACAAAACTCATTAGTGACTGGTTTTGTGCGATTACTATTCGATTCAAAACATTGACAATCAAATACACAATCCAAAGGATTGGCATTTCCCCAACTGTTACTTGAAATTCGAGCTCCAACTTTGTACGCATTGGACAAGTATAGAGTGATATTGTCGACATAGAAGAGGACACTCACAGCAGCATCAGTCATGTAAAGTTTGGCATCTTTGGCAATTCCAATATCTTGCAGTATGGGTGAATCGCTCGAAGTGGCACTACTTTCAGGATTTCCAGCAACTATATATGGTAAGTGGGGAATTCCCATGTCGTGTTGAATTCAAAAACTTACTAATTCCACAAGTATGAGAACCATGTCCATTCTTATCCATTCGATCTCCTAACTTTGCTTTCTCATAATACACTACTTTTCGATTATTCACATTTGGTACTGTGTAATAATCTTCAACACCACCTTTCTTTGAAAAGAAACAATGATTCACATCGAGACCAGAATCAATCAAATGAACAATTTGATCCTTTCCGGTGACTCCTTGATTCCATAAATATCTTGTATCAGAGAGTCTACTATTAGTTTGCACAACATCATTACTTCCAAAAGTCAATAAAGTTTGTGGAAATTCTCGAGAGATTCTTTCAATGTGTTCATTGTTCTCAAAAAGAATGGAAAGAAATTCTTCACCCATCTGTTCGTACAATTCTGACAAGAATTTTTCTGGATTGTTTTTGAGAATGGAGAATTCAGAGGTGCTTGGAAGGAAGGGTTTTATCCAATCCTGATTGGGAAGAGAGTTTTCAAGAGAAATTCGAAAGGACCTTCGAAGAATATTCTTCTCTTCGATATTGGATTCATCGTGTTCAGTTTGAATGGGTTGAATGGATAATCTTAATGAATCAGACAATTCCTGAATCATTCGTTCCATATTGATGATGAATGGTGATGATGATTGACCTTCTAAAGTGTTTCTAAATGACAAGGTTGATTCAATGAATCGTTCTCTGAGAAGGTTTTGAATTCGATTTGAAAATTTCATCTTCACTTGATTCATGAAAGTAAAGGCTGTGGGGATTGATAATGATGATGATGAACACGAGGAAGAACAATCTTTGCCAAGAGAGGACTCTGCCATGTCCACTCTCAATGTGGAAAATTTGAGACTCTCTAAGGAAAAGTAAGGAAAATTGATTCGCTGAACATTTCGCACTCTCTCCACACGTTCCACAAATTTCAATCGGTGATGTTGTTTTTTTTTGGACAATTCCTCCAATTCTTGGTATGAAAGCCAACTTGTAAAGATGCGATTGTTGGAACCTGCTACCACTTGGAGGAGTTGTTCATCGTCTCCTTGAGAGATTGGACTATTGCTGAACACTTCTGTTCTCAAAGCTCTGAGATTGTTCTTGGTGAGGAGTACTTGGGTGGAAGGTCGAATAAATAGATTCACAAGGATTCGACTGACTTGATTGCTTCTCAAGTGGTTGTTGACCCATGCCATGGATGAGAGAGTCTTGTCGAATGGATTCATGAATGAATCGTATGTCATTTCAGAAGATCTTGTCGTTCCACTGTTCTTCATCACCAATAAAAGATTCCTTCCATCGAGAGGATGAGAAAAGCGGTCATGATGACTCTTTTCTGAGAACACAATGTTTGAATGCAACAATAAAAAGATAAAACAAAGAGTCAAAAGTTGAGTGAAAGCATTCACTTGTTTTCTTCTTTTCCTGACTGTTGGCGTCAACAGTGTCCTCATGGTGTGGTAAGTGATGAACGTTGGGATGTCCAGTTTTGAGATTAAAGTATTTTTCACGTCGATGTAAATTTTATAAACCTACCTTTTTGAATGATCCCCAAAATGACAATTTCGAGCGATACGGAAAAATTAGTGACCGTTTTCATGTTAATTTTCCTCCGAAACATTGAATTCCAATTATACCATGACTTTCTCAATTTAGAAGGAGGGTATCAAAAAGATTTTATTTTCATTAAAATACAGTTTGTGTCCTTTCGTTTGCCTTTTAGCTCATCTCATGCACAATTTGGAGAAACCCTTCACTTGAGGCAAGAGTATCTCTTATTTGTTAACAAATAAGAGCGCTTAATGTTCAGAAAGAGCTCTCTATGAGAATCCAATCTCGAGAGTGTATATTCCTCCCAACAAACAAAACAATTCTTCTTAACAACAACAACAACCACTTGTGTTTCTCTTCTCGATAACAACTGTTGTCTATTATTCATCATTCACAATAGGAGAGGCAGCAGCAGTAGTAGAAGCAACCACATGTTTGATGAGAGAGGATGACCATTCCACGTAAACCTCAACAAATTCCTCAAGTTGAGCAACAACACTCTATCACCTCTCCTTTGTCAGCGACGGAGGAACAACAACAAGAACCACCACCAGAAACAACTCCAACCTCCTCTCTTCCTCCTCATGGTGATCGTACTCTCACTCCAAAAAAGAAGACGACATTCAATGAAGACAATAGGGTAGCCACCATTCCACACGACCAACAACAACAAGTTGATGATGATAAGAGTGATTCTACGACGACAACTACTCCATACAGCACCACCACCACCACTCGTTCAAGTGGTCACCCCATTCGATTGAAAATTCACATGTGTGGCTGTCACAAGATGTTACGATTGAATGTAATGAAAATTCTCTCTCTGATTGCCATGACTAGTAATATTTTGGCATTTGTGGCCATTGCTGTGGTCATGATTAATGCTCATATCATACAGTCGGATATTGAAATGGATATTTTATTGTTGAGAGGTGATTTATCATCTTTAAGTGAAAAGACAAAATGTGCAGTACAATTAACAGCCTATGGAAATAAGACCACCTTTATGGATGGGTATAATAATTATGTGGTGAATGTGACCAATAGTTTAAAAATTCTTAAAAGTGAATTGTTACCTTCGAATTTGTACATTTTGAATGATACGAATGAACCAACGATGGACATGGATCGAGCCATCATGGATTTTGTAAACAATGGGAAGGCCTCCCAAGCAGTTGCCTTATTGGAATCGGAGGAATATTCCAAAAAAAGACAACTCTTCAACACATTCATGAACAATGTCTTGCAATATTCGAGTGAAGTGGCAGAATCAAAAAATTCTTACATTCTCACTGCAGGTATTATCAACCTCACTTTGATCATGACAGCTCTCGTGGTTGTGGTTCCCGTTGTTTTGATCGTTTTCATCATGGCTCTTCGAAAAGAGAGAATTTCCTCGAAAAAAGCTTAAAAAGGCAACTGGCATCATGCTCATGGACACGATGGAAGATGAGAAGGAAAAATTGAAATTCAAGGAATTTTGTCAGAAAGAAGGTGGAATGGAAATCTTTTTGTTCATGGACAAGACATTGGACTTTGTCAAGTTGTGTAAAAAACAAGAAGAGATTTTAAAAAAACATCCTGAACTTATTTCTCAATTGGATCGTGAGGAGAAACACAACTCTTCGATTGAGAATTCAAAAAAGAAATACAAAGCTTCAAATGCAACAAAACAAGAATTACCGAATAAGCACAATACATCCTCGGAACAACAATTATGGAAAGAGATTGAAAAGGAAAAATACGAACTAGTCTTTGAAATAATTTCAGAATATCTAGATGGGGATGTAGGAGAGTGTCCACTGGTCGTGAGTGGACACATTCATGACTCTCTCATCAAACAAGTCGATGCATTTGATATTGACAAAGTTCAAACGTATTTTAAGAGTTCCTTATTCGATGCCATTCAAAAAGAAATCTCAAATGCTTATTTGAATATTTTACATTTTAGGTTCAAACATTTGAAGGAAGAGAGAAAGACGGATCACAATGTTGAGGTGAAGATTCAAGCATAATCATTTCAGATCATTAAAATTCGTGGAAATAAAGTGAGGGTTTGAATAACATGTTAAGGATCTTTCAATATACTCGTGTCTCAACATACCTTCATGACCACTTTCAGACAAGAAACCTCCATAACTGCTGATTTCGTTGACATCTTGTTCCACGATGCGTCCAAATTTCTCTTGGAACACTGTGAGAAAAAAACGCACGCGGCCGCTTGTCAATCGATCTAAACATCGTTGTCGACACTACAACTTACACCAAAGAAAATGATGGCGACGCTCTCCAACCAATCAGAAAACACTGCCGGATCGAAAAAATATAATTATTTTTTCTGTGAACAACAGCACACGACCAATTTTTCGATCCCACACATCGTTCTTCATTTATTTCTTTGCTTTCTTCGTCGAGCCAGAGCATGTGCAGGTTCAACTCTCTTGGCTTTTGCAACAGGTATCAACATGCCTTCTGTTCTCGCTGTTTCATCTTCCAAATATTGATTCAAATTACTTCCTTCAGGCACAACCCGATTCAAGGTTGAAATGGTGTAGTGTTGGTAGTCTTTAGGTACGGTCAAACATTGGTCCGAACAGCTATGATTTTCAAATACAGTTGTGTCTTCCTCTCGATAATAAAGTTGTTGAAGAATAGATTCATCATCGTTCACCTTCACAGTGTAATCGGAAGCAATTTCCTGCTTTCTCTTTTCCTTGAATCTCTTTGGCTGGCAAAGCATGAACGTGTTTGGAAGAACAGTGGAAAGAAAAAGTATTCTCAACTTTCGGAACAAAACCTGAGCCAATAGTTTTCCTTTTTGGCCAAGTTTAATCATAATAGGAATAGGGAGTGCCACCACCTTTGCTTGATGCTCCTTCTATTGATTCCTTCTCTTCAAGATGATTGCTTTCGAATGCTTGAGTTTCAAATTGCTTTACATTTCTGACTCTGCACTTGAGAGCTAAAAAATGTTTCGCTAAAATATGAGCGTACCAACATTTACCTTGGAATCCTTGAGCAGCAGCAACATAAATATTCCAAAACAACGATAATGATTCCGAAATGACTTGATCCGATGCATTCTTGTCAATATTATTCAACAAGCATTTCAATGCGTCCCACAACATTTGTGTTTGTTCCTTCTCGAAAAACAGAGACATCACTCCAACATTGTTCAGAAGAATGTTGCATGTGTTTCCATGAAGAAACATACGAACATCATTCCATTCTTCGTCTTCAACTTTCTGTAAGCCTTCAAGTCCCTTGATTTTAATAACAGCATCCCAAAACTTGTCTTTCTCCTTAACACCACTCAATGTTATTCTCAAAACATTTTCACACAGCCGTTCCTTTGCATGAAGGACGCAAATAATAATATTGCATGCAGGTAGTCCAAGAATACAGCCCAATGAATCCTCTGTTCTGGGTTTGTGGTTTTTGCAACATATTGGACTACATGTGTCGCAGTATGGGCACCACGATCCTTGTTTCACTCCAGGACAGACCACACTTAACGCTTTCAAATCCATCGTTAAAAACACATCAATGGAGCAATGATTCGATTCGGTTGTTATTCCGTGCTTCCGAATAATCTCAATTTCCTTTCGGAAATGATCTGCCACATGAACAAATTCACTCTCATCTCCAGACCAAATTGCAAGTGGAACGCATATAGCTCGAGATTGACCTGTTCCGAAGCATTTGCTATTGATCACAATAATGGTCAAAGTAGTCAGTTTTGAATTGGCAGCATAATCAAGATTCAACGCAACAATTAAATCCTTGTTATCGATTTGATCCTCTTTACAAAGTTGTATCTGCTTTTTCTTCATAAAACCAATCCACTTCTTGTGCTGCAACACATAACAACATACAGTGGGGAGAATTGAGTGATAAATGATTTTTCGATCTCCATCTAATTCTTTAACCTGGTTCCATAATTTGCATCACCAAAATAGTCAGTGCATTTGTAATTGAAAGAATTGGTAACAATATCATCAGTGATATGAGTCAAGCCAAGATGTTGTTTGACATCAAGGAAGTATCTTGCTTTTAGCTGAGAAGAGGTCTCTTCCAAGCATATTCGGTCGTTGGAACAAACTTTCCCAACAATAGACGTTATTGGGGGAGAAGAATTGTACTGATTTATTAATTGTTGCTTCCATTTGAACTCCTTTGATGAAGAAGAATGTGTTGGAAAATTTGAAACTGGTTCGCTCACTGATTCGTTTAATGATGATGATGTTGTTGGTGATTGTTGGTGATTGTTGTCTTTGAGATTCGGATGTTGTAATGTTATTGGTCATCAATAATGGTGATGGTGTAGGAATGAATGTCGAAGGCCATGAATATGAAGGCCAGAATATAGGTTGATCAATGTAATCTTGCGACAATTGTTGTTGTGAATTGGGCCAATTATAGGATTGATTGGTGTTAATTTGAGACAACTCATATTGTGGAGATTGAAAGTTCGGAATGATTGATATGTTGGCCAGTACAAGGATTGATTACTGTTGATTGGTAGCTCAGGTTGTGAACATTGAGAATTTGTTTGGTAGGGATAAAATTTAGACATTTTTGTTTTTAATAAAATTAAAAATTTATTTCAATTTTAGAAGAAACTAAATTCATCATCATCGTCGTATTTGATCTTGGTATCGTATGACATATGCATGAACACTTCACTTGACTCTGTTTCAAGTATAAAAGAAATATTCTTAACTTGCAATAGGTATTCAGTTGTGACCACAGAATTGTCTTCCTTTGAAATGCAACTCTTGACAACTTGTCTTCCCCAATTCTCAAATAAATCCAGAACTGGTAAGGTATCTTTAAAACGATATTCAACACAGGGAACTTTGTACTTAATTCCATGCCTATAGATCATTCTGTCAGAGTGGAAAAACGTTGCTCCCTTCATATTTTGAAACATCAGTTGAAAGGTTTCTGTTTCAATACAGCCACAACTAATGGAGGTTCTTCGGTGAATACCTCCCAACTTCAGCATTCTGTTAATCTTGACTCGGGCACACTTGGCAAAAAGTTGGAAAGATCTTGCGACGTAATCTTGTTCTTCTTCACAAAGGTCAAAGTAACTGTAGTTCAGAGGTTCAATTCGTGGTAAACCATGCTCAATGATGATATCTTTGAAATCGTAAGAGCTAGTTTCTTCTCTGCGTTGTTGTTGGATTTGTGTTGTGATGGGATCGGCTTCATTGTTGTTGTTGTTGTTGTTGTTGTTTGGAGCATCGAACATCATTGCATCGCCTTCATCTATGACAATCTCGTACATATTGGTTGTTGCTGTAGATTGGAGTTGTTTGATTAATTAGAATCGTCATAATGATTCAGCCAAAATGTTGCTATTGTAAAACTTACGTTATTGTGTGCTGTAATCTTCTAACATAAAATTGATACGTATATTGATATTTACGTCAAAAGTTCAATGTTGATTGTCTTGTCAAACCTACGTGTGTTGTTTTGTTTCGATGATGATGAAAAAGGGCCACACAAAAATGCGGCACCAGAGACATTTTATATTTTTTTGTAGTGACCATTTTTATAAAAAAATACAAACATGATCGAACGGTACAAACGAATTCTCTTCATTCTCTTCGTCATTACCATTTTGACTCTTCTTCTCTTCATGCTCTATACTGGAAAATGGTCTCCACACTCATCAACAACCTTTTCTTCACTACTTCTTCAAAAACATGTTTGTCCTCCCACCACCACCACCTCGAACACCAACACAACAACCTCTTCCTCTTCCTCCTCTTCCTCCTCCTCTTCCTCCTCATTATACACATGGAATTTCGGTCATGGTTCAATTCAACCATTAAAACCCATTCCGACATTACTTTTACCCTTTCGACAAGAAATTCCAAATGAAATTTCTCCTCACCTTTTAAATGCTTTTGAAAAAAGATTTCCCAATCACAACGTGAGAGAAAATCATTCCTTTCTTAAGAAGGGATTTTCAGAGAGACAACAATTTCTTCAATTCATGAATGGATCAAAAACATTGGAATCATTTGCTTATTGCAGTACAGATGATTATAAACCTCCTCTCCATGGTGGTCTCTATAAATCCTGTCAATTTAATAATATTTGTTTAACATCGAGTGGAAAGTGGAAATTATTTATGAATCCAAATAATGCTTTGAAATTGGTTCAACAATTAAATTTGGAGAATGTGAAAAGAAAGGACATTTTTATTGAATCGAATACAAGAAAGATTTTGAATCCACAACTCTTTGATTCTTCCAAACATAAACTCATTTGTCACACGGCATGGGAATGGCTTTGTTTCACACCTTTTATTGAATCCATTATTGAATTTGAAGAAGATGAAAGAGAGAAGAATATCTCTTCACACTCCTCCTCCTCTACTGCTACCTCAACTACTTCAACTATTAGTACTACTACCATTATCAAAACAAGAGATTCTTCCATTCAATTATCTCCAAATTTTGTTTGGTACACAGATTCTGTAGTGGCAATGGAACGTGTGTGGGTTCCTCTTAATTTTGGACATGCTATTTTAGAAGATTTAATTCCTGCCTTTACCATGTTACAAACATTGAATGCTCGAGTCGATCGACCTCTCTTCATGACTGATGAAAGACATTTGAAACGAGTGGGAACGTTTGTGCATCATCAAAGTGCCATTGAAAAGCATGGTTTAAAAACAATTGAGAAATGGAGTACAGAATGGATGGGAATGTTAACTTTGGGAAAACCATTGGCATTATGTTCAGGAGGAGGAGAGAATTTATTTTCCATTCAGGATCATCCATGTCCTGCTTCGAGTGATGGTGGTGGTGGTAGTAATGACAAGAATGGTGAAACACTTCAAGCATGTTTTTCATCATTCTCGTTTGGATATCACTCTAAAATGCTCTATGATGGTCTCACCGATCGAGAAACTTTTTTGTATCAATTTAGAGATTATATTATTGAGAATTGGAATTTGAAAGATCTTGTATATACTCCAAAATATAAACGAGAACAAGGAACATTCTTGATTGGAGTTCAAAAGAAACCAAAAGGAACACTCAATTTGGATCTTATTGAAAATTGTGAAGAGATTGCTCAATATTTAACTGAAAATGTGCAACTCATTAAGAACAAGGTTGGAAAAGATGTTCAAGTCATGGTTGTTGAATTGGATAAAATGTCCATGATTGATCAAGTTCTTTTTTTCATTTATGAACTTGATATGTATATTACCACACAAGGAGCAGCCTCTTATTACAGTTTCTTGATGAAAAAAGGAAGTTATTTGATTTATGCTCCATCATGTTCGTCAGAAACAAATTCATGCACCGATGTTCGTATTAGTTTCCAGAGACCATTGTCACACTTGGAAATTACATCGATGGCGAGATTTGATGTGGAAATGCTTGAATGTTTGAATCGAAAGCCAGGAACCAAACCAAAAATCACTCACGATCCAAAACTTGTGGTCACTGAAGGTTGCATTTTGAAGGTGAACAAGGAAAAGATGTTGCAAATGGTATTGACCTCTCTGTAATCATTGAGAAATTCATCTGATTCTACTGAAATGGAGATTGTTTCCAACAAATGTAAATACATTTTTATAACCCGTCAAACAAAGTACCCTACAACAAATCACATTGTGTATAATGATTGCAACCAAACTCAACACACCATGGTGGTGATGAGCTTTATTACAAAAGAAATGCAAAAATGCCATTGGACGAGGCCATAGCAATTTGATGTCGTGGTGTGGCCGTGGAACCAAAGGATTGCCTTCGTTGAGGTGGTTGGGCTCGTATGTTTGTATTGTGAATGTTGCTGTTCGATGCTGATGATGAGGAGGTATTAGGATAAGCATTGGCAAAATCTAATTGAGGTTGAAAAACGTCAAATGCCTCAACTGCATTGGTGATTAAACGAGCCTCTTGTGGTGGTGGCGAGTTTGGTCGAAAAGGTATCATTGGCACTGCAAATTGTTGTTTGAGTTGCTCAATTCGTGAATTCATATATTCCAGGACTGCTCTAACTGTCGATGATGAGACAGGAGAAATTCGTAAATCTACATAATGTAATTGGGAATTGGAAGAAAATTCAAATTGAGGTTCTTTCAAATTACAACATGCGCTTAATTCTAATCGGAACAATTTGGAGAAGGCTTGAATGATGATTGTGGGTGGATTATGAATCATAGCTAATGGTGAATCAATTTGAACTTCAAGTGGAATACCAATTGGTAATCGTGGTTGTTTCAATTGATGACATGAATTGGCTCTCAAAGTTAACAAGTCAACACTTGTTTTTTGTTGAACAATTCCAGTAAATAGCGCCTCGTCATTAATATTGGTATAACTGATATCTAAATATTGTAATCCATTGCATTTGAGAATTGGTTTGGTAACATTGGTACAATACCGCATCACCAATGTTTCCAAATGTCTCATTTCTATGAGGGGATTCACTAATTTCTTGCATTGAGAAATGTTCAGAGTTTGTAATACTCCATTCAACTTGATCAAAATTTCACAAAGTGTGTCATCAGTGATGACAGTATTTGTCAAATCTAAATGAAACAAGGATTGACCGATTGGGTATATTGAAGATGGGGGTGAATTTCTAATATTAATAGTACTGATGGTAGGATTTCCATTATTATTGTTGATGGTGTTGCTGATGTTAGAGGGACGAGAGGGTTGACCAAATTCATTCATTTCGTTCTTGAATAAAATATTGTATAATTTTCTATTATTAGAAAAATCAACAGTTTTCATAGTTGTATACTCAGTGAGTGTCACTGTGCGATACCGAAACAGTGGAACTGTTGGTAATATCAAACCACAATCTACTATTTCCATATTTTCTAAATATCTACAATTTTTGATAATTACATTCAATCTCTTGTCATCCAATTCATAAAATCTATGGAGTCTTAAATTCACTAAATTATTAAATCTTAGTATTAGATTGCTTAAATCTTCAATAGTGTCAATAGCTACCGATACTTTCAGGAAGAATACATTTTCATTGCAATATACCATATCGAGAGATTTAAAGGATTGATAAATAATTCTATTCCACCACTTGCAAACTAGTGATAATACTGGAAATATTTCTTCAAATATGCAAAATTGAAAAATAGACAAAAATAAATCGTTAGACAGTCGATAAATAGGTGCTATTTCTTCAATATCCAATTTTAGAAATTCAATCACTGACTCGTAACTTAAATATTCGCTCTCTTTTGGCTCGGAAGAAAAATAAGAATCTAGCTCACTATTACCTTTGCAAATTAAATCTAAATATGTTTGAAGAGCTTCTTTTCTTTTTTGAACGTTTTCAGGCTTGAAGTTTCCAATCAACATTTTTGGTGGAAGTTTGGGTAGTTCCAATTCGCTTGCTCCTTTCTGTGAAATACTTTTCATTTTTTGCTTGTGCTCCTTTACAAGTGCTTTGTGTAGTTTGCTGAATTGAGAATAGCGTTTTTCTAATATCCATGATCTAGAGAACATGCTTCCTTTACGGACTCGTAAGACGTAAATCAAGTGAGGTCCCTTTTGATTTGAATTATTTGGTGTCGAGGTTGAGGAAGATGAGAGATCGTCGTAATGACCTTTTTTTGTTGGTGACATGGGTTCGTTCCAAATAGAATCTTGTAATGCTCCATTCAAATGAGAATTACTGGCCCGCTTTTGGGAATGTTGATTATGAAGTAATATTTGATATTGCTGGTAAGGCATATGAATATTACTTGCTGAATCGCTGTAAATCACATCAATGATATCTACTTTTGTGTGGTATCTAAATTGTTGATTCTGAGAATTATTATCTATATTTCCATAATAATTGTCATGAATTGTGTGAACTCCACCATAACTAGTGACATAACTTGTTGGACTTATTGATCCAGTGTTATCTTGTGAAAGAGATCCTACTCCAAAACTATTTGTTCCAACTCCACTCTTTAAATACAAGTCTAATAAATTGTCTGTAATAAAATTAGATCCGTTTCTTTGTAGTGTTGTTCTTCTCTTTCGAGGCATGGGTAATGAAGATCCAAAGGCAGGTGAATTTTTAAAATAATTAGGAGTGTTACTGATGATATTTGAATTGGAATGGTTCATTTGTGGAGGAGGTGAAGGAGTAGTGAGTTGTCGATTAAGAAATAATGGAGGTATAAGATGAGTTACAATACTTGAATTAGACATAGCAGAGGGAGAATTAGCCTTTGTAGAATTATTAATATTATTCGTCGATGTATTTGTGTAAAGAAGAGTCAGATTTGGATTAGAAAGCGAATGAGTGATGGTAGAATGTAAATGATGATTGACAGAAGTCGGCGGAAATGCATTACAACCAAAAGATGATGTTGAAGATGAAGAGTTTGTTGATGCAAAAGAAGAAGAGGATGGTGATTTTGAAGAGCTAGTGCTACTCATTGATGAAGTCAATCGAGCAATGTCTAAAGGAGTGAGAGTATTATTTGAGGCAGGAGTGAAGTTGTTACTATTATTTGGCGATAGTGATGACAAATAAGAAGATGTGGTTGTAGGCTGGCTTCCCGATCGCCTTCGGTGATGATGATAACGCGTATTGGGAACATTGAGTTTATCATTGGTGTTTCCTGTCGTAGCAGTAGTAGCGTCAGAAGTAGTAGTGTGGTTGCCTGATGGAGTTGATGTATCATCAGTGTTCGTCGGAGAGGAATCTTTATGGTTGCTCATCTCCGCAGTTAATTGTTGTTGTTGATGGTAAAATAAATAACAAAATACAATGTAGAGTTAGTAAACTAACAACAACAATACAAGGAATTCAACAAGAATGAGGCCTCTAATCAAGTATAAATAGTATGGCTGATGATGAGAATGAATAGGTTGATCACTCAATGACGAGAGAGATTGAGCGAATGGCAAGGCTTTCGTTCAGCGCTCGATTTTTTTCAAACCGTTTGAATTTGGATCTTGATTGCAGTTTCTGGAGAGAGAGATGGAACATCAATGATTCATCTTGGCTTTCATAACAAGGCCACTATCCCGCTGTCGATCTAAAACCTGAGTGTCCAGTTAATGTATGTACTCCTCTTAGTTCTTCAAGCAAGTAACTCATCGTCGACTTGAACCCCATTCATTGTTAATTCTCTGAAATAAATACAAGCACCACCATCAGCATTAGCATTTCGTATTTTTAAACAAGTTCAAGGAATGGTACCTTTGGTTACTCTTCTTCCAAAGAGGGTCCACAACCCTAAAAAAGAATGATTCACCACGATCGTCATCCTTTCGCTCGGAACGAATTTGAAGAAACCGCAGATCACGACCCACAGTTGTCATCCTCTTCAAACAACAAGAAAATGAAAGAACGAAACGTCTTTTCTTCTTCATCATCATCAACTTTTACACTTCTTGAAGCCTTTCTTTCTTATTTTTGCTGTGCTTCTCACTTCTCTCGAGTCACAACAAAGGTCCTCCGATCTAGATCTTCATTATCGCTACAAGAACGACCACCACCACCACCACCAGTATCATCATCATCATCATCACCACCAATACCAAATCAAGAGTCAAATACACCAAATTCAGGAATTGATTTAAATCAACAACAGACCAAACCATCCAACCATGGCCTATCATCAGAATCAGAACAATTCGCACTTCCAACAAGTACTCTCTTCACCACCAATAGTGTCAACAACATGAAAAGTTCAAATAGTTCTTGTGATCTCGAATTATTGCATCATGAATCTCCCTCTCAACAATCAATACAACAAAATCCTCCTCCTTCAAATCAACCATCTACTTGTAATACCTGTATTCCGACTTCATCCTTTCTATCTTCTCTTCTTCCTTTCTCACTCACTGTTTTAGAAAAGAATGACACGATAAAAGTCATTCATCACTCTGAAACATCCAATACGAACCCAAAAAGAAAAAAAAGTACAAGTGTTCGATTAATGACAGATGCCATCATCAATGAGGATGATGGTGACTACAACGAAGAAGATGATAGTCATTATTATAACCACAATCACCACAATCACTTCATGAAGAATACAACCTTACATGATGAAAGAGAATCTGAAATTCTTCATAGCGAATATTCTATATGGTTATTATTCAAATGCATGTACTGTGCATCATCAACACCAGTGAAGTTTCTTTGTCATCCTCCTCGATGTATTACGATCATGAACACTCTTTTATTTCTTTTTATTTTGCAGGGAATATTTGGAATTTCTGCTGCATTTATTTTACTGTATAGTAGTGGTCAAAAAGTTGTCATGGATACTCTCAACTCACAACAATTACAAATTCGAACATTCAGTGGACAAGAAATTTTAAATTTAGTCGATTCTACCTCTCTAGCGATTGATACCATGCGATGGCAAATGAGTGATTCACATTTTGATGTGAAAAACACAACACATTGGCTCACACTCTTTCACTACATTGTTGATCTCTATGGGACTAGTATGCCCATTGATACCATTAACTTTGCACGTTATGATAATGTCTATATTGGTTATAGTAGAGCGTCATCTTCATCCTATTTTACACTTTTGAATGGATCTATTGCATTGCATACTCAATGTCAGTACTATTGGAAATATATTCCTAATCAGAGAATTTCAGCAAAATATTTGAAAGATAATTTAAATCGAGTGTCATGCAATCCAAATTCTACGACACAAGTTCAAACACGACCATGGTATCAGACGTATGCAAGAAGTGATGATTATTGGACTGAAATTCGATGGGCACCTGTCTTTAAAACTATTGCTGGAGATCAAACCATTGCTGTCACCATTCCAATTTATACTGTGAATAATTTAACACAATTAGCACCAGGTGAAGAAGGAGACACTTCTTATGCATTTTTACCAGAAAACTCTACAAATTTTTTAAACTTTATATCACCAGAGAATATGGATAACTCTCAAAAGAATCCACTCCATTTGTATGGAGTCGTTGGATTTCAATTACAATCACAAACACTGAACCGTCTCTTGAAAAACTCGTCGAATTTATTTGGAGATTTAGATTTAGCATTTATTACAAATTCAGATGGAGATTTAATTGCTCTCAATACCAATACCAATGATGCAAAGTACAATACAGCATTGGCAATTATTGAATCCTATCGATCGAGAAACGTTTTGAATTTACTCAATTCCACAAGTTGTGACCTCTCGGTGGATCGGATTTGTTCCAAATTTATTGAAAAATCAACATTTGATGAAACTGCAAATGTACTCGATGTAGAATTGAGTGTTGTGAATGATTTGTATAAATTGTCATGGGGAGTAGGTAAGTAATTCCATGTTTTACATGAATGACACTTTTCAAATTGGTTCCAAATTTATTGACAAATCAACATTTGATGAAACTGCAAATGTAGCGGTTGCAACCAAAACTGCTACTTTTGCTGATGAAATTATTACAGGTGGCATTACCTCTGTAGTTGTTTTTTTAATTGTATTTATATTTGGAATGATGTGTTTATTCTTTTGTGTGAGAGGAATCAGTACTCCATTGTATCAAATTTCAATGGAAATGTTGAAATTGAGTACTCTGATGGATTTGAATATGAATTCAATCAAAGATGGACATTCAAAGAGTATATTTAGTGACATTAAGGAAATGCAAGAATACATGTCGAGTATGAAGAAGGGTATGAACACGATCACCAAGTAAGTAATCGTATGATTAGGGTGCATTCACATTCATTCGTATACGTATGGAATCACGTGATGATTCATGTCTCATATTGACATGTGTGAATGTTAAACCCATCTCTTTCAATCTTTAATGAATGTTAACCCATCTTTACCATTCTTCATAACCATCCTCATCTACATGTATGCATTCAGATATGTTCCTGAAATTGTCATTAAGAAATTCATGTTGAGACAACAGGAAGCACTTCTTCAAGATCTCTCTGGTTTCATCGGACCTAATTGTGCCGCATCTTCTCATAAGAGTAGTGGAACACCCATCATGACCATTCTCTGTTGTGAAATGGATGGATTTCGTGCACTTTCTGAAAACTTGAGACCTTATCATTTACTTACCTTGTTGAATCATTATTTCACATTTGTGAGTGATATTATTCATAATCATCAAGGAGTGGTTGATACTTTTAATAATGTGGATGGAACGTTGATGTGTTATTTTAATGAACCAACAACAACACCACTGAATGATCATGAGTTAAAGGCATGTGCAACTGCATTTGAAATTTTAGAAGGATGCATGGAAATGAATAATTTCAAGAAATTTTCATTCCATGATCATGACATACACAATGAAAAGATGAACGGCAGATCATCAAATGTGGATCGAACTATTTTGGAACAAGTTGATGATGAAGTGAGTGATAAACAAACACCACTACTTGAAGATCTTCATGAGATTGACAAAGACACTCCAATTCGTGTGAAAATTGGAATTAACACTGGAACAGTATTGTGTGGAAATTTAGTTCATACTCCCAATCGGATGAGTTATACCGTATTTGGAACAAACGTTGAAATTGCATCCAAATTAGCTACTCTCAACCATTACTTCAACACATCTGTTCTCATTGGTCCACAAACCTATGAAAAAGTTCAAGAAGTATTTCTTTGCTATTTTATTGACATTTTACCTCGTGAAAAGATTTATGAGTCCCATTCAGAGGATATTCTATTGAAAGATGTCATGGATCAACATGCAAAGAGTTCTCTCACAATGACAGAGACGATTACCAACAAGAATTACATGACTACTATTAGGAACACGAACACAACAACTACTACTACTTCAACACCTCAAATATTATCTGAAAATTCACCTGTGACAGTTGCAAGTAGAAATGAATTGAACGATATCGACACGAAAACTCATCCATTATACTCTTTAACTTCACGATGGTCTCAAAGAGGTCTTTTAGGTGCAAACTCAACGCACTGTGCGAATCAATCACAACCTCGCCATGGTGGAGGTGTTGGTAATGCTGATCTCGAATTTGAACAATATTGTTCTTCACTACTTCCCATTTATGAATTAGTTTGCCACAAAAACAAAGCTTCTGAATTACAACAGAGAATTCAATCAGATTTGAAACAAGTGGAATCTTTTTTGAAATCAATCATTAAGAATTCAACGAATCTACATTCAAATCATCATATTCCTATTGAAAATAATGACACTACGATGAGCAATACTGGTTGTAGTAATAGTACTACTGGTTATTCCAATCGAAACACCACAACCCCTTCTCCAAGTGTGAACATGAACTGTCATTACCTTAAAGGAAAATGTTCTCTTCTTCTCTCACTGACAGACATGAAGAGTGTCAAGATTTTATTCGACAAGTGTCAACGCTTTGAAAAAGATGAGCGATTGCAACAAAAGTAAAGACAATGTTGTTTATTAATTATTTGAACATTTTAATTGTACAAATGGAAATCAAATTCCTGAAAGGATACTTCTCATTGATTTTTCATTTCCTACATAAATTCAACTTGACATAATATATTTCATGTAAATTCAATGAGGACCGAATATAATCCCGAAACATCTAATAAATCATCCTCAATCAAAAAAGAATGAAATTAGTTTCGAAAAGCCTTGCAAGCACCGAGGAGAGAGAATATTCACCATGGCCCTCCCAGGATCAATCCGACAATTCATATCATACTACGATGGATTCGTTTTGCGATCATCACATAATAGATTCAGAGCCCTTAATATTAGGAAATTCGAGAATTGTAAATTCAATTGAAGATATTGAGGCTTATATTAAGCAAGTCGAGGTGGAAGAAGAAAGAAATGATCATTCCTTGATGATGATGATGCATCGAACATTGGTGGAAGAAGAAATGATTTGTTCCGAAGAATACCTTTCAAATTTAATGGAAAAGAACGAGTTAAGCCATGATCACTATTCAATCTCTTCCTCGTATTCCACGGCATCAGAACAGGATGAGGATCAGCTTCCTTCTTCATCATCGTCCTCTCTCAACAATTTACATCGGTCTAGGTATTCTGAAGAAATGATTGTAAATTCTCAGAAACAACCGAAAAGCCTGCCCATCGTCGACACAGGAACTAGTACAGCTTTAAAAACGCCCAAAATTAATGTTGTTTCAAATGTCGTTTCTTCATCTCATTGCCAAACTCCTTCTCTTCGATACACTTATCGAGGAAATTTACTGTTTGACTCGTCTTTTGAATGTGGAAACTTGGAAAAAGTCATTAGAGTCAGTGACTTTGAATATGAATTGTATATTAGAGGGGACACATTCAATCCAAGCAAGAAGATGTGGTTCTATTTTAAAGTATCCAATGTTTTGAAAAATCAAAAGGTCCTCTTCACTATTATGAATTTAACCAAAAACAAATCTCTATATAGATATGGCATGACACCCTTTGTAAGTTCAACCAGTAGAAATAGATGGGAAAGAATTCCTGAAAAACAGGTCTATTATTATAGAAAGGAAAAAGGACCTAAGCGAAATAATAACATGTCACAACAGGGCCACAACAATCTTCTCTCCTTTGTGTTTGTCTTTGATAATGAGCAAGACGAATATAAGTTTGCTTACTGTTATCCATACTCCTACACAGACCTTCAGAAATTCTTATTTTTCATTGAATGTAAGAAATTTCCCTATTTCAAGAGAAGTCTTTTGTGCAGAAGTGTACAGCAGAGAAGATGCGACTTGTTAACAATCACAAATGTCAAGCCAACTACTTCTTCCAAGAAGAGAATAGTAATGATGACAAGTCGAGTGCACCCAGGTGAAACACCAGCCAGTTATGTATGCCATGGATTTATCAGCTTCATTGTTTCCAATCATCCCATAGCACAATTGTTACGAGACCACTTAATATTCAAGATTGTACCCATGTTGAATCCAGACGGTGTGGCAATTGGTAATTATAGGACATGCTCTATGGGGTTTGATCTGAATAGACATTGGCTCAATCCTCAAGAATGGTCACAACCAACAATTTACCATGTGAGGAAATATTTGTTAGAATTGAAGAATGATCCTCAATATCAAATTGACTTTTACATGGATCTACATTCACATTCAGGAGCATTCAATGGGTTTATGTATGTCAATTATGCCAATTCTTCCTCCAAATCAGATTCATATGATCAATTAAGATTTCCCAAATTATTGGACCAGAAGGCAAGAGAATTTTCAATGAATGATACTAAAAGGTGCCGAAATCCTTCAAAGCTGGGCACTTCAAGAAGAGTATTGGGAGAAGTACTGCAAGTCGCAAAATATTGTTATACGTTAGAGGTATCTTTTCTAAGCTATAAATCCAACACTACTGAGGCTGCCAACTCAAAAGAAAGATACTTTCCATTCACCATGGAAAATTATCTGGGTCTTGGCAAGAGTATTGCTTTGGCCCTAGCCGATTTCTATGGACTGAGTGAAACAGTGATATCAGGAAACGAATAAAACAATTTCATCTTCACCCCAATTAATACATACCATTAATAAAACGTAGTGGTGTATAAATTGCATTTAATAGAATCCGATACAATATTGTATTAATATTGGTTATTTCTGTTTGTTGTGACACAAAACAATTATTCCTTCTTTCCTTCAAGAACTTCTTGTAAAGTACCTTCTCTATGATGATTTAAAACAATATCGCTTCCACCAATTAATTCGCCATCAACAAATAACTGAGGAATGGTTGGCCAGTCACTGTATTCTTTCAATGCTTCCTTCATCACGACATCCTTATTCATGTTGTATGAAACATAATCGACATTGTATAATGAGAGAATCTTTACAACAGCTCCAGAGAAGCCACATTCAGGTCTTTCAGGTGTACCTTTCATGAATAATACAACCTTATTTGAATGTACAATTTTATCCACTTCTTGTTTCTTTTGATCAAACAATTCCTTCATATTCTGTTGTGGAGGCTTGCGCACTGTTTTAAAATCATCATGAAATCCGCTTTCATCGGCTCTGAAAATAGAACGAGTTGAAAACATCCTAACCGATGATGATTCCATTCTCATTGTGTTGTTTACGACCAATGATGAAGCCTTGACGGTACTTCCGATGACGGAAAAATTGATTGAATTCTTTGTGCAAATAGAACGAAGCATTTTTTTTACAAATTTAATTTTTTTTATTAATAATATTGCTCTGTCGACCTCTATTAGCACACTCTCGTACCAGGTTTCACACGTTCGTAATCCTTTGGCATGACTGGGGTGATTGAATTTTCATTAGTTGCTGTCAATTCAGATCCTGAATTTTCAATGGTTTCAGTGGTGGCAAATAAAATCATTCCATGCGATTCTAAACCTGCCATGATTTTAGATTCTAAATTCTTGACAACGAGGACCTTTTGTCCCACAAATAATTGATTCAATTCCTCTTCTGCAGAGGTCGTATTTTTATCAAGACTTGGATAATGAGTTCGTATTCCCGAAAGTATTTGTCGAGGCTCTTGCTCTCCGATATTAACTCTGAAACAAATTAATTTCTTGGACTTTTTTACGAATTGAGCACTCACGATTTGTCCAACAACAATTTCAACTTTCATAAAATCTTCAATATTAATGGAATTTGATGTTTGTTTGTTTGATGCTTCCGTTGTTGTTGAAGGTGTGGTTGAAACAGTCTCGGAGAAAGATGAAGGTCCGGCCTCTGTCGAGTAAAAACGATGCAGCATTTGTCCATTCAAAGATGAATTCTTTCTTGAGAAAGTTTTCCATGATAGTAATGGTAATGCTGATGAATGATGATTTCTTGTTCGTAAAGCCTCTCGTAAATGATGAGGTTGGCGACCAAGAATATTTTGAAAGGCATTGCTCATCATTTTTTGGTTCTTCTCCAACCCTAACGCTTATCTTATCGTTTGAAGTTGCTCAATATTGAAGATTGTTTCCTGACTCTCTTATTGTGCTTTTTATCAGCAAACCATCAAGTTTGGCATTAATAGAACAGGAGTATTAAGGATGACTCTTGAAGGAGCCTATCAATGTGATGAGTTTAAACGAGCGACTAAGACCTCCATTCAGCATCATCTCTTGACCAGGATGTACCTCACACGATGATGATATGTTCGGAAACATCACTTCCCATCAAAAATCTACAACTTTATGCTTATTTTTTAGCTCCTTAATTCGTAACGGTCGTTTGTGTTCGAACAAAATCTACAAACAAAAGGACTCAATCGACACAATGCCGCCCAAAGCAAAGCCTTCATCATCGGGGAAGTCTTCGGGAAAATCTGGCGGAAAAGCAGAAGACGAAATTGAAAATAATAGAAAGGCTATACGAAAATTCTTGAAAACCTATGAGAAGTCATGTCAGGATAAGGGTTTAGTGCTCTTACCCTCTATTTCTCAAAAATTGAATCGACTTGTCAAATCGGAGGAAGGACCTAACACTTTAAATATTCCCTTTTTGATTACGGAAGAGTTGTCGTTAGAGGCTGTTCAGGCATTAATTGAAAGCCTGGACAGCAGTATTCAGGGATATGAAAAGATTTCATTCTGGAGGAATAATTTATCGGAAAAGACAGTGCAACTGATTGGAAAGGTAGGTGAAGCGATATCATGAGTGAAAAATCAATTCTCTCTGACACACACAATTTGTGCAAACTTGCCTCAACACATCACAAAGTGGCTACAACCTCATCCACATCTCAAAGAGTTGGAAATTATCGACAATCGGGTTGGGCCGAAAGGATGTCAAGCAATATCAAGAGCTTTACAGCACAACGAAACACTGACCTATTTAAATTTGGATCATAATGAGCTGGGAGATGAAGGTGCAGCTGCATTGGCGGTAGGCCTTTCGTGGAGCCCTTCACTCATAAAAGTGTCGCTCAATTATTGTGGAATTGAAGAGGAAGGAGCTGTTCTCCTTGCGAATGAAGCCATCGCCAAATCGTCCTCTCTCCAAATTCTCGAAATGCAAGGCAATTCAATTGGAGACAGAGGATTTGACGCAATTGGACAGGCATTAGCAAGATCACAAAAACTCCAAACACTCAATCTTTCTGGTTGTAACGAAGGTCTTCCTCTCAAGACTGACATTGTTTCGCGAATGTGTGAGTCAATCAAGCAAAACCCAAATAATACTCTTCAAAATTTGGATCTCAACTATATTACGGTAGAACCTGAAGCAGTGTTCATGTTTGCTGAATTGGCAAAACAGAAGGAGAACATCTTAAGGATTCGTTTGTATGAACGAGTTGACAAGGTCGCCTACAAGGAACTGGCCACCCAATTAGGCACCAATCTCAAGAATTATATTCAAAAGAACAAACCAAAGAAAAAGAAGAAGGCAAAGAAGAAGGAAAAATAGGTGTTCCTTGTAGAATAAATTATGGGCATCTCCTCAGTTTGATTGAAGAATAAACCATTTCTCCACGACATCACGATTTATTTCTTCGTATCCAGAGAAGACAAGACGGTATGTTCAATACGGCATGATAAACAATCTTATTTTGAAAACTGGTTTTTATTTTAGTTGGAGGTGTCTTTCGTCTTCAAATTGGGATGTTCAATCAGGCCTCCAGTTGTTGCGATCCCAGGCATGAAGATTGCCACCAGTGCTCATTTACTTGGCACGTTGCTGAATAAAAGAATGAAATAATCATGATCAATGAACAACAAGGTTGCAACAAACTAAACACTCACCTTCATCTTCCTGCGTTTACGCTTGAGTCTTCTCATACGCTTCTTCTTCCACTTTTCTCTCATGGTGATATATTTTTTTTAACGAGGAAAAACAAATTCGGTTGCCTTCGAAGGTTTTCTAGTGGTTTTTTCAGGTTGACCAACTTTTTACAACGAAAATTTTGTTTGGTATTGTTAAGCAAGCTCGTGTGTTTTTGCTTTGCTTGGATTAAAATATTATTGGATTGATTTTCACTGTTTTCAGATCCTAACATGTATTCAATTCACTTCACAAGCTCGCTGTACATTGTTTTTGTTTTGGCAAAGCCGAAAAGATCACAAAGATTGTTCAATTTCAGGATCAACCCAGTTTTTAAAGACCCTTGGGATTTCTTCGATAATCAATCTGTGAGCAATTCAATTTGGGAAAATCATCACATGGTGTAAAAATCTCCAGCCGTGTGTCCCTTTAACAATCAACATCAGAGGACGGATCATGAACGTTCAACCAGATTTGAACCAGATCGCAATCCTGGTCTCACTCGCGTCGCTTCTTTGCCCATCAAAGCCTCAATCACACACAACAAAAAATTCAAGAGTCTCATCAAACAGTTGTTCCTCTTCTCATTCTCCAAAATATTTCCCATCCTTCTCATACTCAACCAGCACAGGACTGAGATCTGATTTTTCGTATCATTACCATCATCATCATTGGTTTACGATCGTTGAAACATCACAACAACAGTGCAAGTTTTATAATGAAGAACTATCTTCTCCGAACGTTGGGATTGGGAAAGTTAAACACATCCTCTTCATCAGACACTCCCAACAAATCACTTTCACTCAACACGCCAGGTGATTCAACACCAACAAATTTCGATCATTTCAATGTCGATCGGAGAGATGAAGAGGAATATAAACGATATGAAGAGATTTGGGCTCAACCATATACTTATTTATTGGATTTTCCATTTGAATCGGATGAATTACTCAAATCGTGGAATTTATTTGTGCAAGAGAATTTATCCCGAGAGTCATCAAAGGAGTCTGCTCTTTCATCATTTGAAAAAGTTAGTATTTATTATTGAAATACAGTTTTTTGTGAATTCATATGATGACAATTATCAACATGAACTTTTCATATTTTACATAATGACACTATTGAATGATCGTCATCAACCAGACAACAAACTTGGCTTTTGAATCATTTATCACACAACTAAAAGAGAAGTATAATGACTGGTTTCCACCGCAAAACGCGTTGGGATTAGCAGTTGTCACAACTCAAAGCAATTCTAGAGCCAGAAGTAAGGCTGTTACTTCCAACAGTGGGTTATTTTCAAGTGTTGGTGTTTCGTCAGATATTTTGGGCTCACTACAGTCAGGATCGTTTTCTGACATTTCATATTCACACGACTCTACTTTTCAAATACACGGTTTTAAAGGTGTCATCGGACATCCTATTGATGTGTTATCAACAGTATGCTCACAATTTAAACACCAAGTCCAAGTAGTTTTGAAAGGTATGTTGATTATAATTTTGAACAATCGATCATATGTTTTGTGAATATTCAAAACTATTCTCGTGTGAATTTTTGCTTGAACAGATTTTAAAACGGATAAGTTCAATAATTTTAACATCCGGCCACTCTATCTTTTGGATATTGTTGAAATACTCACCCGATCTCATCACAACAGATTATTTATGAGGGAATTCAATGTCCTTCCTTTCGTTTCTAATATTTTGAAAACAGCTTTATTTAAACTTCAGTTAATTATTGCAGATAAGAGATTTAGTGACAGAGAAATATCAACACTTTCTGTTGAATCAGCCATTGAAGTTGAGAACGAATTGAGACAATGGTTGGATTTTGTAATTTATATTTTGTCGAACGGCATTCAAATCTTTTCACATTTTTGTGAATCTGTAGCATATAATACTACGACGAACGTTTCAGCAAGCACTACTAATACAAATACTTCGGATGTACCAACGCCCCTCTCAATAACGAGGTCTTCTAGCATCAATGGAGGAGAGCAGGGAAATCACAATATTTGGTATCAAAACAATAAGAATTTCAGAAGGCAGAAAATGCTAACCTATTTAACCTCTAGAGAAGATATTGACCTCATGGACATTATTATTGAGATGTTGACAACCTTTAGAGATTCCATTTCAAAACAGTATGATGGTCATCATCATAGTCCAAAGTACTTTGAAACATGGAGCTTTTTATTCAATTTCCAAGAAGCCGCACTGCAAATGGTTCGGGCGATTGTAACTACGGACAAGCTCAAAAATGTTGGTCAGCTGGCCGAGCAACAATTTAGAGATATTTTCCTTTCTAGAGGAGGTTGCGACGTTCTTGTAAAATACCTTGGATGGCCTATAGAACATGTTTCTATTTTACATGACACAGAATGGTTTAAAATTGATATTCGCTCTTTAAACGCCGAAAGACTAAACCACTACTTCCAAACTCAACAACTAACCATGAAAATTATAACAAGGTTGATCGAAAGCAATTACTCGTATCTCAGACTATTTGGAAAGCAGGGTTTTAGCAAGATTAGAGAGACAGGTTTATGGATTTCTTTCTTTTGTACATTGAGTAGCGACTATGAGAGCCAAGCTCAGACTTTGAGAAACAATCCTCTTCCTCAAATGGGATCTATTGTTCGATCACGAAGTGGCTCGTTAGACTTGGCCAATTTCAGATTTCCTCCAACTCCAATTTCCAATAGTGGCTCCATTAATGTGAAACCATTCCCTTGCCCTGGATTTATTTCAAAATCGACCAATGAAAGAGCCATGCAATTTTTTGACTGCCTCCGAAAGCTCGTAAAACTTTCAACGATAATTTCCTTCCCAAAGACACTCCATAGTTCAACTTTGACTCCAGGTACTCCATCGAGTATGCCACCAACTTTTGACAATTCCTACTCTTCTTACTCTTCTACTCTTAACAACTCTGAACAAGATGCCATCATCCAAAAGAAACTTTCCAAACTATTATTTTCATTTTTCCTTGACAGTGAGGGAGATAAGGAAACGATCACTGAAAAGGCACTACAAAAATTGAGACTTTTGAGTGATTTTCCCTTATATTTTATAGACAGTATTAACAGATTAGTATCCGAATCTCAAACTGCACTTGATGTTATGGTTTCTAATGGGTTATACGATGTTCTTTTTTCTGAATATTTCTACTTTTATGGAGGATCTTTCAATCCAATTAACAAAATAGAAGAGAAGAGGTCGTTCAAAGATTCTATCCCTGTCAAAGATGAAAATGAAGGAAATGAATTATTAATGAGAAGTGATATTTGTGCATATATTGAGTGTGCTTCCGCAGTATTACGATCTAGCGTCATCGATTTTATGAAATATACTTCTACCATTAAGGGAAGGAATAATGTTGAGGAGTGTAGAAAGTTGATCGATATTTTAGAGCTGTACAATGAGAATTCATTTGTGGCGTCTGAAATTGGACTTTGTCTACTTGATATTTTGAGACAAAACTTTGACATCACCCAAGAGAGTCTATACTCTCTAAAGGCACTGTCTGTTTTATCTCGTGTAATTTCAAAGCAACATACTTTGGTAACCTCATTTGACATGGAACTTCCAAAATCTCAATTTTACCATAATGAGTACACAGAAGAGCATGTACGGGCCATCGAAGCAAGAAATATCATTTTGAACGTTTTAGATTTTGCACTTACACATGAAAAATCATTGACTCTTGCTCTTCAAAACCATAACACTATAGAAATGATGTTCAAAATTATTTTAGATCCTACCTTGAAAAACTTTGTTCTAGTTCATGTCAGACAGCTCTTGAATGCCAAGAACATTGAGCACTCGCACGAATTTGAAGTGTTATTAACATGTTTCACAGAGGTATTTCCAGTTATTATGGACAAACCAACCCAACCTAATTTGCAACTATTGATGGAAATGTTGGCTGCTGTACAAAAAGGTCTGTGTGGATCAAACAAAAAGCTTTTACAAACGCAGTTCAGAGACAAGCTGGATAAATTCATGCACTTACTCAACTTGAACATTCCATCCAATCCAACTGAATCAGATTGCATTTCTCGTCATGTTTTGGCAATTGAGGTGATACGGACTTTAACGGCACTAATATCAGAGAATTCAAAATCAAAACAACATTTCAAGACAATTCTTGGTTATGATACGTTTAAGAATTTTATTTTACATTGCGAGCAAAACAAGCCATCTCCTGACATTTTCGATGTGCTCTTTGACATGTTATCTGACGGAGAATACAATAGCGAAACTAACTATACCATTCAAAATCCCGATGTTGCTCGTTTAATCTTCCAACTCGCACTGAATTGTGACATTTCTTACGTTGCTGAATTAGTTGCTAAATTCACTTTGCTTGTTGAGAAATCAACAAACAACAGAAATATTTGCTGCTCTGTTGGTTTAATCAGCACTCTGTTGGAATTACTGACAAGATTTGAGAAAGAGACAAATCCAGAGGATAAAACAATTCGAGATATTGTGACATTAATCGAAACCATTGGTAGACATTCAATTACTGTAAAGGAACTTAAAGGGTTCCTTACATTGATCAAACAGCAATCGGATAGGGATCATACCAACTTTCTTTCCATACTCTTAAAGGCTCTAGCCAACATGACTCAAAGCTCTCCTGATGCCTTTTTTGATTTCAATGGATTGGTTTCTGGATTAGTACTTCCAGTGATCGACAATAGAATTTGGCCAAATGCAAAAGGTTATTCTATTTCCATGTGGATTCGAGTTGAGAGTTTTGTAGAGACTAGACCTGCCTCCAATGCTAATCCATCTACGTTTTCACCAGTCTCAACTCGATCCTTTTCATTTTCCACCAATGACGTTGCAAGTTTGAGAAAAGAATCGTTACCGATGGATACTGTCGCTTACAAACCAAGATTGGTAAGCTTTTTCAACTCGGAAGGACAAGGATTTGAAATTTATTTTGAAAACAATTACTTGAAAGTTAGTGTGCAGCACTCCCAAAAGAAGCAATATACGGAGGTGTTTGATTTTAAATTTGATCCAAAGCGATGGTATCATATTGTTTTAACTCACACCTATGGAAAAGGTCCATTTTCATTTTCAAAGAATGAACTCAAACTCTATGTCGATGGCAACTCACCAAGCAAAGTATTACTCAAGTATCCGAATTTCCACAAACCCTTAGATAAGTGCATGATTGGGTCAAGCTTTTTAGTGAATGAAAATCTTCAAATGGGAACATTCCACAAGAGACAAAATAGTTTTCCAGCATCAGAAAATCCAAATTTCAACGGACAAATGGGAACTTTGTGTGTATTTGATGAATCGCTACCTCCTAATATTATTCAGCTTATATATGGATTAGGTTACAATTATATGAATTGCTTCCAACCAACAGATTCTGTTTTAGCCAAGAATAATAGCAAAGCTCAAGAATATTTGCAACTTTTCGATGGTTCCATCACACAAAAGATTATCTTGTGTTACAGTCCAAAGTCTAGGGCCAACTTAAACAAAATATGTGTGAACAATACGCCTGAGGCTTTTCATCAACTTCAATTATACAATGGGTTGGCTTCTTTGGGAGAATCTGTTCCTCAGATCAAAACAGATATTCACCAATCCATGTTGAATGCAAGAATATTGAATGGAACTCAACTATGTGTCACTCATAATGCTAAGGATATTATTGGCTGTTTAGGAGGCATTAAGGTGTTATTCCCTTTGTTTTTACAACTTGATCGACTGTCTCACACGGACCAAGTGGTGAGTGTCAATGACAGGTCAGAACCATACATGGTAAATACCTTATTTTCTCTGCTTATTGATTTGCTTTCAGAACATGTTGACAATCTTGAGGATATGGCGAGATGCAGAGGATTTTTGGTGATCAGTTTCCTATTGAAACAAATATCTCCTCAACATTTAACTCGTAGCACAGTGGCTCTGATTCCTACGCTGTTATCTTGTGTCCAGCGCCATAGTTTACTCTATTCAGACACAATCAATTATTTAGTATTTAACTTTAGATTGTGGATCTATACCGATTCTGAAGTTCAGAAAATGCTCTTCCAACAGCTACTTGAATTGAATAATAAGAAAGAAAATTTCACAAAAGTTCGAGAAATTTTAGGTGTTCAACGTTTATTGGATTTGATGCGATGGTTCTACTGGTTTGAACGATCTAAAAACATGGACTATGAATATCAGTTGGGATCTGAAAAGATTTGCAACCCTGTTACCTCTGCTGTGTTAGGACAGAGACCAAACATTGATGATATCCGTGAAATTAGACAAAAGTTAATATTACTTTTAAAGGGTCTTACTGCCAAGTCATCTGAAATTGCAGTTGTTGGCAATGATGATAAAATGATAGGTACTCCTAACATACCAATGACAACTACCTCAATCACATACTCCGAATTAGAGGCCATTATGAACTATCTTGCAGATTGTAGCGATAACTTGCAATATGATGATATTATTGAATTTATTCTCGAGCTATTATTATCTCCTGATGGGTCTGCAATTGCAGAAATGCTTTTTAATATGAAAGCATATCAAGTATTCATTCAACTGCTATACATTATGAAGGAATCAACAAGATTGAACGTATTGAAATGTATTGGTCAAATGTTGGTCTTGAATTCAAAGATGAGACAAAAAATGTGTGCTGATGAAACCTTTGGTTTTGTTGCTATTTACAATGCATTATCTGTGTTTAATTTTACGATCCAAACTTATGGAGTTCTCAGAGACATATTTTTGGGTAATATTTCAAAGGATAAAACCAAGGATGTTTTGGACCAAGACGACTTTGAACAGACAGAGTATAGTTATCGAGTTCATTCTGTCATTCAACCAATTTTCAGACTCTTAGTTAATACTCAACCAAACGTGAAGCATCACATTCTTCAAAATTGGAAAATTCAAATTAAATCAAGCAAAGCGAAAGATTGTGTGTTGCACCAGGTAGGATGGCAAGAATGGTTGCTCAACATTTTGTGTGTTTCCAGATTGGTTGATGCTGCTCAACCCTATGATGCCACACAATTTGCTCAATTCGAGCTTTGCAAAGATATTGTGATTGAGCTAATTGCCATTCTATTGTATCACTCATTGAAGACTGTGAAAAAAGGATGGAGAGATATTGAAGATACAATTGGACACATCATACTATTGAAAGATAGAGATCAACATTTGGAGGGAGCTGAAGAAATCTTGGGAAACATTTACAAACGCATTTTGGATGAATACATCAATGACATTCAAAATGATAAGATCATTGCCAACTACAATGACAGGAATAGCCCAATATTAGACAACTTTGTTCATCTTGCTACATTCATTGAGGAATATTTATTTTATTTCGATTCGACCTATCAAAGTGTTTCAGGAAGTTGGTTGAAAAAACGAGTAGATGCTAATCAGAGTGTTTTGGGTACAATCAGAAGTATTGTTGCCAATACAAATACCCAAACTCCAACAAAACCCCAAGATATGGTTTCAACATCATCAGTATCCATGAAGGAAGCTGCATTTGATTCTGACATTGTTTACATTGATACGACAAATATTCCTTCGACTCCAACCTATGACACACCAATGACAGTTTCAACACCGGAAAGTACAAAAAGAATTGATTTGAATACTAGTTCTAGTTCAACTGTTACAACCACTACTACTGCTACGAATCAACAAATCACTTATTATGCTGAAGATGAGATCAATCTAAGAAAAGGAGAGGATGGAATTTGGAGAGATCTTCCAATTGCAGAAAAACTCATTTACATTCTTACACAATGGAAATTGAATATTGTTTCTAATTATACTTCACTGAGAACTGTTGTGCAAGGTGGTAAACGATTGAGAGATGGTGGAACCCTGAGAATTACACTCCGACTGATCAGGTATTGTTTGAGAGAATCTCAAAAACCCGACCCAGCTCTACTCGATTGCATAAAGTTGATCAACAAAAGAGATGTAGAGAGTGAAAAAGAAATTTTGAGATTTTCTGAGCTTTGGGCTGTTACTGGAGATATTGAGAACAATGACGATTTTCACACACGTTTAATGTTTATATTAGCTTTCTTGTTTGATACTATGAGTAGATTAATCGAAAAGAAACAAGAGAATGAAGCCTTAGGAATATTTATTACCATTAGAGAAATTTTCATGACAAGAAGAGATCATCTTGAACAAGCCCTTACCACTGATGATGACAAGTCTATTCTTGCTGATGATTCAGTATTTTCTTCGAAAAAGAAGGCTGAGCTTTCTGACTTTCAAGTGTTCCATTCTAAAAGTTGGAAATTTGCATGGACTCGATTTTTTGTTCCAGCTGTTCGACAAACAGAAAAAGACGAAGCTCGATTTCTCGAAGATATTATTTCTAGAAGGAAATACACAATACAAAAATTGTACGATACCATCAAAGATCATGAAACAGCCTCTGCAGAATTTGAAAAGAAGTTAGATGCAGAAATGAAAGTAGCTTTGGACAATATTCGAAGACAAGAGAGGGAACGAATTAAAAAAGAAAAGAGAGGATATGAAGAGTTTGATTTCCTTGCTTCTCATTATTGGAAGAAAACAATGAGAAATGTTGCAGACGAGAGAAGTATTTGGGGTAAACAAACCGATAGTGTGAAATGGAAATTGGACAAGTCAATTACTGGTAAACACATCCGATTGAGACTCGTTAGAGACTTTTCAGGAATTGACCACAAAGACGCCTCTATGAAGAAGAGTGATCATATTGTACCATCAGCACAAGAGACAAGTATTAACAAATTATTAGAGATTAAGGAAAAGGGCTCTTTTTTTATACCTAATCTATCAGTCATTACTCTGAATCAATCAAGCGAGGATTCTACAGAAGATAGCAGTGAAGTCACTCCAATCAATAATGCCAATCCTCAAGCAATTCAACCATTTGAGTCAGACGACCAACTCAATCAAAAGCACGAAAAGGAAAAAACTATCATGAAAGACATTTATTGTGAAATGATTACTCCAATGATACCCTTCTCTGGAAAAATGGAAATTACAAACAAGAGAATAATTTGGACAGCTGATAAAGAAAATCAGTGCCTAACATTTGGTTGGAGCGAAAAAGTGGCCAAATTAATTAAGACTCCTCGAGAAAAGACTATTTATTTGGAAGATTTGATAGAAATTCGATTAATGCGATTTAGGTTGCGAAAGAGTGCATTAGAATTTTATCTCAATGATGAATCTACTGTCATGTTCAACTTTGATAAGAATGAGAGAAATAAGATTTATACCAAAATCATTTCTCTTAAATGTCCTAATTTGAGATCAGTTGAAAAATCCTTCTCTCCAATGGACAATTTACAACGAGCTGGATGGACCAAGAAATGGCAACAAGGAAAAATTTCCAACTTTGAATATTTGATGATTTTGAACATGTATGCTGGAAGAACAATTAACGACCTTTCACAATATCCAGTATTCCCTTGGGTGATTGCAGATTACACGAGTCCAACTCTCGATTTCACAAAAGAATCTACATTTAGAGACTTATCAAAACCTATGGGTGTGGTAAATCCAGAAAAAGTCAAAAATGTTGAAGAAAAGTACATGACTTTGTCAGATTCTGGAGAACCTCCCTATCACTATGGTTCACACTATTCCACTTCTGCCTATGTCACCTATTATTTGATACGTCTGGAGCCCTATACAACATTGGCTCGAGTGGTTCAGGGAGGAAAATTTGACCATGCAGACAGAATGTTTGAATCAGTCGCACAAACCTATGATCATTGTTTGCATGGTGAAGGAGATCACAAAGAACTAATTCCTGAATTCTTTTATTTGCCTGAATTTCTCAAAAAACCAAATGATTTAACTCTTGGTGAAAAACAAAGTGGTGATCAAATTGGAGATGTGATTCTTCCACCATGGGCCAAAAATGCAGAGGAATTTATCAGAATTAATAGAGAGGCACTCGAATCTGATTATGTTTCCCAACATTTGCATGAATGGATTGATCTCATCTTTGGATATAAACAGAGAGGTCCTGAAGCAGTGAAGGCACACAACATGTTCCACTACTTGACCTATGAGGGAACGATCGATCTTGATCAACTCGATGAACGAGACAAGTATCCTGTTTTGGCACGTATTGATAACTTTGGTCAAACACCATCTCAATTATTTAAAACACCACATCCAAAGAAAACGACAAAGAGAGATGCAAAGTATGACAACTTACTCATGTTATCTTTCCAGGGAAGTCGTCAAGTGAATACTGTGAAAATTTCTCCAATAGTGTTTATCAAGTTTTACCAATCAGAAAATACGATTGTGAGAGTTTGTGTGGTCACTGAAGATGGATTGGTATACACAACCAAGGCAGGAAATGTAAATCTACAAGCCATAGCGAATGATCTTGCCTTTTTATCCAACTGTAAGACTATTGGTTTTCCTCTCGATGATCCTGTGAGTCTTCTTTCCTCAAACACGACCGATTCAAGTTCAAATTCGTACATAAGCTCGAATCCAACACATAGTACAAAGCAACGAAGATCTCTAGCATCACTTCCAAAACAGGGTTTAGGTTATAAGAGTAATGCATCAAATGTGAAAAACTATTTTGCAATTCCAAATACTCCAATTCCAAACTCGATCAAGGACATTAATATTTACTCATGTGGTCACTTTGATAATTCATTCAGAATTTCTAAACCATATTTCCAACCATTGCATACAAAGATTTCGACATGTCAACAAAATGCTATTTGGAGACACAAAGATTTAGTTACATGTTGTGCTATTTGTGAAGAAGACAAATATTTTGTAACCGGAAGTAGAGATACCACGGTCATGGTCTGGAACATTCAAAACGAGGCCTTTTTAGTCTCTCAACAACCTACTAATATTCTCTATGGCCATGACGATGAAGTGACTTGTGTGGCCGTATGCAATGACTTAGACACAGTAATTAGTGGAAGCAAGGATGGCACTGTGATTGTGCATTCATTACGAAGAGGAAAATACATTCGAACGATTAAGCATCCAAATAATGGAGTTATTAACACTATTGGCATCGCGCGTGAATGCAAATACAGTAACGACATTGAAGTTCTTGGAAGAATTTGTGTGTACAGCAATGATGACATGATCCTATATTTATACAGCCTCAATGGTAATCTCATTGCTAAGGCAGAGACGAATGGTGCGTTGAATTGCATGCGTATTTTTGATTGCAAATATGTGATTTATGGTGGTGATCATGCAATTGTGGTGCGAGACTTGCATTCTTTGAAAGTGATTCACAAAATTGATTTAAGAGATCAAATGTCTCCAGTACGATCGATCGAGATATCCAATGATGAACAATTGCTTTTTGCAGGATTAGACTCTGGAAAGTTATTAATTTATGGAATTGAGAATCAAAATTCTAATGGTGGAAACGGAACTCAAAACACAAACCTTACTCAACCACCTTCTCCACGACACAATTAAAAACTTAAGAGCATTAATCAAGAAACTTGACACTACAATCAAGCTGTAAATATCCAAACTCCAGTAGTTACTGGTGATTTCTTTTATAATGTCGCTCAGAATAGTTCAAAAACGAATATTTGTCTACTTTGAGTTGGTTGTGTTTGTGACAGTATTTGTTTCATCGGATGATGTCATCATTTCTTCATCATAGATATACTTCTTATAAACAATGTAGCTTCCGATCGTTGCAAAAACTGTAAATGCGGCAACTGGAGAACTGAAAATGGTCAACAATTTTCTGAATCGTTTTCCAAGCATTCCATCAAAATACTTCAAAGGACGCTCAATAAGTGGTTTCAAGGGATGGGAAGGTCTTCATCAGAACGAATCCTGCACCTGCCATGGCTGCAACTCCAAATGCCAAGTCCTTAGCAGCTGGAAGTAAAAATCCCAAATCTGTAACACTTGCAAACACGTTTCTACTCTTCACACAACCCACAACTGACTGACCAAGTGAAAGAAAATGTTTCAACGTCACAAGACCCAAACTCGAAGCCAATGCAACACCTCCAGGAGTAGGATTGAATTGAAGTTGTGGAATGTTGTTTGGATTACTAGTAACCTTGTATGCCATTCGCAACATATCAACACCATAAGCCAATGTACCTGTGGAGGCAAAAGTGAGAGCAATATTTTCGTAGGACAATACTTCATCAATTTTTGAAACCATAGGAAGAGAATTAAATAAGGATTGTCTTAAAAGCTTCTCATTGAATTGATATTGGAACTTCGAGAGAGCGGCTCCTAATTTCAACAACCCAAAACCACACACGGACAAGTTCAAATTCGCCTTATCAATCGGTAATATTCCATTTTGAGCAGGGCTTGAGAAGCTTAATGCAGTAGCAAAAGTGAAATATCCTCCAACCATAGCAACCACGCTTGCGACATCTTTTCCCATCTCTAGTGAGAGCTGTCTCAAAGAGATATTGGATAGAGAGTCACTAGATTGTGTCAATCTTTGCATGAATGAATGGAATGATCTTGAAAAATGATATCCACCAGCAAAGAATGAGTAAAGTCCAACTCCTTTCATCAAGCTCAAACATATTGCAGCTAACTCCTTTTCATAACGTTTTCCAAATTGAGAAATTCTATTGGAGAAATTCAAATAAAAATTATGGAAACGATCGCCAAAATTCATACTGAGTTCTTTCAAACCCTCACTTGCTGCTCCAACACCTAAGAACATTGAGGTTAATGATACCGATAGATTGATGATGGTTCTTCCAATCAAACGCATGGATAGAGATCCATTCGTGAATTGATAAATATTTTGCAAGAAATAATCTCCAAATTTAGCGAACCATAGCCATCCCACATAGCTCAAAAACAACAATCCCATACCCTTTTGAATTCTTCCCAATCTATTTTGAATGTCGTATAATTTATCTGGAGTCTTTCTAGCCACTCGATCTTCAATGGCGGTCCGCACACCTGCAAATCCAATAGAGGCATATAAAAACAATTCTATATATTTTGGAAGGTAATTATGCCACCTGTTATCGGCAAAGCGTAAGGAAGCATACGAAGCCACTAATGACAAGAGAATTCCGTTCATTCCTTCAAACCACTTGGCATTGGCCATGTAATACTTCGAATGGTAGGTATTATTATTGCTCTTTGCGGCCATATAATTCAATGAATCCAAAAACAACAAGGATGATCTTTGCAACACGCTAAATTTAAGCCACAACATCCAGTATTGCCCTTCCGAGAGATGATGCATTCCAGTCCAAAAATTAGACAAGTTCAATGGCGTGCTTGTGGTAGCCCCATTCACTTTCTCTCCGTCTTTGCAGATACTCATGACAGATCTTGCCAAATCATCGCCTATGATCATAATATCAACATGAGTGATCATCACACCGAGATCGGAATGGCTTACAGGCTCAAAAAAGGAGTACCTACCCAAAGCTAGTGAAGAAAACCCTGCAGCAAACGCTCCATGGGCCGTCCATAATTGTGGACTCAATAAACCGATCAGCAAGGAATACACGACCACTGCAGTGGTAAAAGAGAAGGGTCTGGATCTGAAAAGTTTGATGAGTTTTCTGGCAAGAACGGTGAGCATGGTAGGATCAAATTTAACAGATCCATCCAGAGCAGGGTTGTACTTTTGAATACCAGTCGAGATGAACCATCGATGAAAGATTTCCAGTTTATGATTGTGGCGACTGGATGTTGCCAGAGCGGAGGCTGTGGTTGGAAGAGGTGGTGGGTTATCCATTTGATTTGAATTTTTTTAGAACTTTGGTCTCGAATATGAACTTGTGTGAGGTGTGCCAGCATTTTAACCTTCGTCTTATTAGGATGAAGAAACAATGACTTTTGTTGCTCACCGTTGCCTTTCAATGTTTCTAATTTCTTATGACTTGGATATAATATCCTTAGATGGTGGTCTAAAGATATTTATAATCTGCACTGTCAACCTGTGCATTATTAACAATCAAAATAATTTTGAAGGGACCACCTTGCTTTCTGTTTTTCGGTAAATGCGAGCTACCATAAATGCTTGCAGTCACAAGTCCACGATCGGTTTTTGATTCCTCTTTAACTTTCTTCTTAATGTAAGTATGTGTTTCAACATGTGCTCCATTATGCTCAATTTTTAGCTCAACAGTTTCAATATTCTTTAGTGATTCTTCTGAGCAAACGATTCGAACGGAATTATTTCTATTTACAAAAGGGCCATCTCGTTGTAACTTGTATTCATAAGCTTTGGATTGAGTACACAACTCATTGTTTGAAATAGACATGGCTTGAGCTCTTTCAGTAAGATCATTCAGATCGGGATCATCTTCTTCCAGTGATAGAGACGTGGAAGACACAGGAATGACCTTTTCATGTCGTAATAAATTGTTTCTACAAATTTCTTGAATTTCTTGATATGAAATTCTTGGCCTTTTCTTTCGAGTCAATTGAATGATCATGTCTATCATGGATTTGCTCACTCTATTCCCAATTTGTCTTTTAATCTCCTCAGAAAGATCGTTCTTGGTTTGATAATGTTCAGAAAATGTCTTGTCATCTATCTTTGAAAATCCTGTAATTAGCTTGAACATTGTGACACCCAAAGCAAAGATGTCAGAATCATTCGAATATTCTCTTTCTGGCGAGGCATAGGAAGGAGTACCACTCTTGTTCGATGAGGAAATTGTATCCTCTGAACGAACAAGTCCAAAATCTCCCAACACCACGTGGATATCACCCGTCGATTCATCATATTCCTTAATAAGAATATTCTCTGGTTTTACATCTCGATGAAGACACTTATCAATCGTGTACATGTAGGCCAAAGCGGATGATATTTGTTGAAGGATAAGCCAGAGGGTTTTTTCTGAAAGTTCTTTGCACTTCTGCTGTAGAGAACCAAGCCTCATGTAAGGACTCTCAATGCACAAGACACTCACTTGTCCAGGAAATTGATTATTAATTTTCTCGACTTCAATGGTGAGTGGGGGTTTCTTGGCTCTCATCGGAAGAATATGTTCATGTTCAAACCTACGCTTAATCTCGTTTAAAGAAACGTTTTGATCTTTGAGGACTTTTAATGCAAATTCTCGATGTTCTTCTTCTTCTTCTTTGTACTGAAGATGATTGTAGTTGTTCCTCATTGCTTTTTGTGCTTGGGTACGAACATGATACACAGACCCGAATCCCCCTTGCCCAATCTTCTTGATGAAGATGATGGGTTCGTCGTTCCCGTAAAAATGGATCAGGAGATTATGGTCGTCATTCGTGGAAGAGGTTGGAATCTTTTTTTCTTCTTTTGGGAGAGTTCCATGCAAGGGTTGAACTTGTGTTGAAGATGATAAAGACGATTCAGGTAAAACAAGGCTGCTATCACTCGTGGACATGAAGGAATTCTCTCGAGAGGGGTTGTAGAAATCTTGGTGTTCATTGTTGTGGAAGAGTTGATTAAGCACTACGTTGGATCTGGGATGAAAAGGAGGATGAGATTGGTCATTGTCGATGCTTGGGATGGAGTAAAAACAAGAAGAATCATTGGAGGAGGATGCTGGCAATGATGGAGAAGCGCTAGGAAGACTGGAGAAGTTATCTACGGATCGAATGGAAGGGGAGTTCGTTGTGTTCCAAGGAGGTTGATTAAAGAGATGAAGATTATTTTGAAAAGATGGAAATGGTGGACTTGAATAATATGGCTGATGAAATTGCGGTATAGAGAGAGGGTGCTGTTGTGAAGGGTGTTGTTGAAAATAATTAGAAGCGTGATTGTTGGTTGGGAATTCTGAACCTCCGCCCATTTTTTTTGTTTGACAGTTGTTTGACATCTGAATTTTTCTTTTGATACCTTCCATTAATAATACTCAAAGTTTGAAAAGAAGTATGTAACTCAAAAGTATTGCAATATGTAGGTTGGATTGACGTTCACAAAAAGTAATGTTCGCCTTTCTTCTGATCAAGAGTATCAGTACTTTTACGATTCTTAGAGTTGATGATTGTTTTCCAATTTCCACAACTTCAAATAAAATATGAAGAGAATCAACCACAATAAACCTTCTTCAAACACAGAGCAGAAACCATCACCGAACACAAACGGCCAAGAGGATAAACCTCGAAAGCAGCTCTCTTCTTCTATTGCTTCCCTTCGGTTTATGAACAGAAACAAACCACAAACACCGGCAGCAAGTTTGCAAGCAACATCTCGGAAAAGTAGTTTTGCTTCATCATCAGCCCCCACGACAAATCCTCAATCTCTCACATTTAAATCAACAACATCTAGACTTGTTGTTCCCTCCTCTCACAAAACCGACTCTTCATCGAATCAAACGGACAATGTTGCTGTTCATCACGTGGAAAGTTCAAATCAAACAAGAGACCACCTGAGTGAGCAATGGAGTTACATCAAAGAGGGAAAATTAGATCAAGTTATTCAACAATCCTTGTCTTTTTCAGGGAATAACCAAGAACAAATTATTGAAAGCCTAGGGTCTTGCGGCATTGAACAAGATTGTGATTCAATTTATTCGATGGGTTTTTATGGAATGATGGATTCCTCGTCGTCATCATTTCCAACAGCAACTACATCAATGAATACTGAAAATGATGATACTCAAAATTCGGAATTACAATCATCGTCGGGACGACTTCGCTTTGGTACATTCAAGCAGCAGCAACAGAAACAAGAAGAGAACGATGAAAAAAACAATCCACTCAAGCGGAAAAAAGACAACATTACTTTACCCATTGGATGGCAACAACAACCTCCATCATTCACTAAATCTTCTTCCAACTCTAGATCCTCCAAGAAAACAAAACTTTCCCATCACAAATCTCAAACCCAGCGAAAGCCTTGAAATAAAAAAAATTCAGCAACAGTATTCTTCCATAGCGCTCTGGTGGAGGTGTAAAATAAGGATATCATCATACGATAAATTACTGTTGCTTGCTATCAACAATCGTTGTATCAGGTCCGACATTTCATCATTCAGCATCGAAGACTCTTTAAAAATACAATATGAAGAGGAAAGTAGTGCATGCCACCTCTGTAGACGAAACATCTTCCGATGAGGATGAAACAAGAACAACACCTTCATCACAAAAAAAGAAAAAGATTGAAGATGATGAACTCTCTTCCTCTGATGAGAAGGAATCAACACCAAGTAAAAAACGTCATAGTACAGCTCCTGCTTTTGGCAATGCTCTTAACGCTATATTGGACGACCATCTCATTCTAGACAAATATCGCTCTTCCAACAAGTCTGTTGGTATTAAGTTTAAAGCATTGTTGAGGAGTTTGGCTCATATGGAAATTGTTGAAAAATATTTTATTTTCAACAATTTACATGATATTACATACCAAAACCTTAGAGAGGAAGATTGCATCGCTTTATTAAGCCTGGGATTTACAGAAATTAATAATAATGAGATTCAAGAACTAATGAAGTACCTTAAATCTAATCCAAAGCCCCCAAATTTGACATCCAAGTACAAACATTTCGAATTTGAAAATGAAACGACACGATATCATTGGCAACTAAGTTTTCAAACTTGGGTTACATTTTGGCATGATATGATCGAATGCTTTTCAACTGAAAACACTGCTAATATCGTTCCCTCTAATGTCAATGACACAGCTGATGAAATAGACAGCCAATCAAACATGTATGTCAAAGTTATTAATGTTGTAAGGAAAAAAATTAGACATTTACCTGGAAAGAATATTGGAAGAACAGAAATATCCAGCATTTATTCTCACCTCTGTAACACCATAGGCCATTTGGATGAGGCTAACATTCAAAAACTTGAAGGCATACATCTCATTAACGAAAAATCACTCTATGCTAATTTCTTTTTCCACTTTATGCAAAACGAATCAGAGAAAAGAGCGGCATTTAGCGAAATTTTGAAAAATGTACCAAAAAGAAAGCTAGCAAAGAAAGACAAGGCCATGTCTTTTACTATACCAATCACTACAAAGACAACATTTGGTGAGATACCTTTTCACATACTTGAAATTAATGCTGCAATCGTATTTTTCAACAAATATGTTAAACCCTATGGTAATTCTCTTACAAAGACCTTGAGAGGTCCCTCCATCCATTCTATTCAACCTGTAACATATGAGATAGCTACTGAACAACCAACCACTACAACGACAACTACAGTCAGTAATGTTTCAACATCAAACGAAAGTCTAAACAGTACAATCGTCGATCAGAAAAGTGCAACAACAACCTCCACTGAGCAGAAACCAACAGTACCAACAACTACAGAGACCAAAATGGATGCACTCATGATTGGAAAGACATCAAGCTCACAAACTTCTTCGATCCAGTCTGAATCTTCACAAAGTACAAACCAGGCAGCAGTCTCATCACCTCCCCAAATATCTGCGTCCGTGGCCTCAACAACGACCTCAAACGTCTCAGATGTTGACACCACGAATTGTGTGTCGATTTTTTATCGATGGTGGTCGGCAGAAGTGAAACTATTTAAACCTGGCTCACATCAATCCACACTCCAGCTCCCAAGAATGCTGCAATATTTCAATCAGCATCTACAAAAAGCAATGGGTTTAACATCACCACTAACAGAATCAGAAGAACGTTGGCAACTCATTCTCAAAGCTATTGAAAAAGGAAATATTCCAAGATTAAGAATGTTCGACGAGCAAAAGAAGATGGTCAAGATTCTGGATCAAGAGTAAATAGGAGGCGAAAATGATAGTCAGCAAGCACATTACGAAGATGGATAACAAATCGCATTAGTTTTAATGACAAAAATTTAATTGATTATTACGTAAAATCATCAGAGAAATCGTTGATTCACAATCTTCAACTCACCAACTCTAAGCCACATTACAATTTGGACAATAAATTCTCATCCCTCTTGTAGTTTTCAAGCCTTGTTCTTCTCTTCCACTTTTCTAGGTCAGTAAATATTGGTATTCTTGGGCCTCTAGCATCTAGATCTTGCCATTGATATTGGAAATAATCAGCAAATATATGTGGGTAAATCTCTCTGAACACAGTGTACAGCAATTCTAATGTCCAACATTTCAGTTTAAATCTTGGAACATGTCTAATTGGTTCCGTCGATTTTATCCTGCATCTATCATTCTCCACTTCCAAAGAAAGAAGAAGTAAATCATCACAATACATGGCGTCCTCATCCGTACAAACTGGAGGTTGGATGTATTCAAAATCTACAACACAAAATCCAATATTTCTCATAATCTTGTGTCTTTGCTCAGATGCCATCACTCCATCGTGCACGCCGATGGCATTTGTCTCTGCGAAGAAATAAAACTCATCTTCTTCAGCATCGAGAATATGTTTGATGTCTGCATTTTGTGTCTTAAGTTGAGCATTGTGAAGACATAATTGAATATACTGTTGAGCGAATTGTAATTGTCCTTTTTGAGTTTTTGTTAGCTGTACAATGGTCGCACCATCATCATCTCCGACATGCCAGTTTCTTACATGCATGAGTGCATTGTTTAACGCCTCCCATCTATTTGCTTTTCTCTTTGCATATAACTCATTCTTGCAATATTCGTAAGCTTGATAAACTAATGTCTTTCCCAAACCATAATTTCTGTACTTTTCGCACACGACAAAGTATGACAGCAACGCACATTGAGACATTTCATAATATTCAAATACAGAAATACCTGCAATATTTTCATCTTTCAATGCATTGTTGTCGTTGCTATCAATTTCAAAAGCAACCATAATATGCATGAGTGGAACAAATATACGACCTCCCTTATGAGTTAAATTGTTAATCCAAACTTCGAGCGGATCCAATTCGGATTCAATTGGAAAGTTCGGAATCATAATTTCATTATATATTTTTGTCAGCAATGGAAGTGAAAAGTTATCTCTCAATGAAAGGAATCTAAATGTTTTGTCCTTCACAGTATAGTAAAGATCTTTGGAGAGAGGGGAAGACTCCAAAGATGATGCAGAAGAAGCCATAGATGCAGAAGCCAATGCAGAAGTGCTTAACAAAGAGGAAGCACCATTAGAATGGGAAGAGGCCACATTGCTGTTGGATGGAATTGCTGAAGATGGAACTCCAAAGGTTGCTGCTGTTTGAGAACTAGTACTTGTACTGCTCACTACTGCTTCGAGTTCCGACATGCCATTCTTAACACCTGTTATCATTTGTTCTTGGAATCCATGATTCATACTCATAGAAACAGATCCTTCCTGATGGAGAGAAGATGTATTGATTGGTGTACCCGATGAGAGAGAATGAGTCTTTGTTCCAGCAGGATGTGGTTGTTGGAATTTCGAGGTTGTTTGGTTTGCTTCAATAAAGCCTTGATTGGAGATGGTTTTTGAGAGGATTTGTTTCTTTAAATTCATCATGATGGATAGAGTGTTGTTTAAGTTCTGATTCAGATTGTTCAAGTGTAGATGAGTTATCTTCTATAGAATTAACCATCCGGGTGTATTGGAATTATTGTACTTATTGATGAGGTAACTGTGGATAAAGTAGTATGGAGTAAAAGGTTTATACCGCTAGTACTACTACTACTTGTATTTCCTTGAAAGAGAAATAAAGATGATGATGAAAAAAGGACGATAATTACTTCAAATAGAATTTGCACGAGCGTTGATGATACCACTTCTTCGTGATGACGATGATGAATTTTGGAAGGAAAGGGAAAACAAGTAGGTATCTTATTGAGGCGGTATTTCAAATTATTGTTGTTAAAAGAATGGTGGTGTAATTGTGCCAGTCTTTTAGAAGCAAGTACGTATGTAGAGTGAAATAAAAAGAGTGAAATATTGAGCGAGTATGACAGGAGCAAATTCAATAATTTTTTTTAATTTGTTTTTCTTCTTCATGAAACTTCGTTGAACGCTTTGACGGAAACTGGTGATGTCACCCAAAGAGTTCGTGAGGAAGCAAATGGAAGGAGCGAGGAGGAAGACACAGGCGACAGATCATTATTGGGTGATGAAACACCTGAAATCATGTGTATTTGCAAAGTAGTAGTGCAAAGAACAACTTGTTTATTAGTAGAGCACTTGTCTTCTCCGAGATCTCTCCAGGCATGATGAGGCTTCTTCTCGATAGGTTGGTTTAGTGAGGGAAGGGTTCAGCTCCATTTCAAATTGGCCTAATTGATTCGTAAATCCCTTGTTTGGCTTGATAAATTTACGTGCTTGTTTTGTATGATTGTAAGCTTGCTGCAGCGTAAGACCTTCAGCAGCGACAAGATATGCCAGAACAATAGAAGCCGATCGGGAAATACCCTTTTGACAGTGAATGAATACTCGTTCCCCGTTCTTTTTGCATTCCTTAATGAACTCAATTGCTTCCGAGAAGTGCTGCTTAATATCCATGGATTGGTGATCCACAATTTGAATTTGATAATTTCCAAACGTCTGCAGTATGTGGTCTTCATGTGGTTCGGGTGTAACGTTCACAATCTTGTTAATTTTGAGGGATTCTAAAAGTTTTGGAACATAGGCATGAATGTACGCTCCCAAGAAGAGGAAATCAGGAACAATTTCATTTGGTAGAAGAGTGGAATCTCTCTCGATGGTTTCTGGATACTCGAAATCAGAACAGATAACGTTTCCGTACTTGCGAACCATTTCATCGAAACCTCCTTCGAGAGATTTCAAACTCTTAATCATAATACTTCTGGGAAAGAGAGGAATGATCTTTCTAGCGAAAGCATCGATGGTTTCTTGTAGTGATGAGGTCTGATCATAGACAATAAACATTTGATTCGAGTAGTTGGCTTTCTTGAATAAGCTCTGCTGGAAAGCCTCGAGACCTGGATTCTTCTCTAATAATTCGTCCCATTCTGTAATGCCTTCATCTATTTGCTTCAGAATGGCTTGGATATCAACATTCGTGGCAGTAAGCAAATGGCTCTGTTCATAGGCTTCACTCGACCGAAGGTCTACCAAAGCAAAGGTGTGTTTTGGGTTTTGACAGGGACACAATGATGTCATATCCAGGATTTCATTGTATAGATAGGTGGGAGTGATTGTATCGTTGTGGAGAGGGGATTGTTGTGGAGATGGGGAGGACATGGTGTATTCTTGTGATGATAAGGGGTTGGCGTAGTACTAGATGCTATATACACATGTACAACGTAATGATATAAACGCGAGAAGAACAAAATTGGGTGATTGAATGGTTATGAATCTTAAAAACTCTCTCTCTACTCTTCTTTTTCGTTCCAAACAACAATCGAGCAACTAACGTCGGGTCGTTTCTACGAGAAGAATAACGGTAAGTAATAATCACAGAGAGAACAACACAATATTATCATACACAGTGTTAACACTTTTGATGATGATGAGGGTACAAATCAACAACAACCAACAAAGTACAAGAAGACAACAAACGCGCAGAAGCCGTTGGTGGAGGTTGGACGTCAGAAAGAGCGAGAAAATGAGATTTTTTTAAGAGATGAAAACTGCTGAGAAGAACGTTGTCTTGAGTTTTAAAAAGGAATTGAATCCTGAAAATTCATGGTTGAGGTTTAAAACAAGTGCACTAGTTTCCTTTACTCATGAAAAACAAGAAAGGACTACAAAACAAGAGTGGACATCAGGAATGATTGTGAAGGACGGAAGAGTAGAATCGAATGTACCGACTTTGCCCACCAACCAATTCAAATTGAAATCATGTTTACAATGAGAAACACGTTTATGGGCGATTCACAATTTTGGATTACAAACTGATTTTGGACAAAATAGGCCAAGCCTTCATGAAGGATCATTAAACGTTGAGTGTCTCTTGCAACGAATACAATTCATCTCGTCTTTACAATCAGTAACAGCCAATTTCATTCTCGTTTCAATTCCTCTCCATACAACTGTCATCATCTTTTAAGGATGAACTTGGTTGGAACTAAACGGCATCAACTCGGCTCTTTGAAGTTTCCGTTTGTTTCAAACTAATACTTTCAATGATTTTCGAAGAATATATCCCAGGATGACAGCATCTGTCATTAAACATGTTCTCCCTGTCATCCACTATATGCTTTTGCATAAAACATCCACAAAATTAGTAGTAGTAAAACCTCATCACAAAAATTATTGTCTGTGCGATATTCTCGATACAAATCTATATTGTTGAATGGAGAATTTCCAATATCCTTGTGACCGAGGGAAGACATCCAAAATCGATCTCGTCTTAAAAGAACAGAGCATGTGAATTGATCATATTCCTTTAACGCTTGGATGAGAATTCACCACCATGAGAAACTGTTGTAATGTTGCCATTACAGAAGTCTAGTCCTTAACAAAGAACATAGTCACTCACCCTCGGGCCAAACCATTCTTCTATTTATGGAAAATGAATAAATGAATTTACACACCCCAAGCTGCCTTGTGGTCAAATGCTCTCCCAAGTTGCGACTCAAACCCTCCAGAATGCTCTTGGGGTGGTTTGGAATGACAAGCCGGACCAATACATCTGAAGATTATAAAATTTAATTGTTTTTTTGGGAGAACCAACATTTTTCGTTTTGAAGTGCTTGTGTAAAGTTCCATGTAGAAGTGGAAGGCCGACTAAAGGTTCTTCATTCTTCTTGCAAAGTGCCTTGAACGCTCTTTTTAATATTTCTCAAATTGAGATGGCATCCAAGTGAACATGGAATTCCAACTTTCATCGCCTTTTGCATATGTGGTAGCAACAAGTACGAGTAATTGTGCATTTTCAATACCAATACCTCAGTCAACCAGGAACTTTAAAGTTTTCAGTTGACTTTTACATTATTTTCACAAGAAACTGATAAGGTTTTGAAATCAAACAACTCCCTTACTAAAGAAGCGATTCAAAACGTTGCTAAATATCTTCCCGGAGGAGATACTAAGAGAGAGGACCAAGAGATTGTCAAGGATCGAAAGTTTTGGAATCATCAACCTGTTCCCAAGATTTGTAAGTATTTGTTTGTTCTTCTTCTTCTAATATTGTGCAATATGAATGAATTGATTCACATCATGCGATGAACAATTGGTTGATTTCATCGATATCCTCCTCTCCATACATCATCATGGGTGGTGGTGGTTCGACATGATCTTTCTTCTTCTTCTTTTATTTGGATGATCTTGTATCACTTCTTTCCTTATCCATACACACCTAAATGTCACTGCTTTTCTTCCTCACCACAAACACACACTCTGTAAAGATGAAAAGACTGACCAACTCGGATAAATTGAAACCAAGATTGTGGATCAAGCCACTCCATACACTCTTCCAAAAGGCTATGAATGGTATGATTTAGATGTCAATTCAGAGTAACAAAAATCCAAGGTTGGATCACTCTAGAAATGAAGGCTTCCGAACATTTTCTCTGACTATTCTTTATGATTTGTTGCTGTCTTGGAGCACACATGAAACTTTCGAACATTTGCAATGGCATTCGCAGCACTTAATTGAAGTGCATCATTCTTGGCGCTCAACAAGCGAACCAGCAGTTGCACAGTATTGCAAATTCGAAGAGTTTTAGAAATAGTTTCATTTTCAGAAAGGACACTGAGTGCATAGGATGTATTTCTGAAAATATGATGATAATGACAATCAATGTCTGATGGAGCAACAGTTGCTGGAATTTCCTCATAGATTTCTTCAGTTTCTTCCTTCTCATCGGATGATACATTGTCACTTCTCGATAATTTTTCACTTTCAAGCATTCCGGCAATATTTGCGAGAGAGTTTTCCAATTTCATGTAAGGTGCACAGACAATGCTGTGACAAACGAAAGGTGAGAGTTTTTTGTGTTGTAATTTTCGAGTTTGTTCCATTTTGGAATCGTCACTCATCATGTGATGCGAGGAAGAGCTATTACTTCGATGACGTGAAAACTCTTTTGGAATGGGTGGTAGAGATGGGCTACCATTTTCTTGTGACATTGATTTTGTAGATGTGTTAGAAATAATATCAATCATTGCAGTATTCTCATAATGTTTTCTGTGGTTAGAATCATAATGTTTTTGCAACATTCTTTGCAGCTTAATATTTTCAATGAGTGGATCCACCACTCCATGCTCAAAAAATGTGATTGAATTATGTGGATGTTTCCCAAGCTCAGCAATAGCGAGAGCAGCTGTGGATCTTAGAAAGAGATTATCATTTAGGCGAGCATTGAGAACTGGATTATCATAAACGAGCTTCTTTTTTTCGCCCGTTTCAGTTTCATAGACCACCATGGAGAATTCATTTCCTTTTGGCTTGGTGGACAGGGCTGCCATGAGATCATCCACCCACTTTTGTGTCGTTCTTAACATGTTGGCGATATGTGTACATGCGCCTTCTTCGGTGAAAATAGCTCGGTTCATTGGATTTTGGCTCATTTTGGCAATAGCAAGACAAATATTCCCTAAAACAAAAAGGTCGGACGAAGATTCAAGTACTCGAACTAAAACTCCAATTCCACTGACGTAGGTCTCTCCAATCCGTGCAGCAATTTCAGCGTTGTGAATGCAGTTCGATATAGCTCGTGCTGCAGCTGCTTGAATTTCTGGCTTTTCATTTCTGACCATGGACCAAATGGCTTTCATTGCTCCTTGTTTTAACATGCTGTCCAATACAGAGCTACAATTACAAATTTGGCCCAAAATATCCAAGCAGTGAGCGATCAAGTCTGTTTTTGAGGAGGAAACTAGTAGAGGAGAAATGTGGTCCACAATTCCCGACTTGAAAATGAGAATTTTAGTCCAAGGTAATTTTGCACAATTTGCAATAATTCCAGCACACCTAAATTTGATGAGTTCATCTGATTTTTCAACTGATTTTGTTTTTAAAAGTCCACTCGTGTATGAGGCATCAATAAATACTTCCTCTTGGTCGGTGATATCCGTTCTTTTTCTTCTCTTACTTGGAGAGAGTACAGATGTGGGTGAGGCTGGTGATTTTGATGTAAGAGAAGTGTTGAGTGGTGGTGTAGTGACTTGTTTTGCTCTTTTTGGGACAAAGTTAATATCCAGAAAACTTGTTAGAGAGGGTATTAAACCAAGCTCAAATATTTTCTGAGCATTTTCCATCGAATATGAAGCATTGAACATGGCACCAGTGATATATTCTAAGAGGATCAGAGACCTCTCCGGATCTGATCTTGCTTGTTTCTCATATTTTTTGATCCAAAGAGCCATAATTTCCAAGATGGTGTTAATTTGTTCACGGACATGTTCTGAGAATAGTGGTGTATTTAAAATCATATTTTAGAACATTTGCAAAAATCAATTTTAACTTATAAAAATACTTACTCTCGATGGTTAAATTAAAAAGTAATCCTGACATGACAATTAATAGTTCAATGTGGAAAACATTGGTCTTGACCATAATATTGTTAATTGAGGTAAGAACCACTAGTAATTTTTTCACCAAATCATTGTTCCTCATTTGCACACGAATGGCATCTATTCCAAGAAATGGGACAATTACAATCAAGAATGACTCAGCAATTAACTTACCATTTTCAGCACAGTGCATGAAGGATCCAACGACAGGTACAAGAATTTTATGAGGGCCAATCAAGGTTTCATCTGATTCAGATCCAAAATCTTTCAGGTAAAGATACAACTGATCCAAATATTTATCCAAAATCGAAATTCCAGACAAACCAGAGAGCTTGGTGTTGCAAATATCCTCTTGGTTAGATTCTATGTCATAAGCAGGTGTCAACTATCATCAAAATCCATTGGTGTGTAAAGTTGTACTTACTACTCTTTGATGTGCTCCAAATTATACGTAGACAATTATGAATAATTGCTAAAGCTTCGGGTGTTTTGTTGTGTTGTAAACTCTGTGCTGCTAGAGAGAACGGCCTGTTTTGGGAAGAGTTCTTGGTTTTGAAATAATCAAAAATATTTACAGCTGTTTGACCGGATCCATCAAAAAATCCAATATTATTCAACAAAAATAGAAACACTTTTTTGATGCCTTTTGTCTTCTTGATAATTTTTCTTACTGCTATTCGCTCACAACAATTGGCGATAACCTCACTCAATAAACTCAAAAATGTAATTTGTGATGTCTTGTTAAATTTCAATTTATGGTGAGCCTTCTGCAAATGAGTCATCGTTGTCATTTCCTCGGATGGTTGACTGTTGTTAAGAGATCTCAGAAGAGCAGGCATGTTCTCAGCAATTGAAAGTTGAATTCTTGCTGCGGAGATGGTTCATGCATTGTGCAACAATATATAAAAATATTCACCAAAGTGGTACTTACAATTCCTTGATAAATGAGCCAAAATATTTGCTGATCCAATTCGAATTCTGTCATCGCCATGATAATCAAAAAGCTTAATTAGAGTTGGAATTCCTCCACATTCGACAATGGCGTATTGGTTGCTCACTTTACGTTATGTAAAAATAGTAATAAGTAAAAGGTGAGAAACCTACCATCATTCATATCTAGATCATCAAAAAACGAAATTGCTAAAATAATGTTTCTAAGAGAGTTTGGATCCTCTTTAACAAGAGGAATTGAATTTTTGTCATTTTCCTTGTATTCATATTCTGGAAGATTTTGTCTAATTACTTTGATCATTTTGTTGATTTTTGCTACCAGAGGAGAAACCTCATCTGTCAATTATGAAGTTAAAGACGATCGATTTTAAATAAATTATGGAATTAAAAGTTAAATACATACGATTTTTTGGAAGAGTGACAGCAATACGTTCTTCTTCATCGCTTGAATCATATGTTTTGGTAATTAAAATTTCTTTGTCTGATTCTTTGGAAATGGACCTCGGAGTGGCAACTTTTTTCTTAAATCTTGGGTCTGTAATATATCCTCTTTGTGTTAGCAAGAAAGAATAGGTAAAGGGTTCTACCTCCTTTTTCTTTTTCTTCTTCTTCACAACAGGAGGTTTTGAAGATACGAGAGGATTATTTTCGTTACTTAAGAGAGAATTTTTAGGGACTGGTGAGGTTGTTGCTGGAGCATTCACAGGCTGAAAGGGAGACACTTTTTCCGTTGGCTCAAAAATTTCGAATGGATATTTTTGACGTGATGAGAGCGCGAAGGATTTCCTTCTGCCTCTTTCCTGTCCATTTTCTGGAGTGAAAAAAGAAGGGCTAAAAGTTGACGATGAAGGACTGCTGTCAAAGAATATTTGGCTTGGACTTTCTGGGGATGATTCGTGTCTTTCCAACAAATACGGTGTAGGACCTTGTCTGTACATTGACATGGATCGCCCATTTTCAGGTGTTCTTAACCGTGACATGGTTGCATTTCTTAAGTATGTTTTTTCCGCTTTTCTTTTCAAAAACAAGCTGTACTTGGAGAAAAAATGAATTTCCAACTGAATTAAAAAGTTATTGAGCTGAAGTCGATTATACAAGTCAGAACTGCTATCTTTTGATTTTGAATTGTCGTCAATTAAATCTTTGATTGTATCCTCAAATGCATTTAAATTTCGAGTAATGTCATTATTGATCCCAACTAAACCAATGCTACTTTTTGAATGTGAAGTCGTTAAGAACCGTTTGTTGGATTGAAGAAAAGATCTCAGCTCAAGAATTGTTTTTGTATATTTTTCTGCATTTTCCAAATGGGTTAAAAAGGATAAAATGTTCTTAAACTCCAAAGAAGGGTTATATTTTTTTTCGGGATCAGTGTCAAGCTGATCTCTTGTTAGAGTTGTCTCAAACCGAATGATCATTTCGTTCGGAAGTGGTATCGAAAAAAGATCTACATATACTGGTTTATGAACAGAACTTTTTGAATACTGATGAAGTTGTGTTTGGTATTCGACATATAAATCGTGTAATGTTTTGGCCAAGAAATCAAGAACATTGAAATGATTTTCATTGTTCAAGTCAAGAGTATTGATGTTCGGAATGTGAGAAGCGAAAAAATTGCCCATGATGACTTGTACGCCACTTTTTTTGAATAATTTTTATAATAATTTTAATTGTTGTAGTGAGGGAGGAGACAAATGGCGGGGAAAGTTTCTTCATCGCTGGCCAAATATTTTCTTAATGCTCGAGCATCGACTCATCTTTATAAATCAGTCAACTTAAAACTTTAGGTTGAAACACTTAAAATTTAGAGTTGAGGCACGAAAGACGTAATGAGAGTCCTTCCTCGATACTGCTTTCCAGCAAGTTCTTTTTGTGCCTTGTCGGCTGCTTGAACCTCAGAAAACTTGACAAGTACCTTTCCAGCATTCTTTCCACCATAAATAAAAGGAATGTTTGCAGGATCATTGTTTGTAGTTTGTGGATCTGGGGAAGGAACGGATACTTGCACAACCTTTCCAAATGCAGAACATTCATTATAGAAATCTCTCTTAATTTCTTCAACTCGTGCAAAATCTTCGGGTATGTTCAGGCAATTCATAAAAGCTAAAACATTGGTTGGTGTGATTTGAATATTCTCATGAAGGGCTAGTTTTTGAAGTGCATTCTCGTATTTGAGATTCAGATCAAGCAGTCCTCCAACCGCTGCCCTTTTTGGATCAGAAACGAGTTGTTGTCTGTATTCCTGTTGAAGATCAGAAATTCTGTCACTTTCCGTTAATTCGATCTTAGCTTCTACTGGAGCTCGTTGAACAACTAGATAAATCTCTGGACTGGTATTTGGATGTATTCTTGTATATTCTTCTTCTGTAATGATAGTCATACTTTTCATTTCTTCAATTAATTGTCTTTGTGATGTTCGAACAATTTCAGGTAATACTTTTTCATTGTTTCCATAATATTCACAGAACAAAAATCCGTCATTTCCATATTCATTTTCGTTTTCAAAAATTTTTGGTACGTGAATAGATCTCAATGCAGCCTTAGACTGATATCTCTTTGTTAGATAGCCGCAAAGTTGTTTTAAACTAAGTTCTTTTGGAATGTTTCCAATGAATAGCTTATTGGGAGAGTCCAAAAGAAATCCATTCTTGCTTGGCATGACATCTATAAGTACATCATTAACGATTAAATTGGAAATCGCGCTTCCATTTGTTTTACCACCATTAGGTCTATTGTAGGTAAAGTTAATAGTTACTTGTGGGTCGTAATAATCCTTTGGTCTCTTCATTCTGAGAGTAGATCCTTTAAATGGAACTCCATCCAAATTATTCACACAATATGTGGCTTCCTGTGGTGTTCGGAAATCAATAAAGGCATATCCTTTGTGAATTGAAATCTGTACAACATTTTCGTCTGTAAACTGATACTGCGAGCTGTATCCGCTACTGCCTCCTGAACTTCCTGCTGCAATTAATAATTCAAGAGAATTTGCTGGTTGAGGAGCTTGCGAATGATTCGTGTAATCCATTCCAGATTTCCGTAATTGTGTTGAAAAGAACTCTACCAACTCTTGTTCGCTTGTATTATCAGGAATGCCTCCACAGTAGATTTTTCGAAGTTGTTTGTACTGCGGATCTGTTAAACTTGAACCACAAGATCCTAAAAACAAGCCTGCTCCCGAGGTGTTAATTTGTTGTGCGGATGCTCCTAAATTATTTCTATGAACGTGATTAACATTTTCGTGCATATTAACCATCTTTTCCTGATTATTAAAACTTGGCAATTTTACCACTCCGTAGAGTGCTCCGGGAATAGCTTCTTTCATCATTTCTTGCGGAGTCATATCAAAAAGTGATTTTTGTGGTTTTGTGTTCACTTGAATAGAGTGAGAAATCTGTTGTTTCATCTTGTTGAGAATTGTCTGGTTGAGCCTATCCGATGATGAAAGCAATCCTTGATTTTTATTTGATGACATTTTTTTGGTGTGTTCTTTGAAGTTTGAACGTGCTGCTCCATGAAAGGCTTTCTTTACATCAAAAGGAATTGCAAAAGATTTTTAATGATGAAATTAAGAACATCATCTTTCCTTAGGTTCGACACTGAGTATGTGATCGAAAATTTATTCCTTGAAAGAAAGAGAAAGGGAGATAATTTCAAGTTTGTATTTGCAATCACCCTCACCCGCCAACTCCCTCAATCATCTCTTTAAAAAAATTCATGATGGAAATATCCTCTCCTCGAAATATTAATGCACCAACGTCCGCTTCAAAAACCTCCCAAAATCAATTTCGGATCAATGTCCAAAATCCACTTTCTACCACATCATCTGGGGCTGCAAGTGCTACTGCACAATTTACATCTCCGGTGAGCCCTCATTCAGGAAATTTAGGCTCACCCTACAAGGTTCAGAGCAAGAAATTTGAATCAATGGAAGCAACGTTAAACAGTAAATTGAGACTAGATACACCTCCGACAGAGGAGGAATTAGCTACAGAGATTCCAAGCCAGAAAAAATTCGAACAAATTTTACAAAATGTAGATAACGTTGTCAAGCAACACACCTCGTTTATAAATGCGGATTCAATAACAGGAGGTGGAGTTTCAACGAGGCCAGACAAAATTAAACAGAAAAAGAAGAAGAAAGGAAGTAACCTATTTAGTCCAATGAGCGCAAGTGAGACCAGTTATATGGAATTGTATAATAATCTAAGGGAAAAGTATCAAGTGCTGCTGGCTGAAAATTTGAGACAGCAAGAGGTGTTTAAATTAAGGCATGACACATTTCTAAAGAGAGAACAACAATCAAAGGATATGGAAAGAGAACTAAATGAGAAAATGAGAGAATCAATGATTGCCCGAGGTGTTGCTGGAGATCATATGCAAGAACTTGTTGGAATGAAAGAAAAAATACAGGAAGGAGTCACATATCTAAAGTTGGAAACACAGAATCTTCTTGAGGCCAAGGAGAAAGAATTTCAAAGAAAAATCGAAGAAATGATGAGAAGGTTTGATAGAGATCTTGCTGACGAGAGAAAAATCAATACGTCAGGCGAAAGGGAGTGGCGAGAAAAAAGCAAGTCCTTAAAAAAAGAGCTTGACAATTCAATAGCGCAAGTGATAAAGGTCGATCAGCTTAATCACGAGTTGATGAAGGAAAATCAACGGCTAAAAATACAGTTTGCTGCTCAGGAAGACGATAGAAATTATCTTGCAAAACACATTGCAAAAACGAAACGAGACAATGAGAAGTTGAAGGAGGAAACAAAACGATTACAAGAAGAACTCGCTCGATGTAACAATATCATCAAGGAGTATCAACTTGCCAGATCGCCACGTCCAGGTTCACCCTCTTCGTTTAAACAGGGAATGAGTCCTCGTGACCGAGACTACTCAATCTATACTGTAAATCCTGCGTTAGAGCCAGATGAAAAAGAACGACGATTTATTGAAGCCAACAACAAGCTAAAAAAATTGTTGGAAATTGAAAGGAAAAATATAAGGCAAGTTCGAGCGCAAAATATCAAAATTTTAGAGGAAAGAACAGAGCTTGAAATATTCTTGAGGAGCTGTATCGAGGATGTAAAGGAGGAAGTAAGAAGAACAAAAGCTGAAAGCAAAAACGACACAGAAGAGTTCCACAAAAAGGAAAGACAAAGAGTAATAGAGCTGTTACTATCAAAGGAACGAGTCATTAAGATCCTTTATGAAAGAATGTTTGACAAACAATCCGAGAAAAATTTTGATGATGATGGTATCAGCATTCAAGATCAACCAGCATCTTTTCACAACTCGACAAAAGGTGAAACTGCATCAATGGGAACAGACTCTAAGGAATAAGCACTCTTTTCATTTTTCTGCAACCACTATGTCACAATCTCAAGCACTGTTGAGATGAAGGAACACCACTCATTTCTCTCTTGGGCCGTATTTGCTGTGAATTGGAGAACTTTTTCTCGGCCTTTTCCGTACCCGCAGCTTAATTCAAATATTAGCTCGTTCTTTGAGCTTATTTTAAGAACGGTGTAACAAAGACTAAAACAATTAATTAATTTCTTTTCGCTATTGTCCTCGAATATTGAGATTCCTGAAGACGATATCTTTATCCAACGGTTTGTGTGATCCCAAAAACTGCTATACACCCGTAACCACCCAGTTTTTTTTGGTAGGGATGAGCAACCATAGGCTATCATAATGAAAGACAATTCAAGGATTTTGCCATTTCTTATTACTTACAGCTGAAAAAGTTATCGAGCCCAAGCTCTTCAATAATTTGTTTCTGTAACGTGGCATAGGAAAGATCATGATTGTTTGAACTTCTTAGTATCTTTCCTGAATTCAATTGGTCTCTACTGTCATTAAATGACAACCCGGTTGTCATTGCCTGTAGTTGCTCAAAACCCTCAACAATAGCAATTGTTTGCTGAGTGACTTCGTTTTTGAGGTGTTCCAATTCTGTTTTAAACTGTTTCATTGTGTTGTGGATGTCTAGTGAATTGGAAAAGGAACTTAGCTTTTGTATGTGGTGTTTCAACATTTTCTCTCTTTCTGTCAAAGTTTCAATGGTTTGATTTAACTTTACAAAAATGGTTGCTTGTATTTCTGTTCAAAAACAACTCTTACCTCGTTGAATTTTACACGTGCTTGAATGTGAGATGCATCTCTTTCACTCTGAATTTTTTCCACCTTTTGTTGCAATTCCGATATGATTTTCTTATATTCAGCTTCCTGCATTTTCTTTTTTTTGTCCTCGCTCTTTTCGCTTTCAGAGCCTGTCACGTTTAACTCCCTTAAATGTTTAATTTCATCTTTTTGCTCCTCTATGGTCAAAATGCATTCCTTAAGTCGGTTTCCTAACTCTACAACTTTTTTGGAAAGAGCCTTATTTTCCTCTGAAAAATTAGAGAGTCTTAAATGAGGAGGAATTTTCTCAAAGTTAGCGTCAAGAGGTAGCATCATACTTACTCTTGAATTTGTTTGTTCGCTTGGTCTCTTTCTGTCATCAAAATTGACATCTCCTTTTTTGCGACCTCAATGGTCTATAATAATTATTATTTTAATAATAAGGAACAAGATACCCTTTTTCCGCAATACCCACCAATTCAAGGCTCTCCATTCGATGTTTTAGAGCAACATTCTCTTCCTCAACCAAATCCAAACTCTTTTCAAGCCTTTCTTTTTCGGCCCTTTCTTTTTCCAACTGACTATCAAGAAATTTGATTCTAGTTAATAAACTTTGTCCGTATTCAATGGACTTCATTAATTCAAACTCTCTCATCTCTAGCACACGTTGTAATTGAACAACATTCTCACCTCTTAAATGAAGACCTCCCTCTTCCATAAATGACGAGCTTTGGTTCATACTCCCGACCCTTGGTTCCGAAAAACTGTTTCCCAACACTTCAGAACTCTCTTCAAACCACTCCGCTTCCTCATCATTCTTATCATTCAATTTTGAAAGATTGAGGGTTGGAATTTTGATGGATCCCGAAGAGGATGATTTCATTTTTTCGTTGTTGTTGAAAAAGGATTTCGTAAGGAAGGCTAAGACTTTGAGAGTGATAGATTCGCTGGACGAGTGGTATACATGATGATAACGAAATTCAAACGAAATTCAAACGAAATGCAAACTCCTATCCTAACGTTAGACGAGCGACTGAAAGGATTAAGAAAATTACCCGCCTAGGATTAAAAAAAAATTTCTATTTGGGTCATCATCATCCTGTTCCGAAAACCAAGTTCATAATCATCATCATCACCACCTAAAGAAAATTGGAATCATTCCTTGAGATACACACGAATATTCGGGATTCATATTTTTTAAAAATCCTTATATAATGGAGACTTTTATACGACATTTCATTCATCAATCTCTTTCTTTTCAGTTGTATGAAAATGCTATTTTCTTAAGTGAGCGATTATTTGCAGAGACTCCTTCAATTCCTCATTTGTTACTTGTAGCGAAATCATACTATGAATCGGGACAGTACAATGTTGCCTACCACATGTTAAAGTATCATTCTTCAAAATGGGATGTTCCTTTCAAAACAAATACATCATCCTCCGACACAGAATTAACAAAATCATTCTTCGATTTTTTGGATCCACAAGAGAGCATCTTTTATCTGTTCTCTTTGTGTTGTATTAAATTGGAACACTATATCGATGCAGAACGTTATTTACGAAAATGTCACGATCATAATGAAAATAATGTTATCATCAATTATTGGTTAGGGATAGTTTACAAATTAACCTGCAGGAAAGAATTAGCAATTTATCATTTTCACAAATGTGTATCGCTGTGCCCGATGTTGTGGTCTGCGTATGAGCACATAGCTCAACTAGGATATGATAGAGTAGAAGCAGATGGGCTTTTTGATCCAAGTAAATCGGCACAGCTCTATGAGAGATTTTCACAAATGTATTCTGACCTATCGGGAAATAATTCAAACAATAATTCTATCAATATTCCACTTGCAACAAATTTCAGCTTTACGTCTGCGATGAAGCCACCAACAAATTCAATCTCAAAACAAGCAGATTTTCTTCATGCCACCAATCGAAATAATATTTCAGACAATGATATTAACATGGATCAAAATACTCAATTTCCAACTGAAACCGGAGTATCTTCCACCCCAAACAAACCCAAAAGGTAAGTGCTCATTTCGAAATCGAATTCAATTTTTCACAATCATGTCCATATTACATTTATTGCGCAAAATATTTTTTTTCACTTCACAGTAGTTATGAATTTCCTCTAGTTTTCAATCCAACTGCTACCACAACCGCAAAAACTCCAAATTTATCAGCCAAGAATAAGCCTAGAGCAAGTATTGGAAGCGCTTCCAGAAGCAGCTTTGGAAATAATGAAATGTTTTCACATTCTACCCAACAAACACCAAATTCCTTTTTCTATAGAACTCCTTCTCCTCAACAATCACCCTCCTCAGCAGTGACTCATCCACCAACCATGACCCAAAAGCCAAAACCTTCAAGAAAAAGTCAAGCATCAACAATTACATCCACAACAAGTAAGAAAATCACATTTGAATCTACTGAAAAGAAAATTAGTAGATCTAGTTTGACAAGTTCAAGCAGCGAATCAGAAGATGTAAGTTTTTACTCTTTTCAAAATTATGTTCAATTACAATTGCTTCAACCATGTGTAGTCAAAGTTTTCACTCTACCCTTCACAATCTTTACATTCATTCCCTAAAAACTTTAAAGCATCTCCTCAGAGAATGTATCAACTAGATTCTTTAAATCAAGTTCCTACAGATTCATTCCTAAATCCCAATATTGGCTTTAATATTCTTTCCAATCTCTCGTCAACAACAGGATCAGCAATGCCAGTGGTTAATTCTAACACTAGTCCATTTTTGAGCTGGCAGTCTGTTTTTTCACTCAATTACAAACAAGTGACTGTGAACGATGTGTCATCAACTCTTGCTCTTCTAAACGCTCATGCCATTCCACTCAAATTCTTCTCTCAATACAAAGGAAAAGAAGCCATTGAGAATTTTGAAAAGCTTCCTCCAAAACATTATCAAAGTGGATGGGTGTTGCAACATGTTGGACGATCTCATTTCGAAATGGCTCAATACGAAGATGCAGAAACAGCATTTGAAAGAATTCAAATGAATGAACCCTATAGATTAGATGGATTAGAAATTTATAGTACAATTTTATGGCATCTCAAAAAAGATAAGAAATTGAGCTATCTTGCTCAACATATGAGTGAGATTGACAAGACAGCTCCTCAAACTCTTTGTGCCATTGGCAATTGTTTCAGTCAACAGAAAGATCACGAAACAGCTCTAAAATTCTTTGAAAAAGCAACAAAGGTTGATAATTTATTCACCTATGCGTATACATTAGCTGGTCATGAAAGAGCAGCCAATGACGATCTCGAAGGTGCACTCCAATGTTACAGACATGCCATCAGAATTGATGACCGACATTACAATGCATGGTATGGTATTGGAGCTGTCTATTTTAGACAAGAAAAGTATCAACTTGCCATGTATCACTTCTCTAAAGCTATTAGCATCAATTCAAAGAGTTCTGTATTGTATTGTTATGCAGGTATGGCAGAGGCAGCTTGTGGACGCTATGAACAAGCGATTAAGATGTTCACTCATGCCATTCGAATTCATCCTCAGAATCCAATGCCAAAATTCAAGAAAGCAAATGCTCTGATCGCTTTGCAAAGATACAATGAAGCTCTTGACGAATTGAAAGAACTAAAGCAAATGGTTCCCAAAGAATCACAAATTTACTTTACATGCGGTAAAATTTACGCCGCACGTAAACAAAAGGAGCAAGCTCTGTATGAATTTAACATGGCTCTTGATTTGGACAGCTCCAAAGAGAATCCATTAATTAAGGAAGCCATTTCAAAACTGTTCGAAGAGGAAGATCTTCAAGAAGCACAAAAAGACGATAAACTGGATGAACGTGACGATTAAAAGTTATTCATATTATTATTCATATTATTTACAATTCATCATTGGGGGTTGCATCTAAACATTTCCGTCCGTAAAACCAAGAAGCTTCTCTGCAAATTCGACCGATGTAAATCGTTCTTCTAACGCTGATATCGTGACAACCTCTTTCAACAATTTGCTCAAACAATCATTTAGCTCATTTTCTGTCATAATTTCACCCATCGTTTTCAATTTTTGGAAAAGGTCTGATTTGTTGATAAAACCAGTGATTGGCTCGCTTCCCAATTTCTGGAAAGCCTCTTCAATGTCTTTTCGTTGAATGCCAAAGACTGGTCGGTGATTCACATAAATCTTCACAAACGTATTAAAATCAATGAAAATTTCAGGCTCTTTCTTAGATGGCAGAGAAGATCTCTTCTTATCAACAGAGGAATTCGTTTCTGAAGGATCTGCCACTCCCTTAATCACTCTCAGTTCATTAATCATGTTCTGAATTTCCCATTGAGTAGCATAAAATCCTAGCGATCGAACCAAATCAGGTACTTGATTGATAGGAACGCTTCCTGTAATTTTTCGTTCACTTGTTGTGATTTCACCCTGGCTTCTAATCTGTGCATAGTAAAAGTATTGTTGAACTTCTTGGAAAAACTCTCCCTGCGCTCCACCCTCAATCAAACTCACATAGGGTTCAATACCTTCGTCAATTTCTTTGTTTTTGAAGAGTGGAGTTCCATTGATCTCCCATTGATTGACAATACAGTCACTTCCTCCAGCAGTAAATAAATATTTTCCATCTGGTGAAACCACGCAAGAAGTGATCTCTCCAGAATGAGCAATCAAGCCCATGTGATGTTTTGGATTACCATCAAGTGGAAGAGCAATAAGTCCAATAACTTTTTCAAAAGTGGAATAAGCAAGTAATCTTGGTGCTTGATACTCTGGTAAAGAGCCATCCTTGTAGTGAATATTTGGGACAAGAAGTAATCGATTTAGTGGGCCTCCATATGTTGGACTCAAAATTGTTCGGTTGCACCTTGTGTCTCTGTTTCCAAATGGTGTAATGAAGGACATTATTTTGTATTGGTCATTCGCAAAGAGCAGACCATCAAAATATTTCTTTTCATTTGGATACGTTTCAATGACATTTTCATCCTTTGTCCATAGGAAAGCAGTCGGAATGGCATCTTGACTCACTCTGTGAATGGTCTTAACTTTCAAACCTCCTTGTATTGAGCTATTTTCTAAATCATATTCAATCAATCTTCTATCTTCAGAAACAGACATTAGCCTTGGTATATCTCCATAAGGTTCTACTCCAAATTCGAGTCCAGTAATTGCTTTCTTATGAGATTTAAATCTTCCAATATAAATCCATTCATCTTTTCCAGCTCCTTTCTTTTGAGGATTTGGCATAAATTTAAAGACTCCCACACAACTAGCGAGATATAGATGTCGATGAGCGTTCTGTTCAACAAAAGTGTCTACTTACTTGTCCGAATCTGAAAAAGCTAAAAACAATGAGTCGTGAGAAAACTTCAAAGACTGTATGCATGCCTTCGATGGTCTGTAAGCCAAGCTGGGTATCTCTGTAAATAGAACAGCATCAAAGAATTTCACATGCCCATTCATACATCCAACAGCTAAATACTCTCCCTTATTGTCAAAAGCAAGAGATGAAACACACAATCCCTTCATTACCATTACTTTTAGAACGTCCTTGAGTTGATAATCCCAAATGTGAACATTTCCTGACATTCCTGAAATAGCTAAATATGGCTTTGATGGGTGTACAGCAAGAGTTTGAATTGACTCATTTTGACTGATCACTAAAATTCTTCCTTTCATTCCCTCAACATCATAATCACTGAATGAAGAGGAGGAGGCTTTTGCTAAAAATCCAGATCGTGTTTGAATTATGAAATCAGGACAGTAAAACTCATCATTTTTCCTGACCATGTTCTCGAGGTCTTCTTCAGTCATTGCCATATCTGGTCTCTGCTTTCCTCGATTCTTGTCAAAAGAAATTGAAGTAATTGGGCCTAAATCAAACTCTTCAAACCAAGCCTCCAACCTTAATTTGTGATCCAAAAATTTCACAAAACCATCACTTCCTCCTGTTACAATATAAGATCCAATGCATGTAATAAAGTTTACGCTAAATCCAGGATGTATTCTGCAAGGTTGTTGAACACATGAGTTGGTGGCAAACGTTATTAGAAACTTACTTAACAAATTTCATGGCCTCTTTCTCGATTTCCTTTGACTCTCTGTCAGGATAAATCTTTCGTTCCCACAAAACAATTTCTCCATCTGTGGTACCGGAAGCAGCCATTGTGGTTCCAGCAACAAAAGTAGTTTGTACAAATTCACTTGAAGCTGATCCAAAATCGCTCTTTGTGACAGTAGGACTGAAAAATTCAAGAGCGCCATCTTCATATTCCCAAAAGAGAATGCTTTTTGGGCCATTTGTTAAAAACACTTTGGGATTGGAATTGTGACATCTGAGCAAGGTTTGAGGATCACCACTCGGAACTGTGACAGTTACTAATGCTCCTTCGTTTGCCTCTGTCCATTCCCATAATGAAATATGCTGCTCCCCTTCTGAGTTTGGCTTGCTTAGCGAATAAATGTAAAGCGAGTCAGAAGAAATGTCAAGAGATTGAATTCCGATTGGATGTGGGTCAAATATTGTCTTCACTGGGATTCCTTTTATACTATCCCACACAACTATCATGTTTTCTTTTCCACTGTCGGCGGTAACAATCCACTTTTTATCAGTACTAACTGACGAGCATGTAATCATATTGGTCTGGGTAAAATTAGAAATTGAAAATTTCAAAAACATTTGTAATTTCAAAGCTGTCAAATTCGGAATACTTACATGACCCTGCAGCAGAATTTGTTCCTTTGTTTCATATTTATAAATTATTCCAACATTTCCGGCAATGTAGAATACTTCTTTTCTCGTTTCATCACATAAATTATGCATTCCACCAAGAGTATCCTTGTTCATACCAAAAACCCAATGAAGATCCAGTGCACTGTCTTCATCTTTGGTTTCTGCTGATGGCGAACGAATGGTTGTTTCATCCAAAGAAGTCCTATTGGTGGATTCGTTCACATTTTTAGATTCGTTCAACTCTGAATATTCTTCCTCAACTACTTTTAGCCCATCAAAATTAGATTCCTCTTCCAAATTGTTGTTAAAGTTTGCCTCTTTGTAGTCAAATGATCTACCATTATGTCGTTCATTGGTGTAAGTGTTTTCATCATCAACGTTCGGAGTGTCATATTCTTCAATCTGTTTCTTGTCAGTTGACTCGAAACTTGAATTGTGAGATGTTTCCTCATGCTCAGGTTCCTCCATTTGATCATTCTCTTGTTGCATTACCTGATCCGATTCCTCATTTCTTTGCTCCTCATACTCATTCTCCGCTACTGATTGATCCTCTTCTTGATTTTCAAGCTCAGACATTTTTTTACGATTTTTGTTTGGAAAATGAAAATGGCGGGTTTTGCCTTTTGTTGGAATACCACTTCACCATCATCAATATTTTCAAAAGGCTAAGTAAGACCTTATTTCCAGGTTGTTCTTCAGAATTTCTTACTTCACAAATTTCGTCTCCATGCACTGAGCCTCTGCAACTGAAGCTCCCTCACTCTCCGCTTGTACGTATGCAACACCAAATAAAACTCAAAAAAATCAACCGCCGCTCAACGTCTCTTCATCGCGTGTGTCTTCGTCTTTTGCTCTTCTTCTTCTCTTTCAATTCCATTATATTTGCCCTCCACCAAAACACTCTCTCTTCATAGGGTTTATATTTAGGATCGCTTCAAGCACTCCTTACACTTTCGGTTGATAGTTTCTTCTAATCCTCATCATCGGGTTCATACTAGTCTGAAGTGGCTGTTGATTAAAACTCATCATCATCATTAATTCATACATAATAATGTCTACTGACTCAGTTAATCCTAATGCTAAAGCTGTTCCATTTAAATTGGTTCTTCTTGGAGAAAGCTCTGTAGGTGAGTGTTGATTGTTATTGTGATGAGAATTTATTCATCGCCATGGAACTGTAATATTTGAAATCCGGCGTGATGATCACGCTTTCCATGATGGATTCACATTCTCACAAACGAAAACTTTATTTCCCTCAAATTTTGCGAACACCAAATATATAATAACAATAGGAAAATCAAGTCTTGTGCTCAGATTCGTGAGAGGTCAATTCTTTGAGTACCAAGAAAGTACGATTGGTGCTGCGTTCTTGACTCAAACCGTGCCATTGGGAGACACGATCGTAAAGTTTGAAATTTGGGACACGTAGGTTTCATTCTCACATTTTCAACTAAGAATTATTATTTCACTTTGTTCGTTCATTCAACAATTTGATGCCACACATCACTTGAAACACGCACTTTTCGTGATAATATTCCAATAACAATGTTATGGTCGTGACGGAAATAATAGTGCTGGCCAGGAACGTTATAAATCTTTGGCACCAATGTACTATCGAGGTGCCGCAGCAGCCATTGTTGTGTATGACATCACCAGCGCCGATTCTTTCCAACGTGCCAAGAATTGGGTGAAAGAGCTTCAAAGACAAGGAACAACTAATATCGTCATTGCTCTTGCAGGTAACAAGGTTGACCTTGAAGACAAACGTCAAGTAGAAACAGCAGAGGCCAAGTCATATGCAGAAGATAACGGATTATTGTTCATGGAAACATCAGCAAAAGCAGCTACAAATGTGAATGAACTTTTCGTTGCCATTGCGCGTAAACTGCCATCGAAGGATAGTGAGTCTACCCCTCCTTCTGACGTCACACCTCATATAATTCCAAAACCAGGTACAGATACACCTCCAACAAATACAGGGCGAAGGGGAACATGCTGCAACTAGATCCTTGTAGAAATTTATTGACACAAACATTATTTATTTGTAATGATACCACACCTGTAAATCAAACGCATAAATATTTTCTTGTGTTGTGTTGAACTTTTAAAAGTTGGGAGGATGATTTTTTTAATTCCTTAATGAAATAAATTGTGGTGTATTAATTTAGGCACAAAAATCTAGCGGAAAGCAAAATTTAAAGGTTGAGTTTTGAAATTTCCATCAAGAATGGGCCAATTCCTGGAATTGGAGGACAACCTGGCAACACGTATGGAGTGTTGACGAGAATCCAATGATAAAAGAATGTGATGAAGAAAAGAATATGAACCACACAGAATCCTTCAAGAACATGTTGCATGAAAGGCTTATTGTTCACATATTCCTTGCAGAAAACGTTTGGAGTTTCATACCACAATCTTCCGACAATGACAACTGGGAATGTGAGATAGAGAGAGTAGGCCACCAAAAATTGGAACTTGTTAACAGCTGTCAATTTAAATTAAATTGAATAGTTTGCGATATGAATCACAATATCCAAAAAATAGCAAAATAGTCACGTTAAATTCCAAGTTCATCATCATGTTCAAACCTACCTTCATATCCTTCACCTCCATACATTCCGACACCAATACAGACAACCAAGCTATACATCAGAGAAGTAGCGTGAACAATTCCAAGAGTTCGGAATGATCTCCATCCGAAAGTGAAAGCCAAAGCCATTGCAGCGTTACCAAAAGTCATAAAAACAACATTGATCCATTCCATGATTTGCCAAAAATGTGGATTAGTAATCATGATAGGATCAATTTGTTCTCCCCAAATTCTAAAAGCAGTCTTGGTCCATGAGTGTGGAGGCCAATTCAATGGTTTTTCCACATCTCTATCAATTAAATCTCTCACAGTAACACCAAGAGCTGGAGCTAACACATTATGATAATCAAAGAAAGCTGTTGAAAGAATAAATGTCAAATAAAAAAGGACTAGAATGATATCAAAAGGTCTTTCCAATAACGAAACGGATGGATACTTCCATGAAGTTTTACTTGTAAGGCTTCCAGTAGAAGTTGCATCGGGAGAAGGAGGAGCCGAGGAAGTGGTGGAATTCTTCTTAGTTTGAGATGCTGCCATTTTTTTGTTGAGTGAACTGGAGCGAAATGCATTGGGAATTGTCGCTCTTGAAGGATTTCGGAATGCGAAATGGAGGGCTCGAATGGTCTCGAAGAACGAATGATTGTTGTCGTCCTGAGTTGCTGCTTGCGCGTGTGAGGAGAGAATGTGTTGATGATGGTTTAGGTCGTCGCAGTTACATTCATGTCCTCGCAATTGCGTCCATTGTGAGGACGTAGGAGGAAGAATATTCATGTACAATAACATTCAATTTATTCGAGGGAGTACATTTTGCATTCGGATAGAATTGCTGGAATTGTTGCTTTCATGATAACGGAAAAGAATCTTAGGAGCTGTACAGAGCTGGAAAAAGTGGTAGTCACAAGTTTCAGTGTTTCTTGCTTGGAGATTTGTGATCTGAAGATGGTTTATGATGCTGGTGGTGATCCTGAGGATGATGAGCTGAGTGTTGCTGTTTTGGAGAAGTGATCAATTCGTTCAGGTTTCCCGTGCTTCTCCGTTGGGAAGAAGTTGGGTTTGAGTGTGAATGGTTGGCACTACTGCTGTTTTTCGCTCGAGAGGAGCCATGTTGCTGCATATTGACAACATGTTTGACACAATCCATTTGATCTACCAATTGAGAAGTGGTTTTGTGAGGAATGTTTCTAAGGGCCATCATTTCATATTTGTACTCTTCCTCGCTCTTGGCATAATGATGTCCAAAATATTCTACAGAATTGTGGTTATGAGAAGCATTACGTTGAGAATCCGAACCAATACTGTTTCGGTGTTGAGAAAGATAGGATGGATGAGGATTATTAAGATTGGAAGAGCTCATTGATCTGTATGCTCGTTTCTTGTTAACCGTCTTCGGTCGTTGGGGGGAGTGAGTGAGAGAAGAGAACTACGATTGAACTGAGGTTTTTTTTGATGGTTCTTGTGGTTAAAAAAAAACCGTTGTTGATTCTAAGGCTCGAGTGGGCACCTTTGGCATCGCAGCTCAAGCCTTAAAAGGACACCACCCAAAAAGGAAAAACGGAATCTCTATAACCTTCGTTCCTTTCCGAACGAAACAAGAAGCTCTCTCCGATGGATACCCAGGAATAAGCGAATTGTTTTGTCCAAAATGAGGGAATAACAATGAACGCAGAGGTTAGTTTTTTCAAAGGGCAAGATCATGTCGATGTGAAAAAACAATGACTGTCTGGTCGTTGTGTAATTTCAACTCTTGATGAAAGGGAAGGAGTTGTTGTTCTAAAATATGATTTGAGTCCAAAGCATAGAATATTGGTTTCTGTGACTTCAATCCTTGTTCTGTGCTCAATAGATATTGATCATTCATTCTGTATTGATAAATGGGAATGCATGATTCACACTGTGGCTTTGAAAATGCATAAAACTCCACAGCGACAAGTTTGTGGGAAAGTTTTTGTATGGCCCTACGATCCAAGGTATGAAAATTATTATCGATTCTCTTAAATACTGGAATTGGAATTTGTTCAGAAGCCTTGCTCACATCTAATCGATACATTTGTTGATTATAGTTATATTTTGGAGTGGGTGGCAAATTAGTCCAAAAATTAGAATAGGTTCCTTCAAAGTAAATGATCTTTCCATTTTCTTCATCAAATTCATAGTGATGAGAAGGATTATAAAAATCCATTTTTTGATGAGTGACAATTTTCACACCGTACAGAAATGGGCCAATTGGAGTTAAACCTTCAGAGTACCAAATTTCCCCAAGAGAAGATTCTGTTCCTCCATTCTGCTCAGCAATTAAAATATATCGATCCCTAAATGCATTGTAATGAACACTTCCAGCATGAGCTTGAATGAATTGTCCACTTTCATGAGTTTTCAATTGCAGTAAATAGGCTTCTTGAACTTTCATCTTGCCCATTTTCACAAGTTGTGCCATTTGCTCTGCTGAGAGAGGAGAGGTGCTTCTTTTCCATCCATAAATTAATTTTCCACTTTTCTCCTCTCTATCAAGTTGTACATTATTTAAATCCAAATTAGAAGTGTTGATTTTGAGAGGCGTAAACGATTCATAGGTTGATAAATCCAAATACCTTTTGCATCGAACAATCGGATAGGGCTGGCCAAAATAGATGTATCCATCCTCTTCATCATGATAAGGAGCTGTCTTCACAACATGTGATCCATCGATGGGATATGAAAATTGAGTATTGAAATCTATTTGAGAAATTTCCTCAAACTCCTCTAAATCGTCATTCCATTGTAAAAATCCTCTTTTCACAATATTTAGATTCGAATCTGGTTTCATATAAGTTGCATACATTCTCTCATTTCGTTGCACATACAGAGCGTGAATCCAAGTGGGAAGATTTTTTGGGTCCACTGGTGCCACTCCCTTCACAAAATTTCCATTCAAAATATATGTTAAATTTGGGTTTGTAGAGAGTGAAGTTATTTCTTTCAAATTCGTATAGGCAGCCGTTGCATGAAAATTTCCTAATAGTCTCTGTATATTATTCGTATCACCAAAAAACCAATAATATTTGCCCTTATAAATAGCATTCATGACACTGTCTTGTCCAGTGACTTGTGCGTTCAATAAAAACTTTTGTAAAATCGTGTCGTGTGAAATATTTGGCACTTGAACTTTTCCAAGAAATGAATCTCTATAAATTCCTTCTCCAGTGACTCGATACAATCTCTCCGCAAGTTTCAATCGTTTCATTTCCAAAACAATGGGCAAAGAAGAAGAATGGAAAGGAATTGAAATTCCACTCACTCCCACCACTGGATCACTTCCGTTCATAAATTGATATTGACCATCACTTGGAATGGAAATCCAAATCGAGTGCCCAGAGAGTCCTGGCTCAAGCATGGCAATGACTCCGTTCGAATCACTCACATAGGTGATGTCACTCGTTGTGGAGATTTGAATCATCGGAATGCCTCGTTTGGTTTCGCTATCTATGAATTGAACAAGTTGAAGGAACGGATGTTGTTCAAGGGCAATAGTTGTGGCTGATGATGCGGAAGGAATGGCATACATTTTTGATATTGGGTGAGCCGAAACGGAGAGAATTGGAACCGAGTGTTTGTGATGATGGTTGTGATGAATCGTCGTTGTCAAACCAAGAGCGAGCCACACAAGAAGAAGGAACAGTTGAGCTATTTGCATTTTTTGTATCGAAATGGCACAAAGGTGCAATGGTTCGAATCATTTCCTCAATACCTCTTAGAAAGAGAAATAAATATTATTATTGTTGGGTCTTTTGTTTTTGTTGTTGCATTTTCTTCCAGAGGAGAGCCTTTTCGAGAATCTTCAAATTGGCCTTATTGGTTGTTCCTTCTGCCTCGTCATCTTTAAAGACATAGTCAACGTATTCGGTCCATCCTGAGGCCTCTCCTTCTTGATTGAGAACTTTCTTCTTTCGTCGAATCTTTGTTGGTTTCTTTTGTTTTAATTTGTCAATCCTTTCTTGATTATTTTCGAGAGATTCCTCAAATGCAATCCATGACAGTAATAATTGATATCGTTGTTCTCTTTTGGCAATTTGGGCCTCCTCATCTGCAGTTTGTTGTTGACCTCCTTCTTCTATGGAACCCTTTTTAAAGTACGTGTAAGCATCTTCATAAACTTGGCGTGTTCGTTCAATGTTATCTATTCCTAGACTTTTTTCAAATAGTGCATAGCTTATCCAAACTTTAACATGTTTAGTCTTGTCGAGAAGTCTCTTGAATAGAGCTCTAGCTTTGTCATATTCTTTTTGTTCAATTTCAAAATCTATATAACACTTCCAAATGAGTTCTGGCATATCTAGATTGGGTTGGCTCACTGCCAACTCATAAATTCTTCTAGCTCTTTCAAATTCCTTAACCTTTTGTTCTAATTCTGCATAATTCTTCCATGACTCACAGCTCGAAGGCGACACCTCAAGTTGCTTTTGGAACAGCTGTCTCACAGTGTCAATATTTCCTAACGATAATTCAACTTTGATGTATTCTTTGAAGATCTTATCTTTTGGAAGGCACAATACAGCTGCATTGAGAATTTTTCTGGCATCATCAATATTTCGTTGTCTAATTTCGAAATGAGCAAACATGATCCAAATTTTAGAGAAGTTAATATTGGGAGCAGAGTATTCTTCGCTTCTTAGTAGCTCTAAACATCCTTGATAGACTTGTCTCGTTCTAGTAATATTCTTTGCAGTCAATTCTTCGAATAATGCGTAATTAATCCAAATGTAAATATATCGTTTCCAGAAACGTTTTTCCTTGAGTGGTGGAACATTTGCAATGGCCCTCTCGAATAAATCTCTTGTCTCATCAAGATTGTCAGATCCGTTGTGTTCCATTGTCATTTGTAAATACTGAATCCAAACATCATAATTGTTTGGATTTTCTTTGAGCTCATTTTCAAATTCGAATCGCTTCTTGTTATAAATGACGTTTTCAATGCTGTTAGCGTCTCCAAATTGCTTTTGGAAGGAAATAAATTTCTGATAGAGGCCTTCAGCATAGTCTTTTGGCACACGGTCAAGTAAATATTTGTAAATTGCATTAGCTCTTTCAATTTCATTGTTGGTAACCTCAAATTCGGCAAAAGCAATATAGAGACCGACTACCTCGTCCAAATTTTGTCGAGTGAAATTTTGTGCTTTCAATAACACATCAAGATCAAATAACGTGGTTGCTCTTTCAAAAATTAATCTTGCTCTATCTTTTCCTTCTTCTTGGCCATACTTTTGCTCGAATTTGGCATAATAAAGCCATGTCTTGATTTGGGGATGCACTCTTATAAATTTTTCACACACTATTCTTGCTCTTTCGATTTCACCATATCTAAGTTCAAAGCTCACATAAGACTTCCACCCTTTTTCGTCTGGCTGCCACTCCATCCATCTGTCAAACAACTGCCTTGCTGCATTGACATTTTTTAGCATTTCTTCCATGTGAATGTACTTGTACCATAGCTGATCGATACGAGGTAGCAAGCTGACTGCTCTATCCCAAACGTTTCTTGCATGATTAATAAATTTGTTTCTCATTTCCATTTCTGCATATCTTAACCACAGACTAATCTCCCGATAATTTACATCAAGTGCTCTTTCAAAAACTGATCGTGCTCTCTCAAGTTGGTTTTGTTTTTCTTCCCATTGAGCATATCTAATATAATTAATAATTCTATATCTATTCTTCCTAATGTTGTCTTCATATTGTTTTCTCATCCGAAGTCGATACTCCTCCAATTCCTCCATATCCTTGATGTCTAGCTTCGGAGCAACAATATCCTTTTCAGATCTTTCATAGGCCTCTCTGATGATTTGTTCAGCCGTAATCTGCAAAGGAGCACTCCGTTTATCCTTCACCTTTGATGTACGGGATCTATCAACATTTCCATAGTTATAGGTATATCCCGGAGGTAAATTTGTATCATCTTTCTTTTGAAAATCTCTATTTCGTTTCTTTCCATGTTTTTGTTCCTCCTGTTCTCGTTGCTTTTTTTCGTATTGTTGTTGCCGATCAATCCTGAGTTGAATTTCGTTCATTTTTTTTAAAATAATAAAAAGAAAAAAAATTTAAAAACATTGAACCTGAAGACAAAGCCATGACGTTCATCGTCCGCTCCATAAGATTATGAAAATTCTAAAGAAATCATCATAAAAAACGAGTGATGATGAAAACCTTTTTTACTCTTTTATCGGATTTAAGCTTTCACAGTGGGATCCCTAATGTCCAAATTAATACTTCAAGTTGATAACCAAGCAATTTTCTAAAATAGGTATTTTGAGAAGATGAAAAGAAAAAATTGAACAATCCACAACCATGATGCAAACATCACCAACCACCCTGACATCAACTGACGGAAGAATTTTCAACCAAACACAAGGAAATTTTGTCCTCATCAACAGTTTTTGGCTAATTGTCAGCACCTGCCTCTTGTCAGCGTTAGCCCTTGCTTTCATATTGTATTACTATTTGAAACAACATCGCCAACATCAGAAGGATGCAAGTGCGGAGTTGGCAGATGACGAATTGCCAGTCATGTTTAATTCGTCACTCGATTCAATTCTTGAAAACTATGAAAATTGCAAAATTGTCAACTCATCGACGTTGACAGACATGGAACATTTCTTTTTCCAAAGATTTGGAAGGTAAGTCAATTACACGATTTTAACCCTTGATGGATGTGACTTCATCTTTGCATTAAAGCGAATTGTTTTTGGGAACTCATAATTTGGCAGTAGCAGGTAGTTGCAACTTTTCACCCTCCGTAAAAAAAAGAAGACATCACTATTGAGAAAATGCTCGAGATTTGTAATGAAACTGTCAAAATACTGCAATATCGACATCCCATGCTTACTGTAGTTCCAATTATCAAAGATGAGCATAAAAGTTTGATTCAACAAGAATTCGCAAAACGATGGAAACGAAAACTGAAAGATGAAACTCGAGAAGCTATTGTAAGAAGAGTTTGGGAAGATTTTTTCATTCTATTGCCCAACACCTTAGAATTTAAATTTGTGGAAAATATACCTGTTAAAATTAAGATAGATGAACCTTGTGATGTGAATTTAGAAAAAGTATCGACTGACAAAGAACTTTGTCAATATCGAGTGAAACAAGAGTTGAAACATAACTTTACATACAAACACAATTCATTGCATCCATTATGGTCCATGACTTTGACTCCTTCTCCCTTCACAAAAGGAAAGTTCATTTTGTCTTTGGCCTTTTTCCATGGTATCATGGATGCAAATGCCATTAAGCAAGTTATGACTGATTTTTCAGTGTTGATGGATTATTTCTTGTCTGATAAGAAAGATCCTTCTGCCAAGAAAGAAATTGATCAAATTGAATCGAACATTGAAGCACATCAATGGCTGACTCCAATACCTTTATCTCCCGTTGAAGCATTAATGAAAAAGTCTTTACTGAACAGCCAAACTTCTCATTCCACCACAGGATCGCCAGCAGATAATCCACGACTGTTAACATCTGTCACAAATTTTTACGAATTTTTAAAATTCCTATATGTCACAGCTTCTCATAACGGATTGAGACCAAAAGTATTCTTTCCTGTGAAGAAAGATTTTCCTGAGCCTTGTACATGTGATATTTTAGTGAGACGGTTAGGTAGTGCAGAAACAGAAGTCATTGAGAAAATGTGCCATGAAAAGAATATCACTGTGACATCCTTTGTTCATGCTGTTTGCACTCTTGCTTGGACACTCTGTTTTGGAAATGTTGATGAACACTTGCAAGATTACTCTTTCACCAATTCTATTACAGTTGATCTTCGACCATGCCTGTTACCGCCTCTTAAATTAGACAGCAACTCCGCGACAAGAAATTATGCAGCATCTGTTTTTGCAGCTGTTTCTTTCTCTTTGGATAAGAACAAGTCTCAGAATGCTTCTGAACTCGATCAATTAATTTGGAAAATTTCTGAGGACACGAAAAAAGCTCTCGATCACAAATACTTCTTATCAATGGCTCTGTATCAATTCATGGGAAAGGTCATGTCTTTCATTCACAGCACCTTTGACATGAGCAGAAAACCATCACATCAAATGGTATTCAGTAATTTAGGAAAATTAGAACCAATTTGTGGAAAGAACGTCACAGTAGAACTTTCAGTTGGAGGTTACTCTTCATGTGGAAGCCAATGTGGCGTTTCGAACATTTTCTACACAAATTCCACAACACATGAACTGGAATTTTCCATTTGTTACCTAAATGCCCTCTCAGAGGAAGATGTTGTGAAATATGCTGACAAATTTACAGAGCTTTTTCGATTAGCTTGTGAAGAGTATGAGAAAAAGAAGAAAGAAGAATCTCAAACATCTCAACAGTAAATGTTCATAATATTTGACACTAAGACAGAGAAATGATGCATACACCTGATCATTTATTACCGCTTGATCCCAATTAAATCGGAAAGAAGATCTTTCTCCCAATCTCATTCATGTGGAAAATCTTGGAATTAACATTTTAGCTTTGGTCATGATTTTTGAATGGAATGAAAACGGAGAAATGAAAAAAATTCCATCAATTATTCGAACACCTTTAAATAATCAATTGATTCAGCGCCACAAGAACTTTTAAGAGTATTGATTACAACCATCAAATAAGGATACATGAAGGAATTTAGTTAGTAGTATTTAGAAATAATTTACAACAATGAGTTACTTCTTTTGAAGAGGAGTGAAAGGAGCATAGAATCGACATCTCAAAGTTCTAAATATTTCATGAAATAACTGTCAACAATCATTATGAATTTGTGAAAGTCAAATACTTACGCATTAATTCCCGAGCTGACGATATTGACGATTTGAATGAGCATTGGTATCAAGCAATACCTGAATAAATCACAAACTTGGAAAATCGAAATTCAAAAATTTGCACTTGATGTGTTTTGGATACCATTCTGAACAAAATACCAGCCAGAATCATCAACACCACCCAACATAGAAGGGAAAGGACTATTACAAGGGTTACAAATACGTAAACCATACTTCCAAGACTATTTCCAGTGGTATAAGAAATGATACTCATTACAAAATAGATTCCTAAGAGTAACATTAAGACACTACAAACGACGTGACAGCACATTCTAAAATCATAAAAGAGAAAAACATGTTTCACTCAAACTGTCAGACTTGACTCAACACATGAATACTAACTCTACTATCGGTGTGGAATGCGCTCGACTCTTGGGTGCAATATGAATCACATCAATCCATGAAAATAGCACATGCCTGGAAGCAATGAACAAAAACAGACCAGTGGAACTCTGTAAAACTGTGGCCGCATGCAAGAGCACTTCCAACGCGCATTGCATCACAAGTTTTCGAAGAATCTCCTCCAGTTATTTCTGTCATTTGACATTTCGAAGTCAAGGGAGGGCATAACAAGAATAGAAAACAGTATAAACAACAATACATATTGGAGTCGTTGAGCAATAATTCTAGGAAGGCTTCTTGTAGAAGTGACAGCAGAGATTTGATTCTTTCAACGACGTCCTCAATTTCTTTTTATCTTTGAGGAATAAAAGGTTCAATTTCAATTCCAATTTTAAAAAAAAAATTGAAACCCTACAACCCAATAATTCATCATCAAACTCAAAAATTCAATCCTCTTCTTTTCCTAAGAGTCTCAGAAATATATTTCATGTCCAATCAGCCCATACCTCGGAGAAGTCTTTCTACCATCTCTGCACCAAATCCATCGAATCCATCAAGTGGTAGTAGTGGTGGTGGATTTGGTGCTTTTCTAAAATCCTTTATGGGCACTTCGGTCCATGAAGGTTCTTCCACAACAAGCCTTTTGGAAGGAGAAGATCTTCGGTCCTTCAATGTTGCTGCTGATCAGAAAAGCCCGAGTTCTGCTGGAGCAAGTATGAGAAAATCTTCCATGATGGGATCCAATTCATCATCAAGCAATTTAGTGTCCAGTAATTTGATGAGCGGAGGAAGTGGTACTACCAATTCTTCGGATGGTCCAGTCCATATTCCATTAGAGAGTTTGGATGAACATATTGATTATTTATTTGAAAATTTTCCTGAAACGATGAGAAGATACTCGGAAGAGCAGTTTATGAACATGATCTCGAGATTTACTCAAGTACCAAAAGGTTTGTTTTTTAGGATATAGAGATCATCTAGTATTGAATGTGTATTTAATGTGTGAAATTATAATTTCTATTGACCATACACACATTTAGAAAATCAATCCGTAACAACCTCCACAACGTCAAAAAAGAATCAAGAATCTGTGCCTCTTTCCGAAGAGCAAAAACAAGTGTATTTCAACAAATTCATCAAGTTTAAATATGGCAATTTGGAAAAGTTAAATAGTGGAGAATATTCGAAAAATGGTTATATTTTCAAGAGAATTGTTTCTCCTTTTTTAAAAATTCGTAAAATTTCAATACGATGGGGAATATATATTGATTTCATTGGTGTAAGTGAATGATGTATTCAAAAATCGTAACCACTTAAATTATGGAAACTGATGATCAAAACATTTTTTGAAATATTGCCATTTCACCTTATTACAGATCTACTACTCCAACAATACGCTAAAAGCTTACGGCAATCCCACTGGAGGTACAGATGGAGCCGATGTTTTACTATCAGAAAATGAATATATTGTAAAAATATCAGGTCAACAACGAGAGGCATTAATTCAAATCAAATTTGAAACAAATACTGGAAAGGTATTTGGCCCATTTGGAAGTTACAACAATACAACAGGAGCTGTGCCTTTCATGTCCTCTGGACCTTGCCTTAAAGACATGTTTGTCTCGGAAGGCAGAGTAGGTCCAACCATTTTTGTCAAGTTTTTGGTTGTGACAGGTGTGGCTCCTGAATGGAGTGGCTCACCATCCTTTCAAAAGGGTATTTCAGAATGTTGGTCAGAGATTGCTCATATTCATGAAACTATTGAAACTCTTGCCAAAAAGTCGTGTATTAATAATCACAGCCTCAATAACTCCATCATAGACGAGAGTAGCAATGCTCAGACCGACTCGAGCATACAATCTCCAACTGAGGACGTCACAGATCATACATCTCTAACCAGTTCATTCATGACCACCAACTCTCACACAGTTGCAGTTGCAGACTCAAACAAAACTTGTTCGATAGGAGAAGTATATCAAGATGACATTATGGACCTGAGAAGATCACTTACAAAATGTTATGAACTACTTCAGAAAGTACATGCCAATGCAGAGATTCAATCTTCAACCTTCAACGAAAAGCTTTACAAATCGTTCCATAATTTATTTTCCAATAGTTCTACTTTGGCACCACCATCTAACGATTCCAATCATCATTGAACACCCGTCAATGAATCCCCACAATTGTGTAAAGATCAAATCTTCCTATCACTGCTGTGTGTCCTCACATAGTGGTAGCTCAATAACAACGCATCCTTCTTCTTCTTTCACTCAACAAGTTGGGTTTCTTTTCCATAATTGTTAGGGATTACAAATTAGAATCTGAGACCGACCCTAAAAAATGTCTCGGCACTCTTCTAGGCTCATCCTCCTGTTGATGAACCACATCAACAACAACAACTCTCTACGACACTCGTCCTCTTCTAGGCTCATCATCCTGACGATGGTAGTAGCCGTGATGATGCTCTTGTTTTCCATTTCGTCATTTTGTACAGCTCACGAAAGGACTGAAAACAATTACAACAACAACAACAACCTTGTTTATACAATCTATGCCACTAACTCTACCACACATCATAACGTAACAGCCTCTTCTTCTCAGACCGATTCAGGAACCTCTACGGAACGAGTGGTTTTAGTGTGTTTGTTATTATTGGTTGTTTCCGTTCTGTTGGTGGTGATGGTGTTTGCCATCTACTATTGGATGAAAAAGAGAAGAGAACGAAAGGAGCAAATGGAAGCCACTCAACAATTACCACAATCTCAAGAAATGAATAATCATCAAATTGAGCCATTACATAATGGAGGAAGGAAAGAAAAGAAGAAGGGTCATTTACACTTTGAAGACGATGTTTAAAAAAGTGTTTGGAATGCTTTTATGGAAAGTGTGTTATCCTCTGTTGAATATTCATGTGCTGTGTTAGAATTGTGTCATTCACCACCTGGCTATCATCATCGCTTACCTCTGTGGTTGATTAATGGAATTAATGGAACTGGCCAAGTCTTCGGTCTTGGCGAGCTGCAGCATGTTTAAAACTGAATTTGTTTCTTAGAGTGCAATATATATTTATTATGTTCAAAATTGGTTAAATTATTTTTCTCTTGGATTGTAATATTTACATCAATATCCGTAGTCTTGTTCCATTGATTCTTTCACGATTTAGTTATTTTAGCATTGTGACTCTTAAAGTGTTTGTTTTGATACTGTATCCTGTGTATAGAGAGTTCTTAAGGTGGTTGTGAAATAGACTCTAGCTTTTTTACATTTCATTAGAGAATGCAAACTGTACATCATCATCATGTCTTTCATAATATGAATCTTCATGATTGATCCGAGAATTTAAATGAGACATGAATCGAAAAATAAATAATAATAATAATCATAATCAATATGAGAAGGCTTGTCACACTCCCTCTTCAATGAGTCTTTTCCTTCAATTGCTGCTTTCCACCCTTTTGAAACATCTTTGGTCCCTCCATCACCACATACACCATTCCCATCACTGCCAACAACCACCAAGTGACATTCTCAAACAAGACTGCCGAATTAAACTTGTAATGTTCTCGATGAATCCAAAATGTTTGCATATATCGTTCATGAAGATGTTGTTGCTGTAAATCTTGTTCGAGAGGATTGGATGATTGTTGTTGAGAGAAAGAAGAAGCTTGTTTTGTGTGATTGCGTGGAGAAGGAGCAGAAACTGTAGAAGACGTTAAAGAATGAACACTTTGAATGAATTCAAACTCGACGACGAAGAGAATGAATACCACAAGAGTCAAGAGGAGAAGGCCTTTTGTAGCAAAAGGTGGTGTTGGTGGTCGTAACAAACTGATGCTGTTGTTGTTTTTCATTCTGTTGTTTTTGTTGCGTATTGGAGTCTTGCGTGATGATTGCGAGAGAAGCTTAAAAATCCTTCCAAATATATTTGAATTCAAACCACAGAGTTATGGTGGTTATGGTGGTTACGCGGTGAGTGAGTGATGGATCTGTGTTATGAGAGAATTCGTTATTAAACAAGGTTCCTCAACAACAATGAGAAAGCAAAAGAGCGGGCGATACAATGTGTGTGTGTTTTCTTTTCAGAGAGAATCATGAAGCGTCCCTCCTCTTCTCCTCGGGCATCAAGGAGCGGAATGCATACAGTGAAGCTGACGTCCTTTTGAGGACAAATTCCAATTGCCGATTTTTGGCGCGCTTCATGAGAAAAAAAATCGTTCCGATGGATGATGGAGGAGTGTTTAAATGGGGTATGAAAATTCAAGTGTTTCAGTCAGTTGATTGTCCAATTTTATTGAAAGCAGCTGCTTGAACGAGATTCATGAAGCAATTGAATATGACTGAGCAATTGCGTGATTCAATGAAGATTGAATAAGAAACATATTAGATTCAATAATGATTGGTTTAGAATCGGGATGGAAGGGGAAAGGGAATTCAAATATTGAACGACAGGATTGCTTGTTGTCATCAACATGTCTGATGACTTGCCTGTATGCGAAAGAACTGAGGAAAGCCTTTTGAGCAAATCTCAACCTTTGAGGCTTACATAAAAAAACCAAATACAGGATAGCTTGAAACTGGTGAACTTGTCAAGATGACATGAAGCTTGTGACAGCATGCCTAATTCTGAGTGGTCCTTTTTGCCTCGGTTGCAAAAAACATAATCAAAAAATTAAAAACATGATCACACCCCATCTACTGCTGATTGCTCTGCTCCTCTCTCTTTGCGTCCTTCTTCAATCATATGTTCAAATGTTGTTCACTCCAAGCCATCGTTGGAAAACATTCGAGCATCCTTGCCAAACGAGAGAAATCAAGGTAATCTCAACATTCCTGGAAATGAAGAATATAAATTCACGGCATACAACAAGCAAGAAGGAACCCCTTCACCCAACCAACCATTCGTTCAACAGTTACAAATTACAATGATACTCAATCAAACCACCTTGTTTTTCCATTCCAATCGCTTGTACGACAAGTATAAATGTGAAGAACAGAATTCAAATGTGATGGAGTTTAGATATTACAAGAGTTGTATTAATAGTGTGACCCCCAAATTCTTGATGGAATTAACAACAACTAATCAGCAAGGTCGTATATTATTAACCTTGTATGACACGTTTGATTCACCGATTCAAGTGTGTCTTACCGATTTGAGTTGAAGAAGCAACTGTTGAGTCAGGAAGAGAAGATTGATTTGATCTTTAATCACATGCAAAATGAAATAGCCATGTTGAAAGACATATTATGGTGTACAAGTACAAGGTATTATATTCAATCGATTGGTGTGACTTTTGATGATTGAAACAATAGATGAAGACAACAACTACAATAAGATTGATCCAAAAAAAGGAGTGAAGGTCAATATGGGAGACATGTATTATACTACATCCACAAGCCCAAATTTTTCTAACAATTATCCCAGTCAAATATTTTCAGGAGCGATTCAAATCACTTTTCCAAGACAGATCAATATCACACGTGTTGAACTTGAAATTAAGGACGGAGGTTCTTGCAGTTATTACATTAATCCAAATTCTGTCTCACCTTTTTTCAAATGGGGAAGAGAAATCTATGGCTATAATAATGGATATCTATATCCATTATTTTACGATTTTTCCTATGTGCAAACAACAAGAAGTGTTTCTCAACCACCTGATGGAGTCATCAAATTTACTTCCTTAATTTCTACGAGAAATACATTTGACATTCTAGTGATTGGAGTTTATAGTGGACGTAGTGACTCCAATAGATGTTCCTACTCAGTACGAAATCTTAAAGTTTTTTAAAATACAAGACATTGCATGATTTTCTTTTGACATGAATTGACAAAATTGAATGTGAAGAAATTTCAAAAATACTTACACGATAGTTGTGTACATCTAGATCCATCACTCCACAAATTCTATGGTGATCAGAAAAGTTTCCTTTCAACCACATCCATTCTTTTCAAAAAAACAATTACAAAAAATGTGTGCCAAATTACCCATCAATCAATTGTTAAAAAATCACTTAAATGATGAGCCGTTGAATTTTAAGGTGATGATGGTTGGAAGTAATAGAGTTGGAAAAACATGTTTAGGTGCACTTTTAACGTTTGGTCAATATCGTTCTCCAGAATATTGTCCAGCTCTTTGTGATTTAAGGCCCATTGAATATTCTGGAAATGGATTCACAACTGCTACTACTGGTCAATCTAGCCAATTCGCAATATGGGATACATCAGGAGGGGATGAGTAAGCGTGTTTTCTCTGTATGGATGAGTTATTTAATTTATTGACATGGAATGGCCATGTTCATTACCTTAATTAGATATGACATGTTAAGACCTCTTGCTTACCCAAATTCAGACATCTTTTGTCTTTGATTTAACGAGTATTGAGAAATTATTTTCAAAATGGATTATAGAAATTAGAAAACACTTTCCAACCATTTATTCTTGTGGGATGTAAGGTCGACATTCGATAGAATCCATCAGAATGTGAAATCGTCAAGTTAAAACATTTATTTCAACCGATTTCATTTGAAAATGGGGAACAATTAGCACGCATATTAGGATGCGTCACTTATTGGGAAACAAGTTCAGAAACTGGAGAAGGGATGAATGACTCGCCTTCATTGTTTGCACAAGTGTTATATGTCCATTATTATAGGGAGGAGTTGATGAAAAAAAGAGTATTTGCAAAACTCAATAAGGAAGGATGGTCAAGTGAGAGATTGAAGGTCTGTTAATGCAAATACTGTCAAATATTCAAGAACAAGCTTTCAAATTTCTGAATGTCTAATAAATTGTAGTGTCGCTCTCTTTGTGGCATTTTCAATTGATTGATTTCTCCATCATCAAAAGTGTTGTTCAGAAAAGTATTGAGATACCATATTGAGCAATATGGTTACAATTCATTAACATGTGTTAACCATATAAAAGTCATGTTCAGAAAAGTGTTGAGATACCATATTGAGCAATGTGTTAACCATATAAAAGTCATGTTCAGAAAAGTGTTGAGATACCATATTGCTCAATATGTTAACCATATAAAAGTCATGTTCAGAACATTGGCTACCTTGTCAAAATCTCAAAAAAAAATTGGCCATTCTGTCTTTGTATTACCACCAATCATCACAATGAAGATTCTACCTTGCTCTCTCATATGTGGTTTCCTTCTTTTTGTGATGATCCTTTGTGAAGCATCTGCCAAATGTCAAGCAGCTCAACTTCCACAGAGCCGTCTTTCCGTCGCTCTCTCTCAACACTTTTCATTTCTTTCTCTTTTACCACAATCTCAGGAACTTTCATCTAATTCTAATCATCATAATGATGATGAGGTAATTATTTACTTACCCAAACCAGTTTTCTCAGATTTTGATCCCTGGAAAGTGCCACAAGTTGGAATTCCACAACAATATGTCGTGCTCATTGCTGTATCGGTTTCCGTTATTCTCGTTGTCTTTTTCCTTGCTCCATGTATCCTCTCATGTTTGGTTTTATGTATTGCCATATGTACAGTGAATACAGACAGATATCAAAGAATGACTTTTGACATGATGGATCATTCCACAGAAATGAAAAACAATTCAACTACGAGTCCATATCCAGTGACCACCTTGAATTCCGGTTGGTATCGATCCATTCATTCAAGATTGTTTTACACAACCTCCAAAGATTGTAAATGGATACTATTTTCCGTAATCACTTGGTTGCCAAGAAAGATTTGTTGTTGTGGTTTATTGGATGCATGTTGTTTTTTACGTTTGACAAGATTTCATGTGAGAAATATGAGAGTTGGAAATAGAAAACTTGATTTGGATATATCTGACACTTGTCATTCCATGGCATTCATTTATGCCATTAATCATTTGTTAAATGTTTACACTTGTGGATTGTGGAAAGCTTTGGGATTGATGCATCATTTCTTGTTGTCAAAACTCGATCAGAGATTAATGTGGAGAGAAAAGGAGGGCATTTATCCACAAGGAGGTCAAGCTACTTCTGTCACTTCTGAAAATGGAAATTCCACAACCCCTTATTACTCACATGATGTCATCACCCCAACACCTGTCAGTGATCAAAAAATAATTTGGAACGAAACTGAACCTGGATCCTTCCTTTGGTTCAGTGCTTATTGCGGAAAATCCGTCGAGCTCACTCACTGGTTCTTTAACTTCCTTAACGTTTTCACATGTAGTTTTTTGGGTCCAATTATTAAGGCATGGTATTTGAGGCATTTGATGCGAAATGTGAAATTTGGAGGAAAAGGTGAATTTGTATTGGTCGAAGAGGCCACTAATCGAATTACGAGTCGAATCGCAAATTCTCCAAATCGAATCATGTTGAGAAGTGAGTTAGAGGGATGTGATTTGTTTTTGAGAGAGTTTTTATTGAAAGTTTTGAACTTTTTGACTTGTGGCATTTTTGGATATTTGTTTGGAGACCGTTTTATCTTGTCTTATATAGATGACCATATGAATCTGGTTGGAGATTATTAACTTGCATCGCAATAAGGTCGAGCAACAATCTTGACGAAGAAAAAGAAAATAAATGACATGACCTTTTTTCTGACATTTGACGTTTTGCCTTTAAAAAAATGTCTCACTCTAGTTTTGTGCCTTCCGTTTCGATCCCAACAACAACAATAGAACAACAAGAACCCATCTTCAACAACCACCATAACAACACTCGTTCTTCGGAATCCCCAAATCCAAATCAGGAAATACTAAATTCTCATCATCATCATGACAACAACCATGAAAACGACGAAGAAGAACGCAATGACACATCCATCATGACTACTCCTCGTGAAATTCGAGAAATTCACAAAAATTCTACTTCTCATCATTATCAGCAACGAGTTCACACAACAGACGACGTCGTGACGCCATTTTCAACCATTTTTGATTTGTATCATAAACATCGGAATTTAATTCTCGAAGGAGACAAATTAGCCATCTTACATGTACTTTTATTTGTTTTAATTTTTAGCGTTGGATGTTTTTTGGGTGCATTGGTGTTGGCACCTTTATTTTCATGGATGTTTCACTCAAATTCAAAAAGTTCAACACTTGTGAATGAGGATTTACCTAAAATGACACAAGAGTTTGTGTCACATTCAGTATTGAAATGGATGAAATCTAGAGCTGTGAAAATAAATTTGGATCATACTCTCTATGCAGGAGTTTCCATCGAAAGAGATGATGAACAATTTATTCATTTGGATAAAGACATTCAAAAGATGGAAGGAGAAGAGAGAGGAGAACGAACCAGAGTACCTGAATTTAGAGAAAAATTGCCAAAGAGTAGTATATTTTTCAAGTAGTAAGTTGTTCATTATGATTTTAATTGAATTTTTATAAACCATTGGTTAAAATGTTGTTCAATTTTCATATAGTTTCATTTCCAATGCAAGACCTGTAAAATTAGCTGGTTCCAAAGTGTTACCAAAATCCATTTGGAAATGCTTCAAGACAGGATGGGATGACACTTTTCTCTCAAAAATTTCAAAACGAACATTTTACACAGTGTCACGCAAATATCACAAACATGCCACTGATTCTTCTTCGCCACAACCACCACGCTCCAATATCTTTCCATTATTACATCAAATCGGAGAAGAATTCCCTTTTAAATCGCATCAAGAAAGTGACAGTGCGTCACAACGTTTAAAACGTGATGAAATGATTCAATTAGCGTTCAATGAAAGAAATCGTGACAAACAATCCCAACAACAAAATTCAGAAAATACTGAAGAATCCAATAACATGGTATCTTATGAATCATTAATTTCCAAAGAGGATTCAACAATAGAACGAATAATTTCTCTTCAACACATGATTGATGATTTATTGACAGATACTGAATTACAAATTGAAAATTTTTTACAAAATCCAAAATTGACATTTGAATGGAAACAAAGTACATGGCAAGCTCTCATGGATCATTATTTGAATTATGAAAAATTAAGATCCAATTATGTGCCAGGAGGATTTATGATTCCTTATCAGAAAATTTATATTCAAAATCATGTCAACACTCCTCAAGAAGCAAAAATGGAAAAGCTTTTGAAATCGAGTATTCCTATTGCTCCTTCTTTTCTCAATGATACACTTCATTTACGTTCCATTTCCATGAGATTATCATACTCTGATGAATTTTTGAAAAACAATTTTGTGTTGCCCATGGTTCAGCTCAATAAGGAAACTTTATTCATTCAAGTGAAAGGAAAAACAAAATTCATGTTATTTGATCCATTTCATAACCAAATGATGGAACCACAAGCAAAGACATTGGATTGGAAAATTGAAAATGACAAAGTGGATGGTCATATCATTTACAGTTCTATCGATCCTTTTCATCTCATTGAAAATGAAAAAAAATCCTTCCTGTCAGATGCCATCGCCTTAACTGTCGAATTGGAACAACATGAAGTCTTATACGTTCCTACCTTTTGGTGGGTTCTCGAAGTCGGTATTCATTCAAAAACTGAAGAAAATATTAACTTGATGCTACGACAAGAATTTGAAACTCATCATGCCATGTTAAATGTGTTCATGAATGGATTGTTGAGACATGTACAAGATGAAAGCAAGTTGTTGACAGTGGAGACTCAAAAACGACCTGTCAAATTACCATCGGTGGATCAGTAAAGTTTTATTTTGTAAATTAGTGATTTACTGTAAAATCTCGACTGTAAGAAACGTTTGCCCGTAAGCAACCCCAAAAAAAAATAACCAATATCTCTCCATGAACTCTCAACCGTCAACAGTGCACGAACAGGTGCTGGATGAGGGAGTTGGTATTGATTTTCTTGATTTGCCTTTGATTGATTCAGATACTCAGTCAATGGTCACAAATAAAGCTTTATTAAATACAACTTCAACAATAGCATCATCAAATTCTTCATCAAGAGGTCTGCAAATACTTCTCAATCTAAAGACAACCGCTTCCCGGTGTATCGGAATTGTTGGAGAATGTGTTTACGAATGAAAATCCGGAAAATGCTCATCCTGTGATGATGTTGTACACTCGTGAACGTACAGAGAGTGGAGGCTTTCGCATCCAAACCACCCAAAACTTTCGCTAATTAAAAATAGCCGTTATTAAAAGATGGTATGATGTTGAGAAAAATTGGCAGGGTAAACATAAGCACTTTTTTTGCCAAAACAATCATTTACCCTCGATTGTTGCTTACGGGCGAGATTTTACAGTACTTGATGGGGTACGTTTTTGTGTGACTTTTGGAGATGTACTGAAGCTTGTCACTTGCCATCATGAGGAGAACTTTGTAATTTTGATGCACTAAGCGAGTACTTTCTTACGAAAGAGTTTTATCTCTTCGGTGGTGATTTGTTGATTTTCTTTCGACATCTGTCAAGAAAAGCCGTAGAGTTTAAAATCAAAAAAAAACATTGCAACTTGATTAGTTTTCTTGTTGTTGACTCTCGAACAGTTGTTGTGAGCGATATCTGAATTTGTTACTCTCCATTCAACACTCTTTTCATATTTACTTTGGTGTCTTCCATTTGACATCTGACAGTCACCCAAACACTGTTCCTTGCTGTCATTCAACATGTCCTCCTCAAGCAAATATCCAGGAAAATCTCTCAAATCTCTCATTTCCTCTCGTTCAGAAATTAATTCCAAATTTCCTCATCTCTATGATGCCATTATCATCACTTCCAACGGAGATGCCATTCCATTCTTTCAATTATTCATGCAAATCAATGCTCCAGACATTGCACCACTCAAAAAGGAAAAGAATGGGGTTGTGACTTACAAAGTCAATTACGACACTGAAGTGACCATCAAAGCGCTCGAATACATCTTGACAGGTAAAATCAATAAGGAATTTGAAAATTACAAAAAAGTTGAAGAATTTTTGAAAACTTCAGGAACCCAATCGGCCAAATGGATCAAGTACACACTTCCAAACATTGCCGACAAGTTACCACTTACTGATGTTTGTTTGAAATCAAAATTGTTGAAACAACCCATTCAAATGCATCGATTGGTGATGGCCAGCCATTGCACTTGGTTTCGAACTCATTTGGCCAAAACTGCTCCCTCTGCAAACAAACCAACCTCTGTTCCTTCCATTCCTTATGTGATTCCTGAAACGTATGTGAAATACTTGACACAAAAAAAGGAAAATTATTTCACGTCACCGTTGGAATTGGATTTGGACTCCTTTGAACCTCCTTCTGAAAAGCATATTCGAGCGTTGGTTCATTTCTGTTACAATGACGACTTGGATGCAGCTTGTGAAAAGTTTGGAATCACTTCTGAAGATGAAATGAATCAAATGTTTCAATTTGCTGAGAAAATTGGTTTGATTGGCATTCAAGGTGAATATGCGAAAAGACTTTCTAAAAACATGTCTCTTCAAAATGTTGGAAGAATTTTCAGCTTGTCCACAAAGGGAGAGGAACAAGAGGTGCATGATAAAGCTGTTCAATTCATTTTATCAAATTGGAGTGTGTTGAGAAAGGGTGTTTTGAAGAACCAAATGAATTCAGAGGAAGAAAATCTCTTGTATGAGCAAGTGAGTGGAATTGCAAACATGTTTTGTCTTCACAAAAAGAATGGTTTGATGTAAAGGAAATGACATGTGTCATTTTGAAAACTATGTAAATAAACAGAAAAATCTTGAATGTTCTATAGGGTCACACAAAAATTTATCATGCAATTAGAAGAACATTGAAAGTACGTTCAAGAATAAATGTTTAGGATTTTAAAATTTTATCATTTTAAATTTGTATACTTTTTCTCCTCGAGTTTTCTTTTGAATTTCATGTTCGCCCTTAGAAAAGTCCACAAATTCATTTCCTAATAAGTGGACATTGGATGTTGTGGTGTTATTGTTTGTTTGTGGAATGGGTAACTGTAGTGCTTGAGATGGATGAAGATGTTGCATTTGTGATGGATAGGCATTGGGAGTGATGAATGGACCCGTTGAGACCTGGTTGTTGTGACCTTGTAAGTTATTATTGTTCATTCCATTATTACTGTTGTGAATATTATTCATCATGTTGTGATCTTGAGAAGTCGACGATGTGACACTTGTCTTCATATCTACATCTTCCAATGAAAGTTTTTCAAAGAGTGAAACATTACTGAATCGTCTCTCAAGAATGGAAGGAGATGCTGAAGAACCACCTCCCAAGCTCATTGGAGAGTTAGCTCTACTGTGTTTCATCTTGGATTGTTTCTTAATCTTATTTTCATTAAGAAACTTGCCATTGTTAGCAGCGGTGGCAGCAGCGATCGAGTTCCACACTTCTTTTGCTGAAATTCTTCGAGAATGATGTCCACCACTGGTGGAGTAGTGTTGTTGAGCCATTTCCTTCTCTGCAATGTATTGCTTTATACTTTCTACATTTTCAACCACTAACACAATATTGTCTTTTTTGTTATTAGTGTGATCTTGTTGCGTCTGGTTGTTATTGTGACGCTTCTCGTGTCGAGTTGTTGTCTCTACCACAGCAGAGGTCGTTGTTGCTACCTTCACTATCGGCGAAGAGTGTGAAGTATCCATGTGGTTACTGTTGTTCTTCATAACATTTATCGTTGATGAATGTTGTTGGTCTTGGCAAGAAGTGCTCGCTTGATGATTGTTGTTGGAGCATGTGTTTGTTTGCGTTGTATTGTGGCTTTCTCCAGATTGAGCAGAATTGAAATTAGATTGTCTATTGGGAGCCTTTCCCCTGTTTGGCTTTCGTACATTCTCAGCTGGACATACATTTTGATTGATGACAGATTGATGAGTTTGGTGGTTTGTACTTATTAAGGACTGTGTATTAAAGTCACCGTGAGCAGATGAAGAAGAATTCTTTGGTGACATTGAGCATCCACTAGAGTCTGAGTTTGTTCTTAAAAGAGACTTAGATTGCACAATTCGAGTTGATTTCTCATGCACATGGTGAGAATGAGGAATGTTGCTGTGATTTTGAACGAATTGTGAAACAGTTGTTGGTTGAGGTGAAACATTCACTGCTGATTGTGAATTCAGCCGAAATTCGCATGCAACAGATGGATGTGGTTGTAGTTCGGATGATGGTTGGGAATGAGTGGAGTGTTGAGTGACATTCTTTTGATTCAAAGCCACGAGAATGGAGGAAGAAAATGACACATTTGGTGGAGAAGATGCTTCTTGTGGCATGGTGTCGAAAGAGGGTGTCATCGACATTGGTGACATCTCAGTCATACCTGTACTATCACCTCGGAACCATTCTGAAATCGAAGGCAGTATCTTTTGAGATGTGTCCACAAGATTATTGGTGTAACTGTTATTATTTACATGTTGTGGTTTGGAAGAGAAGGGAGAATGATTATGTTGTTGCTGAGGTGGAAATTGATAATTGTTAAAGTGTTGTTGATGATTTGAATGAACCACCATGGAAGGATTGTTGTAAGAAGATGAAGAATTGGAGGAAGAAGGAGAGGAATAGAGATGTTGCTGCTTGGGAGGAGTGAAAGGTTGAGGAATGGAAGGATGAACCGATTGACTTGAAACAAGTGAAAAGTGGGATCTTGAAGGATCTTGAAGATGAGCTTGTTGGTTGTATGTTGGCTGAGAAGGTTGGTTCAGTGACATGATGGAGTTGTTTGTTGTTGTCGTAGTTCGTTGTTGTTGTTGTTGTTGTTGTTGTTGAATGGGAATGTGGTTGGAGTGGTAGTTACGGTTATTATTATTATTGGGTGGTGGTGATGAACTAGAATCGACAATGGTTGTGGTGTTGACAAGGTTGTAACCATTGTTATTATTATTGTTTGGTAAGAATAACTCTGGTTCAGATGGTTGGAAAGGAATAGGTTGTTGAGAAACAACAGTTGCTGAGACAATACTGATTCTTCTGTCCATCATTGTTGGAGATTGCAGTACTCACTCTTCTTTCAGAAAGGATTGAGGATTGTTGTTACTGTTGTTGTTGTTTGATGCAACAGAGGAGATGCAACGAGTTTTTAAAAAGGTCAGCAGAACGGATTGCTGTTGTCGGTGAATTGGTAAACTTTTGTAGTGGAGCGAAATCTTTGGAAGATCTTTCAGGTTACTTTTTTGGAATATTGAGTGAAATGAGAAGACAAGTGATAGGTCCAAGAAAATAAACACACGTGTGAGGTGAATTGTTCTAAATAATTCCCAAAAGAGAGAGGTTGGCAATGCTGAGTGTGTTTGGTTGGTATTGCAAGTTTTCAGGCTCACTTTGGATGTTGTTTCAATGTTGTCAGCAGTATTGAGTATTGTAAACTAGATAAATATATTGGCAACAACAAAAAAGGGAAAACAAAGTCCTCGGCCAATTTGAAATTTGGTATTTGAAACGAAGATTGTGAACAACACTTGGTTCACTTTGTCCAATAATGAAAAGAGAGGCCAAGACAGCCCCGAGATGATACTTCCTGATGATGAGAAAAGTCAAAGCCGAACTTGATGATCGAGATAGAGGAAAATAATGATGTTGTGTTTCGCAATTTACTATCCCAGCTTCCACAGAGAGAGAAGAGGTTGTTTTTTTGTGTAGGACGTTCTGATTCAAGTGTGTGTGTCTGTACGGATGAAACAACTGACAAGCAAAAGATGGTGTTGACGCATTCGCACCAGCATAAGGCTACCGATTAACATTTTTGTGATATTTTTACAAAAAAATAGCTTCTCGCGCCAACTTTCAAAACCTTTCAAACGAGTTTCAAAATAAGAGAAAACATTCCGATTGGGATAAGAATTGAAAAGAACACAAGCAGTAACGCCACAAGTTGTCTTCCATCAGATGTAATTTGGATCCTGTTTTTGCGGAGGAAGGTCTAGTTGGCTCAAACAAGAAGGTTTGGAAATGAGGTCCTTTTGCGAACAGAAGGAAACAATGTTGCATCTCGACGAACGGATGTTTCGTTGGTGATGCAGTTCGTGATGCAGTCTCTCCACCCTTTTGCAGCGAATCGTCGAACTTGGAGAGGAACTATACTGAATGCTCAAACAACTACGGAGGAGAGTGGGTGAAATGAACATCGATGACAAGACGATACAGTAGGTTGATTCTTAACGTTGGAACTGAAATGGTAAAACGATGAGTAGATCTGGCATGACCAGGGTTGAAAACACAATTTTGTGGTGCTTTGGTTGACAGTGAAAATGGGCATGAAATCGAAAATGTATAAACCAAGAAGAGAGATGCCCCACTCAAAATGTAATGACGATACCTTTGGCAAAACGACATGTTGAAAGCTCTCGCTCCTGTTCGTACGATTTGCTATAGTTCTTTGGTCATCTTTGGGATGATTCAAGAAGCAGGCATGATCAATGACCGAAATAAATTTTTTGGCCAAAACAGTCATTATTGAAATAAATTTGTAAATAATATGTTGAACTTGAAGATGTTGACTTATGGAGTGAACAGTTTACAGTGTTGGGTTACAAGTTGAAGGTGTTCATTTCTTGCTTATTCTTTGACCATAAACAAAATCGACTGACAAGATTAGCCATGATATTTGAAGAGATTCCAAAATCCTCGATAATCACTTTTTGAACGGTATCTTTCAAAACAGAACATGGATGATATGAAGCTTTTAGGATTAATATTTGTCAAAGTTGACACCATTTAAGGGATGTATCTATCTTGTCTCCTTTTTGAACGCTTGGCTATGATGAGACATATAACAGAAATGTTCAGGAGTAATAGAACTTAATCATACGAATGGAACTTGCTTATCCTTTTACCCTTCACAGTGGTGGACCTCTTGCAACAACAGCGAAAAATTTCGTTTCCCTCCAAACATGACCGTTTTTCTTTTGAATTCACTTCTCTTGCAAGAGCTGTTTTTCACTCTTCAAAAAAAAACATTGAAAGGCTTTTTCTCAAGCTCGTCATCATGACTCGACCTAGCAATTTGAAGGCTAACTTATTGCTATCACCATCTTCTGATCAAGAGAATGAAGAAATAATGAATGTAACTACAAAAAGGTACAGAAAAGGAGTGAGAGATCACACGCGTGTGCAACGAGTTCGGCGAGCATCAAAGGATGCTGCTTCTTCATCACCTCCTCATATCCCATTAAAGGATATTTCCCTCCTCAACCTTTCTAACAAGTCGAACATTGTGGCTAATAAACAGCAGCGATAAAGATGACCGTTATAACGACATGAACACTGACGACGACAGTGATTCATTGGAATTAAAATATATTCTCATTGAGAATACTGAGAGCAGCGACGATGAAGAGATGGCAGAAGAACAAACACAGCAACCATCTCCACACGAAACATCTTTCAATCTTGTTGATCTTGATGAATCCATATCGAGAGAACAAACGAAAAAGTATGATGGAGAATCATGATGTAGACACTGACAAAGAAGTCTCTTTCACACCAGTTCGTAAAAGACTGAAACGAAGATCTTCAAGAGCCATCTCACCTCAACAGAGCCGTATGTTGAACAGCCCTGTTTTTGCATCCAATACCACTGCTGATACTAAGAATGATGATGTTGACGTGTCACTCACACTCAAATCTTACACTGCAAAGACAGCTCCAATCAAAAAGGGTCCCTTAAAGAAAAAAGAATCAGAATTGTCCGAAGATAGTGAAGAGATACAATCAGATGAGGAATGTTCGTCAGAAAAAGAAGAGAAATTAGACGATGAAGAGGAAGAAGATGAAGATTACCATGAATCAAGTGATGATGAGGATATCAATTCTTCTTCAGACATGGATGATTTGACTGATGAAGAGCCTGAGCTTTCTGCCGATAGCAGTGATCATGAATTGGAAGTCAAAACCAGATCCTCTAAAAGAAAACACAGTACAGTATCCATAAAAAAGCAAACAAAAAATCTAAAGAGGTGACTACAAAGAAAGCTATTGACCTTGAATCTACTAAGGCTTCAAAGAAAAAGCCTCAAAGAAAGCCATCCACTCTGCAAGATTTAAACACACTCGAGAATGGTTGGTCATTCGATGTAAAGAACAATCAATATATTTTAGAACTCGATGGAGACCCATTTGGATTTATGGTATCAGCCAAAATTTATGAAGGCTTGTATAATCAGCAACAAATTGGTTTGAAATGGCTCAAAGAACGACACTTTGATTCGAATTTCAATGGAGGCATACTAGGAGACAAAATGGGCCTTGGTAAAACTGTTCAAATTTCATCATTCATACATGGCCTATTTCTTTCAAAAAAAGCCAAACGTGTAGTTGGTAAGTTGAGAATTTCATGAAATTGCATAATAATAATTTCCTTAATCTTTTTTCTCAGTACTCTGCCCAAATAGCGTAATAGGTAATTGGAACAAAGAACTTGAAAAATGGTCTGATGATACCATCCAGGATGTTGTCGTATTTCACAATGTGGGAAGTAACAAGGTTCAAAACAGAAAAAGAATCGGTATGGTTGAGCAGTTCAACAGGGCCGCAAACAATGGAGGTGCAGTTTTAATTTCCACGCTCCAAACAATAAGCAACCATATGGACTTTTTGAAGAAAGAATTTGTTGGAGATACCCTTATTGATTCAGTAATTATTGATGAAGCTCACAAGATCAAGAATGCCAAATCTAAGTGTCACATGCAAATAGCTCAACTTCCAAGCAAGTCTAGATTTGCTCTTACAGGTACTCCTATCATGAACAGGTTGAATGAATTATATTCCCTCTTTTCGTGGATGTTTGAGGTAAGTTTTCAAGTGTTATTTATCCATTACTATTGGGCTACCAATGAAACAGGACAAACTACTTGGTACTCTTAAAGACTTCAATGAAAACTATGCAATTTCAATTAACAGATCCACCAAGAGAGACGCAAGGTCTGTTGAAAAGCAGCTAGGCAACATTCGCGCTGACTGTTTGCGAGAGAAAATTAAACACTACCTACTCATGCGTGAAAAGAGTGAAACCTTGAAGGTAGATAATCAACTCTTCAAGAGTGACGTAAAAAATTCCAATACTTCAAGAATTGGACAAAAGAATGACTTGATGTTATGGCTTACTTTAACAGCTGAGCAAATTCAAATGTATAAGGATTACATCAGTTCAGACGAAGTCAAGAGAGTACTCAACAGAACTCAAAATCCACTTGGTAAGTTATTCATTACAATGCCAAATCTATATGATCCAGATTTTCATGAAAAGCTGGTATTACGATCATGAAACAAATATGCGACCATCACATCATGTGCCGAGGATATAACGAAATGCAAAAACAAAAAGAGCAAGCGTTGAAAGAAGCTGCCAAGGAGCAAGCTATGGAAGAAGACCAGAGAGATATTGAAGATATGAAGGATTTTATCGATGACGAAGACGAAGATGCAATTATGGGCTCGGACTATGGCATTCTTGATGCTGATGATCTTGATGAAAAAACCAAGAAAGCAATTGAAAGGAGGTTGAAAAAAGCAGAGGAGGATCGAATTTTGAAATGTATAAGAGATGAGCCAGTGGATGAGCTCATTAACGCGAGTTGTAAAGTCAAAATTGTCCAAGATCTAATTTTGAAAAACAGAGAGGAAGGGCATCGTTTATTAATATTCTCCTCATTTACAAGAATGCTTGATACTATAGCAATTCTACTAAATAGTTTGGACTTGAAATTTAATAGAATTGACGGCTCTATAACAAGCTACAAGGAAAGAACGAGATTAGTAGATGAATTCAACTCAGATGAAGATATTGATTGCTTTTTACTGAGCACACTAGCAGGAGGAGTTGGACTCAACTTGGGTAAGTCGATCCTAATCGTTAAATCTCTATTCATTACCAATATGCATACATTCTTGTAATCGAAAAGTTGGTGCCTCAAGAGTGATCATTATTGAGCCTAATTGGAATCCACAGCTTTATGAACAAGCGATCGATAGAGTCTATCGTATTGGGCAGCGCCAGAACGTTGTTGTTTATCGTCTCGTCACAGCAGGTACAATTGAGGAATATATTTATGGAAAACAAATTCCCAAAAATACTGTAACCAGAACGGCGACTGTACAGTCCAATCAGTATCGTTATTTTAGTGACTCAGATTTGCGAGAAATGTTCACTTTGGTAAGTGATCTGAATTGGTTTTGAATTTCGTCAACATATGCCTCATTTAGAAAGCTACCACTGTCAGTAACACATGTAACAGGTTGAACAAAATTCACAAAGATGAACGCAAGGATGCACCTGGCCTTGCAGAGCATATCAAATTTCTTGAAAGTTTAGACGGATTGGTAGGCATTTCAGATCATGATGTTCTTTTCCAAAAAGAAGCGGATGACGTAAATGAAGATTTGGCTCTTCAAGAAGAACTTAAACGACAACATCAACAATCTCAAATCAGAAAAGCCCGTGAAGAGTATATTCAACAATTAATAGCTGCTCGTGAAAAGCAAGAACAATTATTGGCGAATATTGGCCTTCCAGTGGCAAGTGACAGCCAATCAGGAGAGTCTCCAACATTAAGTAGCAGTACTGGCGCCGAAATCAATTCCAAGAGCTCACAATCGACCTCTTCGCGGTTAGCTCTACAACAAGATTTTGCTGAATTTTCAAAGAGACTTCAGCTTCAACTTGAACGAGCCTTGAAGCAAAAAGATCAAAGTCAACAACAACAGAAATGGATTTGAGTGTGTGCAAGCAAACAATATTTCAAATATAATGCTCTATTGTTTCATATTCGATATTCATTCAAGAATTAAGGCAATTTTTTTTTTCTTTAAGAGGAAAAAAATGCTTTCTCGCTCCTCGGAGCCAACCGATATTCCTGCTGGACCTCGGGGTGCTCTCATGTTCTTTGTATTGAATACTGTCTTGTTTTCAGGAGTTCTCATTACGAGTGTTGTCTGGTTTTGTATCAGTTTGAAAACCGACGATAGCTTTTCAGTGCAACAAATTGCTCGAGTGGAGAATGCCCGATATGAAACGATCGTGGTGAATACCTCTTCAATAAATTCGAAGGCATGGATTCCGAGAAATGATGAAGATTCTTCTGAAGTTTGGTATCGAGCAGAGGTGAGATATTTGAGTAATGAAGAGCAAACTTCCGAGAGGACAGCCCTCACAACTCCCTTTTTAGCTTCGCAGTATTCCAATATTCAGAATGGTTCTGTGGTGTTTTGTTATTCGAGCCGATCCCCACTCCTTAAAGGATATTGCTCACTAGAAAATGGTAGTCATTTATTCAGCACGTGGTTTGTTTTTACCTTTTTTTCTGGGCTAGGTTTTGGAATGTTTGGGGTCTCTTCGTTGTTCCTGTCTTCTCCAAGAAACAAGAAGAAGTCTTAGATCATGAGGATGGCTGGAAACCATATTTATCGCCGTGCAATTGTAAAATGAACAGGATGAAGCCAAGTGGAAATTTATTCAACCCATGAGTTGACTTTGAAGGTCGTGACGCCGTTTTATTTCAAGAGAATGGCCAAACAGTCGCCACTTCGCAATAAACTACGTGCTTTGGAGTTTACAAAATTCTGTAAATACTGTTCGTCAAGTTCAATCAATTTGTCGGGTAGATTCTGACTCAAAATTCCAATCGAAAGAATATCACTGATTTGAATGGTCTCTGGAACTTGTGTTGAATGGTTGTCGCAATATCGAACCGCATCAGCATATCTCTGTGCAACATTTTCCTTAAACATTTCCAAATAGCTCTTTGATGCATTCAATTCACGATCTTGATACAGATGATTTTCAATTTGCATCAAGCTGATCAAATTGAAAGCCTCATCCGATTGTCTCTTGAAACTAATTACTGTAATATTGCAATCCATTTCAAGAATTGGGTGTTCTAATCCGATATTGAATGGGTCCAACAGTTGATTCGAACTCGATACTTCTAAAGTTTCTGGCACATTGACTTGCGGGTGGGCATGTGACAATTCGTGTGGTGGTACAATTGTTTTTGAAGGTGTGAATTCTTTTTCTGAACGGTTTGGTGCCGCCGTCTTTTTCACTCTCTTATTGTTTTTGGGTGATTCGTTTGGAGAGTTTCTTCCAGCAGTGTTACTTGTCACATTCGATCCTTCCTCAGCACAGTTCTTTGATCTTCTCTTCTTATTACTTGGCTTGTTTTCATTCAATGGGTTTTTCACAATTCTTCCACTATTACCAGTACTCGAAGGAATGTACTCTCCTCTTGAATATCTCCACACCTTGTTAAAATCAGTGGAACACACAGGTCCAAATTCAATGCTATCAGCCAATCCTGGGAAAGTTTTCTTATAAATCTCAATATTACTTGCATGAACAAAGTAATTCTTTTTAAAACTCATGTTGGATCGTTTACAAATGACGCAATTTCTTTGTTCTGGATCAGGGAACATGTCTCGCACTGCATGCAAGCTGGCTTTTGAAGCAGCATCTTGTTCGAGTAATGGATTGGTTGTTGTTGAGGTTGACGCCTTTCGAGAGGAAGATCGCTTCGCCTTGATTCGAGGAGAAGCACTTGGAGAATTCGAAGAGGATGCTGTTTTCGAATGTGATTCGATTCGATTACGTGACTTGGTGGGAGGAGTACTTGTCGCAGTTGTGTGATCAACACCTTCTTGATTTGCTACTGAATGTGGAGTTGTCACAACGGTTGCAATGTTTGTGCTCGAAACACTTGGTGACGAGTGACTGTGTGGACTCTGCGATGAAGAGAAACTATTGAAAGTATCCAATCCACTTGAAAGCAATGACACAAAGGATTGTTCTTCAAAGTGATGTGAATCACAAGTGTTTGTGGTATTCATGAAAGAGCTGCATTGATTCAAACTGATTTGAGTTGGAGTCATGGTGGTAGTGTGAAGAGGATTCATGTTGGTGACATGTGTGTTGAATGGAATGGGATTGATAGGATCAGAACTGCTTAATAGTTGCAACAAGGCATTAACATAGTGTTGATCCGAGGAAGAAGAAGAAGAAGGAGGAGGAGTGGTAGGTGTTGTTGGAGTTGTTGGAGTTGTTGTTGTTGTTGTTGAGGTGGTCGTTGTGATCAAAGGATGACGTTGAGGTTCTTGATGACTCAAATGGCGAGTGGTGGTGACAACACGGAGAGGATTTGAATGACGCAAGTGTTGTTGATTCAATACAAAATGATGTTGAGGAGTGGGTGTTGTTAATGTGGGAATGACATGCAGTTGAGGTTGTGGGCGATGATTCATCATCATGATGGTGGGACAAGTCATTTGAGTGAGTAGTAAGGATTTCATAATCTCTGCAGAGGGAATATTCACACTCGAGTAGTGATTGCTGATGCCATTGATCAATTGGTTGTTACCTTTATGGACCACTTTGTGATTCTTCTTCAAGTGGTGGTGATGGTTGTTGTTGTTGGATTCGACCACATGTGGTGGTGGTGGTGATGAAGGAAAGAGAGATTCATGATCCATGATGGTGGTTGTTGCTGATGTTGGAACATGTCGTGTGATGAACATGGAGGAGCAAGTTTTGGTAGTGTTCGATAGGGATGGATGATACCAACAGGAAGAAGCATTGTCATCCTCCTCCTTCCCCTGTGCAGCAGCAGGATGCTCCAGAAGATCTCTCAAAGATGATGATTGCACTGACAATGATGGATTGACCAAGTTACCACTTTCGGGTAAAGTGTCTTTATATGGAAATGATTGTCCAGATGAAGCTCCGTGATGAACGTTGTTGTTCGAACATGTGGAAGTGGCAATAGTAGTAGTAGGAATAGTAGTAGAGGTAGTATTTTCTGCGATCTTGGCAAGTGATGTTTGTTGATGTAAAGTCCATTCATCATCATCATTGTCGTCCTCCTTGAACACATCGTATTGAATTTCTTCCTCCTCGAAGGAAGGATGACAAGTGGTGGTGTTGGTGGTATTAGCGCTGTTGGTAGTAGAGTTGGATGCCAATTCATTGCTTGGAAGTGTCAATAAGATGTCTTGATCGAGGAGTAGTAATGGTTGTTGTTGATGTGAAGAAATATCGTTATTTCTATCAACCTCTTGGGAAAAGTTATTGAGAATCTTGTTATTGAATGGATTGAGGACGACATGGTGAGAGAGTGTGTTGTTGTTGTTTGAGTGGTGTTGTTGATGTAGTTGTAGTTGTTGTTGTTGTTGGTTCAATAATAGTGAATGGAGAACATTCTGTTTCGTTGGAGTAGTGGAAGTGTTGGCGGAAGAGGTTGGACTGTAAGAAAGTGGTTGTTGTTGTGGATGGTGTGAAATATAATTCATCAAGAAACAGTGTTGAGAGAAGATTGTTCGAACAAGCGAGAGAGAGTGAGCGAGTGAGTGGTGTATGTGAAAAATTAGAAGTAATCAATGACAATGTGTATTTAAAAAGAATCGACAAGCAACAGTAGGAGGAGCGAAAAAGGCAACTGTATGGAACGTGATGAATGAATGGGTCAAGTTGAAATGCAAAATGAAAATTCTGAGTTTGTGTGTGAAGAGGTGTGTGGTTGTTTTTTTGTGTGTAAATTGACAGTGGCAGCTTTGAATCGAAATTCCACAAATTTTCTTACTCCAGCGAAGTGTGTTTTGAGTACATGTGCTGCTGAGAATTAAAGCTTCTGCTGAGATATCAAACTTTCCAAAACTGTGTGAATATATTGTCCGCATAATAAAAATGACATTTGACAGAATGTGCGTTGCAAAAACAAACTTCATGCACCGAATCTTGTCGTTTTGACATTCTGCTTGTGGGGATTGATTTGGAGAGAAACCATTTCTTTTCAACAACAATACTATGATCAAGTAGTAGTATGCCGTCGTTCACATAAACCTGAACCAAGGATTAGTGACGACATGACATTCAAAAAGGATCCTTCATTCTTTGCATTGTAAATTCTGACTGCCAACTGTTGTTGTTGATATTAGTGCACGTACGAAAGGGTGGCTATTCGATTTGGAAAGGTTAAAAAACAAAAGATGCAAACCCTGACCTAATTTCTACCCGAATACCCTAGTCACACATGTGAGAAAAGCGATCTTTTCAAACCGAATCGGTATTACAGTTGCAGCTCCATGTCTGGTTTCGCATGAATCTTCTTGTTCGTCGGCAAAAAAATTCATCGAACAAAACTTTAATGTATTTAAATGAGCTTTTTGGTATTATGATTCGAGCGGGGCAAGAGTCGAAAGGTTCACTTGATGGTCCACTTGACGATCCACAATCCACATTTCCACATTGTGGACCATTTAGACGTCAGTAATGAGAGAATGCATTAATAAATACGGTTGATTGTTGTATCTGACGATTAAATAATCTCGAATTCTGATCTCATGTGTTGTTCTTTCTCACCGATTGTAAAATATAGTTTCTATTTGGATTGTGAGAAGTGGTCCAAACAATATCTTTTCAAATGAAAAACAGATTGGGTACGTATAGTGAAGAAAGATAATACTGAAATGTATTAAATGTAGTATCTCAAGAAAAAACCTCACTAATGCAAAGTAACGTCCTCCTGTTGAAATCGTCTTGTCCTTTCAAAACAATTGAAACGCGCTTCTTTCAACCTTAATGATCACCATCATTACACATGACTATCATTGAGAACATGAATTTCGATTTGTACCATCCTACAGCTTGATTCCGATAAAGTTCATATGTTTCAAATGCAACACTTAACTATGAAAGATTTTTAAACATTGATTCTTTTCGGCATTGATTCTTCGCCACAGCACACCATGTCAATCACTAAATGAAAATCGAGATAGGATGATGTTATTACTGAAAAAGAAAAATGGTCATTTGCAATTCATCTCCCGTGATTTAAACGGACTAGTTGATCGATAGAGATAGACCCAATTGGCCTTGCTCTCTCATTTGTATGACTTTCATTGCACATAAATCAACACCCATCAATGCCAACTCACAAGCTCATACATTGAGGTAATGTGATCATGTGCGCACATGCGGATTCTCAAGACGCTAATCAGGACATCTCTTTGCAATTTTTATACATGGAACATGTAGTTGGAACCGAAAGTGTGATGACCGTCACATTCAATCATGCATTCAGTTGTTGAGAATCAACTTTAAAATGTATCATCATCAACCTTCGGCCGCCACAACTGCAAGGCGTCTATCAAGTTCTAATATCGACGAAGCTGAAGACATTACATCTGCTAATGTTCCCTCTCGTAATGATGACGCATCAAGCACTAGTCACTGCTCTAATACCGGTGGCCAGCCAAACATCGTCCATTCCACTAGTGGAATGTTTGGTTTAGGTGCGAATCGATCGATCTCAGCAAGTTCGAGCTCTCTAAGTAACAATTCTTCTGATGCAATTGGTTCCAATGGTTCTGTTTCAAAACAAATTATAGATAAGGCTATGAATTTTTTAGTTTCTCTCAATGCAAAGAAGGCGAGGCAAGATTCTATGAAGAAGGTGTTTCTTCAGCTTCTCATCTATGGTTACATGTTGTTTTGCATGGTTGTATTGAGCTCTGTGCCATCTACCATGTATGAGGAAGGAACGACTGTTACTACGAGTTCCAATAATGGACATGCACCTTTGTGGGGTATCAATGCTGGATGGACCCAAAGAGTGTTGTTTTATCCCATCAATTTTGGAGCTGAACACTATTCATATGTGGCTGTGATTGCCCTCTCTGCATCCTTTTTGTTTCTTGAGGCATTAATGCTTTTCATGTATTACGTGTATTATTTTCTTCACACCAGAGGTCACAGATTCAGTGAAAAGGCCAAGAAAGTTGTGCTTCCTTTCACTCTTTTCATGTTAGCTCTGTCAAATTGGATGATTTGGATTCATTGCATTCCCATGTCTTCTTCCTTTACATCCTCAAGAAACGAATATTTTCCGTCCATTGTTAGCGATTCAACTCTGAATATTATATTCATGGTTATTGGAAGCATTGGCGTATTGATCAACATCTTTATTGGGATTATCGGTACTATTGTGACTTGCGAGACAATTCCACCCATAGAAACAAGATTTGCGTCATTTACCGTGGATAGACCAGACGTTATAATTGCCATTACATTATTGAATCAGATCTCTGTTGTTTTAACAGTTATACTGAACACCAATAACGTGATTGCTTCTTCTGTCGTTAAGTTTATTTTGAGTAGTGTAGTTTCTATTTACTTTTTAAGGAAATGCCCTTATTTTAAGATATGGGAAAACGGAATAGTGTTTGGTTGTCTCCTTGCCAAAACATTTGGAAGTATTGGACCTTTAGTAATGGGAGCCATTAAGCCATATATTGCAAACCAATTTGAGCAGACAGGAGAGATCATGTTTGGGGTGACTGTCACTTTGCAATTTCTGGGATTAATCATTGGAAGTATGTCGCTTTCAATTTATCTCAGAATATTGGTCTCTTCAGTCAAGAAATATATCGGCAACATCATGACTGAATTTCCAGACAAGTCTGGTGCTTATCAAATCTACTCTTCTTTTGAAGAACGAAAGACAATGAGTCAATTGATATTCTATTTGCGAATTTCCATAGGAAGTGCTTTTTCAGAGTCTCCTTCAGCACTTGACGTTTCTTTGAAATTGTTAAAGCACTGTAGCAGCAAATCATTCACAAATGTTGATTTCTTGTTGATCAACTCAGTAATAGCGACATTTTATTCGTCTCATGAGGATGTGTTGACTGCAAAATCTCATGCAATGAACATGTTGCTAAATGCCAAGAAAAACAACCCATCTCGAATGCAGCATTATATGATTTTATTGAGAAGTAAGGAGTTAGAAGTCAGTATGGAAAAGATATCAAACATTAATATTGAATTAAGACAAACTTTGCAACATATCCAGAGGAAACAACAAGCTCTCTCATACTTTCACAAAGAATTCTTTAAAGAGCTTTTAAGTGAAAAGCCGTCACACACAAAGTTATTGAATATCAACAGATCGGCTACCAAGTTGTTAACAGAGTGCAACAGCGGCTACAGAACGTTATACTCACAAAATCCAAACGACAAAATTTTGTTAAGATCCTATGCCATGTTCTTGGAAACATTCAAGTGGGAGTTTGAAGCTGCGAACGAACTCTTGGAAGAAGCCAACTTGGTTGACGATGATGACCAAAAGGTTACTGCTAATGTATCTAGAAAGCTCCCTCTTCCCGACAAATTTAACAAGAGTAACAGAGTTCATCCAACATCTGTTGTTAATACTTTCCAACAATCAAAGAAATCATCATTTGTAGATAAGACCACTATGGAAGAGATTGGACGGAGCGACGACGAAGATAATTGGGAGTCCGTGAGCAATACTGGAGACACCGACAAGAAAGAAAATGCATTACGTTTGGCCATTAACACTACTGAGCAGAACACCGTGCCCAAAACATGGTTTGTGACCTTTTTAATACTCTCTCTTATTGTTGTTCCCATTTTGTTCACAACCTCCAGCATTTATTTGAATCAAATTTCAACAAGAGTTGCATTGGAGGAGCAAGTATGCTCACTCAGTGGAATTCCTCATTTGATTATTACACATATTCGTTCTGTTCAATCCAAGTACAGATACTCACATACACCCGAAAAGAGAGCGGAAATTCCTTTCGTTGTCTCGACGGCCAAGTTACAAATCACAGCACTGTTAGAAAAAGTGAATAGTGTGAAAATGGCCTCGATATCTGGTCAGTTTATTCCAGAAGTTGTAGCCACCTTCACAGAGGTAATATGGCCCTACAATATTCCAATTAAGCAAGATAACGAATTTGCAGATCCCCTTTTCGAAACGGGAAATTCTTCAGTCAGTCAGTTTGTGGACTTGATACTCAATCAAGGTCCACAAATTTTATCATTGATCAATGATTTAGAAGCATTTAATCTTACTAGATCGAACTATCCTTTGTTAATTTTGTAAGTTAAGATATTTCAGACACAGATGATTTTTTAACTTTGTGAATTTTCTAACGCTGTTACAGCTATCTTGATCGCAGAGAAATGACCAGTGCTTTTGACAGTTTTTGTACGTCTTTTATTCAAAGCTCCACATCAGAAATTAACCGAGAGGGTATTGTATTCTATAGCATTTTTGGAGCTGTATTGGGAGTTTACTTGGTGTTCTCAGTCATATTTATTATTGTAACAAGAAATCACTTACTGCAAATTGAAAGGATTCTAAAGCACATTTTTATGAACATTCCAAAGGAGGAGAGTGGACGGGTGTTTCACAACCTGGAGCTCAAAACCAATCAACATAGCTACAAAGAAAGTTCTTCCATTTTCACTCCATATTTGATTTTCATGCTTGTTACATTGTCCATTATTGCCATTATCATAGTTGCAAGTATATTAATCATCGTTGAGTTTCAAAGAAATATTTCTACTTCTATTTCAACAATGGAAACCATATCAAAACTGAACACTGTGGTTAGGACATCCATGAGAGTTTTTTTAAGACTCAACGAACTTGTTGTTAGAAGCAAGCTGATGCTTATTCCTTGGAACCTTGTCCAAGAAGATAACATGAATGAATTAAGAAATTGTGACAAAGCTTGGCGAGAAATTAGTGTTGGAGGTGCCGATACTGGATACCGATCACCAATTTCTGGAATTTCGTCGGAAATGGACTTGCTAATGTCAGGAACGTGCAACAACACAAACACAAGTTCAAATTTTACCAACACAACACTATCTTTGCAAGAAATTGATCAACAATATGAATGCCAAGGCATGAATCAACTAGTTTCTAGCTATCTTTCCCGGGCAGTAGAGCTTAATAATGATTATTACCATAATTATTACGACATACAGACAGCCATTGATATTTATTTCAGGAATATTTATTTCCTAGCAACTTCATTCGCAGAAAAATCATTTGTGTTTATCTCGACATATGTCACTTATGCAAAGAATGCGAACTTTTCCTTGTCGATAGCTGCATTTGCAATCAGTATATCATTTTGTTTGTTGCTACTATTAGGGAGCTATTCCTCTCTTTCGAAATATTGGGAAGAAAAACACAACATGAGAATGTTATTGAATTACATTAACCGGGAAACAATTGATCAAAATGATGACCTTAAACAGTATGCAATCTCTCATCGCATTCCCAACAAGTTTTCGAAAAGTGTGCAAAAGTTAACTGACAAGTGGGGTTTTACAAATCATTCATCTAACGAAGAGGAACCAATGGCCATGACGAAATCTATAATGAATGCTGCTACAGATGGATGTATTGTTTGTAATCCTGAAGGCTTTATTGTAATATTTAACAAAGCAGCTGAAAACATGTTTGGATACCACCAAAGCGAGTTATTGGGCGCTCCTCTTTCTTTACTTTTTTCTAATTCAGAACAACAAAAGATTGAAAAGACGATTTTTTCAATTACCTCTTCCCAAAATGCATATGTTGAAACGTTTGAAATGTCACCTGTTCGAAAGAATAAGACGAGCTTTTCTGCGTCTGTTTCAATATCTGTGAGCGTTTTCAACAAGAAATCCCTCATTGCATGCTTTGTCAAAGATGTTACTACCGAAAAGAAGCAAGCCTCTCTTATTTGCGAAGAAAAAAAGAAGAGTGAGGAATTACTCTTGAATATTTTGCCTTTGCCTGTGGCCATTCGACTCAAGCAGGGAGAAACCTCAATTTGTGAAAAGTTTAATGACTTGACAATATTCTTCAGCGACATGTATGTTCTTACTTCAGTTTATTTACTGATTCTAAACATTTCACATACTTTCACATATTAACTACTTATTAGGGTTGGGTTCACTGCCATGAGCAGTACAATGACTCCAAATGATCTTATTGTCATGCTTGGGGATATCGTACAAAATTTTGATAAGCTCACCGAAAAGTACTATATTGACAAAATTAAAACCATTGGTGATGCATACTTTTGTGTGGCTGGAGCACATGCGAGCAGGTCATCAGATCATGATGAACGAATGCTCAAATTCTCAATTGACATCTTTGCTTTCTTGAACTCATTCAACAAGCAAAATGAAAAGAAAATTAATATAAGAATTGGATTGCATACAGGAGAGTGTGTTGGAGGGGTGATCGGTTATAAGAAATTTGCATATGATTTGGTAAGTGTTATTCTTTTTGTGGCAGTTCGATCGAATTTGGAATTAATTTTTGAACAATGAAACCTGAATACTGTAATGATTTCAGTGGGGAGATGCCATCAATACAGCCTCTCGTATGGAATCTACAAGTATGCCTGGAAGAATTCAAATTTCAAGAGCCACATACGAACGAGTGTACGATTTAGGATTCGAATTTGAGGAGCGAGAAGGCATTCAAGTGAAAGGCAAAGGATTAATGAAGACATATTTACTTGCAAGCAAACATCATTTACCTGCCATTGAGGAAATTAATAATTAAATATGTTTTTCCATATTGTTCGAATTCTAACCCAAACATGCCAAACACATCATCAGACACTTCAACATTCTTGCCTTTTTAAGTCACCTATCAAGTATAAGTAAGGACAATTAACGACCCGTCGCACATGAAAAAGCAAACTTCAAAAAAAAAATTCCAACAACAACAAGCCTTCCTCGTCATTTTAGTGGCTCTTTCGGAATTCTTCTTATCGGAACGGAACGAACGTTGGTTGGAAATCTGTACGCACGATCATCCGTTCGTTGAAAGCATCATCATCATCACACCTCCTCCTCTTTCTTCTCATTGGAAACAATATTGCAGTTTGGATTCTCAGAGTGAAAGAGATGAGTTTTTACGCCGACCAAACCTACTCAACCTTTAGTGGCTATCCTTCGGTTTATCATCCAGTGGATGAAGTAACTGGAAAGGCTCTCATTAGTTCAAACATTGATTTTTGTGAGGCTAATTTTCAGTATTCGTCGTTCGTTGCTGAACCTGTGAATACTATTTCGTCCTATGTGTATCTGTTGATTGCTATTGCTCACTTATATTTCATTTTCAAGTTTGAAAGGACGTTGAATAAGGTTGGTGGATTATTTTGGAGGTTTTACATTGGTTCTGTTTTTTGCATCTTTCTGGGCTTTGGAAGCTCCTTTTTGCATGCCACCCTGACCAGAATTGGTCAATACACAGATGAAATTCCCATGGTGATGTGCGTTAATCAAGGAATTTATAATTACTTGTTTAAGGAAAAGAAGAATTGTGACAGAAAGTGGTATCATAATATTGTACTAATTGCATTGGTCACATTTACTGTTGGTCACTCATTGGCAACCATTTGGTTTCCAAAAAGCTATGCTGTATTCGTTTTTGTGTTTGCTGCCTTGTTGAATTTATCCACTGCCTTTGAGGCAATTCAAATTTACAGAGGAAATAATCTGGCTGAATGGCTTCGTCAATATTTGCCACAAAACCAACACTCTGAGGTTGAGGGGCTAGTTTCCAAGATCAGAAGAATTTATTTTATTTATTTCAGCTTTTTCTTGGTGGCATTCATTTTGTGGTCTATTGAATTTGCTTTTTGCCCATACGTTTACTTTTTGCACCTTCATGCTTATTGGCACATTTTGACTGCCATTGCAGCAAATGCAAAAAGCACACTGTGGATCTACCTAACCATGCTTGGTCATGGTTTTACTGATGTCAACTTGACCTATTTTGACAGATTCCGAATTTTGGCAAAGATCGAATTGGACTATAAGAGCAAGAGAAACTAAGCCAGTACTCCAAACTCATTGTATCTAAACCTTATAATAACAATATTATTTATTGCATATATGTATATTAACTTCAATGACTTCTTGTTCTTAGATTTACGGAATGATTGAGAAAATCAAGTTTAACTAACAGCAATCTCTCACCGTAACATTTTAAGTTGTGGCTTTTTGCACTCTTACATTACAACAATGACTGGTATTCCAATTAATTTCACAGCATCAATCTCACTCCAGCTCGAAGAGTTAGTAGTATCCATTTCAACGTAAATAATCTTAGATTCCACTCCTGTGTTTCTTAAGGAAGGTGAGAAAATTCTGGAATGTTGTGCAAGACTTGATTGTTGTGTAGGTCCCTCATAGAGAACCACCCAATCTTCAGGTCTTGCCTCAAACGTGGTTGTTCCAATAATGGATCCATCGAGTTGAGGTTTTCTTGAGGTGTATCTGTCTTTACCTCTTGGAAGACAGCTAATTTTTGTCACAGCACCTGGATTAAATGTTTCATAAAGTTGGATTCCAGTAATTTTGTAATAATCAGCAAATTCCACAATAAAGAATTCTTTCGAGTTTTGTTGGAGACGAGGAGCCCATGCCTCGGGAAAATCACCTATTACAAATGTGAAAATACACCAAGGAAGCCATGATGAATTTTTTGTTGAATTGTTTTCGTTTATAATTTTTCAAACTTACCATATTTAGGATAAACTCGTGAGGGACCTGCAATATTGACTGATCCCCATCGTGTACTATACTCACTCGAGGCATCCAATGTTTTCACAGCCCATTGAGCTCTCTCCTCATTTCCCAATTTCAATTTACTTTCATCATACCATTTCATAATTTTAAGTGTGACATCAATATTAGGTTCTTCCATCATGGCATTATTGAATTCTTCTGAAACGACACATTCTGCAGCACTTGAATAATTTTGTAAGATGTAGTTCAATGACAAGGGCAGCTCAAAGATTTCATTCTCCATTTCTGGATCAATAATAGAACCATTTTCATAAGGTACCGGCTTTTTCAAGGTGGTGGTGACAAGTGAATTGGTGGAAGTCGAGAAGGAGGAGGATGATAATGGTGGTGGTTGTGACGCCATCATTGGATTGAAATTTCCATAATTGGAAATGTTACTAGTTGTTGTCGCAAAATTGTTGTTGCTATTAAAGTTGTGACCACTTGTTGTCATGAAATTATTATTGATTCCTAAAATTCCAGATGAAGTATTAACATTGTAAATATTGTTGTTATTTAAATTATTGGAATTGCCATAAAACGATGAGTTGAACATGGAGGATGGCATTCCGAGAGGACTTGTTGTTGTTGTCGCTGATGATGGATTGTTTTCCATCCTAATTGATGTCAAATTATTTTGCATCATCATCATTGGATTCATAGAATTCATTAAATGGTTATTAGTATTATTATTATTCGTGAAAGAAATGTTTTGCATGGTGGATGGCATTGTCGTGTGAGTGTTGTAATTAACACCCATATTTGGAAATTGATAATTTTGTTGATTGGCATTATATAATGTCGGTGTTGAACTCGTACCCAATGATTGACCTGAATGTGAATTCAAATCTTTGTTGTGAATCATGTTTTCATAGAAGGATCGATAAGGACTTTTTGAAACATCTCGACTAGTACTTGTCGGATCGACACAAAAGAAGGAATGATCCATCTCTTCGAAACTGTATTTGCATTGTTCGAGAGGAGGAGGAAGAGGACATGGAACGGGTGTGAGGAGTGATCCTCCTGATGGTGGTGGTTGCTGAGGTTGGAGTGGTTCGGATGGTGTCATGTTGGTGATGATGATCTTGACAAACGGTTGCAACTGACGTCAGGAAATGAAATTGAGTCGATCTATTTTTTTTGATCGTTTTGTTGATGGTTGGCATCTGACAGAAGTTCATTTGCAAAGTTCCATCTAAATGAAAATATTTTTTTATGGCAACTCCAACTATGGAAACAACAAAGAATTCCACAAAGAGATTTAAGTTTCGTAAGAGCATTCATTGAGAGATACATATTGGTCAAATGGGCTTTGAAAAGCAGCAAAAAAACCATGCCCTGTCAGGATGGGACTGCTGTCTGTATTATACAAAGAAAAAAGAATACCCAAAGACATGACCACCATTGCTTTCACGGTCTAATAAGGAACACAGTTGAAAATATTTATCCTTTCTTGATGACAATTTGGGAAAAAATAGATGCCACAAGTGTTAAGCAATAAATCTAATTCGAGATCTTATCTTGTATCCACAACACATGATTTATTGAATATTCTTTTATGATACATTAAGAACCAAGTTCACTCGTACACTCTCGCCGACAGGACATACCCATACAGCGTCACCTCCTCCAGCCCCATTAATCCCAAACAAACCTGGTCTCCAACGACAGTGCTTGATAGTGCGACCAGCAAATTCAGCAGCAGGATAGCTGATCGATCCAGAAGCACCTGGTTTGATATTTTGTACGTTATATTTTAAGACTCCATCAATTAAAATTTCTAAATGAACTGTCTCTGTGTCATTACTTTTCCATGTGAAAGTTACAACAGGATTGTTGCTTGGCCTGGAAATAGCAGAAGATCCTGCAAATGCTTTTCCATCAGTGACAACGGATACGGTTTTAATATCGTCAGGGAAGTCGTTCATCTGTGCGTTTCAATTGTTGTGTTTGTTTTTTTCGAAATGTGTTTCGGGTTCGAATAATAATTATAATTCTCAAGTCTCTACAAAGAACAAAAAGAGAAAAGAATAAAAATAACTGTGAGATGGAAGATGACACTGTTATTTCACGATGAAATCAACGTTTCAAAATGATTTGTTGTATGAATTGAGCATGTTTAATTGCTACGATTTCAGGGCATTGACATTTTTCAAAGCCAGTCAAAAAAGGTCAGAATTTTTGATGAACTCATTGAATACATTCCTTTTAAAATTGAAAACACCATTATCACACAACCCTCTGAAAAGAACTTTACTAGCCGCAATGTATCTCACGAGTAGTGACTGGCTTCCATAATTTGCTGTTGCTGGAGAGAAGGTGTTCGTTCAAGTACAAGCTGCGTCAACGTTGGGTCAATCATGTGATTGTTAAAGACGCCTTATTGTGTTAAAGATTTCACACCAAAATTGGAATACAATCCTTCAGTAGGATTGTTTGGTTGCTTTCAATGTCTCTTCCATGGATGTTTGGCAGACGATCATCTCTAATTCTCAATATCCAATTCAAAGCTACAACCAATTTCGTATCCCTTATCCTTCCTCAAACGGGTTGTACGGATTTTCCTTACTTCTTGAACCTTCCTTGTTCCAGAGAAATATTCCAACTATTCATGTTTTGTGCAATCCAATGTTGGAATTAATAGTAATGGTAACAGGCGCAGTACAGATGAACAACACCAAGAGCTTATGGTCATCCAAGAGCCTTCAATATTGTTTCCTCGGCTGATACTAGTAGCATATATAGAAGTTTATTCATGGCGGCACTGCTAGTATATTACATCAGAATGCGCCTGGTGAGAGAAATAGGAGTTGGTAGATTGATGCTAAGATGTTTGATGTATCCTACGTGCGTGTGGTAGAATAAACTCAGATTTCTCGTATCGATTTTAATCGTTGGATTACTTAAATGAACAAACACTATGATGAATAAATTACCATTTCTCATCAAAAGAGTGTTGATCTTGCACTAACCAATGATAATAGAATACCGAGAGGTCCTTCATTTGCAGTTCCATTGAGGAACGATCGTAGTATCTCCAAGTATTTAGTGCAATCCTTGGTCTTGCCTTCACAAACTTGTCTACTTTCTTGACGTCGATATGCGAATATTGTAAGTCCTTCCAAATGGATGTATTTTCCATAAGAGTCAATAGAATTGGCTCTACATATTTACGTTTGTCAAAATAATCAAGTCTAAAATGTGTAATACAAGGAAATAGAGTTGCTACTTGCTCCAAAAACGGTAGTAGAGACGGTAATCTCTTTTTACCAATCTTCTTCATTACCAATTTTAGCTTCTTGATCATAACGTTTGGTTTGTTGGAACATAAAGGTACAGTAAGGTCACGTCCGTCGCCAATCTGGATCGTCAGATAAGTGACTTTGGGAGGAATTTTGATCATTTGAGGCAAATCAAGCTCAAGTGTCGTTAAGGTATCTGCAAAGAGGTCCACTAGTACTTTTTTGTCAACAAATTGCTGCATATTGCCAAATTCTTTTAGGTTGGGAGCAAGTGTTCGAATATTTGTTGTGAAATTCTCGCGTTCCAAAGTCGTTGCAAAATTAAAATATGCTCCAATATTGAAGTATTCGAGGTTGGGAAGAATTCCACCCCCAAAACAAATAGGTCCTGACAAATTCAAAAAATCGTAGCAGCTGGTAATACTACAATACTTCAAAAATGGAAATTCACTAATCTTTTTAAAAATATCTCCACTGATTTCGCTGCACAGATTAATGTCAACATGTTCTAACTTAGGAAACGCTTGTAATAACTGGTAAATGGTTTCTTCAGAAAGGTTATCCCCTGTTTCCATGTCAGTACAAGTAATGATCAAACGTGTCAATTTTGGGCACATCTTTGCAAGAGATATGAACAACTCTTCATGCACGCAAGAAAATATGTACTCAAATGTCTCCAACTGTGGACATAATCTCAGTAAATCAATGCTAAATTTTTCTGGGCTACCATTATCAGAATCGTGATTTATCCGTAAGAATTTAAGTGACTCCAAAATTGGTACGTAAATGTTGTTTTCATCGTCTTGAAAAATGTAGTCTTCTGTTCCTGAGTAAATAGTAATTTCTAATTTTTCAAGAGCATTAGTTTGTGACAATAATTTAAGAAGGTCACATCTACTAAGAGACATTCCATCCAACACTAAATTCTTAAGGTGAAATCCCATTGGAGCTTGCGTACAAATCAACTCTGAATGGGTAATGGCAGTTTCAAACTCCTCTACATCATTGTTGAAACATTCCTTTTCAAAAACAATGGCAGTAGTTCTCATGTTGTTTCTTGATGCAATGCTCAACATTTCAAATATTTCAGTACTACTGCAATCCACGCTAAATATCCATCTTCTAGATAATTCATGTAATGAACCACCTCGTGTTGCAATTTCCTTCACAATCTCCTTCACTTTTTCTACGTTACGTTCTGAAACAATTAATTGCTTTCGAGTTCGTAATGCTCCAGTTAATGTCCATGAAATGTCTCTCATTGTTAAAGTTGCTTCACTTGCATCATATTTAAACTGTTCTTTCACAATAGAAAACACTGAATGATACATTGATTTGGAACAAAAGCTCAACATCAAGACTTCTCCAGTTAAAAGAAAGTTCAAAATCCATCCAAGCTCATCATGAGAGAGTACTGCCAAGCAGGAGCTTTGTTTCATTTCATTTGTTGAATTTTTATGAAGTAATTTGTTCTTTTTCACATTATGTTTTCGAGACAATGCATCATCATCATTCAGGTGAAATTCTCTCTTCCTTTTAATTTCGGAAGTGCTGTTGGAATCTACATGTTCAACTTTTTGAATGTTTTCCGATGATGATAGTGGTTGTTCTGACAATCATGATCATTTTTTCAAAATTAATAACGCATCTATTCAATTACTTACTGGAGTCTTTTCTGCTTGAATTTTGTCTAAAATCAGAACACTAAAGATCATGATTATTGACACCTACCCCATTTTTTTAATGACCGCCATCAAAAGATTTTTTTTCAATTCCAACTTCCTATTATAGTAGGAGCAAGCAAATTATTCATGAAAATCAATGCAGTAATTATAAGAAGGGAACTTATTTGCACTTTGGTGGTGGATGTCCAGTTTCTGTTGATATTCACTATTGTTGCATTTCCAAAAAGTGATATAGTCGAGGAAATACTTATCGAGTTGGTTTTTTTGGCTCAAATTCCATATTGAGCAATAGTTTGGGAATTGTACGATTCATTCTTGTCAAAGTTTGCTTGAGGTCTTCGATCTCTTTTCTTGAAAATTGAAAACTGTAACTCTCTAAATGGAAATGCATCAGTTGGAAATAATAAAATTAATAATTGAGTCTTTGATATTTGTTTCATGAAAACAACAACCCACAATTTCCACCACAATCTTCAATTTGAATTTTCCTTAGATTGCACTTTGCAAATTCAAATTCATTGTAAGCATGAAGACTGTCTGAAGGTTGAGTGAAAACACTTTTTACCACAATAAAATCTTGTAAGTTGTGGACAATCTTCACAAACGATGTCATGTCTTTTCCTATTGCAAATTTTGAACGAACTATTGTAATTGATTCCAAATGTGATTTTGTCCACGTTTCATGTGTTGGTAAAAAAGTGGCAAAATCAACAAGACATTTTGAAAAGACTACATGTCTAAGGCATGAAATCCATTCTTCTTTCATTCTCAACGTGAAGTTTGACTTAGCTCCAGTCAATTTCATATTTGTTAATTGTAGGGTTGGTAAAAGGTTATCTGTGACATTAGCTACATGTATATTTTCTGAAATTGAGATTTGATTGACGTTTCTTGAGGTGAATTGATTATGGTAATATGACAATGCTTTCAACGAGTGGGTAGGGAAAAGAGCCATCATTGCATTCTGTATATCGTTATTTTCTGGGTATATATTGCAAATTAAACTGAGTTCTTCCACATTCTGTAAGCAATTGTTGGTTTCTCTTTTAGTATTAATAATTAAAACAATATCAATAACTTTGTTCGTCGATGGGATTTTGAGACATTTCAACCTTGATTGTTGCAACAGATTTAAAAAAGTTCGTCATCAATACTTAAAGCAACATCTTTGAATAAACACCGGGCTGTACACCTCAATCGAAAGGTATGATAGAATTGGCATTGACTTTAACACATTTCGAAGTAGCAAGTCAATCATATTTTTTTCTGGGTGACACGTCGCAATGGTCAAAAATTCCAAGTTGTCACAAATCTGTTGTTGCGAACATAGGTATTGCATGTCTAATGGAGATCTAAGCAAAAAACCGTGGATTGCTGATGAGAGAGTGTTTAGAAAATTTGTGATCTCAGAAATGAATGATTTACTTACTTTTGAGGGGGACATTGGATATGGGAAATGGTTGTGTTTTTTTTGATGATGAAAAAATGAGAAAACGAATCACAACATCCAAATCAAGCACATGATCATGTGCATCAAAAGGAATGAGAGGATTCATCATCATCGGAGAGTGTTCGGTTCAACAAGGAAAAACATCCACACCACATTTTTTTTTGAAATTTTCAAAAATGCTCAATTCGTTGATGATGAAAAGACTTCTCAGAATTCCTCTAAGGTCTGAATCACTTGAGAGCGCGTTCAATGATTTTCGATATTAGTGCTCATCCATCAACAATGGCAGGTTATTAAAGTTATTGATGTAAAGATTTAACTAAATGGTTAGTTTGAAACTCAATTGACGTTTTAAGCCATTGTTGTGTGATGTTTGACAGTTCTTGTGACTTCACAGGCTGATATCAACAAACAATGTATTAGTAACTGAAAACTTGAATTTTAATCTTAGCATTGCATGGTTTTTTGTTAGCAGCATTCAACAATCATCCGCTTTAGTTGAGATGATAATGAACTATTTCCAAAGGAGGTAAAGGAAGGAAAATTTGGATTTGTAAATTTTCGAATCTCAAAAAAAAAATTTACCATGTCTTTCTTTGATTTGTCTCACAGCCAAAAGCCTTCCATCACCACCAAGATTCTACCTTGCTTTCTCATATGTGGTTTCCTTCTTTTTGTGATGATTCTTTGTGAAGCATCTGCCAAATGTCAAGCAGCTCAACTTCCACAGAGCCGTCTTTCCGTCGCTCTCTCTCAACACTTTTCATTTCTTTCTCTTTTACCGAAATCTCTCGAACATTCGTCTAATTCTAATCATCATAATGATGAAATAATTATTTATTTACCAAAATCAATTTCTTCAATTTTTGATTCCACACAAAATGACAACTTTATTATTGGATTTCCATTAGCAGAATATCTCGTGCTCATTGCTGTGTTGATTGCCGTTTTTGTCATTGTCTTATTCATTGCTCCATGTATCGTCTCATTTGTGGTTTTATGTGTTGCCAAATGTACAGTGAATACAGACAGATATCAAAGATTGACTTTTGACATGATGGATCATTCCACTGCCGTTGAAATGCAAGACAATTCTACGAGCCCATATCCAGTGACCACATTGAATTCAGGTTGGCATCGAGCCATTCATTCAAGACTGTTTGACACTTCCTCAAAAGATTGTTTATGGTTACTATGTTTGGTAATCACTTGGTTGCCAAGAAAGATTTTTTGTTGTGGTTTATTGGAAGCATGTTGTTTTTTACGTTTGACAAGATTTCATGTGAGAAATATGAGAGTTGGAAATAGAAAACTTGATTTGGAAATTTCAGACACTTGTCATTCCATGGTGTTGATTAGTGCCATTAATCATTTGTTAAGTTTTTACACTTGTGGATTGTGGAAAGCTTTGGGATTGATGCATCATTTCTTTTTGTCAAAACTCGATCAGAGATTAATGTGGAGAGAAAAGGATGAAATTTATCCACACGGAGAATATGATCAAGCCACTTCTGTCACTCCTGAAAATGGAAATTCCACAACCATCAACACCACAACTGCCAGTTATCAAAAATTAATTTGGAACGAAACTGAACCTGGCTCCTTCCTTTGGTTCAGTGCTTATTGCGGAGAATCCATCGAGCTCACTCACTGGTTCTTTAACGTCCTTAACGTTTTCACATGTAGTTTTTTGGGTCCAATTATTAAGGCATGGTATTTGAGGCATTTGATGCGAAATGTGAAATTTGGAGGAAAAGGTGAATTTGTATTGGTCGAAGAGGCCACTAATCGAATTACGAGTCGAATCGCAAATTCTCCAAATCGAATCATGTTGAGAAGTGAGTTAGAGGGATGTGATTTGTTTTTGAGAGAGTTTTTATTGAAAGTTTTGAACTTTTTGACTTTTGGAATTTTTGGATGTTTGTTTGGAGAGAGTTTTATCTTGTCATTTATGGATGACCATATGAAATTGGTTGCAGAACATTAATGTTGCACCACAATAAGAACGAGAAGTTGTGCCTTCCGTTTAGCACCACCCAACAACAACCACCTCAACAACACTCTCAGTAATCATGTGTTGATAGCTTACTAAACTTCCCATATTTTGCTACAGCCAAAAAACTATGATCAAACAAAATAATAACAACTAGAAAGTTTATCCTGCAGCAGCTGGTTCAACATTTTGAGGCACTTGTTCGTTTGGTTCTAAATCTGGTTGAGCTTGTTCAGAAGGAACCTCAGAAACTGGAGCTTCAGTTGGTTGTTGAGCTTCTTGGACTGGAGTCTCAGTTGGTTGTTCTTGTGGTTGTTCTTCAGGTTGTGGTTGTTCTTGTGGTTGTTGTTCTTGAACAGGTTGTTCCAATGAGGTTCTCATAGTGTGAGCAACATTTTCAACAGCTTGCCAAATGTCATGAGCCTTTTGAATAGCTTCTTGACCTTGTTCAACTCCATTTTGTCCTGTTTGGAGAACTTGGAGAGCCTTATTAATGAACTTGTTCTTTCCACCAGTGACTTGATTCAAATTTTCAAAGACATCTCTACCAGTTCCCAACACTTGTTGCATCTTTCCAAGGAAGTGAGTAATACCTTGTTGATTGACTTGGAGTTTACCATTTTCATTCTTCAAGAAGAAGTTTCTGAACAAGTTTGGATCCATATTCTTGATGGTTTGTCTGACACCTTTCACACCATTGACAATTTGAGCACCACGGTCAAGGAATTGTTGTCCCTTACCCAAAGCTTGTTGCAACTTGTTCAATCTCTTTGATCTTCCACCAGTCAACTGGTTGAGACTTCCAATAAAGTTTTGTCCATTATTCAAAACACTTTGAGCACCTTGAATAGCTCCATCAATTCCTCGAACACCCTTCAAATTCTTCAATGAAGCTCTGAAATCTCTAAAGCTACTAATGGCTTGATTACCACCTTGAATGAATCCTCTACCCTTTTCCAAAGCTCCCAAAATCTTGTTGAGTCTCTTACTCTTTCCACCAGTGACATCATTCACTCGTTGCAAAATATCTTGAGTCTTTCCAATAGCATTATCAGCACGTCCCAAGAATTTTTGAAGACCACCAGAAGTGAGCATCTTTCGCAAATCTTGTCCTCTCAAATTCTTCAACTTCTTCAATGAATTGACACCCCCTTGAATTCCACTCAAAGCATCCTTTCCAATTCCAGTGAAAGTATTGGCCTTATCCAAGAATGTCAATCCCTTGTTAACGAACTTGCTCTTACCACCAGTGATGAGATTCAAATTTTGGAAAACTTTTTGACCCTTTCCAATCAATCCAGAGGCCTTGTTCAAAAAGTTTTGACCCTTTTGGAAGATATTAGCACCCTTAAACAATTGAGATGGTTTGAAATTGGAGACAATTCCCTTCAATCCACCCAAACTCTTCAAATTTCCACTCAATCCCTTCAATCCACTGACAATATCAGCACCACGTCCCAAGAACATTTGTCCCTTACCAATGACACCTCCAACCTTATTCAAGAAACCCAAACTCTTATTCAAGAATTTACTCTTACCACCAGTGACAGCATTCAAACCACCCAAAATGGCTTGACCTTTACCAATGATGGAGGAGGCCTTACCGAGGAATGCAGCACCCTTTGCAATGGCACCACCAACACTTCCCAAAACTGGAGCACCAGCACCACCAGAGAAGACAGTGAGAGCGATTGGGACGGCAATTTTGGCGACTTTGCCAATGACTCTACCGGCCTATGAGAATGTTTGTTGTGGTGAAATGCGCATGTCAAATCGGTTGATGTTGACAATGGAGTCGACGTTGGAAATATTTTGCGTGCGCGTGATGGGGATGAATTTTCACACAAATTCGCGGTCGCATAATGACATCAAAGACAACAACAAGACATGATGTAACATGTTTGGATCATCATGATTCAAATCACTCCATACATTTCTTCTCTCAACTTACCTTTCGAACAAATCGACCAACTCTTCTAAAGAATCTTCTGAACTTGGCAGATGACTTGGCCAAAGCCATGGCTTCAGCATCGCTCAAAGTCGAAATATAATTCAAAAGCTCATCATCAGCTTCAATATCAAAATTATAGGATGCCATATCTGCCAACACCATTTCCAAGTGTTCATCAAATCGAGGATGACTCATATCTGACATCATTAATTGATCGGCAAAGAGTTGTAAATCAGCAAGTACTTGCTCTTGTTGTTGAGCAAATGCTGTCTTGGTGGTGAAGCACAACACCAACACCGTGAAGAGAGCGAGTGCTAGGATGCTCTTGATGGTTCTTTGCATCTCTGTTTTCGTTGTTGTTTTTTTAGCTGTTGTTTTTTGGGAGTTTTATACGGCACAAGGCTTTTGACACTTGACGCACGATTATAATCTGGAACGATTGTAATGTGTCCATGTTGAACAAGATATTTGCGAACATTCCAGGTCCATACAAAGGAAATGAAACAATCAACAATAAAAACTCAATGATACAGGTGTAAGTGTGTTGCAAACAGCAAATGAAATTTACAAACAACACAGCTGTGATTGGTTCTGCAACTCAATGATTTCTTTTCCACAGAACACAAGGTGGCCAAATTGTTCCGTAAAGTTCCTCAAAAGATCCAAATGGATGTTTATGTCAAATCAAAGTCATGCCTGATCTCAAAAAGCAATAAAAAGGTAATCTAAAACTGTTGTGGATTTGGGCACTCTTGAAATTTTGGCATCTTCATTCATTGAATAAGGCCCTCATCCACACATTTCAACTCCAAAAAATTGTTCCAACCATAAGTGAGTGAGCAAAAAGGAGATTTCACAATGAAAGCACTCTCATCGTTTCAACAGAAACTTCTCATTGCCGTTCTAGTGCCAACAATCATTATCGGAACATGTGCAATATTGTTGGCCATCCTAGTGCCCATCGGTGTGGTGAATAGTGTTCCACCCGAATATTGTTTTTCAACAGAGAATTTAAAGGCATTCAATGTGGGAGATGTGCTGACCTTGTCTCGAGGTGATGATTTCAAGATGACAATTTCTTTTACAAATTTCACAAATTCAAATGAAACAACGAAAGTGGGGCGAATGAAATACAGATCTTGGGCTATTCCAAGAAGTGTGGATTTAATGAATATGGATGAAAAAGGAAGTGCAGTATTAAGGAATTCTGGAGTCCTTGTTTCAGATTATACGTACGAGTTGTGGGAATGCATTGTATCAGATCCTTCCAATTTGGTGAAGTTCGGACATGTGGTGTATGACTACAGAAATACTCAGTACTTATTTTACAATGCAGCTGGAGCACTAGTGGCCTGGATGACCTACAATTCAGTTTCATCCTCTCTTGATTCAAAGACCTATCAACTATTCAACTCGAATGGAGACAAAATTGCAACCATTACGAGGCCATCCATGTCTGTATTTCAACGAGCAGTGGATTACACTTGCACCTTTCAGTTGTCCACCAATGCCAACATGATTGATTTCAGAGGAGTCATTCTAATGTTTGGAAGTATTGCACTCAAGTAATTAGTCACTTTCACAACAAACCCATTGAATAAAAAATATAATCACATGCAAGAGAAGCGTTGTGATTGGGTCAAAGTAGTTGTTCAGATGGGGAAATGAAGACCATAATTGTTTTGTGTATAATCACTGCCTCTTCATACACTTGAGTTAGACAAATTCATCATCGGATTTTACTGTAAACACCTTATCAAAATCAAAACCAGTTGGCAGTGCCTACGCACTTCAATTTATGGTTGAAAAAAATTCAAAACGTTACTTTCCAGTGCTGAGAGAAAGGACAGCATGGAGTCAATAACGATGGGTTCCGTTCCTGAGTATCCGCAGAGGTGCAACGAGGAGCAGAAACTAAGGCAAGAAGATTTTTGAATCGATGTAAACACTTCAGGCGTGCCGATTGTAAAATATGATTATTTATATACAGACAAGCTGAAGAGGAGGATTGAGGACCATCCTGCTTCCTGAAAAACGTAGTTCAGTGATCATCAATTAATTAATGGTAGAATATTATATTTTGTAGAAAATAGTGGTTGATTGAGTTAATGATTCCTTACTGAACTGGTGAGAGACTCATCACTCTATCTCCAAATGCTACAAATTGTTTCAAAGAAGAATTTACATCATCAGACACTTCTTATCCTTTCCACCTCCTTTCTTTTCATCCTCCTTCTCCTTTGCTCGTCTAATCTTCATGACTGCATCAATGGCTGCGTAGAAAACTTCCTTCAAGCCTTCTTGAGTCATTGCAGAACATTCTCTATAATCGGCACATTGTAATTCTTCAGCAAGCTTGACTCCTTTTTCCTTTGTAATTGGAGCAAGTTCCTTCTTTTGCAATTGTTGAAGCACGTCTGGATCATTACGAAGATCGATTTTAGTTCCCACGAGAACAATTGGAGCATCGGGACAGTGATGTCTCACTTCTGGAACCCATTTGCTTGAGATGTTTTCAAAAGAGTCTGGATTGACAACGGAGAAGGCACACAAAAAGACATCGGTATCGGGATAGGAGAGAGGTCTATTTGTTATTGTTTTTGTGGTTGTTGTTGAATATTTATCATTGAGAAGAGGTTGTTGTTTGTGATGATAATAATGATAGGAATGTAGTGTGATCGTGAGAAGTAGAGTTGATGACAAAATTTGGAAAGTTGTTCGATGAAATCACACAGAATGGATCATCCAGTAAGATTGATGATGAATGATTGTCAATATTATAATTGCAAGACAATGTCATTACGTTACCTTATACGGTCATATCTATTGTGAGATAATGACGATCATTGTTGAGTGGCATCAAATGTCAACCACATCCAATATTTGTAATCATCATCATAATATTGTTATTATCATGGTAGTATCCACACAACCGATTCAATTATTTCATCACAACAACGGCACAGAGCAACACAATATTGTTGGAGAAGAAGGAACAAGAAGATGGTGTTGGTCACAGGCATACAATATCGTTCATAACGATATCATTGTCAACAACATCACAGTCATTCCATATTCATCATCAAAGCAATAATAATTGTTTGAATCACTTACTCTTCTTGACCAGCTGTATCCCATAAACCACAAATATAAAGTTCATCTTTATAATTCACATTTGAATTGTAGTTGTCGAAAACAGTTGGAATGTAATTAGTATCAACAACCTTTCCATAGGCAAAGGACATGAGGAGAAGAGTTTTACCAATGGCTCCGTCTCCAACTGTTACAATTTTGATTTCTGTTCCTGCCATTGTTGTTGTTGTTGTTGTGATGAGTGAATTTTTTTGATGTAACTTTGCCTGTCATCGCAGGTGTCAAGTGTCATTCGCGAAGAAGAGTTCCTTGTTTCTGAAGGAGGATTTGTTGAAGACATTCTTGGAGGTTTCTTTGGGCTTGAATCTTTGTACCATGATTTGATGACAGTTAGTGCTAAAGTATTCGACACCTGAAAGGCCTTTCATGTATCAAAGTTCCTTTAACTCCATTTTCTAGCGTAACGTTCTGTTGTGTAATTGCATTAACAGTGGAAAGTTTGTATTGAGGAAGGTGTGTAATTCCTAATTGTTTTGCTTGTTCTTTCAAATATGAAAACATGGTAGACATTTTGTACTTTTTACACAAATCTAAAGGAGTTTCTCCGTCATTATTCGTAATATCAAAATCCATAAAGTATTTCACTTCTGAAGCCTGAGTTTCTTCAGTCTTGTCCATGTTAATTTTCAAAACATCTTCCAAAATAAACTTCATCCTTTGAAGTTGTCCAAAGTGACATAAATAATGTGCAATGGTATTACCATCTTCCGATTGGTGATTGAAGGAAATTTTGTACTTGTGGAGCAGCATTAATAATTTTTTTTCATGTGTCCTTTGGGTCAAGCAGGTGAAAATAGCATTCTTTCCATCGAGCTTATTGTTGTGCGAAAATAACTTGTTCAACTCGTATTGAGATAATGTTGCAGGTGTTTCTGAATTTTCCAAGCATGTTAAATAATCTAAAATAAATTTTAAAACATCCAGGTTAGCATGAATGAGAGCTAGCTGAATGATGTTGTATCCCTGAATATCTTGCTGGGCCGTGTCAATTCCAAATGGCGAATGAATCAAAAAGAAGATCAATAGGGGTTTGGCAATATTTTTGTGGAAATTGGAAAAGTCATCAAAACTTGACAAATAGCGTGCTGCATAAGCATCCAATCGATTTCTCCTAAATTTAAATTCATTCACAAAATATTCAAAGTAATAGTTGATTACTTCTTGGTAACTAATTCCATCATTAAGCATTTGAGATGCAATGTTATAGATATTCTTTTGGAATACCACATTTGGGAATAAAAGGTGAAAATTTAGTTCTTCAAGTAATTTATCCACATTTGTTGAGGGAGAGAGATTAGAAACATCCACATATTTGAGATGAGGCGAAAAGCATTTAAATAAACCCATAAATTCCCCCAGTAAGCAACGTATATCATAATATGGATCAGCTTTGGATGAACAATTTCGTAAAACTATTTTTTCAACTGCTGACATTTTAAATCCACTCAGAATTTGTTGTCCATATTCAGGTATGATGCAATATGGAGTAAATTTTGCACTAATTTCAATATCCTCCAAACGTCTCCCCATCGTAAGTGCAAGCGAGTTTTGCCAACTTTCACTATTTTCAAACTTGAAGCGAATCCAACTTGCTAAACTAATTGTGTCAAAATTGCAATCAATCAAACATAATTCTTTCAAAATTCCTTCCCATTCAACAAAAATGGCATAGAATACTCCTACTGAAATACTCATATTTTTCAAAGTGATTCGTTTCACTTTTTTGAAATGTGAAAGAATGATTCTCAAAAATCCTAATCCTCTCACATCATAACTTTCACCGACCTTTAAATGTTTATAGGCGGGTGGTAATTTGTCCTCAATGACTCCTAAAAATCCTTTACATTTCAAACCAGAAATTGTGGAGAGATCCCAATACAATTCTGTACAATCTTCTTTCATACATTCACAACAAAGTTGCTTCCAGTGTTGGCTCACTCGTTGTAATTGAAAGAGATAGGGAATGGGAAGTAAGTAGGAGAGAATGAATTGAAAGACATCAAGTCCGACCTGATCCATGAAATGATTCCAATGATGATCATCATGATGGTGCTGTTTGGCCATCATTTGAAAAATTATAATGATTAGGAATGCTTTCTTCAACAAGAATGAATACTAATTATGTACGGATGGTCATGACGTAAGATTAGGTCGCTATCGATAGGTTGTGCGATTGATGAAAAACAAAATATTTTTTTTTGTGGTGAAACAAAAAAACCTTGTTCAAGCTGAAATTGCCTTACCAAAAAGGCCTGTGTTTGGCTTCTTTCAACGAAGGTACAGCAATTGGTGTTTTCTCTCCTGTTTCCTGTTCTTTGGTTTTCACTTCAACTACTACATTGGCCATTTCATCCATTTGTTGGAAGATTAAGTGTTCCAAATGTCGAAATGGTTTAACCCAGCCTTTAAGAGAGGACTCACTCACGCTCTCATCACTGCATCGATATGTGACAATATTAAAATTACTTCTCCTCCAAAATGGTGCTAATAATTGCTCTTGTTCAGTTTCAGATTTTTCAAAGAATTTTTCATTAATTCTAGAATAGAGTTCCTCTTCATCATGATCTGTTAGAGATGTTGGCTGCGATGAAGAGCCTGATTGAAGCGCATTGGGTACAATTATTTGTGACGTTCGTTGCTTGAGTTGTTCCCATTTCTCTTTCATTTCAATTTTGTTGAAAACAACTTTGGTGTATAATTTCATACAAGAATATTTGGGCCAACTGGTAGCCGAAGAGAGTACATGAGCATTCACAAGTCCTTGTGTGGTCCAAAATGCGCAATTTCCTCTCTCATCCACTCCTGAAAACCATTCAAATTTCCTTAATAAATTATAAATAGGTCCCAAAATCATGCTGTATTTAGCGAGTTTGGAATCTCCTAAATTATGAACATTTTGATAATAATGATGCATGGTAGTGATGTAGTCTTGTGGCCATTCTTCAAATCGAAAGCCAATCATGGTTCTTGAATAGATTCCTCCTTGCTCATTTCCAACCTCAATGGAGCATTTATCTGGATCCCCAAATAAATACTCTTCAGCTGGAATAAAATTGACCATTCGATGGCCTGGTTTCCCAACAACTGTTGGAGTGCAATTCGTGAAATTTTGTGAACATGATGAATTAATCAGGGATAGTTCAGTAACATGATGACGATATAAATAATATTGCCAAGTTTGACAATAACAAACACGTACTATTCATGACTATTGATTTCCCAGTTTCAGGATTAGTATATCGTATTGCAGCATGACCATAGGGATTGATCGATGAATCAGAATTCCAGAAAACTGGATTTGAAAATATTGATGGTTCCACATAAATATATTCAAACGCAGGTGGTTTCTGTCGCCCCAAAATTGCATCCACTTCTTGTAATGCTGTACTCTTATTCGCCCCAAAATTGCATCCACTTCTTGAAAAGCAATTTTTAAATCATGACGATATAATGATGAATGATAACTCCGATAATTATCAAATTTACGAATGTCAACACTAAATGGTGCATGTTGCAAGTGGTGGACATGATTACCATGACCACTCAGTACACTTCGTAGGTGTGAGGAAAGAATTGTTGCGTGAAGTGAAGGAGGATGGTAACATCTTCGAAGGAAAAAAGAAGCCTTGGCGAGGAATTTTTGAGAGTTGAACATTTTTTTATTTGGAACAACAAGGTCAGTGAAATTCAATCAATTTGTTTTCTTCCCAAAATTGAAAGATCATATCTTAGATGAATGAGGTTTGAGATTGAGACAACCAAGCAATATTTGGCCAGTTGTCAAACCTTGTGTTTGATATCTTTTTGAGCGCACTTGTTCATTTCCAAAATGGGATCAATTCTCCCAAAACGAAAAAAAAAAGCGAATTCATGAACCCTTTTCTTTTCCATTAAGGAAATATATTTGAAAATTCCAACCAATCACATGGGCTCGTAATGCCAGCCTTATCACCAACAAAAAAACCCACAACACATCACAGTCTCCATGAATGACACACACCACTTCAAAACCATCAAAGCCTTGCCATCTCATCCAAGACACAACGATTGGAATATGTTCACAGTTCAAGGAGATGAAGTGGTACAACTCGGAGTGAGTACCTCTTGGGAGATGTGGAAGCCTTCGATTCCGTGTATGCTTCAGCGAGGCTTTTCTCCTTCTCAAATTGCTACTGAAATGACTCGAGAGATTGTCCAGGGTGTGTTGGCAAAGGGGGAAAAGCAAAGCTCAAAGAAGAGGAAGGAAGAGAGCACCAACAACGAGAAGGAGAATATATATGGCAATTATTATGAAGAGAAGGAAGTTAAATCAAAGAATAGCAATCCCTATTTCGAGGTAGCTGATACAGCTGTGAGGGAAAACATTTGTAGCTTCTTGTTGGACTGTATTATGTCTAATTATATGAATTAGAAAAGATTGGAACAAAGGTTCATTAATAGTCTATTGTCCTTAACTAAAGATCCGCGGTTGTTGTTTGTAAAAAGTTTGGCGCCACTGTCATTTTCATCGTTATTATCAAAAAAAGTCAATTCATTGTTTTATACAACGCTTGTGTCAATCCTCTCCATTGTGACGATTGTAATTCCTTTCTACAATTATCATAACACCTCACCTTTGTAGTAGCCTGCTGTTGGAATTCAAAAAAAGAAGAGAAAATGGGAAGCGCTTGTTCTTCTACTCAAGCAGTTCACTCTCATGATGAACCAGAAAAGGTGAAGAAAGATAAGAAAGCAAAAGCAGAAATGCATGAAAAAACATCATCCGACCATGAGGTAAAGATGGTCACATCAGAAAAGGAATTAAAGAAAGATACAAAGAAGACGGAAGAGAAGCGAGTGGTTGAAAGTGGGACAACCGAGAAGTCTCCAACAGTAGCTCAAGAGGATGTGGTGCAATCTGAACAAGTTGCCACAGCAGTAGAAAAACATGCATCAGTAGAAGAGAAGAAACCAGAAGAAAACAAACAGGGTGAAACTCAACAGCAAGTTTCTGAACAAGCTCCAATACCAGTGGTCATACCCAATAATGATGATGAGATACGACAACAAGTGATGAAAGAAATATATAAAATTCCAGAACGAATGGATGAAAAACCCATCGAAAATGCAGTTGAGAGACAGCTCAATGAAGATTTTGAAAAAGTACACAAAGAAAAAGATGATGAAGAAGGACATGTTGTTGAAGGTTTAGAGGTGGTTGGAACTGGCATTGCTGGTTCCACTGATTTGAAGAGTGCACCTGAACAAACAGCAAATTCTGCGCCAGAAGAGGCTGGAGATGAAGATCTTGGAGGAGAAACAAATGATCATGTGGGAGGTGGTGAGAGTTTGGATGAAGACAACAAGTATGAAAATGGATATGAGGATGAGGCTGAAAAACAAAACCAACAGGAGGAATTGCAAGAAGAAGAAAATCAATCCACTCACCAATGTGAAAATGATGCTATGAAAGAACAAACGGAAGAGGCTGATGATGAAGAACCTCCAATACCTATGCAATCAAATGACATTTCAGAGCAAGAACTTGAGGCAGCAGAAAACTTGACTCAGGATGAACAATAACAATTTGTAAATTATAACACAAACTATTTGAATACATTATTGCTTAAAAAGCACAACAAAGAAAGTGACTGACACGCAGCTAATCAACATCCTTGTTTACGCGAAACAATGGAAACCACTTCAAAGTGGCCATTTTCTTTGTTAACTGAGCCAGGCGGAACATAGGCAAAACTCATCTAAATAGATTGCATTCAAACAAGTTCTCATTCTATCCATCAACTTACCTTATCCGTGTTATGAGAGACAGCATATTTGCCGTCCTTTGAAAGAAATATAAGACCACCAAGTCCACTCACTTTTTGATCCAAATATTCTATGATTGTTTCTATAGCGATTTGTTCTTCATTCATATTTAATTCTTTCTCAGAGTCCTCTTGTTGTTGATTTTTTGAGATACTTTCAAAATTTAAATGTGAGTAAATAGACGCCTTCTTTGGTAAAGTGGGTGTGTTGTGAAATTCGAGCCACTTAATCACTGTACCAGTCATTTGAATTTTCATGATGGATTCTCCCCATCCTGTGCTTGAAGCACCTCCAACATTGCTGTCTGCATAGGTTCCAGATCCAATTATGCCAGTGTCTCCTGACCGTCCTGGTACTTGGTGATTTACCTGTCCCTTAGAAGCAATACCTTAATGATGAAAAAACTTACACTATAAATTGATGAAATATTCAAATAAGGGTTGTTGCCATGGGACTGTTTCTATAAAAACATACCTTTTTTGGGGTTCCTCCAGTTGAAGTACCAGCACAAATAGTGCCATTTAAGTCCAATGCCACACATCCAACGGTGCCTTTCTTTGAAGGTGGTGGTGATTCAATTTTTGATTCAAAAACTGTCCTACTGGTAAATTCGTCATTATTTCTTATACTCTCCAAAAATTCTAATTCTCGTTTCGTCAATAATTCTTCAACACTTGTAACAAATAATTCCTTACATTCTTCCTCGCTGTGACATGTTGATCTTGCAAACTCCAAGGCGTTTTCTCCAACTAGCAAAACATGCTCAGTTTGGTTCATGACCCGCTGGGCAATACGAATAGGATTTCTCACAGACTGAATGGCACATACAGCTCCACATTTCATGCTAGTTCCATTCATAATGGAAGCATCCATTTCTACTTGTCCTTTCAAATTTAAAAATGATCCTTTCCCAGCATCAAATGTTTCATCATTTTCCAAAATAGAAATCTTTGAATCATTCACAAGTTGTAGCGTTGGGGTGTTGAGTATCATCGATCAGTTAATTATTTTTGATTTCATATTAATAATTAATTATTGAAACTCACTGCTCTCACCACAGCCTCTTCTGCATCAATTTCTCCGCTCAATAATTTGGGATATACTTGTGCAATGGCATTATAGGTTCCATGTATATGATCTTGTTCCATCTCGCTCGGAATACTCCAAGCTCCACCGTGAACTATCTGTATTCTCATCATATTCCATATCGGAATGAATATTTTCGATATTTGAAATTAATTCTTCAGTATATTCGGCACTTCTGGAGAAGATATTAATTAACACAACACACTCACCATCAACGGAACTCTTTGATTTTCTGCAGCCATTTTTGTTGCTGAAATAATTTCGTTTGTGGTTGTGAATGCGATCAACGATGAAGCCTTGATCAAGAAGTTCGATAAGTTGGCTCATCATCCGATCAAGCAGGCTCCGCAAGCGGAAACGCTTCATCAACACAATCAACAGTGATATCCGAAGATGATCTTAAAAGCTGAAGGTGGTGGAATTAAAAGCCAAATTGAAAGAAATGGGCCACGGAAAAGGAATATCAGGAAAGAAAAAACAAGAATTAATTGATTTGATTTTGCAATTCAATAATAATAACCAAGGTCATCAATCGACAACGAATACAAATCCTTTTGTTAGTACTCTTCACACACAACAGAAATCAACAAGAAAATCAAACAAAGAAAAGAAAAAACAAGAGGAACAGATCTATGAGGACACTCGCATAGTGAATGGAAAAATTGTATTGGATGTTCCAGCTTGCCTCAGGAGATCTCGAGATGAGTTTGAAAAGCAATAGAAGTAGAGAACCACAATTCCTTCAATTCTTATTTAATTGGATTGCATTATTTCTCAAAGATTAGTGGAACTCAAGTGAACAATTTCTTTGTGATTCCTTTTTGTCCAGAATATGTAAATGATGATTCACATGGTGATCACCAATTTGAACAAGTTATTGGAGAGGTCAGTCCTTCAAATTGTGATTGTTTCTAACAGTGAACCACCCATCTCGAGTGGACTTCAACAATTATTTTTCAGGAATAACTGAGCCATCATTCCTTTCGAGTAAGTGACATTTTAAAAATCTCCATATTTAGTAAATGACACGAATTGCGTTAAAAAGACGATCAAGCCTTACTCGACTGAACTGTGTGCTTAGCCTTCAACATTTTACCGCTCAAATACTACAATCAATGTTTTGCGACCACTTTAAATAGTGACTTGTGCATGCTTTGAAAACCAAAACATCAATAAAAAAACAAACAATTGAAATAATCCTCAGATGTACTGGTGTGTGGTTTGTTATTCCAAGCCAACTCAAGAACATTCCGAAGGATTTGAAGCACACCTTGAGAAAGCCTTTGTTCAAAAAGCTTGGGGAGACTATATACATTTCATCTTTCATATGCAATGGATTAGATTGGTAAGTTATGATGATCTTGTTAATAGTTTAGGATAGACTTTCAGTGATGGCAACATTAGTTTACCACAATGATGATTTGTCATCCATTAGAGAGAACTCAACAAAGTGCAAAAAGACATTGCCTCTTGATGGTGGATGAAAAGAAAGGTGTGAATGTCGAGGAGGTGGATCAAGAGTACAATGAAGTTCCACAACCATCCAACGTTGAGTCATCAAGCGACAACAATATTTATCAGGAATTCAAGACCACGGCTGTTGAAAGGATGTCGGCTGATCAAATTTACAACACCTTAGTGAACAACGATCATAAGGGTATGGCCAGCCTGTTTTTTGCACTTTTTTCAAGGATGTCAATCTCGAAGAAGAAGGGATGGTTAATTGCGAGTATTGAGAGTTACTTGGATTATCCTTTATGAGCACACATTCATGAGAACCCGTCCAGTTATCAGCTGTTGTTAGAGAGCACAAGAAGATGAACATTTTGAAATATCATAACGATATCAATAAAGTGGTGAAGCTGTCCATTCAGTTTGCAAAATTAAATAAATACATTATTTTAAAGTTGAGTCGAATTTCATTTAATGGCGAGTCCACACAGAAGGCCTATGACATGGTGTGAAACTGATGTCTCGAATTTTGATCTGTCCATTACCAAGTGGATCCACTTGCTCATATAATGCAATCGCGTGGATTCTCTCAAATGCACAAACCTTTTTTGGGATCACATAAAAGTCTTTGAATTCATAGTTGGAATTAAAAATTGAGATAATCTGCAAGTTAGGTGGAGTTGTTATTTCAACTATTTTAAACAGCTCTTTCCTTTGTTCCATATTTTGTTTTTGGTGAAAGACCTTACTTTGTTCATCAATTTTCCGTAAGTAATTTCAAAGATTGGCCATGAAAAAGTGATGTAACAAGATAATATGACTACTGTAATTAAACCTGCGTCCATAAATTGATTTCGTGCCAATCCGACGAATAAGCTCAATTTATCATATCCAAATACAAATGTAATAATTTCGCCCAATGCAATTAATCCATCGATGAAAAATACACATGTTACCATTAACATGAATTTGGTGAAATGATATTCCATAATTGATGAAGGCGATATTTTCATTTCTGATTTTAAGGCAAATAGAATCTTTGTGCCATAGAAAGTGAAACCTCCAACAAATGTTACGAAATAGAAAATTCCTGCACTACACATCACAATCCATGCGATTTCATAACTTTTGACGGACACATAAATGATAATACACACATTTCCTAATACTACTAACAAAATATAAAATAGAGAAAGAATTAGAAGATTTAGCTTTGAAAGTCCTGCATTATTAGTGTCAGTTTTTCTTTTTGACATGTCAATAGCATGGCTCCAACATATCACCAAGCTGGAGTAGCCGCAAATCATAAAAACACAAGCAAGTGCTCTAAAAAAGCCTTTTCATCCGATCGTTACAATGAAACTTCTTTGAAAACAAAGCCCTCTCACTTACCTGGAAAATAGGAATTGAAGACAGGGTAAACAGAGGAAAAGTTGAATGTAAATCTTAACAAATTTTCCAAAAAGGCACTCCATGCAGATAAGGTTATAAATATCGGTGGTTGTGAAACAGTATCAAAATAATGTCTCAATCCTTTTAGAATTTTCTTTAGTAAGCTCGTCTCAAGTACTACATCCGATCTCTTTTTGAATGAATTTACTCTTTCCACCATTCTCGGTATCAAGACGAAAAACAATTGGAAGAGAGTCACAACAGCAAAGGCTACACTGAAAAGAATCACAGATATCAAATAGGCAAACATAATTTGCCATCCATGATAAAAATCGTCACACTGAAAACCGAAACTGTTTTTAAATGCATCAACATTTGAAGGATCGAAACCACATCGACAGGTTATAGGTACTTTTAAGGGAGGTGATGGTCACATTTCAAATCCTATCGAAAATAAACCCTTAAAGTAATAGGTAAATAGTAATGGAAGTGAAACGTTTTTCAGCGCTTCCTCGTCTTGAAAAGTTAAATTCAAATGCTGTTTCACAAATTGTGCAATATTTCGTCACCTAAAATGTTGTGGTTAAATATAGGGAAGTTCTTCAAGGTTTTGTTTGAAATATCAGAATCTGTTACAATTCTATTGTTACAGTGAAAATAGGATACCTGATTGAGCTTTTCAATGAACTTCGACGAAGAAAGAGAGAAATGATCGACCTCTGACACTATTGAAAAGGATTTGCAGGAATTATTCAACAAGTATTCCCTGAACATTTCACTCTGTGAATTGTTGCAATGTAGGCAGTGATTTATAAACACTCCTAAGGCGGTAACTTGTGTAGAGTTCATGAGATCCCAAACCTTGTCATGACTGCAGAACAAATCAACACAAGAAAAGTTCGGAAGGAAATCTACGAGTTCTGAAGGGATGGTGTTGTTTGAAAATCCATTCAAATCGCAGAAATCATAATAATCAGAGTCTAAAGTATAAAGAAATGGGTGATAAAACTGATTGACTGGGACCAGATTCAAACATTCAGTCTTGGGATAGTGAAAAGTGTTCAATATTGTAAGGGATGAAGAAGGAGAGGTTGTCAAGGAATGGATTTGTTGTACTTGAATGCATTTAAGCCAATAAGAAAACAAGGTGAGTATGACTGCTGTGGAACAAATCAAAAGTGAGCTTTGGGCCATTCAAAGATTGTTTTTCGAAATTTCTTTTTGTTCGATAAGTTATATTGATAAGACTGTGAAGTGATCGCTCTGTTTGAAGGTTGTGAAATGACCGTTCACACTTGCCTTATACCTTCCTTATATCGAAGCATCGCCCTTTCCATTTGGGTTTTGTTCAAATAAATGATGAATAAAATGCATGCCTCAACCTCAATATGATGATATATATGGATAAAAAATAAGGAACGCGTTCGAAATGCTAATCGAGAAAGTTGATATTGCGTTGAGTTATTGCTTGTAAATAGAGAGGACGAGATGAAAAATAAATATACAACGGCCATTGTTAGATGTTGGTTCGGTTTCATCGATTCAATTTTCTCTACAGTGTCCAATAGCAAATTCTTTCCCACGTTATTTTGAGCCAATCTTTCAAACTATGGAACCACGTCTACGATCACTCTTATATGTCATCTTGTGTGATGTTTTTGGTCTTCATAGGTCTAATGAATCATCCTCGATCACAGACTTTGAAGAACTTTTCAAAGAAAGGAGTCGTCAACACATGTTGAACATGCAATTTGATGTGTCAAAATGAAGATCGAATTATATCTCCGTCATTGTCGGAATGATCATCAAATTTTCTACCTCCGAACTACTTCGGATGAGAGTATTCAGGAGTCAACAAAATCTTCCAAATCGAGCAAAAAAGTTTCTCGATGATCGTCGCTATACCAAAAGATTTGAGTCGTTACGAAATTAAGAATGACACACAGTGGTTTAACTCGAGCCGAAATTTGAAAGAGAGTTTGTTGGTGTGTTGGTCGCATGTGTCATTTTAATTTTGTAAAGTCATTTCATAAAGATTTTCAAGGGTTTTGCCTTAGATCCATTTATTAATAACTGTCAATAAAACGATCTCTTTCAGCAGCCCTTGCCAACCAATTTTCAAGGAAGACTATTCTCACATGTTGGACATCCCCATCTGATATAATCGGCACGATGTTTCTCATTCAAAGCTCTTGCAAATTCCTTTGCATCTTGACCATGATAACCTCCCAATTCAGAAATATATTGTTGAGAACGACCAACTCCAGAATTCACAGCAATATCTGCACACACATAATATGCAGGCATTGGTAATGGGCTGCAACCTCCTTGATTGAAATAATTTTGTTCATACAATTGAGCAGCACATTGCTTGTAGACAGTTGGATTCTTGTCATAGGCATACTTGCAAAAGTCAGCTGGATGGCCATCGAAACCAGCATAGAGAGGAGCAAAGATCGTGTTGCGGTGGATCCAACATTGGTATGGTGTAACTCCCATGCAAGTGTAGCCTGATTGATGTGAACATGTAAGGCAATTGTGAAATTGGAAGTGATCATGGATTAAAAGATGTATGGATTTGAATAAAAGATGGGATAAGAGAATCAGAAGAAAACTTACCAATCTTACCCTATGAAATGTTACACAATCAATGTATGCGTTCAAAAAGAAAGATCATTCCACATTGAATTCACATAATAACTTCAAACTACATTACAATCTCGGTTATATTCTAATACGAGATGCTTAAATTCATTTAGCAATCTTCAAACTCGAGACCAAAATTTGCATACTATTACTATTTTAGCTTTACCGCACCTATGTGAAAGTCATTACTTGATGGACTAGAGGAATAGAAGTAGTATTTGAAACAGTGACACGAGGAACACTTTGATTTTTTCAAAAGAGATGGAAGAAGAAGAAATCATTTTAAGGATTGAAAATGTTATTGCCAAGCATGGTTAGAAAGACAACAATGGCATTCACAACTGCCAATAAAACTAAATTCACCTCCCTTGCTGATGAAATGGAAGCTGCTTTTAACAGCTTTTTGACATCCACCACGAACAAGCTCGATGTCACTACTGTTGCACTTTCTGCTTCATTCATACTTCTACTCAAAGAATTAGTGGTTATTGGCTCAACATGTGCTTGCAAAAAGCAGGAAGTCGATTGTTGGGAATACTTTTCCGGAAAGAGTGTTGAAAGTAATTTGAAAGAAAAGCCATAGAAATTATTACCACCAAATTGATAAGTCAGAGTTTCGACTTGAGAGTCTGGGACTGAGTTGGCAATCACTGGCTTCCAAACATCCATGGTTAAAGAATTAAATCTAGAACATCCATATTGGCCTGATGAAGGATTATATGTAATAGAAGCGGTAAATTCTTTAAAGCAGCACATAAAAGCATCTTTCACTCTTATTCGAGTGCGATCTCCCAAAGGTGTAGTCACATGGACTTGCGCAAAAAGTCTTTCATCTGAGAGGAATTTTATCTTTGGAGTCCAGTCGTTATTTGAAAGTGACATGGTCGATTCTAAGGTGAAATTTTTCTGAGAAGGTGGTGTAATAATGGTATAAGTAATTTGAAGAGGTAAATATTCGATCACTGTATCTAAAACTCCTTTTCTCTTCCAGATCGTTTTGAAATATACTAATGATCGATAGTCATTGGCAGTTTGATCAGAAATTACCACAACCCGATAATATTTTTTAAAGGTTGCAAAATTTTGATATAAAAATTGTGTCTCTGTCACACGCAGTGCAAACAATGAGTTGGTGCTGTTATAAAACTCAAGAGACATCAATGAAACATTAGTTGCCTCAAAAATTATTTGAATCACTAAGAATCCACTATTGGTGCTAAATTCAATAGGGTACAAGTTCGTCAAGTATCCATTTAAAGGCGTCGTTTGATTAAAAGTAGAAATCGAAATGACAGGTGATAATTGAACGTTAATGACTTGTGTTGTGGTAAATTTGTAATCTCTACAAAATCCACCATTTGTAGTGACTCGAGTATCCACCACGTGGATGGAAATAGGAATACTCAATGTCATGTGATCACCAGAATATGTTTTCGTTGTTGCATTACTAGAAATAAAGTGATCCACAAGGTACGGAGAAGTCACAAATGATTCAGTGCATGGTAAATAAGAGATATTTGAAGAAACATTCATCCTCTCATCTCCAACAACTCGACAAGTGGTAAAGTTAAATTCCGATGTTCCAAAAAACATGTAATATTCTAAATTCACATGATCGTCCTTAGTTATGTTAACCTTAAAAACAAGTGTATTATATGCAATGACTGTTGATTCAATGACTGGAATTGGCGAGCCCATCACATCTAGGTCCCAACATTTCAATTCAAATCCTACGCAATTAGATGAGTATCCAAGAGAAAATCCAGTTTGCATGTCATAACAACTTGTTGACGAGTAATTACTGAATATTCCTCCTGTTTGACACTTGTTGTCATTATAGGAATAATAAGACGAGCATGAGGCCTTTACATATCCAAAATTCATGCTGAAACTACAAGTATCTAGTGGATGATATTCCACAAATTTAAGATATTGAAGTTCACAAGTATAACCATAATGATGACGAATGGCCATTTGTCCTGGCTGTAAAGATGGCAAATTGGACATACAATTAGCAATTCCAAATACATTCCATGCCAATTGTACACAAAATCCACTTGGAATACACACTTGACTTGGTCTCACTAAAGTCGAAGAAAGTCTCACGGTGCAAGCACTGTCTGAGAATAAATCGTATGAAATGTATCCATTCAAATATGGATCGGATTGATCATTATGACAGGTCAATGAATATCCAGTGTTAAATTCATTGGAATTACAAGTATCATTGTTCACAACAAAAGTATATTGTTTGTAAATGCCTTGAGAGCAGGTGTCACCATGGAATGACGTGTATTGCGAGCAATTGGCTTTTCCACTATAACCATCCATTGCAGTGACAAACAAATCAGGGGAACACACATTTTTGGGAAAATAGGTCACTATCGGTCGTGGATCTTGGCATGAGGCTCCATCGTTATATTGCATGGCTTGAACTTGACCAGGACGAGGAGGTGGTGGGTTGTTGCCTGGACATACGACACGTCCAAAATAGCCAAGCTGAACATTGGAATCACAATACATGTTGGGTGTGCAAGTGGTGTTGCGAATGAGAATTGAGACTTTCGAAGTGCTGCAATATGGGTCTGTGTACAGGTCGTACAAGACATGGGTATCTTGTTGTTGTTGTTGAAGGAAACTAGTTTGTGAACGTGTTGTGGTCGAAGCTTCTTGTTCGGAGAAAGTTTTTAATTCATCATTGACGGCTTCCAAAATAGAGGTGTGAGAAAATATCGGAGAATCACAAACAAGAATAACCAAGACAAGAAGAACTAGCCGTGTCAAGCACGTGTTGGCAATTCGTGTCATGCCGCAATATTTTTATGTGTGAAAATATTAAGTTTCTGTTGTGGTGCCATGAAAGGCATGTACAAGCAAACTGGAAGGCAATTTCCGGAAAATAAAATTAAACCCAAAATTTCTTTTTTGGCAAGCCAACTTTCCACCTTGATTTTTCTTTCCCGCTCCTGATCCAGATTTCTAACGGTCAAAAAAGTTTTGCCGCCTGCCCCAGAAAATCAAAAAAAATGGCCAACAACAAGAACAGCAAAAACAACATCAAAAAGCTGTGAACAAGCAAGACTTGCAGAAATATGATGTCCCATCCTAATTAGGGTTTCCAATGGCATTGACGCATTTTTCAAAGATAACAAGCACTTTGTGTCTGAACAAAAGGTGCAATCACTGGCAATCTCACTGACAAGATGAAGCTACAACACCGAAAAATTGACATATGGCTTGCCGATCCAAGCAAATGGCAAGAGAAAGCAAACCAAATTTTTTCACCAAGACCAGTCGTCACATCCAACAACACATGGCACATAATCAACACATTGTTGAAAATACCTATTGCAACTCTCAAAAAGAGGATTATGATGACAACGACGTAGAAATTATTGAATCCAACTCATCCACCAGCCACAACATACATTATCACGACCAACCTTTGATCTTTTCAATTCCATGATTAATCCCTGTTTCGGAGGACCAGTCATCCAAAAGTTGGGCCAAGTTGTTTCAGAAGACAATCATGAGTAAGAAGTTTAATAGTGCTCTGTGGAAAACAAAGTAAATACATTTCAATCCAAATAATCAATTCCTGAAACAATACAACTGCTGGTCGTCTGGTATTGATTGTTTTGGTCTACTTGCAACAACTTTATCCACTGTTCTTCTATCAACACCGACAATTTCAGCCACTTTACTATAATTTTTGATGTAGTTTATATTGATTAGTGAAGAATATTAATTGGCTGCATTCCTCTTCAAAAGATTCACCAGGAAGGTACATTCTTCCGTGCTTGTTAATTTTCATGGAAATTTTCTTTGCCTTGTGTGATTTGGTTTTTCTTGGATGGCAAGTCAATTCCACCAAGAGAATTTGGTTTTGCTTTGCTTCTTGTAACGTCAATTCGACGGTTTGACTTTTGACTTAGCGCGAATTTTTTTGACTTGACTTTGCTTTTTGGTGTACATGCCTTTCATGGCACCACAATAAATTCAGTAACCAAGCAAGGGGATGAACAACACATCTCACACTTGATCATCTTGCCAAAATGTCAGTTAAAATGTGATAAAATTCTTGTTGACTGATCAATAGAAAGACCATTTTTCAAATATTTACTCACAACGTTGGAGATTATTATTTGCTGTCATTGCTTGAACCTGTCGAATCAGATTGAGAGGTGAATGGAAATCGACTTCGATTCTCCGACATGTCATAGGCTGCTTCGGTGTATCTGAAACTCTTACTCTTTTGTGACAAGGGCTTTGGTTGGTGAAAGTCGTTGACGGAAGTTGCAGAGGTTGGAAGGATTGAATTGTATAAAATTTCTTTTTCTGTTTCTGCCCATTTAGCAATGGTGCTGTGAGTACATTCCAAGACTCGAGGCCAAAAGAGAGATGGTTCATCCTCGGTTTTTGGACCTTCCTCAATAAAATTGTGTTCCTTTTCAGGTTGTTGTCCCACAAGGAGTCCATAAGCACTGATGCCTTGGTGGTCACGAGCTTCAAAGAATCCAGACAAACCACAATCAGGTGACCAAACACCTTTTGTTTTGTTATTGAGATTGAGGCTGAAATTTTGGTAAAGCCACATTAAAAGCCATTGAAAACCATCAAACCTAATAAATTGAATTCAAATTTAAAAGATGAACATGATCATTGTCACAAACTACTTACCAAGCTTCTAATTCTTCCTGTGTTGAGCTGTCTTGATCAATATTGATTCCTAATTCTACAAAGTGTATCAATATTGTTTTTCCTTGTTTATCTCTATCAAAAACAATGGACTTGAGGATGTGTTGTAAAGCTTGTTCTTTTTTGTCTTGGGATTTCGTCCTAGAGTGCCTTCTTAATTTAGGTGAGGAATAGCTTCGTTTTCGAGGTGAGCCTTCTGTTGACAGATCGACATGAGGAGAAGAGTTTTCCATATTTAAATCAATTCCTCGGAGACGATTCGGCGATAATTGACAATAGTTTGAAATATCCAAACAAATAACTTTCATCGCTTCAATATCGTTATAGACAATGCTCTTCATCAATATATTGTGACCAAATGAGTTTTTCATTTGGACAGCTTTTTCAAATATTTCTTTTCCAAAGAGTTCCAAACCTTGATCAAGAATATGATGCAGTAAATGACATGAAGAAGTGTCTGATACCAATAGGGTACTTTTGCGAGCTAAAAGACGTGAATCCGTCGACGGATGTCCACTTAGAAATAAGCCTGTAGGAGACGAGGAATGAGCTTTTGTCCTCAAATCTGCTATACATGCAAATAAAGCATTTTCATCTCTTTGATTTCTCTTTAAAATAATTTTTGGTGAATGTTGAGCCAGATATTTCACAGACTCAATATCACCACCATCTCTACACACTCGATGTAGTAAGGATTCTCCCAATAATCCTGATGTGACATCAATCCTAGCTCCAAATAATACAAGTAAGTCACAAAGTTTAAAATTCTTGTTTCTGAATCCAATCGTAATTGGAAGGTTACCATGGTGGTCATGATGATGATTCAATTGTTTTGAAGATACTGTTGGTTGACTCAATAGAAATGCTGCAGCCTCAATGGATGAGTAATCATAACATGCATAAAACAAAGGTGTTGCCAAATTTTGATCTTTCACAGACCAAAGTTGGTGTTGTTTAGCCAAACATGCTTTTGAATGTTGAGAATTTTGATGTTCATCATATTCTACATGTTGAGTTGCAATGTTAAAATTTCTTCCAAAGTTTCGACTGAATCTCTTAAATGGATTGCTTGAAAATTCGAACATTGGCGACAAAGAGGGCGCTTCTTTCTTGTCTCCATTGGAATTAGCTGAAATACTTATTTTTTGAATTGGTTTAAAAACACACTTTTTATCACAGCAACATCTCTTCATCCACTGCAATAATTCCACTCTATTGTGACGAGCAGCCAAATGCACAAGTGAACATTGTTGGAATTTAGAGGAGTATTTTAAATGATTTGTTAAATATTCTACCACATCGGGTACGGTCACGCTTGAAAGTTCATCCTCATTCATTGAAGAAAGCTCTTGCATCAAGAAATCGAGTAATTCAGTTTCTAATGTTGTTTTTGACGAGAAGGAGGAGGAAGAGGATGATGTCGTGGATGGGACCTCCATCTCTTCATTCATTCTCTCTTCCAAAGAGTTGAGTGTCATTTCATTGCGCTTGAAGTTGTTCGAATGAGAAATCTTTTGTATGAAATGATGAGGAAACAGTCTTTCTCTCCACTTGTAGCAGCAGTGATCATGAGACTCCACAGTTGCAAGAGGAGGAGAAGAACATGACGACGACAATGAGCACAATGAAGACTCTCCCATCATGGTGGATGTCGGAGAGGTTGTGGCTGACGACGACATGTTTGTGTTGTTGATGATGGTGGTGGTTATTGTTGATGTTTCAGAAACGGAGGTCATTATGCTTGGTTTAACATCCTTCTGGTGATGATAAATATTGTTGTTATTACTATTATTCTTCATGTTTGTTGTTGTGAATGAACGATGAATTCCGGAATCAGAATGTTTTTGGTGGTTTTTTCTCTTCGTTGTATTTCTTGCTGATGGTTGATGAATGTGGGGTTGTGATGGTTTCTCGATTTGTTTGTTTGTCCTACTGCTGCTATTAATACTACTGCTCATACGAAATTCATCTCGACAACCAAAATTTTGATTGTTTGAGTGGTTATCAACAACAGAATGTTTTGCTGTTTTGTTTGGTTGGATGATCCTCTAATAACGTTTTCACAACGAGACCAAAGTAGATCAAGATAAACAAATTCTGCAAGTTTAAAACCATAAAGATTTCAAACTATAAAAGGAGCCAAGGATTTCCGTGTACGATGAAAATATTATTCTCATAACTATGAATGGATTGTATTTCAAGATCTTCATTTATAAATTGACTTTTGACAGTTCGCACCCTTTTCATCAATGTTCAGTTTATATGCTGTTGTTTGCTCCGAAGTTGAAAAACGTCTCTTGTAATCAAATTACAATACTCTCTCTTGTTATGGACCGATTATTCGTTCTTGTGGAGTAATCTCTTACTGTTATTGGTCTCTCTTTACATTTCGAATTGATTTTTCTTCATGCGATCCATTGTCAACATGGTCTCCCAATTTTGACATTTCACCTTTCCATTCGGATACCATACAAAACGAACAGTTAAAAGACAAAATAAAGTTGATGTGAAGAATCAGGAATTTTAAAACAAATACCAAACGCCAACACCATGAATCTTGTGTTATTTTCATTCATCATCGATGACCCCATCAAAGCGACACAAAGATCAGTTGCGAAAAAACACACATCATTCACACTCTAAAACAATTACACACACCATTCACACTCTTTCTCCTTCTTGCTTGTTTGACCACATTGAACAAGTATCTCTCTCTCTCTGAACTAACCTTATTTGGTCTTCAATAACACATTCCTTTTGACATTATCATTCCATCATCAACCAACAAACAAAAACCGTTTCACATTTCACACACACACACACACTCATGAAAACAAACAGTCCCACAACTCCAAACATGACAGCAATGTCCACCTCAACTGCTACCAATTCATCCTCTCCCTATCTCTACTATTTCCCAGTGACTGCCATCCTTATGCCTTCCTCTTCCTCACAAACTCATCACCGTGATGATGGATGCTATTCACCCGTGTTGAGTCCTCAAACGAAGAGTCAGTCCTTCTCGACCGGTATCGATGGAAAACAACAGCGACGATTGTCCCTAAGAATGATCGATAGTAATGGCATTGCCATGGAGTCACCACCACATTCACACAATGATCTCAGCAGTGTTCATGACAATACAGCGACTTCGTCCTCCTCGTGCTTCCTCATCATCGCCAATGATGTTTACTTTGGGAGGAGGCAAATCAACGAACACTCAGAATAACAGATCGATTGCCGAAATCATTCCACCATGTATTGTAGAATTGAGAGAAAAGTTTCAGACCTTTATAGAGCAAACAACGACAGCGAGTAATCAAGCATCGAATAGTTCAACAAGCAAAGATGCCTACATGTTCAAGTTGGCATTCTTGGATGAGTTTTACAGTCCTTCAAAAAACAGAATTCGAAAATTTGAAAATTTGGATGCCTTGTTCACTTCTTGTGATCGATTTTTAAAGACTCTTTTAAAATCGAGTTCCTCGAGTATTGTCACAAATATTACCAATGATCGATATCCTTTTTTATTGGCCATGGATGAAATCGCAAAACAAAGTTCGAATATTCCACTATTGTGCTCTCATGAATATTGTTTGCAATGGCTCAAAAATCAAGCAATTCTTGCTTCTAAATATTGTAAACAAGAATTGGCGAAAAAACTCAAGTCATCAACAGAGGATGTAGCTCAAATCTCTCCTGAAGATGACTCAGACAACGAAGAAGATGACGAAGAAGCCATTATTGAACAAGATGACGGAAAGACATGTACTGTGAACGAATCAAATGATCAAGAAGAAGATCTTACCATGGACAACTATGACGACACTGGGTTGAAAATGTTAACCTTAATGTTCATGACTTGCTTGGAAGACAAATTTTCCCTCTTCCAAAAAAAGAATTCCAAATTCATGAAAAAATGGTTCTCTAAAAACGTTAAGGAATTTCCAAATCATGTGATTGATTTGTTGCAGAAAAAGAGACGCAAGTTCCTTCACTATCATCATAATTTCAAGCTCTCTGAGGAAGACATGAATGTCAAGACTTTGATTGATTCTGACTTTGAATTTGCTTCCTACCTGATGGAACACACCGAAGATTGGAAAGTCCTTCTCGATGATGTTTGTGATATGGTCATGTACAAATCAAAAGAAAGCTACTCGAGTATTTATGGAATGAGAAATCAAAAATCCATTTGTACAGTTCCTTACTCTATTGAAAATGTCTTGAAGACACTTCTCACGAATGAAATGTTTGGAGAACGAAACGGAATGCTTCTCGACATGAAATTTCATGCTTTTCAAGAACTCGATCCGAATATATCCTCAAAAAAGTATTCCACTGTCATTCAAACAAGTGTCATGAATTATGGAGCTCTATTCAAGAAGAGATCTCTTGAAAATGTCATTTCCACACGTGCCATCTTTTGTGGCAACCAAGTACAAGAAGTGATTCACTTGTACAAAACTTGTTCCTACGTTTCCAAACAAGATGATTCCAAAGCTCCTGTGAAAATAGTCGTTTTCGGATGTCGTCGCTACACCAAAGATGATACCAATCGAACACGAATTGTGGATTGTCGTCTCATGAACATGGGTGGATTTTTCATGAATTCGGATTTTGTGGTCAACACGTTGGGTGCTAGAAGGATGGCTGAGGAATGGTATGAATTTTTGAACATGATGCTGACAGAGGCTGCAAATAATCACTTTAAGGCACCCGATCCAAAAGAACATTACATTTGGAGAACTCTGTGTGATTATTGTCGAGTGCATTGTAAGGTGGATATCACAAAATGGTGAATGAGATAAATTTCAGAAAGTAACAACAATGAAGCTTGAGATCCATTTTCCGTATTTCTCATTGAACGAAATAGAGTATGGGATCATGTTGTATCCACATGCAGTTGCATCATCTAGAAGATGACAACCATCAAACACGACTGTCGAAAGTGCTCGGAACATTCGAATTCTTGAGTTAGATCCTTCGTTTCATATTGATAAAGATTCCAATAATGACCAAATCTGATTTTGAATGTATGAAAACGTCGTTATCCACAAGGAACATTATCTAGTTTTAGTTTGCAATTTAGTAATAAAAACACAATAAGGAAATAACACAAATCAAGCGAGTTCTTGGTTCCAAGAAGAAGTTCAAAACCTATTTAACATGATTTCTTTTTTTCATCAAACAACAAAAAAAACAATATCAACACCACCTATTTTGCAGATCATGCATACATTGAATCAACAATACCAAATGGAACCATCCACAATCAACACCCAAGCTTCTCAAGATTTCATGAATTCCCAACCACAGCAACAACCCCAGTATCAACAAACTCAACAAACACAACCTCACTCACAGCCACAACCACAGACACAACTTTCACAACCCCAGCAACCAAAGTTTCAAGAAAATGACAACAATGCCGAGATAACGTACCACCAAAACACTGGTGGTTGTTACAATCCCTATGATACCTATTTCAACGCTCAACCAAACTACCAAACCCTGAACCCACCGACAAACCCAAATTATTATCAACACTCCAACCAAGTTTATACCGAATGGTATGTGAATCATAACCCTCCACAACCAACCACTCAGCAACTGCAACAAGGATCCTCCATGTATCCAGTTTTGCCTCCACTTCCTCCCAAGAAACCAATGCATTTGACAACCAATTCAACGCAATTTCAATCTCTACCAGAACAACAACAACAACCTTCAACTCAAGGTTTTATCACCACTTCCACAACGATCACTTCTCAACAACATGAACTGTTAGCTTCCATTCATGTACCGCAACCTAATTGGGAACAAAACAATCGACTGCGACAATTGGAAGAAGATGCTAAAAAATGGTTGTATCAGAGACTCAAAGTTATTGAAATGCTGCAATCTTTGGTCAATGACATGAATCGAGTGGCCACCAAAACCACAAAAACAAAGATTGGTGGAACAGCTACAAATATTGTTGGTGCAGGTTTGTTGGTGGGTGGTATTGTGGCTGCTCCATTCACTTTTGGTGGTTCTTTACTTGCATCGACTGCTGGTTTAGGTTTAGTGGGTGCTGGAACTGCCGTCACTGTTGGTTCTTCCATTGTGGAGTGGAAACATGCCAAAAAGATGGCAGAACTAATACAAGTCGAATTGGAAAAGGACACTCAAGAAATGAATGAAATGCTTCGAAAGATCTATGAATATCGTTCTTACGATACCTACATGGAATATCGAATTTTGAATTTTGACAATTCCAAAGTCACAGTGATGCAATTTGTCAATGCATTGGTTGGAAATGGAAATTCCTCACGTCAAGTGGGATGTATTGGAAGTGGTAAATTGACTCATGGCAATGCAGGAGCAACCAGCTTAGCAAGTCTTCTCATCAAGGGAGCCATTCCAATTGTGAGTATTCCTGTCGATGTGTGTCTCTTGGTTCAAGAATCCAAAAGATTGAATGGCAAAGAACCATCCAAACTTGCAAGTAGAGTCACTCCAGTCATTGAAGCTTTGAGAATGCAAACCCAGCTTGCCACTGGACAAATTAATTGAGAATCCTTTCTTCAATTTTCACAGTTTTCAAAATAAACAACTTTTACAGACCAAAAAAAACTTTGAACGGACGTTTTCCTGAAAAAGCGTTGAATTCTCATCAAAACTTTAAAAAAATTTCGGAATTGACATTTGACTTTTCCGAATCCTTGAAGGGAGAAAAGGTCATTTCATCATCAGGTTGTAGTCTGACTCAATCCTAATTTCAGTAAATTAACTGAATTAAACTTGCTTATTAATTTTCAAAAAGAAACCATTCAATCACACGACATGTTTGTGCTATTTTTACTCCTATCATGTTTGTTTCAGTCACACAGTACTGCTGCCCTTCATCGTTTGTCATGTCTAAAATGCACAAAAGGCAACTCCAACATCAACCACACATTTAAACCTTCACACAACAACTTGAAAAAATGTTTGAACAAGACCAACCTCAATCATCAACAACAACAACTTCCCAAAACGACTCTCTCACTCGATCCAATGATGGTGATCACAACAGCAGAGTGTCGCAACCTCGAGTGCGCATTCATAAATTGGTGAAGGATTTTCTCGACCGTGTGTTGTCAGAAACAAGCTCAATAGATCCTGATGATGAGGATGCGGAAGAAGAAGAGCCTTCATTCATCAACATGGATGAAGATCAGGAGACTGACTCTCTACCAAGCTCTATGGAATCACAAGAAGTTTTCAATTTGAATGAACAACCTTCTCGGTCACCGGACACGAAACCATCATCACCATCACTATCACTCAACAATTACTCAACAACTAATTTAGATTTGAATATTGAATCGGACCCATATGGCTTCTCATCTGCCTATTTCTGTTTCGGATCCAACGAAGAAAATTTTCTCTCTCTCAACTCGAGCCAACTTTCACAGTACGAGACAGGTGTTGATGGTTTTGATGGAGAGGTGATTTCTCGAGTGACTCAACGAACCTTTCACACCACTCCAATGATTATTTCAACAACAGACAACAATGAGGAAGTGGTGATGGTGGCGGACTCAGAAACAGCATTACGACCAAGAGTGTTGGGAGGAGAGGAAGTGGTGGAGCATATTCGTATGGCAGCTTATAATTTGGGAATTTTAACGAGAAGAATGAAAAGTTTCCATGACTTGTCAAATAAGAGTCATCCTTCTCTCGATGAAAAGGAGAATGGAACGATTTGTTACATTTCAGGAAGTAATGAAAGGGGACAATTTGGATTACCTGAAAAATTTAAAAGAACGAGCTCTTTTCGAAAGGTGGATTATTTTGAAAAGAATGGAATTCAGATTAAGGACATGACCTTTGGTTCCTATTTTACATTGTTTTTATCAGCAAATGGACAGCTGTTCAGTGCTGGAGATAATGAAAATGGTCAACTTGGTCGTAGCTCTTTGGACAATCAATTTAATATTGAGCAAGTGAAGATTGTGAATCCGGAAACGAGTGAAGAAGAATTTATTACTCAAATTGAGGCAGGAGCTTTCCATTGTGCCTTTCTTGCCAAAAGTGGAAATGTGTATTCACAGGGATACAATTGTTGGGGTGAGTATTGCGCATGTCTTTTATCTTGTTGTTGAAACAGTTTTTCATCATGACGATTGTGAAATGTCACATTGTTTGACAATAGGGCAAAGTGGACATGAAGGAGATGATATCATACGCCCAACGAGAATTGATATTTTCGGAAAAGAAAAGATTGAAATTGAAAGAATTGTGTGTATTGAGCATAATACTTTTTTCATTACAAAGCCAAATCCATTCCGTGACATTTATGGTAGGTATTTTTAAACGTTTGAACGAAAGAGTGAAATAATGAAATTCAATATTGTGACATCACAAAAGGGTGTGGATTTTCTAAAAAGGGACAACTTGGTGGTGAACATGGTGGAGAATCAGTTCGACAACCTGTCAAGCTGCATTTTTTTTCAGGAAAAGATAAGAGCGTTAAATCTATAAGTGGAGGATGGGGACATGTCATTATCGTCACACAAGATGGATCTGTCTACGCACAAGGATTGAATGATTATGGACAGTGTGGAGTGGGTGATCTGGAGACTCGAAAAGAAACCACCTTAATACCATTCTTTACGGAAACACTTTACAAACAATCTTATTTGGAAAAAATTGAAGAAGTGCAATGTGGTTCATATCATTCACTGTTCTTGTCTAGATCTGGTAAATTGTTTGGATGCGGATATAATGAAATGGGAAGTTTGTCTTTGGGTAGCGAGAGTTGGATTACCATTCCAACATTGATTGTTGAATTCCCAAGCTATTTAATTGGAGAACCACATTATCAGTTGGAATTGAAAACATGGTGCTATACAACAGCTATTTTGGTAAAAAAGAGATCAAAAAGAGTGGAACAATTTTTCACAAACCTCATGAGATCACTACAGCATGAAGCTAGATTTTTCGATTTATTGATCGTTTAAGATTACCCATTTCTATTGTGTGAGAGAGCATCATGTTATTAATTATGCTTTGCTGTTGCAAGACCAATACGACCATTTTGTTGATCATAGACGGTGTAGAAAAGAGATTGAAACACAGCTCCAAAAATCCATTCTCCTGGTTGCAAAAAATCCGCTTGATTGATTGCTCCTTGGCACACAAGTTGACCAAACAGTGGTGCCTTATTTTCAATCACATAATCCTGTGGTTTGATTACATAATCATTACCTCCAATCACAAATGCAAAGGTTGGAATACTCGAGAGTTTGATTTGTGAGCAATCAGCAGGAATCGAGACGTTGGCACCAAGTTGTAAATACGAAAATGTATAAGTGTCAGTAAAAATTGTAAAAGCACTTGTATCCAATTGAGCCACACATTTCTTTCCGTAGCCAATACCACAACCAAGATTTTGGAAGAGTCGTCCATTCACCTTCAAGCCATCAAATTCAAAACTCCAATGTCTGGCATCACTTGGAATTGGATAAAACTTCATGTCCCCAACATAGTAATCATTGGAATAACCTCCCAACACAAGAGCTCCCTTTCCTTTCTGATGTTGTTGATTCATATTGAAAAATTCACTCAAATACACTGAAAATATCCTTTGAGATACTAATTGCTGTTTCACTAAATAGCTCATTAAGGAAGGAAATGAAAAAATATTATTGGCACTTGGTTCTGGCAGCAAGCTTAAACCCAACAATCCATCATATTGTAAATAGGTTTCCTCCAACGAATCGGAGGCCTTGACCAGTTCAGCAAATGTTACGTTTTTCACTACGAGAGCTTCGGAATTATCCATGCCAAGTAAGGCAATTTGATCATTGGCCAAAGTGCCGTAAAACTGAAATTCTCCAATATCCCACTCAACATTTCTTCCATCGGGTTTATAGGTTTTGGATTTTCTTGAATCGTATTTGGGATGTTTCCAGCATTGATATCCACATAAGGTGGAAGTTACAGTCAATAAACCACCATTAGTATTCACCAACAGTTTGAAAGTATTACTTTTATCAGTTCCGAAATGTGCATTGACGGTGTAATAGAACTATAACCACAACAAGGTTATGCATTCTTTTTTGAAACTTTTTAAACAAGACCACTTACATTGTTGTAATCACTTAAAGGAAGGACAATCAAAGGTTCACCCTTGGCACCAACTTGGGTGGAGCTTCTCGCTGTTGCCAAGCTCATCATGGCACTCGAGCAAAAAGCAATGATGCAAAGAGCGAACAAAAAAAGGGAGAACGGTTGTTTCATTTTTTTTCCTTGTTTAGCTGCCCGCATATGGCCGAGTGGTTTTTCTGGAACTGTGGCAGCCAACTGGTCCAGCGTTCGAATCCCAGGGTTTGCTGTTGTTATCGTGAGCAGTTTAAACACCTTTACTTCCGGGGTGCCTGCTAGGAAGTCACTACGTATCTTACGTTCGGCTTGTAAATAATGTACATAAAACCATCGAACAACGTTTATCATCGAATAAACCCATCCCTGAATTTTTTTTCCTTGTTTAGAGCGTCTTTGAAAAAATGTCTGAAAACCAAACCGCCCTCGGCGATGAAGACACTAATCACCTTCGCCATCACGCCTCTATCAAAGAGGTCGCTATTTGACGGAAGACGGAGCCTCTAGAATTTCATTTTCCATTTCTTCTCTCCATTTATCATGTGCCGATTTTTGAGCAGAAAGAGATTTGTTTGCAGTATGCGGGCAAATAGCCAATTTGTCGGAAATACAACCTAGCCCACCCAGCATATACAACTCCCCAATGTTGTCGCAGACAGAGGTCTCTAATATTACTACAACCTCTGGAGTCTCAGTTTTTAATACCTCAGCCATGACCGATGACCATTCTACTAAATTGAAGCGACATCATTAGCTCTTCAGAATGGTAGCCTTTACTACCAACTCTGTCGAAGAAGTCCTTGCAACCGTCGCAATGAATGCCGATACGTTGTACGATAGTAGAGTTGTCAATGAATTAGATTGTATTATCCTTTTCTTCAAGTCGCGCAAATTGGCAAACCAAGCAATATCTGCTGGTGCTAAGTCCAAGCTCACTATGATACCTCAAACCGTCAAAACATCATTCCGTTATAAGGTCGACAAGGATTTAGACAAGACTAATATGCATTCTATTATCTCAACCCTTGGTTCTTCTATCAACAATATCAATTTTAGCAAGATGGATGATCAGGAATTTTGGGCTATTGGTACTAATATTGAGTTACCTGCCAATCATTTGAAGAAATTTAAGCTTTCCAAAATGAGAACAGATATCTCTCGCTTCCGTACTGCCTTTAATGATAAAGAAAATGATCTTCCTAAACTCAAGGGTGCCATTAGTTCCCAATGGAAAGTCAAGATTGAGAATATCGAATTGGCTAACAAGATGGCTGTTGTTGGTATTAAAAAAGATCAAATTACCAATAACATTACCAAGTTCGTCCAAGTTGGTAATTATAGTTTCAGAAACCTCTCATTCTCTACTACAGAGTTGCCAATTCTATCAGTCACAGAATGGAGGCTGTTGAAAAACAAATGTCTGAAATGTCATCAGCTCTCCAAAAATTGACAAAGGAAATGGCTGTCTGGTCTGGTAAAAAGGTCACGGAAGGCTTTAATAAGATCAACAAAGCTGTTGAAGAAATTAATCAAAAAATCAACACTCTCTTAGGTACTACTATTCGCAACAAGGGTAAAAGTGGGCATAAGAAGGGCCAACATTCCCTTTAATGGCCCCTCATTCTAAAAGAAACTCCTTCAATTTAGGTACTGCTAATTTTGGAGGAGTTGGCTGGGTAAAACAATCTCAATTACTTACCTTAGCCCGCAAATATGAACTGGATGTCCTTAATATCCAGGAAACTCATTTAAAATCCAGTACGAAAGACTATTGGAATATATGGTATTTCAGATCCTTCTTTCGTGGCTACTTAGTTTACAATTCCAACGCCACTGAAGGTGATAATGGAGCAGGAATTGCTACTATTATCAGACCGTCACCTTTTATTAAGGTACTCCAATTCGTCGAACATATTCAAGGCAGATTATCAGAAGTCATTTTGGAACATAAATACCCTAGGTGTGGCCTGCATTTTCAATTGGTATGGCCCGGCTAACAAAAACAAACTCGAATTCATGAATAAGGCTCTCAATATTATCAACATTTCTGCTCAAACAGCGGTCTTTCATGGTGAACGTATTGTCATATTGGGAGATTTGAATGCCAATACTAAAACATTCAGTAAGGTATCTTATGCCGCCCATGAACGACTATTAATTGACCAATGTGACAAATTGAAACTCTTTGATGTTGTTCCCATTTCAAACACACCTTCGTTTGCTCAACGCAACAAATACTCTCATGGTTTTTCTCGCCCGGACCATATTATTACTTCCCACAATGATTATTCTGGTGTAGAAGATGTTCCTACTGCTTATTCTCACAAACTTTTATAAATCTCCTTCCCCAGTAATCCCATTTTAGACTTCCCAGAACAGTTCAACAAATATATTATCCATCCTAAAATTTTACAATCCAAGATGAAGGAAATTAATAACGATTTTGCTAAAGAAAACCCTGACACTCTTTTAGAAGCCCAAAATACCCTTGCTAAAATTGTGAAGAAATATGGTTCTCTTAGCACAAACAAGCCCTCATTGATCACTGATAATCGTAATGTCAGACAATTTCAGACTTTTATTTTCGATTTGAAACAATATCTCTATAAGCGTAAACATGTTTCTACTATCACCAGCCAATTTTTGAACAATAATTTTAGCCTCAACAATGTCAAGGCTAAATTAGAGGAAGCTAAAACCTCACTCAACAAGCTTATTGGATCTTTATTGGCTGACCGTAAACGGGTCTTTGTGAATAGAATTAACAATCTTAACTCTAAACAACCGTATTCCTATGCCTTCAGAAAAGAACTAGTCAGTCCTTCTATACTCAATGTAGTCCAAAGTAACCATAACTCGACAATTGTAGATCATTTTTCAGCCATGTTTAATACAGAACAAGAAGTGACTAAAACTCTCCCGGAAATCAAGAAAAACAATACTGTAGCCCAATGGAAATTCCATCATATCACTGCCAAAGAGTTGGATAAAGTTATTTCTAAGACAAAAAATTCTATGGCTGGCTATGATAACATTTCGGTGCCATTGTTGAAAATTCTAGACAACAATTCGCTCCAAATACTTGCAAAATGTATCAATCACACAATTGACAGTGAAATGGTTCCTGAAGAATTGGGTATCGATATTCTACTCCCATTACCCAAAATCAACATGCCTACAAAATTATCAGACTTTAGACCTATAGTTGTATTGTCCATGATCTATCGTCTATTTTCTTCTATTATCAACAAACAATTCATGAATGTCCTTGAAGAGGCTAATTTAATCCACACTGCGCAACGAGGATTCATGAAAAAAGGTTCAACATTAGAACACCTTATCAGTCTTCGGACTGCCTTAGCATACAAATATCAGCACAAACAAGAAGTATTTGCTATGGCTCTCGATATCAAAAATGCTTAATCCATAAAAGATTTATCAGCATTCTCAAGAAACATGGTTTCCATAGCTCTGTCATTAATCTCTTGACATCCATGATCTCCAATAGCGTTATGAAAGTACTAGTCAACGGATTTCTATCCTCCCCTTTCGATGCGAATGTTGGAGTTCCGCAAGGCGATCCTTCAAGCCCGGCATGGTTTAATCTTTATATTAACTCCTCAACTAACATACAAGAAAAGCTTAAAGGAGTTCAAATATTTAATATTACCATCCTTTTATTATTATATGCCGATGATATTTTATTGATAGCTAATACTAAGATCGAAATGAATTCCTCTCTAAAAAGCCTCGGCCGTGAATTAAAGAAAATAGGACTCGCTTTAGCTCCCAAGAAATGCAAACTCTTAGCTATTACAGCCAAAGCCAAACTATCTAAGGCCCTAGTCACTATTGGACAGGATATAATTGCCACATCTTCTTCTATTGAATATCTTGGGGGTATATGTACCTTTAAGAATGATTTTTCTTGGTCCTCTGATAATCCAATCAACAAAATCTCGAATCAACTGGCATCAGCTAAAACTTCTAATCTATATCTCAACAGCATCACCACTACATTAATGTCCAAAATCATATCTTTGCCTAGATATGCCTGTAGTTTCAATGGAATCAATAAGAATTCTCTAGACAAAGCAGATATTATGGTTGCTAATTTTGTCAGAAAGGCTATTGGATTAGATTACACATTATCAAAATCAGTCATTTTTAATTGCAAACAAATTGGGGGCCTTGGTATTACTCGCCCCTCTACTTTATTCTCCATTGAACCTATTTGCACAGCAGTTAGATTATTCAACTCCTCCTCCACCATCACCAAAAATATTGCTTTGGCTGCTTGGAATGATCTTACCTTTAACGAACCATTTTGGAACCACGTGAAAAATATCGCGGCTCAAAATAATTGGTCTCTCCAATACATTGATGAACGGCATTCATTTGTCAATGAATACGAAACCCCTGTCGACCCTAGAACTGAATTACTAAACAACGATAGATCAACCATGAGCATCTCAGGCCTTGGAATCTTAGACCATAATAGAACCTGGCATCCATGTACCATCTCCTTTTGGAGCAATTATTCACTCAAACCCTTCCAACAACGACTATTATTTACTCACCTACACAAAGCAGAAATCCTTAGAAATTTCGGAAAAGATTACCCTAATTGCCACATTTGCAATACCAAAGCCAACTGGGAACATGTATTCACCTCATGCACCATGTGTGGTCTGGAAATCAAATCATTATACACAAAATGGGACAACAGTTCCCTCAAATTCAACGCCCCTCTTATCAGACTTCCCTCAAACCATTCTCTCTCTTGTATTCCAATGGATTGGAATGGTAGTATCAAAGACAAACCTCTTCAACAATTAGACTTATCTCCCCCAGCTTTGACTACAACATAGGCAGCGAATGTATATAAGTTATAAGTTGTTACAAAAACGCCACTTGGAACAGTTCAACTGTACTCAAGAAGGCTAGAGGATATATAATTAAACCCAAAACTGCAAAATTTGCAACTGCTTGGGAAACATTTAGCAGTCAGCTTGGCGAACTCAACTCCAACAACATCTACACCTCACACCTACACACCCATTAGACACACTATCGTCGGACAATTGAGTACCTATAAATTTGTTTATTTTTCAATAAACCCATTCCTGTATTTTTTTCCTTGTTTAGAGTAATATTTCGGAGCTGGTGTTTGGTCTGCTTCTCCGGTTCCTTATTGACCCAAACCAATCAAAAAGAATTGAGTGATGAATAAGCGGCATCATCTCTCTACATTTCATGACAGGTCTTAAATTGGTGATTTGAAAATAATCAAAAAAAATGTTTCTCTTGCTTTTGAGTCTTGTTGTGGGGGTGGTTGTAGTGGGGTTTTGCTTGATATTGCCTTTCCTCACGTTTATTCAATACCCGAAACGAAATCGATTTCAATTGAAACAGATACAGCGAGATGTTTCGTTTTGGTTTCTTCTGCTCATTCAATTTCGAAGAATTGTTTTATTTATTTTGGACTCATTGGTACATCAGATACATGCGAGATTTACAATGCGACCGAGTGTTAAACCGGAATTTGGAAAACATTTTAATTCATCGGTACAAGTTGAAATTGTCAAACCATCCATGGAGAATCATTCCCGAAAATTTAGTTTATTATCTCCTTTTGATGTTGCATTTCCACCTTCATTTTATTGCTTCTTTTTCGAAGGATATTTGGATCGGAACTTGTTTTTGCAAGCAATGTCAAGAGTGCTCGATGTGATTCCTTCATTAGGTGGTAGAATAATGCAGTTTCATTCCATGCAAGAAATTTCCATAAAAGCATCAGAGTGGTTCAACGGGTTAGAAAATTTAGAAAAAGAAGTGATCAAGTCAAGACTGCAAATAGGTAAAAAGCCTGTTCCAGTGTTTGACTTGAGAAATGTTCAACTCGAAGTCGCATTTCTCGATGATGACACCATTCAAACAAATGAAACAGGTCTATTGAGCGCTACAGAGCTAGCGAAACATCTTGCAATTCTGGGCTCATTCATGACCTCTGGTCCGGTTAAGGTAGTTCATTCTAATCCATCAGAACCACTCACAAGATTTCAAGTCACATATTTGAGGAAATCAAACAAGACAGCTCTGAGTTTATTCATGGACTATGCTGTTGGAGATGCAGCTGCTGTATCCATGATTATTAAGTTGCTAGGAGATGAAATGTCCTCCCTTAGAAATGATCCAGTATCATCAAATAATTCTAACAAATCTCAAAAAGAAAATAAGGAGCTGCCAATACAAAACTCAACAGCTTTCTTTAAATATGTGTACAATCGAGAGGAAGAGAAAATTGATGATTTTGCTTACTCTTATTATGATCCCACCGCATGCTATTCATTCTACAGGGCTGAGATTGTCAAGCATTTGGAAAACAATAACAAAAATACTTCGAAAATTATTGCCAAAGAAGTGACAGTCACAAAAAGACAATTAGATCTATTGAAGAAAAAAATTATTGCAGAAAATAGAGAATTAGATGGCGTTAAGCTCACTAGCAATGAAATTCTGTCTGCCATTCTTCTAAAAACGCTTGCAGTGGGAGACAAGCAAAACAGATTCCACAATGAAAAACTACTAACCTTACGTTACTTAGCAACCTGTAGAGAGAGATGTGAATTCATTGATTCTAATTATTTCGGTAATGCATTCGGAGTCATTTTCAACAGCAGAACCAAGAAGCAGTTACTCGACGCAAAAATTAGTGATATTGTACTTTATTTGAAGCAAGTCGCTCAAAGAACTGTTGATCATCACGTTTACTGGGAAGGAAAAATTGAGGAAATGTGTCAACGTTATTTTGATCCATTGCAAGTAGATTTTGGTTTTCCAGCTTTTGAAGGCAATGACAACTACATGGGAATTACGAATTGGGTAAAACCCATGAGTTCTATTGCCGAGCATTTCAGTGACAAGTCTTTCCTTGGTGTTAGCACTCTCTGCATGCCTCTCCCTCATGTAAATAAGATTTTACCTGCCTCAACAATGTCTTCTGAGGGAGGTTTGAGACTAGTTTTGTCCCTCTATGAACCCGAATATTTATATTTTGTCAGCGAAATTCCCAAGTAATGTTCTCTTTTCATTAAATGTAAATAAATTCCTACATTGAGTCAAGATTCAAATGCTTGATTGCTACTGTAAAGTCGAGGCTCACGTGTATGAGATGGATTCAAGAGATTCTTTTTGCACATAATAATTTTAGATTTCCCACGCCCTTCGAATTTCTTTCAATTTCACACTCTTCGAGAAAAAAAGAGTTTGGCATAAAAAGGCATGCAACAGGAAATTTAAAAAAAATTCTCTTATATATTCATCAAGCAATCATCACCACAAATCTCCTCCTTTAAATATCACCATCAAAGCAAGAAGTATATTCATACTAGCACCGGTCCATCAACATATATATCTCTCTTCCTCGATTATTACATGATCACATCATCCACTGCTCCGACAAATCTTAACAACCAGAAATATGTTGGTACTGACGATATAGCAACCGAGGTTGAATTATCCATTAGTTGTAACCAATTACCGAATCTTGATGTCCTCTCCAAGAGTGATCCTCAAGTTTTCGTCTTCTCGAAAGACGCCACCAATCCAATGGCTCCATGGATTGAAATCGGTAGGACTGAGATCATTTGGGATAATTTAAATCCAAAATTCGTAACGACCTTTGTGATGAAATATCGTTTTGAAACCAATCAATATTTAAAATTTGTGGTTGTTGACATTGACAATCAACACTCAAAACGACTCGAAGATCAAGAACTAGTTGGTGAAATGTATTGTACACTTGCTGAAATTGTTGGTAGCAAGGGAAGCCGTTTAATGAAGCCACTCATTCATCCTCAACTTCATAACACACGCAGAGGATTTATTGCGATCAGAGCCGAAGAAGTTCAAAAGTCCAATCATGTCGTCACATTCAAAATTTCAGTTAAAAATTTGGACTCTAAAAATTGGTTCTTTGGAAAGTCAGATCCATTCCTTGTCATCTCAAGAGGTGGTATGGAAGAAGCTGAATTTGCTCCTGTTTACAAATCTGAATATTATTTGAAAACTTTAAATACATCATTCAGGCCATTCCAAATTTCAACACAAAAATTGTGCAATGGAGATTTTCAACGACAGATACGTCTTGAAGTCTATGATTGGAATAGAAGTGGAAATCATGAGCTCATTGGTTATCATCAAACCACATTGGATGAATTGATCAAACAGGGTAATCAAAAGTCATATCTTTTAATTCATCCCGAATTGAAAAAGAAAAAGAAGGGATATATCGGAAGTGGAAATATTGTTATTGACAGCATCTCTGTTGAAAGGGCATATTCTTTCTTAGATTATGTGCGTGGAGGATATCAAATCTCCTTAATTGCTGCTATCGACTTTACGGCTAGTAACGGTGACCCAAATAATAACCAAAGTTTGCATTACAGAGCTGCCAACTATCTCAACGATTATCAGAAAGCTATTCTAAGCGTAGGAGACATTCTTTCCTATTATGACAGTGACAAGAAATATCCAGTATATGGATTTGGTGCTAAGATTCCCCCTAGATATGAAGTTTCTCATTGCTTTCCAGTAAGTAATTTGTTCGTGACAAATTTTTCTCAGTGAATTTGACCAATACTCATGACAATACTGCATTTGTTTGATTCTTTATGTTTAGGCCAACATGAATTGGAATAATCCTGAAGTTGATGGAGTGCAAGGTATTCTAAATGCCTACAACTATTCCATGTCAACGGTTCAACTCTATGGTCCGACTTATTTTGCTCCGATCATCAACACTGCCGCTAGTTTTGCCAGAAGAGATGCTGAGACAACTTATTTTATTCTTCTAATTCTCACCGACGGAGAGATTTGTGACATGCCAGCCACGACGGACGCCATTGTGGAGGCCTCGACTTTACCTCTTTCAATTATTATTGTCGGTATAGGGTAAGTGATTCACAATATTTTAATGTTTTTTTTTGAATTTTTAAAATGTTCAAATCGTTCATTTAACCCTTACTAATCCTTGATTGTGTGATTAAATTTTAAAAAAGAAATGCCAACTTTGGAAACATGGATGTTCTGGATGCTGATGACTCTCCTCTCGTATCCTCTCGTGGTGTTCGAATGAGTCGAGACATTGTACAATTTGTTCCTTTCAACAACTTTAAGAATGCACATCCCTCTGTACTGGCTCAACAAGTTCTTCAAGAAGTTCCCAATCAATTCCTCTCCTACATGAAATATCACAATATTCTTCCGAGAAATCCAGTTCAAGTGGAATCCTTTTATGGAATGCCCTCAATGGCCCGAATGAACAGCCAGAGCTCTAATAATCCAAATGCAACCTCCTCGAGTGGAGCCTTTAAATTTAACAATGGACAAACAGATTATCATCAACAACAGCAACAATATGCAGTCCCATATCCAATCACAACAAATTCAATTCCACCTCAACAGCAACCACCTTATCCAACCTCCTCTATGCAACCATTACCACAACAATTTCCACCTCAACAACAACCTCTCCCTAATAATAGTGGTATTAAGTATGACATTAATGGAATTCCGAAATATACTATTTAATAAATTGAAGATGGCCATTTCTATGGTCAGGACTACTTGGCCATGCCTGTCATTCATACATGACACGCGGTTACGATTATTTCAATAACCCGCTCCAAGCAAAAAAAAAGATTCTGATGTCATGACCTTTTCGATGTGCCAACTACCTCCTGAAGGATGTTCTTCTTCATCATCAAAACGAGGACTTTCCAATCATCATCCAATGTTTCGAATCTTTGTCTCAACATTAGCGTTGATTTTCACTGTAATTCTTACTTGTTTCATAGTCCGATCAGTGCTGGGTGCGGCACCTCACTCGAACGATCATCATCGTCATCTCGACCAATACCATCATCATACGGACACATCTCCACGACTCGAACTACATGACCATTCTGGTTCAAATTTCATGAATGAATGGTATATGATTCACCACCACTCCATGAAATTTCATGTCTTTTCAATTTCCTCTTTGGACGGCAGCTCTTCTCTTCTTCAAAGTGAACACAAAAATCCACAAGCGACATTTCAAAATAATAATAACTCTTCATCAAGTAATTCGACAAATAATACGACAAGCAATTTCTCCTATGGATTATATCAAGAAATTATTGTCTATTCCAATATTCCCTTTTTTGCCATATTTTGTGGAATGCTTGTTGTGAGTGTGGCAAGTTTTGCAATTCAATACAAAACAGTTCGGAGGAATCAGAAAATATTGTTTGGACTGCTGTTTGCATTGTTGTGTTTTGTGATAGTGAACATGCTTACAAGAATAGGATCCGAGTTGACTGTGTTAATTCCTGATTTAGATACAGCGATTAAAACGAATCAATATGTGAAAGCAGTAGATCGAGTGGTGGTGATTTTAGTTCTCTACGTTGAAATGCTTATTTTGTCTCATATTTGTAAAATACTGTAAGTTCAACTTGTCACATTGTGAGACATGATCATTTTCTTTAAATATAAATATATGTAATTAATATGTTGTAATATTTAATTAATATATTATTTAAATATTACAACATATTTTCAGTTTGGACACAACCAAAGCCATTAACAAAATATCGTTAATTGTTTACAAGAGATATCAAAGATTTCTAATTACCTTACTTGTTATTATTGCTGCAGTTTTTACTCTTGTGACGGTTTTTGTTTTTATTTTTGCAGGAATTTCTTCATCGAATATTGTTCACGATACAACAACTCTGAATTACATTTTATTGGCCTTACTTGTGTGTGGAGGTCTTACATTTTTATTTGCTGCAATTATGATCACCATCTTATTGAATGTAAGTCATGTGAACAATAATTGTTGGTATTGGATTGATGACAGATGACATTTTTGATTTCCAATGACTCGAAATCACTGGAAATATTCACCAATATCTGGGAATCGTCATTGAAATTATTGAGTAGATTATTGGAAAAATTCTGCTCTCTTCCATGAATAGCGAATTGAAAACTGATGTCACACAAGGTTCTCATCTCATCAAAAAGAATGCTCTTTCCAGAGCCATCTCTCTCCAAATCGGATTAAGCATTTCCTTACTCTGTCAAGCCTTTGGATTTGTGTGCATTCCACTCACCATCCTCTGGAAGTACAACATGATCATCTTCCACCATGTCTACAATATTGCCTTGTGCATTTTCATTGTTTTTATTTTATCCATTTTTAATCCCTTAAAACAAATTCAACAAAAATTCAAACCTGAAAATGGTTCGAATCAAAGACGAAGAACCACATTCGACAAAATGATGGAACGAGCTTCTGTCGTCAGTGATTCGAGTGTGGATTACTATTACGAATATAACGATGAAGACTTTGTGGATGAAGACGATCACACATTAGACAAGGAACACTATGAATCGAGTTTTTATAACATTTCAACCACCCAGAGGAGCAAAATCCATCAACCAATTTCCACCACTACCACCACACGATTTGGATCTTCGTTGAGTTTGCGGATTGACAATACTCGTTAGAGTCGCGCGCTTCAAAAAACCGTTAAGAATTATTTTTAAAAAAAACAATGTAACCAACTAACCAATTTGGTTTCACTTGGTTTCAAAATTGATGAAGGGCATCTATGCATATCATTGATGATCAGACATTAGGTCTTGAGGAGGAGACCACTTGTTTATCATGTTTTGAATGTTGAGGAAGATAGCTCAGCAGACAGGGAGAATGTGTTCTCTGCTCGAATAAGGTTAGAGGTTCATCAATTCGAGCAAAGAACAAAGACAGTACGAGATCGTGACCATCATTGGATATCTCTTACGATTGACAAGATTTTATAGCCTGATAGTCACTTGACCGATAACCCCTATTGTAAATAAAAATGCTTCGATCGATTTGTGTCAGCAGGAGAATTTCTCCACCAAACACCATCAAAACCATATCATCATCATCCTCATCAACAACTACATTCCTATTCATCATGTTAATGCTGGTAGTTGTACTGATACCCTCCTATCATCATACCAATAATAACCTTTTTGTACAAGCTGCTTTCAATACTTCTTCGGATGAGCCACAAATTGAATTTGCCAAGTGGAGCACGGACGTACCTACATTTCAACTCGGATCAATCATTGATGTTTCTTTTTCAGTCTTCGCTCAACGGCCTGCAGAGTTTATCATTTCCTTGCTTTCCCAAGGTGCGGATCACGAAAGGCCGAGAGTCTATTCTCTACCGGATGATAAATTTTCATATACCAACGATTGGGTGGGTCGAATCGAAAACAAAACGCTGAAAATTAGTTTGCCTTTCGAATTAGTGGAAACAGAAGAAGAGTTTTATATTGTATTCACGACGACCAGCACGACTGACAACAAGGAATTACAATTCAAATCGCCTTCATTCAGAATTTCAGTACCAAACACATCCATTTCTTGGCCCACCATTGTATTGATTTTGTTTTTCCCACCTGCTTTAATTTTGGTCGCTGTGATTGGTGCATTTGTGATGTGTCGAAGGCATAAAGCAATCTCTCAGCAAGAAAATCATGAACTACAGGAGGATTATCAACAACAGTATGATGATGATGATGTGGATATTCATTTTGATCATGATGATGACGATGATGAAAGACAACGACCTAACAAGTCATACAAAGAAAATGAGCCACGTGTGGCATTTGTCTTAGAGGATGAGGATGATGACGATCATCAACGACGAAACGCACATATTGACGATGATGACAATGAAGAAAAACGAGGAAACTTCTATTATACGAGAAATGTTTAAGCCAAACATTTGTAAAGATCACATTAATTGTCACTAACATTATAATTTATTAGGCCTAACATTAACACAACAACTGAGTGTAGATAATTCTTTCATTGATTTTGTAAATTTTAATGCTATTGTATATTATTATTTATTGAAAATTTACATGTCCCTCCATTAAAGTTCCCTGCCTTAATAACATGTCGCTAATTTTTCGTACATCCTCCACACGACATTCCAAGAGTTGTGACAATTCCAATTCCGCATCCTCATCTCCAACCGATCGAAAAAATTGAGAAGCATTAATTTTCTTCTCAAATATATTGTCAATAATATTGTTCCAAGCAATTAATGCATCATGATCAAATTGAATATAATTATTTTCACCATCAGCTTCCTCCGAAGAACAATATAAATAGTTACACAATTGAACATGATCCCATTCGTTCGGATAAACATTGGATCGTTCCAATTTAATATTCTCTTGTGTGTATTCTGGACGTGTTGAAATGATATTGGTCACAACTTCAGAAGTAGGAGCCGTCGATGACCACAACGATGAAACGAGACCGTACAAAGAGTTCATAGCGTCTGAAATTTTTTGAGTGTGAAACACGTGTTGATTCACTCTAACAAGATTTGAAGATGCAAATTTACAAATAGTCGAATCACCCACATTAGTGACATTAATCAAACAGGTTGAAACGGAAGAATTTGCGTAATGATGATCGCACCGAACGCGTTGTTGGCGGCCCATTTCGCACTATTTAATGAGAACAAATTATAAATTTCTTTTTTTGTCCTTTTTCTTGGTCCTTAAAAGGATCTCTTAATTTGGACATCAAACAGTAAAAAAAAATTCGGCATTCTCTCTCGAAAGAGACCCACACATGAAATCACTCAAACCCATTCTCAAGTCCTCGTCGTTCCAAGCAAGAGGTACCTCTTGTATGCTCGGAACCAAAGCTTCTTCCAGCTGCCAAGGAAGCTCTTCCTTTTGTTTGCTCTCTCCTGTTCTTCAGAATCATCATCATCAGAATAATAATATTCGCTCGTTCCATCGTTCCATTCCGATCCCTCAAAACAACCACACAGATCCCTCTCAATATGTCTTGTTTGAAGAGATTCCATTGCAGGAATGTATTGCCATGTTGGAGAGGGATGATCCCAAACGAGCAGCCGAACAAAAAGCAAACAAAATTGAACATCTTTCCTCGTCTCAACATCGAGGAGAGTTTAGTGCCAAACAAACCAAAACGATCGGAGTGGTAACGATTAATCGTCCTGAGAAGATGAATTCCTTGTGCCCGGAAACAGCTGTTCAATTCAAAGCCTTATTTGAGAGTGAAAAGATTCAAGGAAATCGAAATTTGGCTGCAGTGGTTCTCATGGGAGCACCTCCTCCACCACCCATTCAAATGGAAGATGGATCAGTGAAACAAGTTCATGCTGCCTTCTCGGCTGGAGGTGATTATGACTTTTTGTTGGAAAGAACAGATGACACACCATTCAACAATGCAGTAAGAATGAGCAAATTTTATGACAGTTTCTTGTCGCCCATGTTAAGGGTGTGTCCGTCTCCAGTCATTGCCTGTATTAATGGTCATGCTGTAGGTGCTGGTCTTGGTTTAGCCTGTGCTGCAGATATTCGAGTGATGGAAGCATCAGCAAAGATGTCCTTTAATTTTGTTAAAATTGGTTTGTCTCCTGGAATGGGAGCCTCTCACATTTTGCCTTATTTGGTTGGCCATCAAGTGGCATCCTACATGTTGCTTACTGGTGATTTAATTACAGCAGAAAAAGCCAAAGAATTTGGTGTGGTATTGGAGGTGTTACAAGGCCAAAAAGCCGTGAAACATCGAGCTTTTGAAATTGCTGTTCAAATTGCAAAGAGCTCCCATATTGCATCCTTACTATGTCTGCATTCTTTGAGAGTACAAAAATTAGCAGGCATTACAGCTTGCATGTACAGGGAATCAGACGCTCAAGTTCAATCTTTTGCAGACGAGGAATTGAGACAACATTTGTTGGAAATGAAAAATAAGGAAGAAGCTAGATTGAAATCAAAGGAGAAACCAAAACCAAACAATTAATAAATCAGCGAAATTGTGTTTGACTTGACTATTAAATTCTATTAATCCATTCCCTCCTGTCGTTTGACGCTTGTATTCTTCTAAAATTGTTGTTAAAACATACACGATCGGTTAGTGTTTTACTTCAATATCGAAAAAGTAGTTCTTATCATTCTCATCATCCTTTGGTTGGTGTTGAGTTCTCAATATTGTCATTAAGTTGGCTTTTAACACTCCTTCATCTCCTAAAAACTCATTATTCGAACCAGATTGCATTCCGATTAGGCATCCACAAAATTACCGAAAATTCAAATCATTCCAAAAACACTTACGAGTCAGAATGTAAACACAGAATGTGAAAGCATCCAGTACAGAAATATCGTCACACATCACTGCTTGTTGCATGAGAGGAGTATGTTTGATCCAATATTGTTTCGAAGAGTTAGTTGTTGAAGGAAGTCCCTGAGCTCCATTCGAAGATGACACAAAAACTTCATTATTCGTATTCACAGCAAAGAAAGTCTCCTTTCCAAACACTTTCTTAATAGTTCCCATTTGTGGACTCAATGGTATCAAATTTTCATTATTGGAAGGAATATTGTCAAAATTCAAATTTGTAAAAGTCGTTCCACTTTTTGTCACAAAGAACGAATTTGAGCACGAAACACACATGCTCTCAACTGGATTATTCACAAATGTTGAAAGCATCGTCCAATGATGAGCATCAACCAAATTCGAGTGAGCTCTCAATCCTGTGACATAAACCATTCCCATTTCATCCAAACAAACAGTAAAGAAAAATCCAGCTTGAACGTCAATAATTTTGCAATTTGCGGTTTTTGGACGATCCAATTCCATAAATTCGTAACAGATACCAGAATCGATAGTCCCTAATTGATTTTGGAAGGAACATCCTGTTCCAATAAAGTTATCGTCGTTCATGAGAATCATGGTGTGTTGATAGCCACATGTTATTTTCTTAATGTTGGCGCACGTGCTTTTCTTTTCGAGATTCTTGAAGCAACATTCTTTGAAATCTAAAACTCCGCCTCGTCCGATACCTCTCTGACCACATTCATTCTTTTATGTTTTGAAAAAATCGAATTGTACGAATGGTCATGTTAAAATTATTTAAATTATTTTTCCAAAATTGGATCATTCTCAAATTTTCATTCATACTTACCTGTCCAGCAGATAATAACGATTTTCGATCTTGTGACAAGACCATCATAAAATACATTCCACACGCAACCTCTGAAAACAATTCCACTTTTTCTTTCTTATTATTCCATGCAAACACTCGATGCAATTCACTCAGCTCCGTTTCTGACGTGTATGGTAACTTTCCACATGCAAATAATCTTCCATCATGAGTCAATAACGCTGCAAATCCTTTACCGGAACTCACACTTTTGATCGAAAAAGATTCGATTTCATTCAATGCTTGGAATTTATAAAAGGCAATTTCTCGTCCAATTTCGTGATGACTCGAAGAAGAAGACGATGAAGAAGAAGAAGAATTTGAATTTTTTGAATCTCTTCGAAGTTTCTTCTTGATTGAAGATGATGGTGAGGAGTGATGATTCTGATGAATCGTAGAAGCATGAAGCGAATGACCAATCGTTGTTGTTGACGCCATCGAGATGAACTTGACTGGTTCAATGTTTTTGAAATTCTGCATATTAATTTCTAAACCAAAAGTTAACAAAACTTGTTGTTTGCATGTGGTTGACAATGAAGAAGAAGAAGAAGACTTGGAATTTTTAGAAGAACAATGCTTGTGTGAGGATAAATAGCCTTCGGAAGAAGAGGAGGAGCTCGAACATGAGGAGGAAGAGGATTTATCTATCAAAGAGATCAAGTGATGAATAGGATGGTTTTAGGAGAGAGGATGAGAATGATTGTTGACAATGATGAAATGTGTGGTTCACAACGGTAACAGCAGCAGCAACGAAAGTGATTTCACCTACCTTTAGAACTGCTGAGTCGTTGTCCCATTTTTTATGTGTTGTTGAATGACAGGAAAAGAAAATGAATATAAAAGGAAACATGAAGCGTTGCCAAATATATTTTACAGGCAACCTAGATGAAAATGTGACAAGCACTCTCCCGCCTCTCAAAAACACCTTACTGCACCATCTCCATTCGAATTCAAGGAAGAGCTTGTTCCGAACCATGTGTGAATTTTGAACTATATCTGACCTTAGGAGTTTCAGGAGTTGAATTCCGGAGTTGGTTATTCTTTAAATTTCCCTGTCTGATATCCAAGAAAGACCACCACAAGAAAAAAAAAACAAATTCTCCAAAACATCATCATGATGCATAAATCGACGTTGTCCATCTGCGGTGTTCTGTTGTTGCTCTTCTCAGTGTTCACACTTGCTGCTCAACAAGAGAAAACTTGTCTTCAAATTCGTCATCCCAGCGAATTCACCATTCCAAGAGGCTGGAGAAGATTCTTCGATCCATCTGTCTCTGAATCTTTCCATCCACAACTCGCTTCCTTCTTATGGGAAACTCAAAAAGCAAATGTGACTCTTTCATTGCATTCACAAAACACTGAATGGCTTCGAGAAGAATTCGAAAGCGTCTCTGATCCTTTTCATCCCAAATTTAGAAAGTTTTTGAGTATGGAACAAGTCGCAAGAATGACCTCTCCTCATGCTTCTCACAAACAACTCGTGCGAGAATTCATTAAAAAGAATTTGCCAGGTGCTCAAATTGTTCACGTTTCCGCTCATGAAAACTTTGTCACCATTCAAGCTCCATTAAAGACTTTGAATGAAGCTTTTAAGGCAAGAATGGTTCCATTCATTCATGAAGAAACTGGTCGAATGGTGTATCGATCTGAAATTGGTTATGCTCTTCCAATGGAGATTACAAATGCTGTGCATGCTGTTTTTGGTTTGCATCATTTTCCAATTTATTCTGCCAAGATTAAAAGTGTTCGATCTCAAGTGACAGAGAAAAGAAGAGCCATGCAAAGCTATGACACAACTCCTCAGGCTTTATGGAAAAGATATAACATCACATTACCAACTTCGACTTCTCCAAAGAATCAACAGGCAGTGGCTTCCTTTTTGGGACAATATGTCGAATTAAGCGATTTGACTCAATTCCAACAAATGTTCAATTTACCACCTGTCAAAGTTACCATCCTAGGTCCTAACGATCAGAGTAATCCAGGAACTGAAGCTGCTCTCGATATTCAATACATTACTGCAGTAGGATACCTCGTCAACACGACCATCAACTCCAACGATCCAAACGATCAAAGTGATGACATCTTCCTTCGATGGATCAAGACTCAACAAGCCATGGGCGATCGATCTGCATGGGTTCATTCAGTCTCTTATGGAGGTGTTGAAAAATATGTTCCTAAAAACTTCCAGTCCACTCTCGATATTGAATTCCAAAAAATTGGAGTGACAGGAAGGACAATTCTCGTTGCCAGTGGTGACGATGGTTCTCGTTGCAATTCCAATGGTGACAAATTTGAAGCTGAATGGCCAACTTCTTCTCCTTATGTGCTCTCTGTCTGTGCTACTCGTCCAAGTGACACCTATTTTGAGAGATCTGTAAGTTGGGGTGGTGGTGGTTTTGCTGAATCATATGCTCGTCCATCGTATCAAGCAGAAGCTGTCTCTCAATATTTGAGAAGTAATTCAGTTCCTCCAACTTCATATTTCAATGTCAATGGAAGAGCTTATCCAGATGTTGCTGCATTGGGAGTGGATTATCAAATTGTGGTGGGAGGACAAGTGCAAGCAGTGGATGGAACTTCTGCATCGACACCTGTCTTTGCAGGAATTGTTTCTTTATTGAATGATTTGAGATTTAAAGTTGGAAAGCAACCATTGGGATTCTTGAATCCATGGTTGTATCAAGTTGCTGCTAAGGAGAGAGGTGCTTTCTTTGACATTACTCAAGGTAATAATGGAGTCACTCCATGTCCTGGTTTTAGTGCCACTCAAGGTTTTGATCCAATTAGTGGTTTGGGAGTTCCTAATTTTGAAGTGTTGAGAAGACTTGCTTTGCAGTCACCTTAAGTTTTTGAAATGTGACACGGTTGGTGTCATGTTCTTTTTCGAATGATCAACAAACTTTTATTACATCGGAAATACATTGTGTTATTTAAATTAGAAAACAGTTATTGAATTACATGTATTCAAACCGAGTTGATCGAGTTAAAAGTTAGAAATGAGTCAAAAATTGGCACAATTAATGAATCATGCAAATGTCACAAAAGTACACTTGATGCGAATCTATCATCCTTATCTCGTTGTAATTATTTGATTCACAATTTTTCATTTCTTCCCAAATATTCGCGGTAATCGTTGGAATTCTTTCCAAATGAACCACAGAACAATCTCGTGAGCCATAAATTCCACTAATTTGATAAAATCTAAATGAAGGAGGTGATGAAGAGTAGGGAGACTTTTCAGGATGTTCAAACATGCAAAACTTTGGATTTCTTCTCGGAGCGGTCTGATACGATTTATGATAATATGAGGAAATTGTGGAATTTCCATTCATGTCTTGACAATGGCATTCATCACCATTAGGCAGTGTTCCATAGAATTCTTCTTCATTTCTCATTTGATGACTCGTATTGTCTCCAATTCCAATGAGAGAATCCACACGATGATTCGCCACAAGTGTGTGAAATCCTCCACATGACAAGAGAGAAGATTTTCGATAGGTGTGACTCATGTTGCAGTTAAGGGGAGAAGAAGATGGCATTTTGAAAAGAGTTGGTTCGAATACTCGTTGTTTGATGGCCTTTGCAATGGTTGAACTTTCTGAGCTCAGATTTGGATCTGAAACTGGAAGATATCCACAAGCATACAAGTGACCTTTTTCAGTCATGATCCATGTCGATTGATATTCACATTTCAAATGAATTACTCCCTCCGAATGCACAATTCTGCTCCAAGAATGGCTTTCTTGAAAAGAGTGAATTTTTGAATGATTTTTCACTGCGAGTTGTCCAGCAAGGTTATTTCCACATACAAGAACTCGAATCAAGCTGTTTCTGGAAGAACGTTCTTGTTCTTTCACTACGAAAATAGAATGATACAATCCACAAGATGCTTTCTCGATGGTGACATCTTCTCTTATTGGAATTTGACACATTTGCTTCACATCTCTATTATGCCCCAATCCTAACTGAAAGTAAGCATTGTATCCTTTTCCAATGACAGTATTTCGGTCTTGGAAAATGGCAAACCAATGATCTCCTCCACAGACTAATTCAGAAATTTTCAAAGTAGCAAATTCTTGAGGCACTTGTTCAATGAGAAAATGATGCAATAACAATCCTCCAAATTCATCATGTGAGTTGCGAATGCTTGGTTGAAACACCTTTTTGCTGTCCCAACCAAATGTGAAAATATAATGTGCACCATTACTTTCCATATTTGGACTCCTTGCAGAAGCTTCTGCATTCATCTCGGAATGTTTTCTTAAATATCGAGTTGATTGTTGTAATTGGGTGCAAACCGATCTTGATCCATCATGATCCCTTCTTGACTTGAAAGTACTCACTGAAAAGATGCCAAACTCTGGTCCACAGGCAATCAATGGACTTGAAATCAAATTTTTCAAATAGGGATGATTGACTTTGGCGAATGGAAAGTAACACGTGGGTGAGAATTTCTCATCATTGTTGTGAAAAGAATGATTGGATGGTGATGCCCAGTTAGATGAGAATGGATGGTTGGCAATAGATGATGACAAGTTAGGAGTGATAAATTGTAGATTCGGTTTTGATGATGATTGAGTGTGTGCTTCATTCCGTGGTAAGCTTGTTCCAGCGATGAAAATTTCATTGTTATCTTTGTTCATAATTTAAATATTACCAATAAAAATATTGATTAATGATTACCAATAAATGATGAAAATTAAAAAAGGAAATGTTTGGCTTGCCTACCAACCTGTCACAAATATTGCATGATAAATTCCGAAGGCCATTTTCACGACTCTACTGGACGTTGGAATACATTCGTACATATTGACTAACTGTACATTGTTGTGTTCGTTATTATTCGGGAGCAAATCGCAATTCCATTTACCATGTATAAGTAAGAGTGACATTTTTTTGCGTGAGTCATCACAAATTGATGACTGACAGCACCACATCAACCATTACTTGGCCATTCAGTTCTCGTGTAAATTGATGCTTCTCACTTACTAAAGCTAAATGCATAATAGGCAATGACGAGGCGGGAAAAAAGCCCGCCTTTCGAAAATTGGACGGAAACAACCTTAGAAAAAAATGACTTCTCGATCACCGCTTCTACAATCATCGTCGCTACGGGCAACCTCAAAAGGAGGTGGATATTATCATGGATCATCAACGCTAACTAACCCGACGTTTTCATCAAGTGCCAGATACAATCAGACCATTGCGGAAAAGAATGACGCAATGAAACGAAATTCCAGCTCTGCTTTACCGGGCAAGAAGAAGAAGGTCAAAAAACCAACTAGACAACCATCGCCGTTGCTACGGAACATTCTAAACACGGGAACAGTACATAACCATCGAAATACATACGGAACATCCACTGCTAACATACCAAATCGAGCTCAATCTGCTCCGAGCCAATCTTTATCCCAGTCCACCTCAAGACTTTCCACTCAACAACAATATGTAGAACAATTGAAAAAATTTGAATCACTATTCAACAAGTATCAACTCTTGTACAATCAACAAAAAAGTAAGACCAACAGTATGGAAAAAAAGATTGCCTCACTTCAAGAGAAAATGATGGAAATGGATTTACAAATGACCGCTCAATCAAAGAAGTGTGGCTCGCTCAAAAATCGGATGGACACCTTGGAAGGAAGCGTGAGCAATCAAAAGAAGACGTTAGAAGAGCTTTTCACGCTACATGAAACAAAGCTCAAGATTTTTGAGGATCGCCTTTCTGAATTAAAAGAAATACAAGCAAGATATCGCAAAAAAACAGCTTACTTGCAAAAAAAGTTCAAGGAGTTTTCAGAAATGTCAAAACGAAAAGTTCACGAAGACAACGATGAACCCGGAGAAATACCCACAAATAAGAATGATTCAAGGACTCATATCGATAAGCAGCTTGTTTCGTCTTTGACTTCTGACTCGGATGAAGACGATCGGCCTGAGCTGGTAGTCCTTCCAAAGAGAGTATCTCTCAATTCACCTTTATGTACCAGTAACTCAAAGAAAGAGTCTGTTGAATTCCTTTCAACAGAATCCGAGAATGAAATTGTTGCTTGCAATGAAACCCTCAAAGCCACAGAATCCAAAAGATCGAGCTCCAAATCGAAACGTCACGAAGATAATGCATCTGACTCTGAACCAGAATATCCTAGGTCTCGAAAAAGTTCAAGTAAAGAGAAGACAGAACCACTCGTGAAAGAGAATCCTCCTCCTGTAACTAGGAGTAGAGAAGAGGAGCTTAAACAAAGATATCATGATCTTAAAAAGGCCTATAGAAGAGTATATGGAGCTAGGGAAGAAGATTGATTAAAATGGATTAATTACAATCTACAACTTGCAGTGTTTGTGTGTTGAGTCAATAAAATTCCCATGCTTCTCAAACGATAGATTGACTTTTTTCACAAAATCTTACTTCACTCAGACCAGTATCCACCTCTGTTGGGAAAGGAATGTCCAAAAATTGTTTTAACCAATAAATCAAAATACTTGCATATTGTTGGTCAGTACTGAGAGGAGGTGTCGTTTCCAATACTAGAAAATTTTTCCAACATTCAAATTCTAATGAATGTTCAAACTCAACATGATCATCTCCATAAGGATTCGATACAACTTCAGATGAAACTTTTAACACAACATCTCCTTCAAACCTTATTTCAGTAATTTCGTAATCATTGATACTTGAATGCTTTCCATATCCAGTTTCTGTACATGTAGAGCGATATGAAATTGTAAATTTCAAAGGAAAACCGTTTGTTAAGAAGGTGATACAAGATATTTTCTTTTTTGAGAGTGTATTGTAGTCTTCTCGTTCAGTCTGTTCTTCCTTTTGATTTGTGACAACAATTATCTTGAAAAGATTTTCTTTCAATATTGAGAATGATGTTAACTTTGCATGCTCGTCCATAATTTGAACAGACGGTGGTAGATTTTTTCGGATCACTCTTTCAAAATCTTGCTTGGAAGAGATGCGCTTCTGAAACTGTACCAGCTTTTCCATTTGTGATAGCAATCTCTCTGAAGGATTTTGTTTGTATTCACGAAAGAGAGTGTCAAGTTCTTCAACAAAATTCCAATTCATGCATTTCAATAGTTTTTCAAATGTATTTTTGTGAGACATTCCAAACTCCTTCAACATCTCATTCAAGCTTGTCTTTTGTTCCTCATTCAAGCTAAAATAGGAATGAAGATAGAGTTTTGGGAACTTATGTCCCTTTTTGCAAAATACTTGATTCCAATATTTACAAACGAACCATGGTCGAGAATAGCCAAAGTCAGGAACATCTAAATACAGAAATATATGCTTCAGTATATCCATGAAAAAACCTTCTTGACCGTTGACGTGCTTAATTTTTCTTTTCTTTCTATCCTCATCGTATTCTTCCTCCGAGGCCAATACATGTTTCTTTTCAAGAAGAGATTCTTCTTGTGGATGGTCTTCTGTGTTTGCTGTTAGAAATAGTTCCTTCTGTTGACATTGGTTGTGTGTGGAATCGTTCACCTCCTCTTCATGCATTTTTTTTGTGAATCAAACAACTGTGGTGATCAAAGAGAACCATATGGTACTTTTGTTTCAATGTGTTGTGCTCCACATGAAGTATTATTCCAGAAATTGGTGTGTTTTGAAAAAACATATTCAGAGTGTTCCACTTCTTTCTTTAACACCATCGTAAACACTCAATAACAATATCAGTTTTGAATTTTCTTTTGAAATTAAAACTCCTTTCAATCGTTTGTTGCTCCAAAATAAGAGAGCGATAGAAGAATGTTGAATGTGATCCAGCTGCTACTGCATTCAGAAGAGGATTCTCGAGGCCAGGAATTTTGGTAAATTGAGCAATGGATGGCAATGATTCTCCAAGTCCCAACTCTCCATTTCTGCCATCTCCAATCGCATAAAACGAATGGTCTCGAGTGATAACAAATGCGCTATACAAACCACAAGCAACATCTTTGATAGGGCTGTATGTCACAGGACTAAAGGAAAAAGTATTAATTTTTGTGATGGGCTTGTTGAGCCATGAATGTTCGTCCTCGTAATTATTATCAAACAGAGAGCCATATAGGAAGAGATTCCCAAGATTGGTCAATATAAATGAAAATAGATAACCAGAGGTGATTTTTACAACATCCTCGTGAAGCTGTAAATCTAGATCCACAAATTTCTCGTCATCTCCACGAATACTTTTTAAGAGCAATTTTCTGTTCTTGCCCCAAATAATCATTTTGCGTTCTGAAAGGAAGGATAACGTCTTGCATGAGATACATGAATCAAGTTTGAATGAAGGTGCTATTCCTGTAATATAGAGCGTATTGTTGGTGGTAATCACAGCTGAAGATGCATATCCACAAATTATGGATTGAATTGACTCTGTAACACATTGACTAGTGTCGATTAATGTGAGATCATGATAAATATGATCAGGTATAGGTAATGACAGACAATGTTCTGAGTTAAGACCTTTTCCAAACAATCTTCCATCAGATAAAAGTACCATGTAGTGATTTAAGCCACAACTGATCTGTTGAATCGAGGATGCATCATCTGGAAGTGGAACCTCTTCGAAAATTGAAAAAGTTTGCTGATTTAACAGACCACATTCATAAATTTTTGGAATGTTGCCCACGTTGTCTCCCCAGAAAACAGAAAATTGGGATCCAGCCACGATTTGATTAATTCTATCATTGAGTACAGAGTATGAGATTGGCTTCCAAAGGCAGTGTGACTGGTCTTCTAAGGAAATATTTCCAAGCTGGCAAGCTGTGTCATCACCTGTAACCACCAGCGTATGTCTACTCGGGCCGAATTTAAAATTTCTTAACATGATCTTATGGTCTTCGTTTGTAGGGTCTAGTTCGCATGCTTTTTCATAGTCAGAAATTGCTTCATCTATTCTCTCGAGATACTTGAGCAGGTGAGCTCGTTTCACATACAATAAGGCATTCTGTGGTTGCAAGATTATTGCCCGAGTGATCACTTCACACGCTTTTGTGTCCTCTCCCAAGTCTCTGAAACTGTCTGAAATGGATGACAGCGTATCTGCATCGTCATTATTTTTCATGAACTCATCCAACAATTTTTTAGATTTGTCTCGTTGTCCACTGTCTTGATAATACAAATAGCTAAGGTTTTGAATGGAATGTGAATGATTTGGATCAATACGTAAACATTCTTCATATTCTTGAATGGCCTCTGAAAATCTAAACTTTTTCTCGAAGGTCAATGCTTTGTTGTAATGGCTTCTTGCATACATGGGATTCAATATTGACGCTTTTGTGTACATTTCAATAGCTCCTTCATAATCTTTCTCTTCATCGAGAAGCATTCCACTCACGTGATAAATATGATAATACGAAGGATCAATACTCTTTGCATTTTCAATTAACTTTTTGGCCATTAAAATATCTCCTAAAATTAAATAACAAGCTGATAAGCCACTTATGGCCGTTACATTTCTTGAATTCAAATTCAGTGCTCTAGGTGTTGTGTTATATTTACAATTTAGCAATGCGTATTAATATATTACTTCGCTGACTAAAGAAAAATACCTTTCGTAGAGCTGTTTCGATCGGTGTGTACTTCCGTCACGAACTAAACACAATGCAAAATCGGTCAAAAGATCCTCTTCTTTCACATCAGATATTTTGTTTTGATTTTCAAATGCTTCCATTGCTTTTTCATAATATGAAGCTGATAGCTTGTGTTTGTTTTCTTCTCTCAAACAAGTGGCCATATAATATAATATGGCGGCTTGATCCGTCATCGGAGATTCATTTTTCAATTCATTAATTTTATTCAACAATGTTGAATCATTGATTCTGTGATTACTCTCTTGTAATAATTTTTCCAAAATTTCAAAAGCTCTTTTAAAAGATCGTTCAAACATGAGTTGATGAGCCTCTTTGATCCATGTGTGAGCCTCCATCGTGTGATCATTGTACGTCATGTCATTCATTTTTTTTAATTTCCACTTTAATTTTCAAAAATCTAGACCTCGTTTCAATTGTTGACGACTTGGCAAGACCATCATAAGCTAATGACAACACAACACATTGAAGATGGTGACGTTGTCCTTTCTGAGATCAACGAGCTCGTCAGTTTAGTGTCTGTTGAAAACAAAAAATCTGATCGAAAAAATGTTCTCAAAAGTCAAGGTGTTTTTCTGCTTGCTGGTATTGTTGATGTTGGTGATGAAGGCTTTGCTATGCAGCTCGTCATCGCCTTCCTCCTCGGAATCAATTTCTCATGATGGCACCATTCAAGTCGATTTAAATGGTGAGATGAAAGAGCATGATCATTTTCATCAACATGGATCGAGAATCCGTTTTTCCGAACAAAACAATACTTGGATGAGAAAAAGATTAGAAGAACGATTTTTAAAATATGTACAAATTGACACTCAAAGTGATCCACACAGTACCACTGTACCAAGCACAGAAAAACAAAAAGTTTTGGCACATCTATTACTCGAAGAGTTGAAAACTATGAAAGGACTCAAAAATGTAGATATGGATCAGTATGGAAATGTCTATGCCACATTACCAAAGAATTTGGAAAGAGATGTATTGAGTGTTGGATTTTTGGCTCATATGGACACAGCAACTGAAATTAGTGGATTCAATGTCACACCATGTGTGCACAGAAATTACAAAGATGGTGAAAATCTCATAGTGAATAATTTGACGATTGTGGATTATAAAATCGATGGAAAGGAACTTTTGAAAATGATTGGTCACGACATTGTCACAGCAAGCGGTGGTACATTGTTGGGAGCCGATGATAAAGCAGGTATTGCTGAAATTATGACTGCTATTGAATTTTTAATTGAGAATCCTTCCATTGAGCATGGAGATATTCAAATTGGTTTTACGATCGATGAAGAAATTGGAAGGGGACCTCATTACTTTGATATTCCAAAATTTTCAGCTGCAGTTGCTTTCACAGTCGATGGAGGAGAGAAGGGCACATACAATGTGGAATCATTTAGTGCTGACTTGGTCACTGTTGCATTTACAGGATTTAATATTCATCCTGGAACTGCATATAGCAGAATGATCAACTCAATGAAAGTTGCTGCCCAATTTTTAGACAGAGTCAATGAACAGATGCCCTCTCCTGACATCAGTAAGGACAGAGAAGGATTTGCACATTGTCTAGACATTAATGGAAATGTTGAAAAAACCACCATTAGGTGTATTTTGAGATCCTTTGAAGAATCTGAATTGAAACAATACTCACAAGAAATTTCCAAAATCATTGACCAACTTAGATTTGAACATTCTAATGTGACCATTGAAATGAATGTCGTTCAACAATACAGAAACATGAAACAAGTCCTAGACAAGTATCCATTCATGGAATTGAGCATCATGGAAGTTTACTCTGCACTAAACATGAAAGACATTGTTTCAATTCCAATTCGAGGAGGTACCGATGGCTCTCAGTTGAGTTGGATGGGTCTCCCAACAGGTAAGTTCTTTCACCCATATTCCAATTCCACAACAAGAAATTCATTGATTTTGTTACATCACAATAATACAGCCAACATATTCGCTGGAGGACATAATTTCCATTCACAAAGCGAATTTGTTTCTCTCCATGACATGGCGGACTCTGTCAAGGTCATTGTGATGCTTTCACAGACCCTTTCCAAAGTTCCACCTCTGCCAATAATGAAAGGTCATCACTAAACACGTGCTAAAAAGGTGTCAATTTCTTTTGCACCTGAATGATGTATTGTTCACATACTCATTGTTCACATCATCATTTTAACACAAAACTCCACAAAACATCTCCTACATGCTGTAAACCCTCGATAGCTGATGGTGTCGAGAGAACTGAAGAGTGTAACCGTATAACATTTCTTGCGGCCAATATTACAGTATAATACACGACAAAGAACAACACAAAGGAACACTTCTGCAAAAGACCCTTTTTGTTGGCTTTCGAAATATTTCCTCATTTGAACCTCGCAAAAGACTTCTTCCAAAAAATCGCCTCAAACCCTTAAAAGAAATTTCAAACCTGCTTACGTTCTCCGTAGTCGTTGCTGTTGTTGTTATTGACTCCTGATCTCGTCGTATTTCGTTGTTGGATTTGATCATCATCCTTTAGGATATATCCTTTTCCTTATCATTTTTTCTTATAATCGGGTAGAACACCAAGACTCTATTCTTTCATACAACGGACCCATCATTATGCCTCAACATCCATCCCAACATACAACACTCTCACGAGTGGGAAGCTACAATGAATCAGAATATCCACCCTCTCAAGAAGAAAGTGAAATCATGGAAACCTGTTCAACCTACTCCACTCAAACACAGGTTTCGGGTGCCGTTCCGTTAGATACCGAGAGCGAACATCCTGAAATCATCATGTCCAATTTCTTGAAGGCTAAAGATATTGATCAAATGCAACGTCTTAGAAGGTAAGTAGGTTCATCATGAATTTCGCAATGTACAAAATTTATGGTTTCTTAATTTATGTATCGTGATTTGATGATGAATTTTCAAACAACAACAGACTCCTCCCCAAGAATGCACTACAACAAACCAAGTGCGTAGAACAAGTAAAAGAAGCCATTGATCGAGGTTTTGTTGCAGCAGAGATTCGAGGATTGAAGACTATGCCTGAACCCGAAGATGATGAATTTTATCCTATTCAAGCCTTGTGTAATGTATTATTGAATCCTTTTGTGATTGAGGATGAACATTTAAGATCTCATGTCATGAGAAAGGCTCTCTCTTTAGAACCATCACCTCATGTTGATACTCCAAATTATGCACTTCGTTTGTGTGCATGTATTGGTGCTCAAACCAAAATGATTGATCCAAAGCTAAAGTTTCTGATTAGGAATGTGATTGAGTGCGAAAAGAGTGACTCTTTATTGAGCAACAGAGCATGTGTTTCCTATGCTGCAGTATATTTGAAAAAGGATGAGGATTTGGAAGACGCCTGCTCACTCTTGTTCCATCCACAATATTTAGTAAGACAAAATATTAAGGCCTGGATTTTCAAGCAATTGTATGAAGATATCAAGAAATCAGACGAGGAATGGTCACAGGTTGTAACTACTCTCTCGAAATATATTGATAATGCTAAAAGTATAAAACCGACCAGTGTGAAGGAAGACTTTTTGAAGGATTTGGCACAATATCGGCATGAAAAGTTGACCCTTGGTTATTCCAAAAAGAATCAATACCAAATGCTTAATTTGCCGAATATCATGGATTTGACAAAGATGGAAGCATGGAAACAAGCAGTGAAGACCCAATTTGAAAAGTTAACTCACGACCAACTAGTTCCAGTCAGCGTCATTGTTTCTCACTTCCACGCACCTAAAGACGTTGTTGAACTTTACGATTTGGACGGAGATGGAAAATTGACTGAAAGTGAACTCGTTCAGTTGTCTTATCTAATGTCTTCCACCCATAAATAAATAATTCATATTATATTATTATGACTCGGGTTTAATAATATTCTTGAGTTAATTGCATTGAAATGCAAATAAATAAATAAATATTAATTCATAGACACACAGTCTTCACCTTTTGTTCTTTCTTAATTTGGGCTGGTGATCCTCATTGAAAATAATGTCGTCGTATAATGGTACGCATGATTCTGCTTTTGGCTTTTTCTTCTTCTCTTTTTTGATTGTTCGCTCGTCGTCTAATATTTCTACATCGACACCATCATAAACTTCGTTCAGAAATTCTTCCAACTCTTCATTTGGCTCATCTAATGTGTTGAGCTTATGTTTCTGAACTTCTGCCAAAATGTCTAACTCCACATATCCTTCATGAGCCAAGAATAGGGGTTCCTCTTTCTTTTTCTTCTTCAAACCTTTTGCTATATTTCCACAAAACACATCTGTCGCTTTGAAAGTCAGGTGACTGCTTGCATCTTCATTTTCGTCTTTCTTGGATTGTAAAATGGTGAAAGGAATGTTTTGAGGCTGTTTTTCAGAAGAAGCAGTCATTGGTCTGTTCAACATCATAGAGGAAGCAGTCATTGGTCTTGATTGAGAGAGCGACATGGCCGTGATGGGTCTCCCTTGAGATGTACTTGGTCTCATTCCCATCCTACTTCTTGTCATGCTTCTTGCCAGGGATGAAGATGTTGATGGCCTGTGAAAGAACGAAGCTGACTGTGGACGATCTCCATCTAGTCTTGGTGTCGTTGGAGTAATATTTCTTATCATGTTATTATCGGCAGGATTGTAGAGTCTAGTGCTTATTGTCAAAATTAATGGATTTTCGCTAAGGCCTTCATCTAGTGATTCGACCTTGGTGAGCTTGATCGACTTTTTGAGCATTTCAAATTCACTTTCCAAATCTTCTAACGAAGGCATTGCCTCTTCTTTTTTGATTGGACTTACACCACCCCTAACAGAGTCATCATATAAAGATAGGTCATCGAGATATTCGAGTGTAGGTAAAGTCTCTCTCACAACAGATCTATACTTGGCACCACTAAGTTTAACCAGCATTGGATTTCCTGAAAGTGTTAAACTTGTAAGTTTTCGACAATCTTGAAGATAAACTAGTTGTGACTCATCATCAATATTATTTCCCTCTAAATCTAAAATCTCTAATTCTTCCATTCCTGCAAGATCAGAAATGTCATCAATATCGTTGAAAGATAAATACAGTTCTCGTAATTTTGAAAATGTAGAAATGCCGTCCAGCTCTTTGATGCCACACCGAGAAAGCCATAAAATTCTGATATTCCTGAGACTGGTTCCTAAGTCTCTAATTGATGGAATCGTACTCCCGTTTAGTTTCAATTCTTCCAAATTGCATAGTTTGTCACCAATATCTCCCAATGAATTATTAGTTGTATTTACAATAATTTCGAGATGTTTAACATTATGAAGGTTGTTCTCCCCGGTAGCTGCTCGCAATTTTGCTTCGGAGAGGTATTCCTCCAGAGCCATTAAATTGGGATCCAAAAACAACTCATCAAAACCGGAGGAAGGAATGTCGAAACAATTATTTTCATGTAAATTCAGTCCCAATGGGAGAGATGCACTTGGTGTTGGTTTTAATTCCTCTTCATCGGCTCGTCTGTATTCGACACGTGCTTGTTCCTGAGCTCTAATAAATGCTTCGTCGTCTTCTGATGAAGAAGAAAACAAAGATGAGTTGCGCTCATCATCCTCCAGTGATGAATTAGATTCTCGACTGCTGGTTCTGGATTTACCGCTCACTATTTTTCCCTCATCATAGAAGACTATTTTTTTGCTCTTCTTTGGCATTGACGAGAGAGAGCTTTGTCCATGTCTTGACAACTTGTGATTGTGCTTGCTGTTTGATTGCACTTCATTTTGAGGAAATGAAGCCATTGGTTTCAACAGTTTTGATTGCGATGTTTTCAATTCCTCATCATCGATATCAACATTGATAGGTATTGCTCTTTGAAGGAATTTGTTTCTTGTAAAAGATGAGGAAGCGCTCATTGACATACGGTTCTCAAGCGTAGGATCATGATGCCTTCTTGCTTGCACTTTCCCCAAAGAAACCTTCATTTCAATTCCGAAACTCAACAATTCAAAGTTTCTCCTCTAATAAATCAGAGACTAATCCTCAAGGTTCCGATCAACCGTTTGAAAGATAATAATAAATTCAATCACTGGTCGACCAGTAGACGTGCTCACCCACAATCAACAATGATGAAACAAAAAGAAACAAAGACTATTTTTTCAGTGTTGTTTTTTCAGTAAATTTTTGGCGCTTAAATTCATAACAATGAAAAAAAGCCTCAAGTGATGATGAGAGATGTTGTTTTTGGAAGAGAGGGATCATGGTTAGTTTGATCTTCCATTCAAGAAGGGGTTTATGTAAAACTTTCATCGGATTGATGATTGATTTTGTTTACAAATTAGAGGCTTGATCGGCCTCGTTGCTCGTACTTCTCACGGGCTTGCAACACAAAGTGATCAAACTCAATTTTTCAAAGAACCATTTTCCATAAGTCATTCGGAATGCATCGGGTGTGAAGGTAATGTAGGAAGAGACGGAAATCACAATACAAAGGCAAGAATCTAAAAAGAGGTTTCTAGTAATGCCATAAAACACCGATAGTACATCAGCACCAAAGATGTAGGTCAGTAAGGTGAAAAAGCAAACAAACCATCCAAAAACAAACATTCCAGTCGTCATGAGAATGAATTTGGTGAATCGATATTCGAAAACTCCTCGATTTGATTGCTTTCTTAGTGTCAATAGAATTTTCATTCCATAAAACGTAAAGCCAACCACAAAGGTCACAAGGAAAACGAGCACTGCAATGGTCAAAACAATCCAAGCATAACCATAAGATGAAATTGTTGCAAACACAATGGCTGCAATGATGAGCGTAATGATCACCGAGCAATAAAATACAATAAGAATCACCTTATTGAATATTGACAACTTTCCATTAATATCCTTTGAAGCTCTATTGTACAAGTCAATGGCATGACTCCATTGAACCACAAGAGCGCTGTATCCACACACCATGAAAACTGCTGTCAATGCTCTTCCAATTCCAGAAAAATAGGAGGAGTACAATCCATAGGCTGATGAAAAATTGAAAATGAATTTGAATAAATTCTCTAAAAATCCAGCAATGGTAGCAATCCAGAAAAACACTGGTGGTTGTACCAGAATGTCAAAAAAGTGAGTAAAGAACATCAAAACCTTTTTTCCATTGGATGCTAAAGGAAGATCTGATCTCTTAGTGAAAGATCTTACTCTCTCAACAAATCTTGGGATGAGAATGAAAAAGGAAAGTGCTAGGAACAAGGTTCCATAAACAACTGCAAAAAAGACAACTGCGAATCGATATACAAATGGTACTTGATAGCTTTGATAAAAGTCGTAGCATTGAAAAGCATAAAATCCTACTTGTTCTCCCTGAGGTGAGTATTCACACCAACATGTGAAAGGAGCATTTAAGGGAACATGCCATTCTGTCACATTCTTTTTCAAATAGTCAGAAAAATAATATTCAAATAAATCTGTCAAAATTACATCTTCCAGTACGGTATTGAATGTGATCGTTGAATTCTTCTTGTGTCTGTAGTTATAAAACGAATTTTTAAAGTGTTCGGAAGTGAAAAACATGGAATTAAATAGTCCCAAATTTCTTCTTTCATTTGAGGAGGAAATGTCCGGATTGCAATGAGCATCCATCAAGTAGCTCAACACTTCTGAATTATTTTTCGAGCCGTAAAATTCTTGTGACACTTCCATATTATTCACAAAATCCATACTGTCACAATTTCCATCTCTGAGAGCTTCCCTGAAAAGTTGAGACTCTGTTTCATTACAATACAAACAGTAATTCAAAATAAATGATAAACTTTCTCGTTGAGTGGAATTTGTAAAATCAAAACGCGTATCAATCGGACACAAATAGTCCACACAAGAAAATTCAAACGGTGTGAATAATGGTTTCGCACCTCCTGCTCGTTTCATTTGTGAAGTGTCTTTCTTCAACAAACAAAAATCATAATAATCAGTATCTACTGAATACATGGTTGGATAATAATATTGGTTAACGGGAGGAAGACCCAAGATTTCCAATTTTGGAAAGAGAACATGATCGAACACAAGTTGTGATGGAGGAGGAGAAGGAGGTGAGTAACCATTCACAACCGATATTCCATTATGATAATGATCATTACGGGATAAAAGAACTAGTAGTAGTAGAGTGGATAAAATAACAAAGATGACAATTGGAGGATTCTTTCTGATGGTTGATGAGATGATGAGGGAAGAGTTGGAGTGAAAACTAGAGGAAGTACTAACACTAACATGGTGTGATGATGATGAGTGTGTTATGGAACTCGTCGTGTTAATGTTGTCGCAGTGATGGTGGTGACTATGGTTTCGCACTTGCATCTTGCGTGAACTAAGAATGACAAGTGGCATTCGATACAGGAACTGAAAAGTTTTCTGGGCGCTATTGTTCACTTCTTTTTTTTTGCGATTTCTCAGCTTGGGCGAATGTTCAAAAAGTCCCAGTTTTGTTTTCAAGGAAAGAGATTCTTGACTTTGAAACATTTTGACATTTGAATGACAGAGCTATGAAACGAAGGTTTGCCTCATCTCTCCCTCAATAATAATAATGGACCATTATTCAACTCAACTCATGGAGAGAGTAATGAAATGTCGTATGTTCACAAACAGAGAAGGAAAGATGATGAAACTTTTAAAGTCGTGTTCAACAAAACAGTGTTTGTGACGGTTCAACAAGAAAAAATCTACAGCACCACCTCTTCCGGGGTTGGAACAAACAAAAATTTCCAACCACCACAAAACAAAAGAAACGGTTGATGATTGTGAGAATTTAATATATTGATCGTGTTTCAGTGTGTTTGAAACTCTTCCCAAAATCAAATTCAAGAGCCTAGATATTATTATTCAATAATATTTCCGAAATGAAAACGATGGTGATGGATTCAGAAAAGCCACAGAACGAAATTCTCAACAATTTTAGTAATATGAACCATAATCATAACAATAATAATACGAATATTACTCATCGGATTGCAGGCAATCATCACTGCCTCGAACAACCACAACGATCATTATTATTGAATAAGACTACTGAAATTATGAAAATGGCATTACTCCGAAAGGAAAGTATTCATCCACAAACACAAGAACAACAATACCGAAACTCTAGGGCAATTTCAAAGCAATTTGCTCAGTTCATACCATCAATATCATCATCATCATCACTTCCCAACCACTTCAATCCTTTCTTCTCTCTCTTCAATAAGACTGACTCTTTGACCTCCTCCCTCACTTGTCATTGGACAAAACCTCTCGGAACGAGTTTGATTTCAAGAATGATTCAATTCATGACAATCATCACCATATATTTGGCACTCGTGTTCGTAGCCACAGTTCACGGATCTCATCAAACGATGCCATCTTCTCTCCTCAATTTTCACAATGAAGGACTTGTTTCATCTCCCTCTCCAAATACTTCTGATATTCTCTACTATCAAATTACTGATCCATGGATACTGTCGCCGTCCTCTCAAAACGCAACTTCATTTTCACAAATATTCTACACCAAAATGTATATACCAATGTATGCATTTTCACTTGTGGCAGTTGTGGGTCAGTATTCAGTGAGTATATTTCCACCGGATTCTCCCATGTTGGATCTCTGTGGACAGGATAGTCCAGCTCAAAAATATAAATCACTGACGGATATGACCTTCTATGTGCCTGAAATAGGAGAGAATGTTCGATCATCGAGTGATAATTTGTGTCTTGAATTCTTTTGCAGCTCGACTTTAAAATATCATGAAGTGGAGAATCGGAAATTGAACTTGACACGTTGGTCACAAGTGGATGAATTTACATGGTTTTATAATTACTGTTTGTATTGTGACAACGTTGTGAGTCGAGAATTTAAGGATTTTCTCATTAATAACAGCAGTACTCAGAGTTCGGAAAACCCAGATCAATCCGCATGTCCTCTATTCAATCCAACAATTATCCAAAAAGCTCAGCAACACTGTCAAATTCAATCATTCCAAAACAAACCTCAACCGTACAGCATTGGAACTTTTTTCCTTTCTTCAGATTTAATGGACTCTCCAGAATTTAGAAGCGTCTTGTCATTTTACGATTTTATACAATTTGTGGAGCAGTCAAGCTTTCCGTACAATTGTTTCTGCAAAGAACAGAGTTTGAGTTTGGTTCCTGGAATTAGACCATTCTCTTTTGCCTTTGCATGTGATATTTATGCAAAAGCCATTATTCCTCTTGTGTTTGAGTTTGGACCAATATTTATTTTTCTATATACTGTTTTTCTATTATTCAGTTCATTCTTTGTTCTGATTTTACCAATTTATTGCGCAGTTTATCGAGAGTATCGATATGCATATGAAAAGAAACTTTTATCTACAATATTTGATTTGAGAATTCAAAGTACAACAATATTATTCTTTGCCATATTATGGATGTGTGCACAGGAAATTTTCTCGTACCTCTTTAATTTCAATGCTTTCTCCTCCATGTATTACGATGAAGATTCACACAATGGATTTATGTTACTTCTTGGAAACGGGTTGTTGAGAATGATTTCCTTAGTATTTCTTTGTTGTTCGTTTGCAAGCATGCTTGTCAGTTGGCAACACATGACTTCAAATACGGAAGGAAATTTTCTTTCTGGAGTTGCAGGAGGAATTGCAGCAACAGGAAAAGCACTCATTGGAGCCTCAAAAGATGAACGAGAACATGGACTTGTCGATGACAATGAAGAATATACTCCTCAAAATAAGAGAGAAAGTGAAAGATCTTCACTTTTATATATTGGAGGACGAGATCCCTCTGAATCGCTCTCAACTGGAAACAAATTAATACTGGCTGGATTTTATCTGTCACTCTTAGCATTGCTCATTACAGTAGTGATCATGTCATTTTTCATTCACACGCTCTATATTATATTTTTAGTATTTATTGCATTTGGAATGATGTATTTGTGGATTTTCCCAATTGGTTTTTTATTCAGTGGTATAAGAATGTACTACAAACTCAAATCTATGAAAGAAAATTTATCATTTGCTCGATTGAAGGTATGTAATACTGGTATTGTAGTGTGAATGAAAATCCAATTGTGAAAATATTGAATTGACGTCCATCAATAGTTCACAAAATTTATGATCTTTGCTGATATTTGTTTCATTCTGCTTATCATTGTTGGAGCTCTCTTCATGCTGACCTACTTATTTGGATGGGATCTCTTTGGTGTTTTTATTGGAATTAATCGATCTCTCATTATGGATTTCACTATTGTGTTAATGATGACCATTGAACAATACATGCTCTTCAATCAAAAATCTATTAAGGATTTATATGGCGAGAAAATACTCATGTGTTGTTGCGTGTATAAACGAAAAAAGAGAGAAGTTCCTGCATTCGAGATTGAGGATGACAATGGCCGACAAGTGGAAGACATTGATGATGAAGATTTTAAAAACAAATCTAGTCTTAATATTATTTACTCGCCAAGAGGAAGAAGACAGGCCTCAACTATTCCTAACATCATCACTTCCAACGTTGGTACAGAAGAGAAGATTGAAGAAGTGACACCAGAAGTTCACGAAGATGACGAGCAAGTGTTACGACAAAATGGATTTTCTTTCAGCGTGGATTCGCTTCCAAAAATCGAATAAATCACAAAATGTCTTAGCCTCAATCCTGGTTCATTAAATTACCTCAAATTGTTTGATATAAAATTGTCAGGTTGTCGGTAAATGTGGACACTAAATGAACATTTCAGAAAAACAAACACGTTGATTTTTGGATGTTACAGCAAAATAGCTACTTCAATAATTTTATTAGGGAACATTAAATTCTCGGATCCCTTTTCTCTAGAAATTTGAAATAGCGCCCATCCGTGTCTCGTGGTTTGAGTATTTACATCTCCTTGTTGCAAAATTTGTGAGTCTGGTTGACTGCTCATTGTGAAAATTCCGTTTTGCATATTAAATTTCAATCGATAAGCAAGTGTGAATTTGTGAGGTGTTAGTGAGGTGTATAATTCAATTGTTTGCATTAAATTCACATCTCGATTCATCATGTTAACAAAATGAATTTGGCCCGAAGGAGACAACTCCTTGATTTGCAATTTGTGATTTGATTTTTCCAATAAATTCGAAATGGAATGCACAAAAGTTCCTCCATTCACCACTTGTGACCATTTTGAAATGTGTTTCGTTGGAAACAATACTTTAGTTTTGCTCACATGTGAAGTTGGATTTGGGATTGAGTTGACAGTTGGCATTGACAACGCATCAGATCCATCATTCGGATTCACTACTTGTGGAATTTGCAGATTCGATGACACTGGAGCTGTCAACGCTGTCACTGTCGATGGTGATGCAATTCTTCTCTGTGAATGTCTTAATGGTGATGCCATGACCGATGAATTTTGTCGACCCTTCAACACAATCCCTTTTCGATTTGGTTTATGATTGAGTTTACTTCTGAGAGAAGATATAGAACTACTACAACCACATGTTGGACAATACGAAGAAGGAATTGTTACATTTGTTGTTGTTGTTGTTGACATACTAGAATTGTTCTCTTCCATCCATCCTTCCGACATTAATAATTGAGCATTACTATGAGGAGAGACATCTGGATTGAGAGCAAGTTGTTGATAGGCGTGAAGAGAGGAAGGAAAGGAGAATTGATGACGCATTCTGTTGATATAGAGAACAATTGTTCAATTTGTTTGTTTGTGATGATAAAAAAGAGAGAGAAAATCAAAGTAAAACTCAATGGCCGTGCAAAAAGGACAAAATTGGTTGAAAATCGTGTAATGAGTGAACGAGAGAAGAAGAATTCAACTCGAGAGAGAGAGAGAGGAAGGTGGTAGTGATGAGAGAATTGTGGTTATTGTTGTTGTTATTGAGAGAGAGACTCTTCCGTTATAAATAGAGAGACAGAGAGAAGAGAGATGAAGGGTTGGTGGTGGTGGTTTTCTGATGAGACAACTCTCAACGGAATGCGTAATTGGAGAGAGAACGGGGTGAAAATTGGGGTGTTCTTGTTGTTGTCGTGAGGAGGATTTGTCTTGGTTTTTTTGTGTAGGGCTGGTTTTGTATGGTAACCTGCGTCGACGATTTCTATGACAGGTGGCAGGTATTCATAGAACGCAACATGGAACACCGACCAAAAAAAACCAAGTCCCTCCGATTTGGTAAGCAATGGAACCTGACAGAAGAGACCTTGGTTGTGAGAGTTGTGAAGACAAAGCGTTAATTTCCAAGGCTCATCCTTTTTCAACTGCCAACTGTCATGCCTGTGAATGTCATTCAAAATGCAAGTAAAAAATCCATTCAAAGCAACGTGTCGTGCTGTCAGTTGTAAGGAATTTTTCAAGTATGAAAAGAAAAGCCTGTTTCCCTTCTATGAATTCCACAATAACACCGCTGAGATCACAAGAAGAAACCAGAATCAGCAAAGGGGTTTCCAAATCCTTATGGGGAGATCTATTTGTGGAGTGGCACAAACAAGTGTGAACGAAAGAACCTTGACGTGCAAAGATACATTCACCATTCTTGATGATCAAGAGTTACGAAAGATATGGAGTGGAAAATATTTACAGTTTTAATTTCTCACACCGTATGTGTGAATTCAAAGGACTGTTTTCAAAGTTTACAACAAATCAGATTCATCGGCATGATGAGATGAGCGGTACTGCTGGTAGCTATCTTCGATCGCGTTGTTCTCATTGAGGAAGAACTTTTTACCGAAATCGTGTCATTGTCGTCGGATGTGAACCTGGCCGCACATGAGAGTTCAAAATGATGATTTTGGTATTACGTGAGAAAGTGGATAATTTTGGAATCCAACTTGACGTCTTTGGCCAATGATCTCACAAATGCATTCTCCAGCATGGAATATGGAATGGTAAGTTGGATACCTCAATCATTCAATTAATATTATTATGTGATGCCACAACTCATGTTTCATTCTCACACACAAAAACGTTCCAACATTCGAAAATTTATTGAATATCAATTTCACACACCACAACATCTTGAGCATGAGAAGACAATCGAATGGTTAACATTTGTCTTTGTTCGTTTTCTCTCATGTAATTGGTAAAGAAGGTACAAAGCACAGTGGTTCCTCCAGTGAGAGATTGTTGATGACTGGCGTAGTAATTGGTGGTTGCTTTGTAGGTTCCTTTTTGTGCCTTCTTGAGCATGTATTCTTCAGGACCATAACCTTGTCTGAAATCTCTGGATACGTAACCTCCCATGGTGGTTCGATTATGACCAAAATAACTGTTTGTGTGAAATTTCCAAATTAAGAAAAAATGTGAACAAAAATTATTGATAAGAATAAAAATCTTCTAGTATACTTACGCATGTTCTCCATAGGGACCAGGTTCTTGGACATGCAAATCAATATCAACGTCATTGGTATCCCAAGCCATTGAAATTCTAATATCTAAATCGAAATGATGAATCAATCTCTTATCCACAATTGGTAAATCCTTATCCTTCATCAATAAGTGATTCATTTCAGTGGCAACAGTTAATTCAATTTCATCAAATCTCATGTCCCATTTTCCAACAATCACCTTATTAAAGAGTTCCATAGCTTCACGATATTTGCCCATTCTTTCCTTCACTAAGGCAAGATCTCTGTAGGATTGTGGTTCACCTGGTGACAACTTTTTCACTCTTTCAAAGACCCATTCAGCCAATTCCAATTCATTGGCTTGATCCAATCGATATCCAACAATACGATACAATTGAATATTTTCCAATTCCAATTCAGAAATGTTTGAAAGAATTCTCACTCCCAAAGTAGTGTCCTTCAATTCGGTCAAGAATAAATCAGCCACATCGAGATAGAATGCAGGAGAATCTCTATAATTTTCTCGTTGCTTCAAATATTCCTTATATGGATTGGAAGCTTTGGCAATTACTTTACAATAACCAGCATCTGGAGTCCATGGTTTGATTTTAATGGCTCCTGAGACTTGTTTGGGTTGTGAAGGTTCAGCTTTTTCCTTCTTGTCTTTCTTTCCTGAGGAGGACTTTTTCTTTGACTTTTTTTCCTCTTTGCACACTTCTGCAATTTCTTCTTCGTCATCACACTCCATACAGCTTTCCTTGCAACAACATTCTGCTTCAATCTCAGAACTCAGGCATTGCTGTTGTGGAATTAACTCGTCACAAAGAGATCTGCTCAATGATGATGATGATGGTGGAGGTGGCGCACATGGCATGGCACTGCAACAGCTACTCCTCATCATGGATGGAGGTGGTGGACAGCCACCTTCCTGTGAGATACCTCCAAAGGTTGAAGCCACACTCTTATCATTCATCATTACTGGTTGTGGCTCTGGAAGTTTAAAATCAGTCTTGTGCCATTGGACACGACTCAACCACATGGAAATGACTCTTTCGAGTTTTTCTTTTTCACGATCTTGTTCAGATTGCCTCTCTTTTTGTTTCAATTCATTGTATTGTTTCAATACTTCTGGAAGAGAGGCAGGAGGAGTAATGTCATGCTTCAAATATTGATCTAAGGTTTCTAAGACTAGTAGTGAAGTATTGTCAGTGACAATTCTGAAATCTTGTCCAATCTTTTTGATTTCATCTTTGAAGAGATGTGGGAATGCAGAGAGAGATTCAATCTTTTGTTGAGCCCATAATAATGGAACAATGGCTGCTTCTGCATGATCAGTGGTGTCTACTGGCAAGGTAATTTCTTGGACATGATAAATTTCACTTCCATATCTGAAGGAGACAGCTACATTGACGGATGACTTTCCACTACTAGATTTGAATTTACCAAATAATTTAAAGACCTCTCCCTATGTGAAAAAACAGTGATGAATATTTGAAAAATTAGTAAAAACTAACACTTACCTCTTTGAGTGAAACTGGTTCATTTGGATAAACTTCCTCGAGTTCATCATCTTCGAAATCTGCAGTGGCAAAGGAGAGCACTGGCTTTCCAATGGCATCCAACAATTCTTGTTCTTCAAGTTCGTTGGCATTAAGATACAAACCACCACTCTTGGTAGCAATGTGACGCAACAAGGATGCATTCACAACGGAAGATGAGTTCACAAAATACACAGGTTTGGCAAAGTTACACATTGGTGTAATTTCATGTCCAAAGGTGTGAACACCATTGGTAAATGCAACACAATAGTCAACTTTTGATGAAATTAAATCACGGTCCAATAAGAGCATATTTGATCCACCGTCATAAACAAGTTCATCCTTCACATGCTTGACAAGATCTTTCACAGAAGAGAATTCCTTAGTGTCAATGACCGAATTTGAGAAAGTAGAAAGTACAAGTGATTTTGCTCCGATGGCACCAAGTATAGATTCCAATAATTTAACATTCTTGGCATGACTGTCCGATTGAGACATGGAACAATCCCACACTATTTGAACCTTATCACCAATGCGTGACATGTCCTTCAATTTCTCAGTCAAGTTTGGAACAGGAATAGATGTCATAAAGTAACCATTCTCACAAGCAAGTAAAATGTGATTGACACTATCTGTCTTTTTGGTGACTGTCAAATTGAAACCTGTCATATTTTCTTTGAGATCGGCCTTTGTCAATGCAAAATAGGCAGCTCTCGAACCTGCATTCTTACTTGACCACAAATGTTCAGTAGTCTTTTCAGTTTCAGATTTGGCAAGTCCCATTTGGACTTGAGTTTCATAACCTTGCAATGAGGTTTCATTGAGTGTGAATTCAATCTTACTGGAAGGTCTCAATGCTGCAAAATCTAAGAAGGACATTGGAACCCAAGCACTTCCTTTCACAACACCGTTTTCACCATTTTCAGTACTCACTCTCTCAGAGAGCATCATTTGATATTTCACTTGGACAGTCTTGTCTGTGTCATAGGGTAATGGATACAAACGAGTTTTGAAACAATTCGATTGAGCAACTTTTTCAACCATTGAAACCTTATTTCCTGATCGAACTTCAGCTTCAAAAACTTCTTTTGCTTTTTCCTTTTCAACTGGAACAGCATCGACAAGTTTTCCATTGATTTCCATGGCATAACCAATGAGAGTGGCACCTTCTGGCATGGGCAACATTAATTCACCTTCAATTGTTTTTTGATTCTTATTTCTAAAAGTCATGGTTGATACGACCTGAACAATTGGATACATGACATGACACTTCACATGATGTTCAACCAAAGGTAACAAAGTGGAAGCCTTATCGGAAAACTTTTCACCACTCAATCGCACCGAGATGAAACTATCGAGTGGATAATTCTTCAAGAAGGGTGAAACATTAACACCGGGAGGTACACAGGCAATCGTTGTCGTGGTGGTGGTTGTGCTCGTTGATGACACCTTTCCGTCTTTCTCTTCCAATTGAGAGAGTTCATCATCGACTGCTTTGGATGACTTTTTACTTCCGAATAATTTGGTAAACATGTTGAGAGAGAGATCAATTAAAGATGGATGATCTTGTGATGGTGATGATGGGCAATTTTGATCTTTAGATCAACAGAGAGAAAATGGAGCGAGAGTGAGTAATGGATGGAGTGAACCAATTTTTTTTTTGTGAATATTCGAGAAAATCTTCGGCGAATGAACTTTTTTGAGTGCTTTGGAGATGCAAGAAGTCGGAACTTTAAAAAGGAGCTCTTGCAGAACATGGTTTGAATTCCTTTTGCAGTTGTTGTCCTTTTTGTTGCGGAGACACACTCGTGGGTCGTTCGACACTGTCATTTCATGGGATCTACAGCTTTTATGATCGTTTGGCGTGACAACAATTGATCTTTTCACAAGAATTTTTGTTTAAAGATTTGACACGTTCATAATCGAAATTCGAGTGGCATCCTAAAATATTTTTAACGCAGACTCCCCATCTTAGCTAAGATTCACACAAAATTATTCACACACTCTTGAAAATCTTTAACTGTCAAAAAGAAATGTTCAAATTTTATGACCTGACCATTGTGACTGTTGCAGAAAGTAGCAGCAAAAACAACAACAATAACGATCCAGACCAAATGCAGCCCCATGAAAGGAAGGAACAAAAAATAAAGAGAAAAAGTAAAGAATTTGTAAATACATGTACATAAAGAAATGTAAATAAATTGAGTGTCATCACACAATATCTTGTCAGCTTGTTCACTGATATACATCATTTGAAATTCTTTATAGTTCATTTGGAAAGACAGAGACATCGCTCCATTCAATAATTGCTCCTGAACAATGAGGTTTAACAACCATATCATCCAACACGTTGATTAAAAGAATTTAAAAAACATTTTCAAAACTTCTCTTGTTCGACCTTCTCCTTTCATATTTGTCCTAATATGTTCAATTTCTAATTCCATAGCTATCCATCTTCAACAACATTCTCTTCGTTCTTCAAAAGAACCTCTCCAAAAAACGCTCTCGATTATTATTATTTGAATTTCAATAACCACTTGAAAAAACAGGTGTTCTTCTTGCTTTCATCATGTCATCCTCACACAGTCAACAACAACAACAACAACAACCACCCTATCAGAGTCACATCGGAATGGATCCTTCCATCTATCCATCCACTCTCCCCACACAACAACCACCGTATCCGAACATTCCTCCTCCTCCCTCCAATAACGTTCCATTCGCTGCCTCCCATTATCAACCACAACCTCCTTATCAAACATTAGGAGATCTTCCAACTCAACACTACTCTCAACAACAACAATCGCCCTATGTAGCATCAGGTGTTCCTCCTCCACCACCTCCTCAGGATCAATTCATTTCAGCTCCAAGTCCATTCCACTCGGTACATGTTTCATCTTCCTCACAACACCAGCAGGAACATGTTTCTCCACAACAAGGAATTGATGCTGAAAATCCCATTCCCGTTCATTATCATTCAGGACAATCGAGCCAATCTCCACAACACGGATTTGATGAACCCAAAGCTCCTCCATTAAGGTCGCAAGAAGGTCCTTCTCATCCTCAACAACAACAACAACAACATCAGCAACAACCTCCTCCTCCTCCTCAACAATCACCCCTTTACCCTCAAGAACAAGGCTATCATGCCATCTATGTGAGTGATATTCGGACCTCTCCTAACGATTATGTCGAGCAATCGGAAGCAGCAGAAGCAAGCTCTTCGTTCTCTCTCGCCATTTGTTTGGCTTTTCTCTTTGGATGTTGTGGATGTTTCCCATTGACATGCATTCCCTTCTGGTTTACATATGCCACCTATCGAGATTCGATGAGTCCTCGGGCTCGTTCCATGGCCTCTCTTTCGAAAAGTTTGTTTTGGGTGTTGGTGTTTGTGAATACGATCTTCTTTTGTATCAGTATATTTGTGATAGTCATTGTTCCACCAGTGGTTGTGGTTCCACGATATTATTATGTGTAGAACAAAGAATAAAGCTTAAAGTGTTTGAGAACACAGACAAGAGTTGGTCGATTTGTGAGCGTTTGAACGATTTTCTCTGATTGAATAGGATGGTATGCAAAACTAAAAGAGTTGGAAGCAACTGCTGAAGACAAGTCAATTTGATTGTGTAATTTCTTCAAAGCCTTATTATTTATTCAATGAATATGACGTTTTTCTTTAGACCACCAAGCAACCTTAATCATTGCGTAATTGATCGAACGTCAGACTAATGAAGATGAAGAGTTCACTGTTCAATACCTCGAGCTCATGAACAAGGAACTCTTTGAAAACAAAAACAACAAAAATGCAAAAAAGTCTCAAACTGGTGGCCGTTGGTGATGGAGCTGTCGGCAAGAGTTGTCTGTTGGTGAGTTTTTGTTTCGGCATGTTTACATTCAACCCATGATATCCTGATCACAACAACAACATTCACAGATTGCTTGTTCGACCAATTCCTTTCCCGAAGATTACATCCCGACTGTTTTTGATAATTATGTAAGTCAAATGATCATCATTATTGAATCCACTTGAATCTTGAAAGAGTTCAAATGTGTTATGGAATGGAGAATGTTATTCTGTTGGATTGTGGGATACAGGTAGGTTATTAATTTGAGAGTGATATTATGGAGATTGAATGACATTCGACAATTGAAACACAAAAGCTGGGCAGGAGGATTAGTAAGTACACTACTGACACATGTTTGTGTATTGAAATTTAATTCCTTTGCTCACAGTGGTAAGTCATTCTTCTTTTTCGAAGAATTTCTCACTTTTTGAAGATCGTTTGAGGCCATTATCATATCCTGGAACGGATGTATTTTTATTATGGTAAGCATTTTCTCAAAGTGTTTCATGACAAATCCCACTTGGATCCATCAAAACTTTAATGTTTAATTGTTTTATGAAAATCATAGTTTTTCAATGTCAAATGCCACTTCCTTAGAAAATGCACAACACAAATGGATTCCAGAATTGATTCATTATTGTCCAGATGTACCTGTACGTAGTAGTAGTAGATTTCCAATTTCTTGACTTTCACACACCGCATGTCTTGATCCTTACTTACTTTTAAATTCATTGTTATGAATGAATAGATTGTTTTAGTGGGTTGTAAATCCGATCTTGTATCAAGTTCAACTTCCAGTAGTGACAATAATACTCGATCAGTCTCTAAAGAAATGGTCGAAGAATTCATGAAAAAGAACAACAAGTACATTTCCAATGTGATTGTTACTTCATCTAAAACCATGTACAATATCAACAAGATTTGGGATGTTGCAATTTCAGCTGCCACAAGTACCTGCCATACAAAATCAAAGAAAAACAAAAGAACAGTTAAAATCATTGGAGAAATTGAAGAAACGGAGCCTTCTCCTCCTGTAATGCCCCCAGCTGGAAAAGCTCCTTGGATCTACGTGAAAAATTCTACCTTTGGAGAGGGATTTAAAAAATTGTTGAATCAAGAATTCTTGGCTGACACTCGTTTTGTTATTTTTGACACCAAGGAGCAAATGGAAAGAGAAATTTGGGCTCATCAACTCGTACTTAGCTGTGGACCTTCGAAAATCATTGAAAACTTTTCGGATCACATTTTGAAGGCCAAGCTAGATCATTCACTCGATGAAATTTGTAATCAAGTGAATGCAGGACGTGTCACGGGTTTTGCTTCCATGACTCTATCTGAACACAATGACACACCACAGAGGAAATATTTTGTCATCAAATTAAGCAACACTGTGTCGTATGATTCCTTCTTGTGTCTTTTGGAAGTTATTTATTATGGCCAATCAGAAACTTTGAAAAGCAAGAGAAATGATTCCAAATTTTTGAATCAAGTCAAAACAGTTGCTTCCATCTTTGAATGTGAATATTTGGAAAATATGGCAAACAATTTTCTGGATGGCCTTGAAGATGTATTCAATGAGAGTTTGGGAACATTTCTCAATGACATGTTAGGTAGTAAGGCAAAACAAAAATATTTCGAAAATAAGGATCATGCGGATGTGTGTTTAAAGCTGAGCAATGATCCACAAGATACAACAAGAGAGATTTATGCCCACAAATTATTCTTGTCAGTCAATTGTGAAGTCTTTCGAGCAATGTTTGAAGGAAATTTCGTTGAGAATTCATTTGAAATGTCACAAGTCGATTTGACAAGTGAAATTGATGCCTCACAACCTGGTCAATTAGAAATGAGATTCCATGAATATCAATCTCTCATTGAATATTTATATTCTGCTCATTCCACTATTGATGAAAGCAATGCTATTGGTTTAATGTCTCTTTCAAATCAATACGGCATGTCTGGACTCACCTCCATGTGTGAAATTTATATTTCAAAAATTATTGACAAATCTATTGCCAAAGGAATTGAAAAAGCAGATATAGACATTATTGGAATTTTATTATTGGCTCAAACCTATGCTGCCAATCAATTGGCTCAATTTTGTTTGCATTTCATAGCAACCAATTATGAACCAATGAAGGCAAGAAAAGAATGGAACTTATTGACAGGTTTCAATAAGCAATATGTGGGTGAGTAGTATTGAAATGACATGTCTCAACAATGAAATGTCACATTTTACAACAACAATTATGAAAATGTCCAACTCAAACCATTATGACACACTTTACTACAACCACCGATAGAGGAACACAAATGGCCACCTGATTCATACTTTAAACAAGTTGAGAAATATCAATCAGACATGGAGAAGTATTTGAAAAAGAAAAAGAAGAAATTGGAAAAACAATCTACAACTGAGGATGAACAAGAAGAATCGAATCTGGAAAAAGATAAAAAGAATTGCATGATTCAATAAATGTGTGGATATTAATCCACATTCAAATGTTTGTTGTATTGAAATTTGAATCAGGATCATCTCGATCCGAAGCAGAGCCGTGAGATCAGGATCGTGGTTTTCCAGGCCCTTCCTTTTATTAAGGTGATTTCAGATTCCTTCTTCTTTATATGTGAATGTTGAGCTTCGTGCAGCAGGAATGCATTTGAATTACGTAAAAACTGTTTTGATCCACAATAATATCCGAACTACTCAAAGGAAATGGACGACAAGCAGATAATTATGGGAAGCATTCAAAGAGTTGTCTTTAGGAATAAATTAAGTATTGCCTTAGTCCTCGGTCTTCCAAGATCCTACAACGCAGAGTGGAGAGAAGAATTAAATATCTTTCAGAATGTATTTGAGGGTTATATTGAGCAGCTAGTTCAAGTGGAAGATTATAAGGCTAATGCGATTAAAGATTATTGTCCCATGCGTGTCTTTCCAACGGACCTCCCTGCCATAAGAGAGCAATGTTATTCATCGGGATGTACTTCTGATTTATATAACAACCAAAAATCACTTGATAAAGTTAAAGAAAGGTTCAATGAGGAACTTTCTTCTGAAAACATCAAATCTGTTCTATCATTCTCAAACTCATCAATCCACGAACAACCAGAAACAAAGAGGTTACTTAACGACAAAGCTGCAGAAGGAACTGCTGAAGATGATTTATAGGGTGGAAATTTTGACATGTATTCACAACCAAAACATCATTCCATGAAAGTTCGAAAAACTCTTTGTAACAAGAACATTATTCGAATGAGCATTTGATTAACTGTCAATTTGAAAAAGTCGTTTACATTATGGGATTTAAACTTCAACAGTGTGTTCTTTACGGAGGATCTATTATAGATTGTGAGTTGGATCAGTGTGCTGTAGTTGGTGGAGATGTGACATCATGTGAATTATCTTCTTGCAAAATTTCTTCCTCCAATTTAAACGACTGCGAAGAAATGAGCTGCAAAATTTCAAACTCCCATTTGAACGGATGCATGGAAATGGATTGCAAAATAATTAAATCCAATTTGAATGGTTGCAAGGTAATGGATGGTTGTAGCTTGATGGGTTGTCTGTTCTCCAAGGATTGCCATTTCTCAAAAGACGTCGATATATATAAATAAATATTTTACATAAAGATCAAACAAATCAAGGTTCCTCAAAACTACTCAAGGTCGAACATTGCAACTTCCCATTTCATTGATCTAAAAATCAAACTCTTCTCAACCGCAACAACTCACCACATCCAAACCCTACAATCCCCACCACAATACTTCTTACTGCTGCTAGAATGATATTCCAATTGTTAATTTCACCATGGTTTGTTTTTGTCGATATCGAAATCCCTTGATGTATCCATTGCAGTATTGTGGTTACTTGTTGATGCTTTCAAAGACGTCTTCAACGACTACTCCATGAGAAATGATAAACTTTGAAGTTCTAATTCATTATTGACGAATCAGATTTTTTTATTAATTGAAAATTGATCTAATGTTTTGAGAGATTTTTGGAAGTGATTTTTCGATACGTCAAGAGCATTGTTTCTGAGACAAAGAAATCCCTTAAATGAAATATAGGATTGGAAACTTTCAAAGTGCGTTTGTCTTTAAAGATCTCGTCAAATCATCCACATCTTTAAAAAAGATTTTTTATGGAAAATACAGACTCTGAACAGTTGAGTTTCCAAAATATTTGGAAAAACTGTGGCCCACGTCACAAGTTGTTTGCTTGGGCAATTTTTGATGATAAATTCGAAATGTTGATTGCATGCAGAGTCAGCACCCCGCTCCTTGTCTGTAAAGAATAGTAAAATTCCAATCAATAAATGAATGTTGAGCCTATGGTATTTAGTAAAGACTTGCAATGAGCCAAATGGTGCTAACGATGGGAGGAATTTCAATCCACTCATAGGTGAAAATTGAAGGATTTTTCGAATATACTTGCAGTTTGGCTACAGAATCTTGAATGGACATTAGAATGGACTTGAAGCTTGATCACCCAGTGACATTTAATAGAGACATGATGAGATAGTTCAGATAAATTAGAATCTGTTCGAAGAAAACAAAACCGTTTGAGAAATATTTGTCACAACATGAGATCAAATATAAAAACATACCAATCTGCATTTCAAGAGTTTTTTTCTTCATCGCTGCCCATTTCAACACAAATTTCTTCATGAATTTTTGTGAGATCGGTTGAAATGTTTTCGTTTTTCTTGTCCAATGTGATGGCACTCCAAGGTACGTAAACATGATCTTGCTTGATGGCCTGATAAACTCTAATGATGTAATAGGCAAGAATCCTCTTATTGATTGCTTTGGTGTTTTTCTGTTTTTCAGTTTTAAACAGTTCGTTTTCTTCTTTTTCTCCTAAATCCAACTGTTGTTGAATTTCTCTTCTTCGGCCATTCATAAAGTTGTAATCTCAAGAGTGTGAAGAAGCGCAATTCTAAAATAGTGACGCCATGCTTCAGCTGTATTCGTTATACTCGTTTTTAAAGTTTCTTCATGTGTTGATGGGTTCTTCTTTTTTGAAATGATTCCAATAATACTTTCGACAAAATCAATTCTTTTCATGTGGGCTTCACAGGCACTCAGAAATTCATTTGAGTGTTTGAGACAAAACCTAAACATTTGTAAATTTGAAATTGTAATGTTAATCCACATTGAGGAAATTTAATTAGATAAATCTGTCGATCCTGGTTAATTAAATTACCTCGTTCAAATGGTTTTGCGATGAAAGGATGAACGGGAGTTCACAGAAGCCTGAAACAGTCAGAGATGAAGTTGCCTTTATTTCCAATTTGGTAATTCTTCAAAAATAACAGTTGACAACTGAACGGGGATGACCATCGATCCAGCAAAAAAAAAACGCGTTCCATCTTGATCACAACCACCAGGAAGTTCCGCCGACCTATTCCATCACATCTAGTAACAACAATAACAACATCAAAATTCACACATAAACGTCATCAACCATCAACAACAACTCTTTGAATTTATACCACTCCAACTATTACTGTACAACCAATCTTCATCCAAACCTTCCTTCTATTATAAAAATAATTATTTGAAATTAATATCTTGTATAAATATCAATTATTAACAAGAAGAAGATGTTTTCAAATCTTTTCAACTTTTTCGGAAGCAAAAATAATCGACAACAATCCGATCAAGATTTGCAACACCACCTAATGACTGAAACAGATTCATCATCATCGGGAACGACTAACAACAACAACAACAACACTTCTACTTCTACTAACAACAACAACAACAACAACACTACAGACTCTTCTACAGGAAATATGATCTCCTCCTTCCTTCAAAATATTGTTCGAAAGACGACGAATATGGCAAATTATAACAACCTCTCAAATTCCCGACATTTCAACAACTCTTCGTTTTATTCCTCTCCTGAACATCCTCTTGGAATTGCTCCTTCCATGCGAATTCCAGATTTTCAAACTTCATCGTTGAGTAAAACAGAACGTCGAAAGGAAGCTTTATTGTTACAAGCGGCCATGAACGATCATTTGAATTATTCCAATGCTGTGATTTTCTCTTTTGGTGAGAGTAATGAAATGCGAGGATTGAAACGAAATACTGTTTCCGATGCTTCAAATCCTCAATATATAAGAACACCTTTCCGAATTTGTTCCGTTGTGATGGGATACACTTGTAGTATTGCATTGACGGATGATGGATTTGCTTTATCGTGTGGAAGTAATGGAAATGGTCAATGTGGTGTGCCGAGTGATCGAGCGAATGGTATTGATTTTTGTCAATTTCATTTAATTGAAGGATTGGTTGAGGAAGAAATTGTTCAAGCGAGTTGTGGATATTACTTTTCATTGTTCTTGACAAGAGATGGTCGAGTGATTGGATCTGGGTAAGTGTTCATTGAGACTTGTTGTTGTTTTTCATGATTCTATATCGTACTTTTTTCACATTCATTTTCACATGATTCACGGATGATGTGTTGGGTTTGTGACATGTCACAATTGAAAAATATCATGTTTGAACCTCTCCAATATTTCTTATTTCAATGGTGATGTGATTCCATTGAACAATACGCTCCTCCAAATGAATGTAACTTGAAAATAATTCATGCATGTCGCACACTAAAGTGATAATTCTCACGGACAATTAGGGTGTGACACTTACATGTCAAAATACGTGTTGGTAGAATTGAAAAATCTTCCTCCCATTCGTTCCATTCACGCTGGATATTATCATTCACTGTTTGTGGGGTTTGATGGAAAAGTTTATGCGTGTGGTCAAGGATTTCCTCGAATTCCGACACTTATTCCAGGTTTGGAAAATCAATTCATTGTTTCTGCCTCTGGTGGTTATGATTACAGTTTTTTCATTACCAAAAATGGAGAAGTCTATGGACACGGTGAAATTGGACACATGATTCATGGAGGTTCCAATGGAAAATCTAGCGTTATAAAAGTGACAGGATTTAATCACTTTGTGACATCTTGCAGCTCTGGATATTACCATACTCTCTTCACAACCCGAGAAGGAGCCGTTTATTCATGTGGAAGAAATCAATACAATTGTCTCAATAGATCCATTGAAAAGAAACTATTCAACAATGGTGGAGAAGATTGTAAATTATTGGAACACAAGTACATGAAAAATATTGTTCAAGTGAGTTGTGGAGGATATCATTCTGGATGTCTCGATGCTGAAGGAAGAGCATATACATTTGGTCACAGTGGATTCTATCAAGCTTGTATTGATTCAGAACAACCTGGAATTTTACACACTGCAATTTCTGCCAAAGAAATGTCAACCATGCCTGAATCTCTCATGATTCATGTACCCACAAAAGGAAATCAATTGAAAGCTTGTGCGATTGCATGTGGAGGGTGGAATACGATGGTCGTTTGTTCGCCGTATATTTTTATTTCCTCTTCCAAGAATGTAAAAGAAATGATTGCCAAGCTGAAACAATTTGCATTGGAAGGAGATTTTGACACTTCTCAGCATTCACTCTTTGATATTCGTATTGTGACACGAGATGTCTCGAGAATGAAATCATCCACAACCATGTTGTCTGAAGAGTGAGTGATTCACATCAAATGCTCTAAAAACAATTCCAAAAAACCCAAATCATTCTTTTTATTGGACAATAAAAAAGATTCAACTTTTTTACATCCTCCTCATCCCTATCGAGAGAGATCTTTCATTCCTTTCAAGTTCTTCCATCGAGGATTGGGTTCGTTTTTCGGGAAGAAACACTTTTTCTCAATAGTTGACTCTGTGCATTAAAAAGTGAAAATTCGAGGAAAACAAGAAAAACCCATGAAATCAAGCAAAAACAAGGGAAATTAATTCAACATCGATGTGCGAATTTGATCCAAATCATGTGTTTTTTCGTATTTGTTTCATTTTTGTCCTTTCTTTCAACAGAGCAAAACTTGAAGAATTTGAAAAAATCAAAGCTTGTGGAATTTTAATGCACAGGCCCAAGTACTTGAGCTCTAGTTGAAGGCAACTGAAACAGCACTGTTGCTCATACTAGGGATGGATTTGAGTGGTGACCCAAAAACCCTAAAAATGAATCCACATCAATTGCCTTTGATTCTCTCAGCCACCAACCGCCAAGAAGAGGCTTGTTTACAATCATCATCATCATCGGCTACTGTAACTTCAACAACAACAACAACATGGAAACAACAAAATGATGATCATCTTGAGCATGATGGACAACCATCGGAAAAGAATGACCAAACTATTTTGGATCTTGATGATGGATACGGAAAACTGTATAAAAAGCATTCCCGAGATGAAAGTAGCAACCATAACAACAACAACACTACAAGAGCCATCCGGAGTACTACTGGTAATGGCTCACAAAAATTCAACCACAATAGTCAAGTGAATACAGCAACAAATAATACGCCTCCATCATCAATCGGTCGACCAAGCCGAAATATCCCCATGGAATATAAAAGTGGTGATGTTGCAAAAGAAGTTTCAACAACATCCACTCCTCCTGAAGTGGTCAATATTGAACAGGATCATGACAACAACGAAATCAATAGAAAACAACAAGATCGTTCACCTCCGTCGCTTGCATCTCCCGAAATGAACGGATCGGCAACGAAAAGAAAAAAGTCGGTAACATTTCATCCAGAGGTTGTGACTTCTTCCCGATCGTTGTCACCCACCTCTCATTTGATGAACGGGGCATCTGATGATCTTATTTCTCAGCACGAAAATGAATCCTCAAATTCACACTCTTTTAGAAATGAAAGCGATATAAATGGTGCTGGGAGTGTTTTCTTCAAACACCCACCTTGGCTGGTTTATACATTCCAACATTCATGGAGAGTGAAACTGCAAGAATATTCGAACAATGATTCTGACGAGCCAGAAGAAAATCTTACAAGCCTGTTAACATTAGAAAAAATTATGAGCCGACCCATTGATATCGAGAGTCCAATTTGGTACTTTCTTCCTAAGAGGTTAATTCAAGCCTCAACCATTGAAAACGATCAATTTAAGCTAAATAATTATCAAATTGACGAAGATGATTTGGAACCAAAATTTGAAGTTTATTTCAATTATTGGGCACAATTAAGAGACTCACTGTTTCTGCGTTTAAGAAAAGAAAATAAGAAGCTCAAAAATGAAAAATCATCCAATGCTCAACTGTGGTACGGCTATCACAATGCAGCAATTTTATCCTTTTTCATTGAGACCCAAAAAGACAGCTTATGTGACTTGCAAAAAGCTCTTCACTTTAGAATATTTGATTTACTATTTGAATCTATGGCCCAATTAAACCAATCAGAAAATACAGAGAATATAACACTAATTTCAGATCAAGAATTAACATTGATGAAGACAGTGTGCTTCTTTTATATTGAAACAGAGCATTTATTCCATGCTACAAGTGTATTGTACCATGTGATGCGAAATTACTGTTTCACTGCTGAATCATACCAAAAGTTGGTTCAAAAATGGTCGACAAGTGACTTGGAAAAATTGGAGATCTATCCTTTGAATATAGACTGGAAAGTAGTCTATTTGATCCTGCGACTTATATCAAAGTATTTAGAAATTCTTGAAAGAAAGCCTACCGAATCATCCTTTGTCAGTCAGCTTCAATATGACGAATTTTGCAAGGTTGACCGAGGTTTATCTCAATTTTCACAGAACGATCTCCTCTGCTTTCGCAATTGCGTCATTGAACAAATTTGTAAATATAAGCCAAATCATGATCTCTATCTATTGTGGAAGGACAAATGGCAAGCCGACGATACTGAAAACTCATGCAAGGCATTTCCGAAAATTGAAACAGAGCCTGAATTGTTAGAAAATTGTTTTTATATTTTATATTTAATAATTTCCAAAGAAAGAGAGCGAATTTCAGAAAAGGGTTTCACAGAAAGCAGCGCAAACCCTACCGACTTCAAACCAAAGGTAACCGAAAGCCGATCCAAAGTGTCACTATTATCCAAGCTTGGAAATTATTGGAAAAAACTTCGATTTAAATTTTTTGGAAATTCCAGCTTGATGACCATCGTTCTTTATATTGCTGGAGTGCTTGGAACTGCTTTCATTGTGAAGGTTATTTATCAATTCTTTAGCTCCTCAGGCTTGTCTCATTCTGAAAAACAATTCAACTTGAGTAGGAATGATTTACGTCTACCTTATCTAACATCACCACAATTTGAAAGTGCCTTACCCTCGAAAATGAATGTCACACCTTCTTCCATACATCAACAACAGACTCCTACAAAACGATACTCATCATCACCTTCGTTGAACTTTGAAATAGCTCACACCACAAAACCATCATCTTTACCAGTTGCAACTCTTGGAACTTCATTCAATACTCAACATCCAGAAAATAGAACTATCAATAAGGAAAACATACGAACCATTCTAAAGCCAAGTAATTTCAAACAAGATTTTTATGAAAAAGTCGATCAAGTAAATGGCCAGATAGATCGTGTAGTGGAACGAGATTTCAATTACATTTCATCACTACGAGAGGAAATGGATCACATCTTTGATATTGCAGAGAAAATGAAACAACCAAAAAAGAAATCAACTTCTTCTGATGAAGAGAAACAACAAGAAACACAAAAACCACTTGTCTCTTTCCAAGTTGGAGATCAAGTCGAACAGCCTAATAGTTCTGTCACTGTTTCACAATCTTCACCTGGTGAGAATATGCGATCACAGAACACATCACCAATTTACAAGAGAGCTCTCGATACCTCTGCACTTCCTACAGAATACAATCCAGTTGGTTTTGGAAGTGATGAGCTTCCTCCTTTCCCTTCAACAAATCAAAATCCAAATTTGGCAACATTTATTGGAAGTGAAGGTGTTTCAAAGAGTAATGTGGTTGCTAACAACAGGTTAAATAATTTGAATCGAACGATTGGAAGTAGTACGAATCGAAAAACATTAACAACAACGTCAAGGAAAAAGACATCTACTCCCAACACTGGAGGTCCAAAAGTGTTTGGAAAACGAAAGGTGTAAACTTAATTTCACCAAAATGAAGAAACTGTCATTCCAAGTGATGACACAAAGAACTATTTTGTAATGCTGTTGGGAAGACTATTTTGTAATGTTGAGTCTTCCCAAAATCATATGCGAGTTGGGAAGACTCAGTTTTCAAAGTCTATGAAACTTTTGAACGTTAAAAGCGTTCAAACGTTCCCACAACTTTCTCCTCAAACAAGCAAAAAAACACAAAACAACAACAACAAGAATGGTGACTCGCTCCAACAAGCAAATGATCAATGGCGACGATGAAGTTACAAGTCGAATTGATATGAAATATTCAAAACAGAGAAGAAGGAAAGTGCAGACATTGCCTTTGGAGATGGTTATTTTGGAATATCTTATGGAGCATCATCTCCAACATTTGTGACTCATAAGAAAATGACTGATCAAACCCTTGTGGACGACTGCAACCTTGTGTTACTTTCGAAGTATGAGCTTGTTGAGAAAAGTACTAATGACGACATCCCACTTGGCATTCGTATTCGTCTCACACTCAGTAGGATAATGTCAATATCATTGGGATCTTTCGTGGTTCTAAAAACATCACAACCATTGAGAACGAACCAGCCCTAGCCATTGACAAATACACTGGAGAACGAAATTTCAAAGTTGCCAAAAGTAGAATTAAGCGTTTGGAAGTTTTCAAACAAATTCACTACCACCAAGATGTGAATAAGGTAAAGAAAGGACCTGCCATTCTCACCACTCTTCAAGGAAATGTTCTTGAAGGAGAGATCACACAGATGGACAGAAAAAGTTTCAGATTCGCATTTGTCAAGGAGTCTGAGAGGAACAATTCATTCTGGTATTCGATGGGTGATTTTGCGAACATTAATTGTCTTTCGATGTCACATCATCAAGCAAGTGAAGTAGATGACGAGGAATCACTGGATGAGTATCAAAACGACTATGAAGAGCTCGCACATGAAATTGTTGCACTAACAAAAAGAAAGAAACAGATGGAAAAGGATGCGAAAATGAAGATGGACGCCATTCATTCTCAATTTTTGTCTTGCATTCAAAAGGTAATGATCCAATTTTACTCAACAAACGCCACCGCTGCTGAAAACCTCAACAATGAAGACCTTTGCAAAGAATATGTCAAGATGACACAACAAATCAAGCTTGGTAGGAAAATTGAGAAGTTCTTTCAACTTCAGAAAACAACTCCTTCAATGGTTAAAGAGAGCTTGAATATTCTAAAACAGTCGTTGAAACAAGGACTTTATTTTATTCAGTCGAAAATTGAACTTGAATCCAAACAACAAAACTTTGAGCAAGTTGGCATCCTCGCTAGCTGTGCCACACAGCTGCAAACCGGTATGGAACGCTTATCAGAACTGAATTTGTAAGATTTTTCTTTGGCCTTTTTTCCTTGCATAAGGTTTTTTTGGACGAACATGTGTAAATACTTTAGCAACATAATTGTAAATACTTTCGAATAAATAACAATATTGATAACTAATATTGAATAGCAATGTTATATTGTGATGCCGTTATTGATTTTCCCTTGGATAAATAATTTCGTAATGTCCAGGTCTGAAGAGTAAATACACAACTGGCTCCTTGTCAGAGCACTCAGGAATTGTATACCCAAAGACGTCAAATTTGTCACTTGCTCGAGATTGAGCATCCAAAACTTCAACTCTAATGCAAACTTTAAATGCGCTGGTCATGGCCATCAGATGAATATTGTCACAATCTCGATCCATAATCTCAATTTCAGCATGACAGAACTCTTTTGCTGTGGCATATTGATCCAAAAAAAATGGTAAATAATCATCGCAATTCATCTGAATGTGACCACTCAACAAGAACCTCATAAAGCACACAATTGCTTGAGAGGTCATCATGAGATCAGTAGTCTTATCGGAAAAGTAATGTTCCAACAAGCCTTCAACTGTATGGATCACACCATCTCTCACTTTTTCAAAAACCTCCTTTGTTATGCTGTAAAAGTCTTCTAAACAATGTTCCGGATAATTCAATACTTCAATCAAGTATTTATAATGTTGATCAATAATATCAATCATCTGTTGAGTTAGAGTCTTATCCTTTTTCCTAATCAAGAAATCCAACAATCCGAAAACAAAAGCTCTGATAAAACAATTACCATCACCTCTGATTCCTCGGATATGAGAATACTTTTTTAACAAGTATGATCGTCCAATCTTTTCCTGAATCACCTGATCTCCGACATTATAGGCCAGAGTTGAGAGAGTGAGAGGAGAAGCAATTGGATCAACAAGTGGAAACTTTTTAATTTCTTGTTCGATGGATCTTTGTTGGTTTTCGAATTGTTCAAAAGTATAATTTTCATCGGAATTGGATGGGACTGAAGATTGTTGTGGAAGCATTTTTTTGTAAAGTTTTTTATATTCGACAAAGTATAAATAGAAAGTTCCATCAGTCAAACGTTTTGTTGGAATTCATCATAAATCTCTGGTTGAAGCTTTGATTGGTGGACTCATTCCTAAAGATCAAATCACAGAAATATTAACATCACTCCATCGAAGTACCTCTAAAAAACCAGTAACAAAGGGACAGTGCTTGACATTTCCAACCAACTCTTAATCCACAACTGGTTATTGACTTTTCTGTGAAGCAGTCCTTTGACAAGCCTTAATATTGTTAGACTTTTCTCAACGACAGTATGTTTTGAATTTCATAGAGTTCAATAACAATCGTTTCAAAAGAAGGTCTTTCTCGAGGTAACTGATGCCAACATTGTTTCATGAGATCAATATAATTGCTTACACCCTCCAATAAGGCATTACTCATCACCTCATTGCATTTTTCCTTATTGCACATATATTCTGTCACCCATTCTTTCATTTGATCTGGGTTATCGAACGGAATTTTTGGACGACTTCCTCTCAGGACAAAGGACAGAATGTTGAGCGCATGTGTATTGGCCTCTTCTGTGTTATCATTCTCTGAAAAGTGGTAAAGTTTCTTGGAATAAGAAAACGGGTTTTCCTCAAAAAAGAGAGACCACATGATAATACTATAACTATAGACGTCGATTTTGCTTGCGTTCTTGAAACGATCTTCTTTTGATAAAGAACTGGATGGACTTGAAGAGCAGAAAATATCAGAGTTAGAATAAGGTGTTTGATGATTGAGACTTGAAAGGTGTGATACAGACGATTGTGAATAGCTTGATGTCATCTCAGAACTACAATTGTCTGAAGAAAAGTTTTCAGGAGCACAATACAGTAACGTTCCAATATTTGTAGTCATTGTTCGTTGTTGAACTGTGTTCGTTCCAACCACTCGACTCAATCCAAAATCACAAACACGAACGGCACCATTTTCATCCAAGAGAATGTTTCCTGGCTTCAGATCTCTGTGAACAATCATTCTCGGTTTGAGAGAGTGAAGATAAACCATTCCTCTTGCAACTCCTAGGAGAATATTAATTTTGGATTTAAAATCAATGTTTTCTTTTCCCATCCGACAATTTGAGATTAATTTTTCAAGAGACCCTCCTTTCATGTATTCCACAACCATGAATTTTTGACGCTTGTTGGGCACGCAAATTCCATAAAATGTAAGAATATTAGGATGTCGTAGACTGCTCAACATGGTGGCTTCTCGCTCAAATTCATCACTTTCAGCATCTTGCTCGTCGTCATCCACTTTAATAGTTTTTACTGCAACATCAATGTCTTTTTTGTTCATGTATTAGGATATATAAAGTTAAGGATTGAACCTACCATTCCACTTTGCATGATACACAACTCCTTGCCCTCCCTCTCCAATTCGCTTAATAATTTTAATATCTTCCACAGGAATAACGCATGAGTTTCTGGTAGAAAAGCGTGAGCTATTATTTAAGTGATCATTTTCTTGTTTTTCTTCTTGGTCAAATACAATTCTGTTGTCAATCAGTAGCTGTTCCATTTCTAACTCTGCTTTCTTTCTATTTCTTAACACTACCGATTTTTTAAATGCAACAGCACATGCGCATGCAGCTCCAGAAAGGAGAATGCATATCAGAACACACACTACTGTTGCAACAAGTATAATGATATAACTGAGAGACTGATCCACACAGGAAGTATCGGACCAGGAAAAAAACATTGGACACGACGTAACTTTCAAAGGAATTCCCAAAACAGAGTTGTCATACGTAACTGTCAACATTAAGCTATCATTGTTGACTTTTTGATAAGACAAAATTTTGAAGTCCAAGGTGAATAGTTGTTGGTCTGAATGCACAATACTCACAAAATACTGTGGCTTATCAGTTTTGAGTGATATTGGAAGTTCTCTTTGAGAAATAACATTTCCAAAAATATCAAACGCAGCAATGGAAAGTTGCAGTAACTCTCCAGGAAAAAATGCAGACAGTGTAAGATCCTTACTTGTTGCATTATTTGTTATACTCTTAATATTTAGCAATTTGGATGTGAAACATGGAGAAGAAAGCTCAGAGAGATTGAATGGATATGATAGAGTCATGGGACTATCCACATATATTGATGATCCGTAATCTGCAGTGTTTGAACTGAGAACATTGTTAGACAAGATATTAATGGTTTGTTGAATGTCTTTCTCTAAATACATAATTCCTCCTCGTACGGCATTGTTTTCTATGAACACATTTGAGTCAAGTATAACACTGCCTTTGATGTTAAACACACCTCCTCTTGACGCAGTGTTTCTTTGAAACAGTGAATTAGAAATCTTAATGGATGGCTCAGAAAATATAGAATGTAATGCTCGATAGGAAATCGCTCCTCCACCAATAGCAGCAATATTTCGTTCAAAAATACAATTGTCCAACATCACTTCCTTTGAGTATGACCTAATATTGAGTGGACTTGCAGAAGTTGTGATACATTCCACAAATTTCAACAAAGCCAAGTGAATTTGGACCATGAATAGCTTATCTGTCGATAAATCATAACCTGTTTCGACATCCACAATTCCAGAGTCTTGTGTAGATTTACAATTCGTAAAAGATATATTGTATGCATTAAAAACTGTGACATCGTTAATATCGAATGCTGTACCATTTAGAGAGTCAAAGGTGGAATTTGCAAGTTCAAAACTTTGTGAAACATAAACCTGCACCAAACTTCCTCGCTCAACAACAGAATCCTGAACGACAATATTGCTTATATACAGTGCTGGTACTGAGTAAGTTATTAGCCATGTTAGATCAGTTTGAACATTACAGGAATCTAATATGACATGTTGAGAAAAAATAATGGTCAATGCGGCGGCAGTAACATAACCAGATGAGGCAAAATTACAGTTTCTAATGACAACCACACCACATTCAGTAATGTGCACAGCATATGGCTGTTCAAAGCTGATGTCTAAAATGTTCAAATTTTTAACATCAACAAACTCCCAATAATTTACCACATTAGAGCTGGTGAGTAATAATTGGTGACAATCTGTTGTGAAGTTAGCCACCTCATTGATTGTCAGAAATACATACTTTGAATTTTAAAAGTTCCCGAAAAACTACTTCTTGAAATAGTGCCCAATAAGCAATTTCCATAATAAAAAGGTGCTAAAATATATTCATTAATTCAATCTGTTAATCAAAACAATGATATGTCTTACCTTGTTCAAATTTTGACCCTTCTATGTTTAAATAATATTGCATGTCTGTTTGAATAATCTTTCCCTGAAGGTCGAAGCCTAAACTGATCAGGGTTGAATAGATCACGCTATTTGTAATTTTCATATTAAAACTGTAAGAATGATCAATCCTACAGCTAGTCATAGCCAAATTATCAATTTCGAAGGAAATGATATTTTGAGAATCAGCAAATATTGAATTAAAGTCCATATAATTGCATAGAACTGAAACTCTATTGCTGGTATATGATGTAAAACGGATCCTATAAAAGATATTCGAGCTTTTGAGAAAACTCTTTGATTTACAAGTAACTTGAGGGTTTGGAATGAATTCAAAATTAATATTTATAATGGTGGTGTAATCTCTTCCCTCGATCCCCTTATTTCTCAAATCGGTGTTTAAGGTGTTGATTGCTAAATCCGTAGATAAGCACTGATATCGAGCGCCCATATTAGTACAATCCTGCCCAACGATCATTGATTTCATCCCGATGGAGAACCTGTAATTCATTTCTGAGAGTTGAGCCTCCACTGCCATCATCAAAGAGCAAATGACTGTAAGCACAGCCATAAGCCTTACCAGCCAATGCAAATTACTTGCTCGATGAAAGCCTTCACTGGAGGGATGAATCTCATTACGCGACCCTAAAGAGCACCGGGATAATGTTCTTAAGGTAAGCATGAAAGCTTCATCATGTTTCATGAGACGAGGATATTTTTTGTGAGATCAACGATTCGAATCTTGGGTTTTGTTGATGCAAAAGGAACATTGAGATTTCTCTGGGAATGCAGTTTGATTAGTGCACTAAACGCTGCTGTTGTTTATTCCTCATCGTCTTCATCGGTGGCCTCATCGTTTTCATCATGCATGATGGCTGAAGAAGATGGAGGAACAGGCGTGGTTGCTGTTTGTGTGACTGAAGATGGGTTCACTTTTCTCTTCTTTAAGGCCTGATGAGTCACTTGTCCTTTGGTTGAAGATGGGTGAATAACATCGTTAGAGTCTTTGGTTGCTGCATCTCCATTGTTGCTGCGAGAAATGTCTCTCTCAGGCTCTTGATATATTGGAGGTGGTTGATCATCGAGAAGTTTGTCGTACCAATTGTATCCTGTCTCCTTCTTGTTTTTAACTTCTTCTTCATGCCATTTCTTGAGCATCTTTTTCAGTTTGACTTTTCTTGAGTGAATGAAATTAACTTTAGCAAGCAATTCTTCCCATTGAGCGTCACGTTGACTTTTAAAGTAATGTGTTCCAATCTTTTTCATCACGTTGAAAAATTGCTCATAGCTCGTATTGTTACGATTTTCAATCTTGTAATTAAGAGCAAAATTTAAATTTTCAATTATAGATCTTAGATAGTTGGAGATTCCAGGTAGCAAGTAATAGAGCTTGTCCAATAGTGCATCTCTGAGCCTTGCAGTAGACTCATCTTGCTTGATTTGAAGAGTTTCGTTATAATCGTTAAGCTGCTTCCAAGTGTAATCTTTTTCTTCTTGGTGAATTGGAATCCAAACTGCATGTTCACAAATCTGAGCAATACTTCTTTTGAAGAGATCGTTATGTTCAATAATATCTTTAAGGTTGGTATCACTTCCTTCACGTTTGATCTTTAGTAATTTCTCCAGTAATGTATTGGTACTCTCCAAAACGATTTTTCTTGCAACAGATTGAACAGTGTCAATCTTTCCATTGTACTCGTCAAGCTCAACAATAAATCTTCCCATGATAAATAATAAGTCAGCAATAAATGTTAAATGTCTAATGTCTTGATTTGTAGCGCCTAGACCACCATTGGGAGTAAATGCTTCGTCGCTAGGGAAGACTTTAAGTAAAAATTTAAGGAGTGGAAGTAACTCTCGAGGATAGAGTACTATTTTTTGGATGTTCACGCAATTTCCCATAAATCTGTCCATCATATCAGCATATTGGGTGTTTACCAAATTGACTGGCATTGTTTCTTCGATATGATTTTCGGCATATTCTTGCTTGATAGTCTTTACACATTTATCATAAACTTTAGTCATGCATGTAACAGCGTATTCTACTAGATATGTTTTGTCTTCATCTCTATAATCTCCTGTTCTCAAAGCATAGCTGTTACCTGTCAAAATTCTATTTACAATATTGTCGAAACATTCTTCGTACTTTTCAAGCTCGATCATCTTTGAGCAGTATTCTCTGTAGTATCTAATTTGTAAGCAAAATGCCAAATACCATTCAATGCTATTGTTCTTTTTCATGAAATTGAACATGGTGTTAAATACTCTAGTAAGATGCTCAAATTTAAAATATGATAGTGATTTTCCGAGTGCTTGAAGCTCTTCCAGACATTTTTGCATGAGGTGCAAGTCAAGTAATGATCCCAAGGGAGTGTAGGCTGATTGTTCTGATTCTACGAAAATTACCTTAAAAATCTCGTTCCAGGTTTTTTCAAGCAAATTAGCAATTTCAATTCCCCAATTTTCTCGAGTACCGTCGAGTAGTTGAGCAATGCTGGAATCTAGTAGTTGCAGAAGCCCACTCGCCACTCCTCTAGTAATGGCATATAGAAAGCTAACCGCTGTGTTTATACAATGGGTGGCTCTAGGTTCTCTTTTCTCATCGAATTCTGTAACAGCTCTTGATTTTAGAACCTCAACCTGCTCAAGGGTATTTTTGACTTTATCCATGACCATCTCAAGACCATCGCCTGCATGTACAGCGAGTACTCCTTTCTTTCCTCCACTATTAACTTTTGTAAATAATTTTCTAATTTCTGTTTCAACATGCACAGGATTGGCAAGCTCAATATTATCAACTCCAATAATGCTGTCAATAGCTCCATCAGATTTTTTTCCTTTTCTTCGGCCTGTACCTGTTGATGTTTCTCCAACTGCAGAAAATACTGTATTTGGAGAAGAGGGAGATGGATGAATTGGAATACCAGCCTGAAAATGATGATGATGGAGAAGAGGATCCATCATTAAAGGATTAATATTATGATCCAAAGCAACATTGTGGTGAGGGAACCCAAAGGCGCCTGCCGTATGCATTTGCATAGCAAAAGGGTCCAGTGGTGTCATAGGAGGTGGAATATGGGAAATAGCTCTAGGGGGTAATTTAGGGAGTTGTTTTAAAGGTTGTGGAGGTAACAAAGTGGCCTTAGGTTTTGGAGCAAGGTTGGAAGCGGATGTACTGCTACTCATTGGAGAGGTTAAATTGCTATTGGAAGATGTTGTTACAGATGAGTTGTTTGTTGGAGTGGTTGGTATGGCACTGCCGGATGAAATAACTACTTCTTCTTCTCCATCTGTGTCCGTTTCTTCCTCCTCACTCTCTGTCAATTTTCGTTTCTTCTCTCCACTGCTTTCATTACTCGTTTGTTTCTTAGCGTTGATGTTCTGTGGGGATGACACCATTGAAGGTGAAGTGATCGAAGGAGTTGCTGAAGGTGTTGTCACCACTGAAGATGATGCTTGATTATTAGAAGTTGTGATGTCACCAGATGATGTGGTTGCCTTTTTCTTCTTTTTCTTCTTCGGACCATTTGGCATGGATGGTACCATGGAGGGTTGAAGTAAATGACCTGTAGTCATTGCCGTAGTAGTCGAAGATATACCACCTTTTAAGGGTGTCGGAGATGTAACAGAGCTAGTTATAGCAGCTGGAGAAGTTATGGATGAAGAAGCATTTGTCAATAAAGATGCATTAGGGGAAGAGAAATGAGGAGGTGGAATGGTGATTGGATTTGCAAAATTGGGAAAAACAGGGGAATGTGTAGCGGTACTAGAAGAAGGATTTAAAAGATGAGGAGGAGTGCTGCCAGGAGTTGTAGCATGGGTTGTACCTGGATGAGGATAATACTGAGCCATTTGTTGCTGATAAAGCAAGTAGGATTGTTGTTGTGTAATGAAAAAGTTTTTGATCGTTTCATCTTTTTGTTTGAGCTGCTCCTCTAACTGTCGGATGTGATCCTCTAATTCCGAAATTCGTTTCAATAAACCTTCTCGTTCCTCCATGGAAAAAGCATGTGAGGAAGATGAAAGGGGCTGTTGATGTTGTGGCTGTTGAAGATTGATTGATCTCGTTACGGTATGATGATCCACACCAACAGATCCATCACTTGCCCTACTGCTTGAAGCGTTACTATTTCCAGGTGTTAAAACCACTCCAGAATTTTCATCTTGGTGGTGATGATGATGGGAAGATGGATGTGATGGTGGAGTGGTTATTGCTGAATCTAAATAATGAAATAAATGTTGTTCCTCTTCGGTTAGGCCTTCGTGGTGATGATGATGTTTGTGTTCCTCTCCTGTGATTGCTGTATTTGGTGTTGTAACTGCATTGTGATGATGTTGCGAATGAGGATCATTAAGAAATGCAGTAGAGGATGACACGAAATCTGTAGGTGGTCGGGATGATGATGTGGTAATGGAAGGGGAAGTGACTGAAGATGATGGAATATTGTGATGATGTTGATACTCCTCGTCGCCCATATGTGAAGAAGGTGTTAAAGCAAAAGTACTAGCGTCACCCTCTTCTAGGGTCTCTGCTGTAAGAATTGTCTCTTGCATGTTGTGGCACTTGATGACAATATAATGAAAAGTTGTTCGGAAAATGTTCTCAATTATCAATGACAATAACTGAAAGAGAGAAATTAATTATTAAAATGTCTAATTTAAATAACAAATAGTTTTTGCAATGTCGAGAAAAACGGTTAATAAAAATTGTAATCCGATAACTAGACTCTTCCCTGAACCGGAACACTTTTTCAACAATGAGGGCCGATTCTCAGAGCACGTTTCCGTTGAAACACAACAATAATCGTTTCAACAACAATCTTCACCTTGTTGTTTGATTGATCGTTATTTTTTTTTCGAGTAATGAATTTAACGGAACGTCCCGAGGATTGAGGTCTAATAGAATGCAAACCACACCTGCAAGATTCTATTTTAATAATTTTATGATAGTTTTTATTATCTCATCAATTTAAGCAGTTTCAACGAATTCAGGTGGAATAACGTCAACAACATTTTCAAGCTTCAAAGTGAAACCAGGTCTTGGTTGAGCTGGGAGTCTCTTAATGAACTTTTGCTTCTTTTCAGAGGTCTTGTTGGCAAGAGCAATAGCATTATTGAGTTTACATCTTTGCAAGAAATCTTCACGACACTTGCTCTTCACAACGTGCTCCATTCTGACGTGGAATCTCTTCTTAATAATTCTGTTTCTGACAGTCTTGTTAATTTCAACACCGACAGCTCTTGGAGTAACGTTCCATACTCTACCAGTCTTTCCGTGATAGGTTCTGTGTGGCATACCCTTGTGTTCATTGCTGTTGACCTTGACGGTAACATAGTCACCGAGCTTGAAGTTGGTCAAGAAGAACTTGCTGGACAAGAGACCGTGACCTCTAAATGGTCTAGCGAAGGTGTGTCTTGTTCTAGCACGATAACCGAAACTGTGAGGCATGTTTTATTGGCTAATAAGATTCATGTTATTGAAACAAACATAAGCAATCACAAAAACAAAATGATACGAACGCTGATGAGTTTTGGCGTATTTTTTTTCAAACGATTTTTGAAAAAATATTGGTCAACCAAAAAGTACAGTTTACAATGGCAAACAAAAAACGGCAACACAACTAATGGCGAAAAATATCCAAATGATAAATACAAGCTGATGAATAGTCAGAGAAGCTAATGAAGGAATATGATATATGACACAAACAGTGCTTTATATTGAAGTCCAAATGCGGTAAATTCATGTCTCCCTCTAAAAACCTCAAAAAAATGTCTTCATCAGGTACAGCTGTAAAGATTGCACATGTTGATCTCAACTCGTACACGATATTCGAGTCGGCATTGCTCGTAGTGACCCTTTTTCAATTTTTGTACGTGATCAAACACATTCTCATCATCAAAAGATATTACACAGCTGCAAAGTATGAGGCTAAGAATATGAACATTGTGATGGCCATGATCTACATTATTGTAGCAGGAGAAGGTGGAGGCATACTTTCGCGGGTTCTTATCGGAAAACCTTCTCCTTTCATTTCAAATGATTTTAGATTATGGTGTGGATTGGGAACTTGGATTGTATGCTCATATATCTTGTTCCGATCAACAAAGGCTAAAGAAACATTTGCTGCATGGCTCAATCATCCTCTTTGGAAATATATTCTTGTCATTCCGAATGAGGCTAGAAGAGCTATTGCCCTATGTGTGAACATGTTGGCCTTTTTGAAAATTGCTCGAGCTGAAGGTCATGCATCTGTGATCCTTTTCCCTGCGGTGTTGGGCTTTATCTCAGCCTGCGGTGGAGGATTAATGATGAATGGAATTGAAGCTGCTTATGTCACCAAAAATTTCACTTATGGATGGAGATCGTTCATGGAAGCTCCTACATGGAAACTGAAATTGCCTTTCGTATGCGCCTTATATTATGCATTGAGCTATTATTATTTGGAAAATCTCACAAACGTTTCAAACTTGGAGAACAACATGCTTTATTTACTTGCATACAATGCTATCTATGTCATCATTGCTGTCTTTGTTTTGCTTCCAATTTTGACTGATTTATCTTCATGGATTTTGGCTCCAAAGAGTCCATCCAAGCCAGTTACCCCTCCCTCAGAAAAGAAATCAAAGAAGGAATAATTTATTCATGGAATGGATATGAAACAATCAATGTAAATAACAGAACCATGTGCCTATTAGGAAGCAGAATCCATATATATTGAATACACATTCATATTTAAACACACACGAAAATTCACAATACTAGCATACCATTATTTATATACTTGAATTCGATGTTGGGAACAATCCACTACAAATATTTCTCCAGTCAGCGAATTGAAGCACAGCCGGAAAGGTTTTCCAAAACCTTGTTCCCCATTTCTGGGTTGGAATGTTTTCAAGTATTCACCTTGTGGAGTGAAATATTGAACTCTCAAATTTTCCTCATCGCATACCAACATGTTTCCAGTTCTTTTATCGACAACCACTCCAATAGGATGACCTAATTCCACATTTCCTTTCCATCCTCCTCCAAACACGTGGAAACAACAATCTCCTTTTTTAGATACCTCAACAATTCGCTGATTCCAATAATCAGCAATCACCAATCTTCCCATATTATTAATGTCAATAGCAAAAGGTCCATTGAATTGCACATTTTGAGATCCATTATTGTTCCCAAACATGTACAAGAACTTTCCTTCTCTCGAATAGACTTGAATTCTATGGTTCAAACAATCACAAATGAATACATTTCCATCACTGTCATCCACAACAAGTCCATAGGGTGAATTAAAGTGCTGAGCATTAGAACTTGGTTGCTTGGGAGTTCCTAATTTCCAAATCAATTTCTTACTCTCAATACTGTATTTGTAAATGCAATGGTCGTCACAACTCACAATGATTGAATCATCGACTGAATCAATTGCCACATGTTTTGGTTTGTCATTGGTATTAAATTTAAATTTAAATGTCTTGGTGTTGATGTTGAATGCTTGGATTCGCTTATTCATAAAATCGGCCACAAAAAACAGTCCATGCTTTAAAGACAATTTCACATCATTGGGCATATTAAAGAAACCTTCTTTGGAGGATGGATTTTGAGAAGATCCAATGGTTTGAATGTAATGAAGATCTGTTAAAAGAATGGAATGTTTCTGACCATCGTCTTTGATCACATTCAATTTAAATGGAGATTGATAAATGTGTTGACAGAGTTGTTTGTTTCTCGTTCGTTTTCGATCAATCATCACGGCAAGTCTTAGATTGGTCTGATCTCTAAAGTCAGGAATTTGAATTTGAATTTGGAATTCTTTTTTGTACAGTTGATCAGGATTCTTTTCCTTAATGGATGAACATCGTGAGAGAACCATTCCATCTTGTGTTTCAATGAAACAATTAATGAATGGGATTAATGAGTGGCTTCCCTCTAGCTTCTTATTTTCAGTTTGCTTTTCGTCCTTCTTTGAACTTAACATTAGTGTGAAACTTAGTGTTTGTTTGCATTTCCAAATATGGTTTTGAATCTTGTCCATTTCCAAAATTTTACACGACTGAGGATCAATAGGTGCATATTCAAACATCAACACATCTCCCATGTTCTGAATTTGATTATTAATCATCTCTATTGGATGTGATATATTCACCAGTTTCATATCATGCAATTGTTCCAATTTTCCAATCGATTCGAATTGTGTTTTCAAATGCTCAAACGAATACATGGCCTTTTTAAACTGATTCATTCGTTTTTCCATAAATTCGTAGCCATTCATTTCATCCAAATCATTGAAATAGGACAAGGTTTCATTCGTTTCATCCTTCATTTCAATAATCTTTTCAATGAGTTGACAATTATTTTCACACAATTTCTCAATTTTTGAATGCAATTCTTCTTGTCGTTGTTTCAAAACATCTTTCAAAATTTCAAAAATTTGATCCACTTCATCTTTCAATGCAATTTTCTTCATTTCGATGTTTTTCAGTTCATTTCTTAAATCTTCATCTTGAGCTGAAAAGACTTGTTCCCAATTTTTGATGGATTCTTTGAGCGAGGTGTGTTGAATTTTAAATTTTTCTTTTTCTTCTTTTTCAATATTCGATAATAAATCAGAGGAATGGCCTCGATGATGCTTTTCGAGAGTACATGCAGCACAGATTAATTTTTCACAATTTCTGCAATATACATTGATTGGACATTGATGAAGAGAACAAGTGGGTATTCCAAATATGGAATTGACAGATGTCGGAGAGTGATTAGTGACACCACCATTCGAGGAATTATTCAATGAAAAGCTGTTGGAAAAAGAGTTGTGATCAATGATACTGGAAAGAGTTGGAGAATTGTCATTGTTTACCATATTTGGAGTATTGTGGGCAGTGATGACTTGGGGATGATCGGAAGGAGTTTGTGATGTTGAATTTCGTGAAGATGTGACAATGACCACAACCATATGTCCATGATTGTTTTTTGAATGACGTCTGGCGTGAAGAGCACAAAAGTATGGATTTTGTGAAATTCTAACATCATGCTCTTTTGGGAATAAACAACTCGAGCAACAGTGAGTAGCTTCAATAAATTCATCTTCTTCCTCTAAGCAAGTGGAACAATTTCGAGAGATGGCAGTTGACATTTTTTTGCGGGACAAGTGTCAAATGATTTTGCAGAAAAGTAATCAAATATCAATACGTTTGTAACTTTTCAAACGTATTGGAATCGTTGAAGAATGAACTCTCTTTCGCAACAATAATACCCACAAAAAAAGACACACTTTGTGCAAATTCACGCACCCCTCGTCGCTAGACCACATTCTCTTTCTCTTTCAAATTGAAACCCCTCTCTTCGAATTGTCTCTTGAAATCCCTATCATGTCGTCATCATCATCATTATTGGAACAGGCTTTACTCCAGAAGTGTTTTGGCCGACAAGAGCATGATGATGATGATCCAAATTGTCCTTCCATGAGGACTCCTCTCTCCATTGTAGCCTCATTCCTTCCACCTTCTCAATGGTTGAAGAGCCTCTTTCTTCTCTCCTCCAAAATTTATGAGCCTTTCCGATGCGGCCGTATCGAGGAATCCCTCTTGCAAGATCAATCGACTCGGAAGGATCAACACTTGCCATCATCATCATTACGGAAAGAACAAATTTGGTATGAACAATGTCAATTCTCTTTTCCTGATGTCCTTCTCAATGAGGAGTGTTCAAAAGATTATTCCCAAAAAAAGGAATTTAAAAAGTTGTTCATTCAGCAATGTCAGGTATTGAAGAGATACAAGAGTGGGTTGTATCATCATACATGTTTGGAAGGACATTTGGCTTCTGTGAGTGCTTTGTGTTGTACCGTTTTGGAAAAGTCCTTGTCCATCCATTTTCCAACATTGTTTTCAGGAGATTTAAAAACAGGTATTGCCCAATGGGACTTGAGATCAACATTGCAAATGAAAACGAGTGATTATCATTGCAATGATGAGGGGAAAATCATCAAACTATTGAGCTATCGATTCGTGCAAGAAGTTGAACAAGAGGAGAATCCATCGTCGACGACAAGTATTTTGACTGTATTGCCCTACTCGGATGATGGAATCACAGCAGGAAACGCGAAAAGTTCAGAACCTTTCACAAAGACTCTTTGTTTGAGCTGTACGAGTGGAAATGAGCAAGATGGAAGCCATTCCTCACTCGTTGTGTTTGACGGTATGGATGGAAGTGTGAAATATTCCATCACCAAAGGCCTTAATGAGAGTAAGAAAGGCCAATCCAAAGTTTTGGATTTCAATCATATTGGAATGGATTATATCTTGAATTCTGTTTCGAATTGTTTGAATGTTTGGAAACTGAATAAGGAGTACAAACGCTACGAACTGTTACATCAATTGGATGACCCTCACCAATACGATGTCACATCCATTAAGGTCATTCCAGGACAAGTCCCTCTCGTTGCAACCTCAGGTTTGGATTCTCATATTTGTGTGTGGAATGTGGAGAGCGGAAAGTTAATGACCAAGATTGGATTACCACACACGAGTCCAATCAAATCCATGTTTGAAATATTTACCCTGAATCAAATGATCATCATTCTGAGTGTTAGTATGGATGGATCTATGACTCTTTCGTACTGTAACGCGAAGGAAGTCTCTCAATGGAAAGAATCGACAATTCTCACAAAACATAGCTCTGGAAGCTCTGTGTTGTGTTCATCTATTATTTCCACAGGTATTCCTGGTCAAATCTTATTCTCTATTTCATTCCAAAATAGAACAGTCGAGCTTTATGCTCTGAAATTGCTACCAAGTGAGACAGACTCCCTTCACTTCCAATTATCATCCCAACCTTTCATTCTCTCAAATCCCAGTGTTGTTAACAACATGATTCTCACCAGAAACAAGCTAATTTGTTCCAGTAGAGATTGTATGGTGAGAATGTTCTCTCTTTCATGCTCTCCCAATTTTGATAGAGTCTTAAATTGTGACCTGGTTTCTGAGCTTGATTGTGTCTCTTCACAATGTTTCTCGATGGCCCTAACTCCAGACCAGTCCATTCTCTTGCTTGGTCTTTCAGATGCTGCTATTTATTATTTGAAATTTAGCCCAAGATACGAATGGGATTATCCTCGATTCGAACTTGGCAAGGATGATCTTGTGTATGATAACAATATTCATGCTTATTTGAAACCCCCATATGAAGAGTTCAGTATTGATCATGTGAAACGTCCAGAAGAAGACTTGAAGCGAATTAAGTGCGAGAAATTCTTAAATCACATTTACAAGGGACGAGAAAAAACCTATCTCATTCATCATTTACTCTCAGAGCAAGAATGTCAACATTTGATTGACATGACAGAAAAACTCTCCTATGAAGATTGCTATGGTTATCACAAAGATTATCGATCCAACAAGAGAGTCATTGTTGAAGATAAGATTACTGCTCAAATTCTTTCCGAGAGAGCCAAACCTCTTCTCCCACAAGAATATGTGGATGACAATGGTCAAGTATGGGATTTGAAATTTGCAAACTCACGTTGGAGATTTTGTAGATACACACCAGGACAACACTTTTTAGCACCTCATCAAGATGGATTCTACGAGGTTGACAAAAACACACGAAGTTTCTTCACCTTCATGATGTATCTGAATGGAGGCTATGAAGAGGGACGAACAACTTTTATTGAAGCCAAGAATAAGCAAGGACCTCCTCAACCACCATTTATTGAAGTTGGACAAGTAGAGCCACAAGCTGGATTGTGTATTGTCTTTCCTCATCATTTGTTGCATTATGGATCTGTGCTGAAGAGTGGTGTGAAATATTTAATGCGAAGTGAACTGATTTATGAGAGAAGAAGAAGAATTCAATCGAATCAACAATAAGTGAGGACAATCATTTTGAATAAGAACATTACTTCGATAACCTTTTTGGAGGAAGGTTTATGTACAAAAAGTTATTTCCAGTCGTGTGTGTGTTTAACCCTTTTGAATTCAATGAAAACTACATGTATTTTCGTCACGTGTAAATTATGGTACTTCTCTTTTGCCCTTCCAAATTTAAAAATTGTTATTGTAAACTCATCAAATCGTAAAAAAATATTTCTTCATCATCGTCATGAGTTCATATATTCGTGAACAAAAGAAGATTTTAAAACAAGGCATCAGACAACATATCACCGAACAATGTGATAAGGTCAACAATGGCCAATACACCGGTGAAGATTTGGCCAAGGAAATGAGGGAATATCGTTCAACTGAAAAGCCAAGCAACTTCTTTGTCTGGAAGAGACTTCATAAGAATACCGGAGTTTATGCTTCTTGGAAGGATGATAACATTTTGAAGTGGACCTACAAGGAATTAACAAGAGCAAGAACCTTCCCATGGTTGGTTGCTGCTGTTTCTTGGTACGGATTTGTTTTCCTTTTCCCACACCCAACACAGGAGGACTTGAAGAAGTCTCCAAACTTCCATCCTCATGGTCATCCACCAGGATCAAATATGACTCCTCACTATCAACATCTTGTTCATGAAATTGAGGCTCCTCCAAAGTACTAAATTATTCCCGTTTCTCTTTCTTCATCATCAATACAAATTTTGGGTGTAATATTATCATGTACTCATTTGTCTTGAATCGGAGTGTTTTTAATAGTATTTTCGCTTCATCACCAAAGATGATGTGATTGTCATGAATTTCAAGAACAAAGTATTTACTACAACTTTTCAAAAAGAAAATAAATCATCGAGGTGATGAAATTTAAAAATGAATGTTGGTGAGGAAGTTGTGTCTTGTCTCAACAACAATCGTTGCTGCTGTTCAATGTTTTTTCAATGCTAGAGTCTTAATGATGGCAAATGAATTATGCCACACTTTGACACTTAAATTCGCTCACTAAAACATCTTATCTGTACTGTTCTGAGTGAATGAATCTGATTGTGAAATTGATCTCTTTACTGAGCCAGAGCCAAGGCTCTCTGAATGTATCAAAACTTAATTTCTGTTTATAAAGATATTTGTTCTGGTGGGACATCTTTTGTGAGATGAGAAACGAATACATGGTCACTACCCATGATATGATTGATCAACCAATGCAATAAATAATTCAATAAATCAACATTCAAGAAGGAAATGGTTGAGTGATTGTCGAGATATTCTTGATGCAGTTTTTTCATCTTGTTCGTGAATTCTTCGTGCTCTTGATGATGCTCCTCTGCATATCCCTCTGGCAACGATTTGGCATACTTGGCCATAATTCTCTCCTCAGTCTCAAAATGAAATTCAGTATATTCCAAACAGAGACCAATCACATAGCCCAATAACCATTCATCACTCGATCGTTCTGGTACATTACAATCATTCTCACCTCCAAACATCAATTGAATGAGCTTGTTAATAATGTCCACCAAGCCATGATGTTGTTCATCCATAATTTCCACTCCTAGCGTCAAATCTTTCGTCCAATGAACAAGAGGGAATGTCGTGGTGGCCTGTGACTGTGAAACATCATTTGAGGAAGATGAAGACAGAGTGTCCAAAGTATTCTTTGCGAGAGAGGATAAATTACTGGAAGAAAGGGTTTCCTCAGTAGAAGTAGTAGAAGAAGCATTGGATGCCACTTCTTGAGGAGTATGTGAACTCTTTTTGTGAATCTTGAAAATGTGCCACCATTTCTTTTCATTCTTCTTTTCCTTAGATTTTAATTCTTTTTCAAATTCTTCAATATTTCCTTCTGCTAGTTTCTTTAAATTCAATGAGAGACGTTTTGCAAGTTTGAGACATGATAAATGTTGTGCATTCTTAGTTTCCAAATCTTTTTGAGAATAGAGTGAATACAAGTATTGAATCATTCGAAGTTTCTTTTGTCGAATTGCCACATGGAGAGGTAAATCCAATTGTTGATTGGGAATATTAAGATCAACTTCTTGACAACTCACAAGTAGTTTAAAGCAATCATAATGAGTGGTCATGATTGCAATATGCAGTGGTGTATTTCCTAGAATCTTGTCTTTTTCATTGAGAGCTTGTTTCAACTTGTCATCCGAATCGTAGAGACGAATGATCTTCAAAAGAGGTTGAAAAGCATCTCTTTCCACACAAAAGTGAATCATCGAGTGACCATAGTGATTCGTTTGATCGAGAGATTTTTGTAAAATACTTGGACAATGCTGTGTGAAAAAGTTCAATAAAAAATCGAACGCCTGTTCTTTTGGTTCAGAGAAGGGATGTGATGGATTGTTGTTAGTGGGTGGTGAAGTCGATGGTGTTGTTGTTGATCGAGAAGCAGCACTCTGAAGTTTTTTTCTTCTCAAAAATTCTTCATAAGATTTGATGGCATTGAAGAGAGGAATTTGATGTCGTTGATCACATCGCAGCATGAGTGACTGTCTTTCTTGGAAGATTTGATTTTGTTTTGTATTATTGATTAAATCTATGGATTCTTCTTTTCTAATTCCTAAAAGAATATATTTGATCATATCAACATCGTTCATTTCACATGCTCGATGAAGATAAGATTCTCCTCCATGAATCTTGAAATAAATATCAGCTCCAAAGGTAATTAAAATATCAGCCATTTCAAAATCTTTTCTATGCATGGCATACCACAAAGGACTACATTCAAATACATCTTTTGTGTTAATCTTAATGGCATTTGAAAAGCTGCAAAGAAAAGCTGTCGATTCATAAGCGCCAGAAGTCACCGAGTAAAAAAGTGGAGTGGCATGAATGTCATCCTCCAAATTGATCACATCCGACAAGGTCTCATTCATTCCAATGAAATTTTTCAATAACATGTCCAAGACATCCACTTGATTGAATCGTGCAGCCAAGTGTACAAGTGTGCAATTACTCCATGATTGTTTTTTCACATTTTCTGTCTTGCCACTATCCTCTCTAGAGATGAATTTTTTGACTTTTACTGAGCCACTTAATCGAAGGGATTTCATAGAGAGAGAGAAACGATTGGATTTTTGTCGAATTTCTTCTAAGAGTGATTTCAGTCTTTCCACATGGCCATAAATACACACTTGAAATATTTCATCGAGTGACGAGAGATAATTCTCATGTTCAGCGAGAAACTTTTTAAAACTTGCTTTCTCGTGGTGATTCTTTTTCTGTTCTTCTGTAGTTGTGATTACACTTGGTTGGTTGTTTGGTGTTGTCTCGACTGAAGTGTCTCTGCCATTTTGAGTGTCGTCATTTGAATCATTTGAGGATGTATTGTTCACCTTGTCTCTGACGTTGACTTGGATGGCAGGAGAGACCTCACTCGATGAGGTGTCGACACTAGTGTCTGAGTGTGAAATCGAGGAGGGTTCATTTGCATTCTTAGTCTCCACATTTTCCAAAACAAGTTCATTTGCTGGATCTACTTCAGAAGCATCTCTCAGAAGAGTATTCTTCTTCTTCTCTTCAGGAGGATTTTGAGATGATTTCGTTTCGACAATGACATTTAAAGATTTTGTCACAACTGAATGATGCTGAATGGATAATGGATCATCCAAATTTTGAGCGAGTGAATTTTGTAAAAGGGCTCTTGTTTTTTCAATCTCCATGAGTTCCAAGTATTGTTTTGCAAAATCTCGAATGCTCACTCTGGTTGAGATATGAATGGGACCATGGTGGTGATGATGATGATGAGAATGATGATTCGGTTGTACAGAAAGATATTGCTGATGATGAGTACTGTTGTGTGACGAGGAAATGGACGATCGAGATGGAAATGTTGTATGATGATTCAAAGTGAGTTGTCCACCATTCGACGAAAGAGACCACGACGATGATGAACCTGAGGAATCCATGGAATGTCGATTCCGTGAGGTCGAATTTGACACTGCTGAACTACTTCTCGAAACCAACGATGTATCGCTGAGTTTTCCATTCAAAGCAAGGTCATCGGTGGTTCGAAGTGCTGCTAATTTGGTCGAAGATGACAACGTCGTGACACCAGTCGATGTTTGAAGAACACTCTCGGACTTGGAATGGTTGTGGTTGTCTCGATGAAACAGGTTGGCTAAAGAAAAGAAGCCCATGTTGTATCGAGAGTGTGAGTGTGTGGTTCTTGTTTGAGAAAGCAGTGAGGACCTTGTGTTTCAAAGCAGGAGAGAGCTGACAAGTGTCGGAGTTGAGGTTGTTTTTTGTGAAATAATTTAATACCATTTGACAGGGCGGTTGGTTTTTTTTTTTCTAAATATGGAGATTTTATAGAAGCAAGGCAACGACATTTTTGAATCAAAATCGTATGAGAGAATAATTGGAATTGAATATTCAGATGAGATGCATAATATACAACCTTGAACCTTCTTTCAAAAGATTCATATTTGGTAT